ACTTTGGAGACGGAGACACTAGGATTTTAGATAGACAGGCTAGTAGGTCGGACCGTCATACAAGGCCAATGAGGACCATCGATTGCTAGTCTCGGATACGGCGGTTTGAATAAAGGCCAATGGCGCCAATGCTAGCTGGGCGCTAACTCGCGGTGACAAAAATAAAGTAGCCCAGAGATTAAGTTGGCAGCTTGCTGATCATCAAGACCGTCAGCTGTCAGTCCTGTCAGGGCATCGAGTCTTGTCCAATGATGGTTGTCAGATTAAACGGCACTGGAATTGCCTCCCCCATGTTCTGAGACAGACTGCCCCTGGCTCATCTGAGCTTCATCTCCTGTCCTTGCTTCATTTCGATTCCTTAATTTGCATCCGCGCTCCTCTATAGGTCTCGGCTGAATCGGGCGGCGATTAGGAGGCTCGTAGCGTATTGCGTATGGACCTGGGGGCTTTATCTATACTTCTATTTCGTACTTCCGAAGGTTTCATCAGACAAAGAGACGGCTTCTTGTAACGGTAGTTTGAACAACCCCGGCGGACGTAGCCCGGCGGAAATCGCGGCGCTCGGTCGGCTGTTTTCCAACGTGACTTGGCCAGTTATCGCTGAAAGCGAGGAGGGACGAGAGTTAATAATAGCGAGATTGAATGAAGTAATATCAGGGCAACCAGGGAGGGGCTTGTCAAGAGGTCAAAAGCCACGACGCGATATCATTCGTTGCCTTTCACGAGCCCAGGTTCATCATGTATAATTCATGTACGACGACGTAAGCCGGCATATACTGTACTTGGATCGAGATGTTTGACATTGTAGCGGTGAGATCTGCTCGCGAAGTTTCTGCAGCTACTCCAGGATGAGCAATACTGCGTCAAATGTACGCCTTCGACGCATGCAAGACTCGCGTACGGTTATTTCCCCATGCCACGTTATAGTGCTGGGACAATGCAAACATACATAATAGCGGGTAACACCCACGAGGTAGCGCCGCTGCACCGCAACGAAGGCACGAGGAACGGCCAATAAACCGTGCATGTCACCCGTCAGACAATGGACTATCATGGTCAATCATTGACTAAGGAGGGAGCTGTCAAAAAACGGCGTTGGCCTAGCCATGCAGCCAATTGGCACAATCACCACTTTCTCGTTTAGAAACTTGCTTGGAGACGAAGTATTTCAGCGCCGCTCCAAGTCTGCTCCACGAAAAGGACCATTAGTCAAAGCGCACAAAACTGGCTGTTTCGTGGATAGTGGTGGGAGAGCAGACATCACAAGCCCTTTACTAGCCTGATCCCGGATGACATTGGCGCAGACGAAAAGGGTGAGGCGATGATCGACTCGACTGGATCACTTTCTGGGGGCGGCCAAGCCACAGCGAAGATGATGCTGGGCAGCCTTCCTTTTTCTTGCTGATTCGGCGCTTCAAGGATAATGACAAATCCAAGTAAGAACCACGAACCTAAAAGTGGATATTGGTCATTGTGTCACAATCCTCAGAGCCAGATAGAGAGCTCTTGGTAGCCGTCGTTATGAGCGTTCGCCCCTGCTGCGGCAGCAGTCGTGGGCGTAGCAAATGTTTCAGGGATGTAAGCCGCTTCCTGTCATCATAGCTTATCTCAATGACTGGATACTGGGTCCCCTGTTTGACCAAGGCAGCGGGTGCCTTCTCCTCGGAATCCTTTAGATGTAGATAGATTTGAATCGTAGATAAGCTGGCGATATGGTCTGCAGATAGTGTGCGCGCTTGAGAATCCTTCGGTGCAAATGGGCCCGATTCATCCTGGCGTCATCCCGATTTCGGCAAGAGGAGGGGTAACGAGAGAAGCCAGGTGACCTCAACATTTTCCAAGCATCGCGGTCGAGATGGTGAGTGGAAGGGACAGAAATCGATTCTTGCCAATGAGTGTTAAAAGGTGGTTGTATGAGCTGGGATTGCGGGGCAGACGGTTGGCGGTTGCCCTCTCGCGGCATCCGCTTGGGCTGCGATTTCCACAGTCGCCCGTGTCTGGAGCCCACGTTCACAACCTGACAAGCACGATTTCCGGTGAGTGTCAGTGAGGCCAACTGCCGCTGGAGTCTCGGTAGTTGTTGTCTGAAGCAAGATGGAGGTCGGGATAGGAGCCTTACTACTGATTCCAGAGGACAGGTAAGTTTGCGTAGAAGGAATTAGCGCAGCAACAGAGATCTGTGTAACTTTGGATCCATAACGCTGGACAGACAACGCTTGTTGTCGAACCCATGCCGCTGGTATCATGATCGCCATTTGGCATCTCACTGACAGGCGCGCCCTCGGAGATGCAACTACCGGGAACAGCAACTCTCGGCCGGATGGCAGAATGGCTTGATGTCAATATCAAGCAAGCCCTGTATGATATAATGATCTTCATGTAGCGGTCCTGATGACTTCGCAGCCCCTACCCGTTTGGTTCACTTCTCTCCCTTTTCGCACCTTACTATGTGTAGATAATGCAGAGGCTAGACCTGCAAAACCGAGGCGTTAGCGAGCGCCATAGCCCCTGCGGGATCATCTACCCTGCTCCTTCTCCCACCCCGGCCTTTGTTATACACTCTCCTATTCTTGCTAGGGTGGCCCGGTGGATGGTGGGCGCACGGGTTGTACCCAGCGAGCTGGTAACGCCGGAGAATTATATATTGAGCCCTGTCTAGCCAAGAAAGTATCGTTGCCCCATTCTTTGTATACGGGCTTCGAAGGATTCTCGAGACCTTCCATGAAGTCGGCTTTGACCGAGGATACCGATGGCGGTGGTGGCAGTGACATTAACAACCACCGATGCAAGCAAAGCCATACTCATCTACACCCAAATGTATGCAGCCCTTGGCATGTCTCATGAACACACTAACTCTAGGCTCGGCCCCCTCCAGCTGGGCTGGGTTGGATCTAGTTTTGAAGCCGATCGCATCCGGTAGAGGTACTTTCTGTCTTGTGTGTTGGACTTCTGCCTACATCGTCGTAACGCACGGAGTACTCAATATATGAGGGGAACGGTGGGACGGTCCTGAGATATGCGGCCTGTGCGTGATCGCGTTGCTCCTTGCTACAGGTCGCACAAATGCAAGCCAACCGAGACGCCAGATGGGGTTGGAGTGGGCATTGACCACGGACTGACCTGACAGAAGTACGCTTGACGAAGCAAGGGTCAGGGATGTCGTACCTATACGATGACAAGGTACGAAAGAGTTGCGACACCGGCCAGAAAGTCCGCCAGGAACCATCGTCGATTGAACCCCAAGCCAGGGTACGCTAGATCCTCCCGGATGTGCTAGTTCATACCCGCGGCGGTGCTAGAGTACTGTTCGTAAGTCAGATAAATTAACTTGATGAGCAGATACGTACGTAAAGAGGTCCAAGTGCCTAGTCGTATGGAGGAGCAGGTCAAGTGGAGGGTGTGGGCTATTCTGCACGATCACGGAGTATATTTTGTTTGTCTTGGGAAAAACGACCCTCAGGCGCAGAGTTTCTCCATTCTTGACCATCCCCAATGTGATGATGGAAGATAGCTGAGCGAGGCTAATCGCGGTAAAAACAAAAGTCCTGCCTCAAGGCAAATGGGATGGTGGCACTGGACGCGGAGAGAATATCCTGAGGTCAAGCGAGAGAGGCTGTTGGTGCTCCACTAGCGACTGGACTAGCCCAGTGTTCTTTTGTTCAAACAAAGGACTTTCACTTTGTCATTTGCGCATGATTAGGGGGTCAAGCGTTCCACCGCAATATCAGACAGCATTCATGATGTTTTGGAGCTTAGAGAACTGGACATCATCAAAAACTACTGAGAAGTAAGTACTGAGTCCATACAGAGTAGATCAGAGACCGGACTGGGGAAGCGACTATTGGAGGCAGATCTACAGCCGTGTGGGCTGCGGTGCAAAAAGCAAAAACAAGCTATGATCCATTCCAGAAATCCAGCTAAAAAGCCCAAAGCAGATTTATTTAATCTGGAAAATCACAAAAAGCAAAATTCCAAATTCCCACTCTGATGGACGAGCGTCTACTGAAGACATGCAGTGCCGCTTAGCTGTGTTTCGGCTTCGTCCATGCAAATTGTCAGGGATCACCCATGTTGCTGGAATTGCTGGGCTTCCCGATTCGGGATCGCTTCACTGACGCTGGTTCTTTTGTAAATCGACGATGGGGGTGCTCTTTTCTTGCATTCGCGCTGCACCTGAAAAGCCATGAAAAAGCCATCTGCTCCCCCCGTCAACGGGCCAGTCCGGTCTTTTTGTCTCCCATCTATCTACAAGTTTGTCAAGTTATAAGATCCCCAAGCTTCCCTCATTGGTTTCTCCTTTCTTCACCATCGACTCTTTCCCTCGTCATTACAGATCCTCCTATACGCTCCAGTACCAGGAACTCTGCTATACATACTGCCGTGTCACCTTTCCTGTTGATCGCGCGGTCCCAGTCAACGAAGACGGCGTCTACTTCCAGCCCCAGTACCCCAGGACCTCGAACGCAGCCCGGTCTGTGACACTCGGATACCTACAGCCTGCAGCTCTCTTCACATATCCTTCACATAACCCCGCCCTCGACCCTCTGATCGCCCGTCTTACTCGGCCCATCCCTCAAGACTCGAGACCTGGTAAGCAGCCAGTCCCTCTTCCTTATTTCCGCCGATTCATCATCCACTCTGTTTGCTGGATGCTTTGGGAAGCCTGCTCTGGTATACATCTCCGACAACTGCCATAGCCGTTGAACTGGAGTGATACCCTGCCGCCTGCCCTCGCCTAGCATTCTGTGCTAACATGGAATGCCCTTGCCAGATTGGTAGAACTGCAGCTCGAAGCCAAACACTCGTTCTCTCGGCCTAGACGCTCTTTCTCACTCGAGAGACTACAGTACATACGCTCGCCCATCACACTCGCTACTATACGCCCTGACGACTATCCATATGCTCTAGATCTTTCTGGCTCTGTGATATCTTGATAGCAGATCCATTATCTTTATCCTGCATTCTTAGCCTTCGAAGAGCTTAAACTTATTGACAGCACCATGGTTGTCAATACACCTGTTTGCGCATCGGGCCTCCCAGGAGGGTTGAAGCGGCCGTTGTCATCCTTACAAGATGACTGTGCTGGCTGGGCCAGCCCAATGGTTAGTAAAGACGACAAGGCTTTGGGCCATGAGCTAATGTGGGCTTGCAGCACATGGGGGCTCCGCTACGCCCATCCCTTTGTCTTCCATTCGAGCACTATGCCTTGATCTACTATGACAACACGGGCAAGATCGAAGTCGAGGAATCACCATCTATCCGAGAGCAGAACCGCTCTGTCATCACACACGAAGTCCGCGAGAGGTTTCGTGACATGATCGGACCGAAGATTGGATACCAGAAGCCACTACTACGCCGTATGTACTTCCAAGAAACCAGTCTTACATACCGAGTCACTGTGACTTATGATAAGCCTTAGGTGCCTCTGCTGGCTCTCACGCATACGGACATGCCCATGATATGGCACCGCCACGTCTTGTTAAACGACGCAAAGCTTCAGCTCAAGACCATGCCCCTCAACTAGCCTTTGGCGAACGCTTCCCCCCGGAGCCTGTTCCACAGATACCCTCACCCTCCAGCAACCACAGAGTGATTCTGAAGGCTGGCGACACCGCAAGGATCACCGAGTTCTACAAGCTCGCATTCGAGAACCTGCAGCAGGTAAACTGCCGTTACCTGGGTAAGGAGTTCATCAAGGACATTGAGCCGAAGAAACAAGTCAACCACCCATACAAAGGAAACAAAAAGAACGGGAAAAGGCTCTCGGATGAGGAGAGCGATCCAGAGTTGACAAAACCAGACTGGTGGCCACAGTTCGGGGTCCCTCATAAAGAACCCGACCATCTGAAGAAAGAGCGTAAGTCTGCCCCAAATGGTGGTCCACAGGCGTCAGACACTTGTCACAACTATTAGCACAAAGTGTCTATCACCTGTAGACCACCAATCATCCAACGACTTCCTTCCTCGCATGCAAGAATACTTACCAGTTTCATAGCGCGTCTCCGTCTTCTGATCCATATCATCCGCAAATTTTCACCCGACAGGCTGCTAATGGTCGCGAACGAGCACAAGAGGAAGCTCAAACCTGAAGATGCCTTCGAAGACAAAATGGACATTATCAGAGAAATATTCAAGGTCAGGAAAATGGAAGAGAAATTTGAGCGCGGAGAAGTTGGTGAGTCCCCCTGATCTCTATACCTTTAAGCACCGGGCCTGACCAGAGTATAGCCGGGGACCATGGGGTGTACGTTCGCCAGTACGAGACACCCGGTAAGGGCTCGAAAGACAACGAGTCGGTTATTAGCGACACAGAGCCCAAGCGTGAGGCTGACGACCTTGACGATGCTGAAGACGAACCATTTACCACAGCCTCCGAAGCGGACAACCTGCCATCATTCGCGTCGGTTAATCCTCTAGCCCTACAGCAGCCACGTCCCTTCGGCATGAGCAATGATCCGTTCCCCTTGAACGAGTCTTTGAGCTTCCAGGACCCGTCAAGGCAGGCTCGCCCGTACTATACGACCGCTGCCGAGTACGCGGATGATTACTCGCCACAATCTGTCTTGCGACCTACAGCTACTGACCTTGTCGGCCCTGAAGAGCACACCGAGGCCTTCGAATACCTGAATCACACCCCTTTCACAACTTCTGCTATCTCTGAACACCAGCACCGACCTCTCTCTATGCAGCAAGCCAGCCACTACGAGACCTGGACACAGTTCCGCCCTAACCTCTACAACTCAATGGAGTACGGGGCCTCTCCAACCCTCGCCCAGAACGCGATGCACTACCCGATAGCACTGGGTTCCTCTCAAGCTGAAATAGCACACGGCCTACCTGACCCGAGCCGTGACCGACCATCATCCTGGGCCTCGCTCAACAAGTCTTTCTAGGTCGACCAATGGGCTTTCGATATGACATGCCCTGTTCGAACGACTTATGAATCATGCCAACGAATACCACACTTTGATTCTGCTGCCTTGTTTCCCATTAGCTTGCAGCTTCTTTCTGAGGATTATGCCCTCCCTATGAGCCAACAGATGCATCCGCACGTCGTTGTTACACATTTGTTTACCTTTTCTTGGACATTGTGATTTCCCTTCAGGGTACATATGCATTGCTTTTCGTTCTCTGTCTCTATTTGTTTGTCGTATTTTGTCTTTTTATCACGCCCCGTCCCTACACAAAACGAACGTCCTTGGGGGATTGACTGCGCTTTAGCCTGGGCAGCACGCTGTGCTGAAAAATTTCTTATGTTGTTTGTCTACTTTTGAGTTTAATCTGGGCTCTATTGTTTGATAGATGATTTGAAGCGGGCGCGCATGTGGCGAAGGTGGCTGTCTGATCTCGGTACCTTGTATAGTGATGAGGATTTGGTGCATATAGTGAAGGGGTGATATATAGCACATATCAATGAAAATGATATTTTTCAACTTAGTTTGGAGCTCCCACTCATTGTTGTGAAGTTTGGGAGATTGTTATGGTGCGGCTAAAATGCTAAAATTAACCGTGCGGCTAGTGGCTAGGCTCAGTACAGTACGGTAAAGCGGCATGAGTCTGGTAAAGCGGCATGAGTCTGGTCACGTTCTCCCTTCTACGTTCTCCGGGGATCATTCACCACTGACCAGAAGTGAAGGACAAAGCTTCAACGGATCTCCCCAAACTATTGCCCACCGACCATTAAAAGGGTCATCAGCATTCGCCCAAAGACTTGCATTCGTCTGATCCATTGTCCCTCGAATGTTTAAGCAATCGTCGCAACTCGCATCGATTCTCGAGTCACTTCCATCCGTGTTCTCCTCGCCGACATCATCGCAAAGCACGGAACACAGCTCGCGACAGCCATTTCTATCATCCCACGCGGTTGTCGAACCCTGTATCCCGGTACAAACTACCACTCATAGGTAGCCTACAAAGTCGATACATTTGTCAAGGTACAGCGTCATCACCGGTCTCCTTGCGCTCCATCGTTCCACCGCTTCCTTCCCTCCGCTCTTCGATGCCAATTGAACCCACGGCGTCATGATACTATTATACACTCGACGGACATGGGCTGACTCTCATTATGCGCCTGCCAACGATCGCGGTGGATAGCAATTCTAGGACTATTCTTCATCGACTTTATCAATCAGCGTTCAACACCGCGAAGCCAGAATTCGGAGGCCGAAACAACCTCAACCATTCGCAACATTGGCGTGATACAATACCACCTGAATAATCTTCCAAGGGGTCGGCTTCCTTTGCCGCTCCTCCGCCACTTGTGGTAGTATGGCCACTCCCGCGAACCCGTTCGCTGCGCTTCATCAGAACCAGACAGACGGAGCAGCAACCTCAACAGGGCGCGGACGTGGCGGGCCTTTCAGGGGAGCTACGCCTTTCCAGCCGAGAGGAGGGTCAGCGAGAGGAGGGTCAACTTTTCCACCCCGAGGCGGCAGCTCCAATGTTCCGACCGTTCGAGGCCGAGGCCGCGGCCGCGGACGAGGAGCTCCCCCTGCGACAAGAGCTGGTCGGGGTGCCAGAGGCGCGGGCGCACCAAGCAATACATGGCGCGCGAATAAATCAGAACAACCATCCACATCTACGCCCTCGGTTTCTTCGCCTTTCGCACAGCTGAATCAGAATCAACCATCAGCCTCGCCGGCCACTGCGCCGACTCCACAACAGAAACCGGCATTCTCAGGATTTGGACGAGCGTCACCAACACCATTCGAAGCGCCGTCAAATCGTGGTGGCGCTGCTTCCATCGCTAGAGCCCCTCCGCAACCGAGGCCGACAAATGGAGTAACTGCGACCAACGTCCCTGTGGAGGATGCCTCTGCTATGGGTAATTACACCGATCGATATGAACAGGTTTGTCTCATCGCGATGTAAACTGTACTCTCTATTGATACCTCAACAGCTCAAAGTCGACCGCGCCAGGCAAAGGGAGCAAGCCATCAAAGCCGGCCAAATGGCTGACCCAAATCAGCCAATGTCACTAAACAAAGCAATCACGCCCGTGGGGACTTGCACAAGCATGTGCCCTGAGTTTGAAAGGGCTGAGCGGATTGTTCAGAAGATGGTTGATAAGAGTGAAAAGGTTTGTAGCCTAACCTTGTTGATTGCTTACAAGCACTAACCATCTATAGTATCTCCACCCCGCGACGAATACGCTACAAAACATGGAGGCGAAGATGCTTAAACGATTCAGGCGGTCCGCTGCTGGATATGATGAGCAACTGCCTTCTGACATTAGAACACCCGGCACCCTGCTCCAGTCAATGAATTACCTGACGCGGCACGTTATTGGCAGCTCGGAACCCTTGGGGATTATCCACAAATTCGTTTGGGACCGGACTCGATCGATTAGAAATGACTTCTCAGTTCAGCAGGTGACCCAGGAGGCGGACGTGAAAATTGCCGTAACATGCCTTGAAAGGATTGCTCGATTCCATATCATGTCTCTCCACCTGCTCTCGAGCCCTGCGAATGAAGAGCCGTTCGACCGACATCAGGAACGCGAACAATTGAACAATACCATGCTTTCGTTGATGTACTACTACGATGATAACAGAGGCCGGATAACATTCCCCAACGAGGACGAGTTCCGCGCCTACTATATCATCTTCTCGATTCACGACCAGCGCCCTGACTTGGAAGCTCGCGTCCAGAAATGGCCCCCCGAGTTAAGGAACGCGCCGCGTGTTCGGGTGGCTTTGGAGCTATTCGCCGCTGCTGGGAATACCTGGGAATACCAGGGTACTCTCGACGCCAAGCGGCCGAATGCGATTGCGCAGGGCTTCTATACGCGCTTCTTCAGTCTTGTCAACTCTCCCGGCGTATCCTACCTCATGGCCTGTGTGGCCGAGATTTATTTCAATCACATGCGCCAGACCGCCATTCGTTCAATCTGGAAAGGATACTGTCGCTACCCAGCATCTCAACAGCATAAAAATGAAGAGTGGACGGTCGATGAGCTGACAAGTGTTCTCTGCTTCGACGACGACGACCAGACAGTCCAATTCTGCGCAGATCAGGGATTAGAATTCGCCGAAAATGCTAACGGTGCCCTCTACCTCAACTGGGGCAGCCGACCTGTTGACTCTGTCGGTATGTTCTTTCGGCCACGGTCCTACCTATCGCTGCTCGTCTCGCTTTCTCATTCTGCTTTGAACTGCTTCTTTTTCTTCTTCAATTCAACCAATTCTTACTTAGCGTTCACTTGTTCACTTGCTCACTTGAAGCTCATACGCTACGTCTACTAACCATTCACTCACAGCCTTTCAACCTTCATCTGACCACTCTTTCTCTGAAAACTATGTAGAGTGGAAGCGTGCAGGTAGAAACTTGGAGGCTATTGTTCTTGGATTAAACATCAAAGAAGCTGCGACCCTGGGAATGGTCAATACGTCTTTCCTCCCATCACGCGCCTCTTCTCTTGCACCTGAAAAGCAGATGTCTATTGATAACAATGACTCTCTTTTCGTGAGTGAAGACGAGAATGAAAGCCCGACTTCTCAGCCACAGCTCACTACCACCAACACCACATCAACAGTTCCTAGCCCCGTCTTTGGCGGTATCTTGCAACCAACCGTGCTTCAACCGTCCACCAACTCCCAGCCCTTCTCGTCTCTTTTCCCTGCCGACAACGCAGCGGGCACTTCTGCACCCTCGTCTCCGTCTCTCAATCCCTTCGCGAAGCCTTTTTCGCCTTTCCCTTCCTCTCAGGCTCCTCAACCCAGCCAACCTGCTACCACTTCCTTGACTCCAGCCAGTGCCAGTCAGACTTCAAACATGTTTACAAATGCTGGCAGTTTAAATCCATTCGCTCCGAATCAGGATGAAAAACCGGCTACTCCTCCTGCCGCTACGCCAAGCATGTTCCCGACTACCTCTCAACCTAGCACATCTCAGACGCCACCACCTAGTCTGTTTCAGAACCCCCCAAACACAACAGCTTCTACTTCCTCTTCGTTCGGTACGACGCCATCACTATTTAGCGTCAAACCTGGTCAACCTACTGGGCCGACTACTCAACCTTTCAGTTCTCCCTTGTTTGCCGCTTCTCCATCCCCTCTCAGCTTTACACCTGAAAAACCTAGTGGCCAGTCTGCTGGACAGTCTCCCACGAGCATTTTTGACACCACTAAACCATCCCCTCAAGCTCAATCGCCGTCATTCAGTTTCAGCAAGCCGCCACAACCGGCTGTTCAGACGAGTACGCCGGAAATTCACAAACCACAGCCTACAGTTGAACCAGCTCCGCTATTTTCTCTGCAGTCTGATTCAAAGAAAGACAAGAAAGGTATGTGGCTAATAACAAAGCAATGACATCAACTGACGTTCTTGTAGAACCAAGCTCGATCTTTGCAACCCCTCCGGGACCAGAACCGACTGAGTCAATCTTCAATGCGCCCGCCGCATCGCCATTTGCCCGATCGGGTACACCCTCTCCTTTCGCGTCTCGGGCGGCTACTCCTACTCTCACAAACGGAAAACCATCAGAGGCGATACCCGTGTCTCAGACTGTTACTTCTCCGTCTAGGAACGGCATTGTAACGCAATCATCAACGTCTCAACCATCGATACCAGATACAGCGGAGCCACCTGCTGTTAGTGAACCGGTGATTCTCGCTCAGTCTGAGATCCTTCCGGGGGAGACACCAGCTGGCGATGCCTCGTCTACAGCATCTGACGAAGCCGAACAAGAAGCCAAGCAAAAAGCCGAGTGGAAGAGTTCGTTGTGGGAAGTTGCCGACCAAAGACGAAACATTGACTCGACACCACCCAGTCGAAAACGCGTCCACGAGGAGGAAACGCCAACTGAAAAATCTACTAAAGCAACCAAAGTGCAGAAACCGACGCCTCCCCGTCGCAAGTCGATGGCTCTTTCTTCTATGAAACCACTTCCCAAGCTCCCAATCCTCGAGCAAATCGAATCAATGATCGCCCGTAAACCCGCGGAACCGAAACCAGAACCCCCGAAACCAAGCCAAGTCGACGCAGACGATCTCCTGCTCTCAGCCGCACGTATAGCCGCAGAGTCTCTGAGAACCGGACCTCGGCTTCCAACCAGTGTCTCGGCAACTTACGACTCCTGGCGCTCCTCAATCAGCCCCGGGAGCAGATTCTCTTCCGTTGCCTTCTCCCGCAGCGAGTCACCTCAGCAGTCGCAGTCGGGTTTGAGCCAGTCGGGTATGAGCGGATACGAGGTTGCCTATGCACCCGATACAGAACTCGGACTGGGTCGCAGCATGTCTCGAACGGAGCAGCGGATCCGCATGACTGGGGCCAAGGGGCTAGCCTACAAACCTCTGAACCTCACACCGAAGAAGAAGAAGATGCGGCGCACGACGCCGAAGAAATAAGTGCGCGAGTTACACATAACCCTGTTTTGTATCTACTGTGGACGAACCCGTTATGTCGATCTAGGGGTATCCGCCTGTTTAGCATTTTCCATCGATACGCCCGTGTCTATCCTGTGGTCTCTTTTGGCATTGGCATTTACATTTTTTGTTTGTTTGCGTTCGCTACATTACTTACATTGCATTGCGCCTGGTGTTTGTGCTTGGGTTCGATAAATCTATCTATCTATCTTTTCTCTTGCTCTCATCAAGACTCTCCGTTGTCCCTCGTAAATACATATTTAGATGCTTCGATATGAGCTGATGGCCCATTATAATCCCTCTGAAGACTTCATGACTATTCAAGCGGTCAATAATAGTCACTAAGGTCCCAAGGTGAGTCGTTGGCTTATACATTTACCCACTACTCTCTTTGCTAAGCATGTATATGTTTGTAGAGGTCTCCTCTCTTCCTTTACCATTAGTAGTTTAGGCCACGGCCATCTACCATTTTTCCATGTGCATCTTTGTAATGCACGCTGGAGAATCATGGATTATAACCGTGGCGATGGCGAAGTCCGCTTGGCCTGCGCTCATTCTCTTGAACTACTGCAAGCTGGAGAGACGTGATCCATACCGACTACACTCAGCACGTCTAGCAGCTTTGGAAGGACTAGCGCAAAGCCGTAGGGAGGCTACGAATGATCGAAGTCGGTATGTTAGATTACAGGAAAAGCTTGGAAACAGGTAGGTGCTCGTCAGAGGAGCATGAGAAAGGTTTGATTGTCTACTAGAATATGGCTAGCATATGAAGCGAGATGCATATCAAATGTTCGTGAAGAGGTCCAAGATGTCGGCAAGCAGAATTCTGAATACTAAATTCCAGACCAAGCCTCCAAGAGCCATTGCCTATGTAAATATTATTCCGTCTGCCCACGGTCTATGTCACCAAGATACTACCAAAATGATGTCTTCGGATCAAGTGTTGAGAGTAGGCGGCGAAGAAACTCGAAGCCGTAGTGTGATGCGGCCGGCCATGGTACAGTTCACGTCTGCACATGCAGTTTACAAGTACCGAAGCGCTCTGGTGTCGATATCCTCCCATGAGAAGCCCAGCCCCTCAATGAACTTGTTCAGCTTTAGGCTGTTCTCGTACACGCTGTCACCACCGTAAAAGGTTGGGATGGGTTCATCGTCTGCCACTGGGTTGGTTATGCGTGCCTGATCAGCTAACCAATCAGCCGCGCGCTCAAAGGATGCTTTCGCCCGGGGTATGCGGGGGATCCGAAGGTCACCAGGTCTGGGTGGAGTAAGATCTGTAGAGAAGTCGGTTGGCAGCAGTGGAGGCTCTTCTGAGGAGGTGATGGCGGTCTCGAATGTAAGAGCTTCGATTTCCTCGCGGGAGATACCCCGAGGCCATTGGATGTTAGGATCATTCCTGGCCTTTTGGACGATATTCCACTCCCATTCTTTGCGCTCCTGGACCCAGGCTCGCTGTGTAGGTGCGAAATGAATCCGGGCAGCGGCCATGGCCTGTTCGTAAAGTCTGCAGCGGGTATGGTAGAGTCCTTCCCAGTACTGGTAGTCCTTGTCTCTATACTCGCTGTCAAACCACACATGCTTGTACTTAATGCGAGTACCGTCCCAGGCACACCACATCCACCGAGCGCCATTGGGGTTGGCGGGATTTGGCAGGAGGATTTTGAAACTCGCCTCGGTGAAGGCACGCACCGAAAAAGTGTCGTTGCTGTACAGGGGAGGACAATGGGGGGAGACCATGCCAACAACTTGCACCAGATGCTTATCAGCTTCTGTGGTGTCCATGAAGGGCTCTTCTGGAGGTCTTTTGATGTCAAAATTCAAGGGACCAGCGATGATCGGTCTGTTGGCAAAATTGGTGAATCTCAGCATTCGTCCTACAATCTCTTCTTCCTCGTCCTCACTTTCGTCTTCATCCATTTCGTGGGTTTGTGTTGTGGTCTCGGTTGTTCCCAGCTCTCGGACTTGCTCTTCGAGCTCGGCAATTTGCTCAGCTAGACTGGATTGCTGGGCATTGAGTGATTCCAGCATCTCAACCATTCGCTCATGGTCGGCACTTCCATCGGATACTAAGTCTGACGCCTCTCCTAAAGAGCTCGAGGAGCTCATCCTTGACAGACGAGAGGTTGATCAAAAGGGATAACCGGTTTCCTGTTGAAGATGGTCCTTGGACAAGCAGTTAGTCTCACAACATAGTATAAAGGTTAGTAGAGGTATGAGGATCGCCTTACCAGTCTCCAGGGTCTTCTGCGGGAAGTAGCTGATTTTCTCAATAAAAGAGAAAGAGAGAGAGAGACGGGGAGTTGGTGAAAATCGGATATAGTTGAGATCGGATAACACTGCAAGAGAAGAAAGACGACCACGTCCGGATTGGGGGTAAGATGGGAGGAATCAGACGGAGAGAAATCCGAGGGAGCAAGTCAAAGGCAAAGGTTGTTGATGACAGCAACACGCGGAGCACCAGGCCAACAGCGACTCCTTCCTGCTTCTGGTTCTTACTCGCGTCTGCTTCTACCTCTTACAACCATAGCCTACATTCCCATTCAAGCGCAAGACTGCTCTGTCAGCCTATAATATAGTACATAGTCTATACTCCAGTGCCCTGGCCCAAGAGCGCCGTACGCCCATGATCTCACTGACTCAAAGCACGGTGCCAATCACTACCCAGGTACACATCGAGAGGCACACTCAGATAACAACCGAGGAATAACCACTGGACCAATGCCCTAGCATCCTGACCGCGGAGCGTACACGCGACGACAAATCTTCCTCACCAGCGTACTATGTCCGAGACTAGGATGCTCGAGCAGTACTCATGCCATGTTAAAACAGGGCTGAGATACTGAGAACTAGATTCTGCCACAAAGGTGTGATCGATATTGATTTGGGACATGGTCGATTCATTTTTAATTTCAGAAATGGTCTGTTCGCTTGTGGATCGGGACATGGCCGGGTTATTTTATATTTGGATTAGAGGTAAGTTGATAGAGGGAGAGAAACCCAAGCGAGGAGGGCCATTCGGGAATCCAGGAGTGGCTATGTTCTGGCTAGAACTTAATGCAAGACACGATACCCGATGTGAGTTGACCGTGGTGGTAAATAGGGTAAAACAGACATTAACCAATGGCCATGCTGAGCTGATGCTCATCGAGTATGTTGCACTTGGATGGAGAGTGGAGGTGATCGCTTGCTAAGGACCAGTGCCCACTCCGCCCCCGGAAAAGCACATTTTCCGAAGCCTCGCTAACAGCCGCCTGTTGGGGTGCCTAAGGCTCTCACATGCAACATCTATCAAGTCCATCATTCACATCCAAACATCCAACTCAATCAATCCAACCCGGCTAGGGCCCTCACAAGATTGCACCCCTAATTTACACCCGTGCTGGGTTTCTTCAGCACAAACTCTGGTGTGTTTCCTCACCTAGCACTTCAGCGAGATTCCACTGCCTCACTGGCGCTACTGTTGGGAGATATCAAACCCGGTACCAAGCCCAGTATCAGTACCAGAATCTAAGACAGGGTCAAAAGAGGGCCCTCCATATTCGGACCATACGAGACTGGATCCAGAGGCTCAGAATCAGCGCACGTCTCAACAACGCCTCGTTGTTGTCCCCTGCTGCCTTTCGCGGCCTTCTTAGGTCTGGACGTGGTCCGAAGCCTGCACCTGCAGCTTCATCTACCCCTGGCTCTGCTTTTGGGCCGGGTTCTGCCTCTGGACTTGCATACATATCCCAGCCGAAACGCAAGGGAATGAGGATTGCGACGTTACAGATCGCCTCGAGGTTGGGCAATGTCGAGGGGAATATCAAGCGGGCTGATGAGCTGTTGAGTAAGGGGATAAGCATTCCCGACGGATTCGGAGGAGAGGGCGCAAGGGTTCGTGTCGAAGATGCGAAGCTAGATATTTTGGTCTTGTCTGAGCTGGCCCTGACAGGTAAGTCACTGTTATCTATCTATTATTCCATAACATGAATATGGGAGAGGTGCTGACGACACTAGGATACAACTTCCCCTCCCTGGAAGCCATAAAGCCATACCTTGAACCAGCAGGTCAAGGACCCTCAGCCGCCTGGGCCCGCAAGACAGCCAAACAGCTCGGCTGCAAAGTCTGCGTCGGGTACCCCGAGGTCGAGGTTACCAATAACAACGGACAGCGCGAAGAGAAATACTACAACTCCCTTCTCGTCCTCGACGAACAAGGAAACACCCTCCTAAACTACCGCAAGACCTTCCTCTACTACACCGACGAGACATGGGCCAGCGAAGGGTCCGCCGAGCTCGGATTCCACCAGCTCACGTTCCCGTCGCCAGGGGATAAAAGCCCCAGCTCATCAAAAGCCAAAGCCAGAGTCCGAGCCAGAGCCGACGGCGAAGCCGCAATCCTCCCACCCGCACCCGCAACGCAAAACAAAACAGGCAACGAAATCGCCACGTCCTTCGGCATCTGCATGGACATCAACCCCTACCGCTTCGAAGCACCCTACACAGCCTACGAATTCGCGCACCGCGTCCTCGACTCGAACTCCCAACTCGTCATCCTCTCAATGGCCTGGCTCACGCTGCTCAGCCGCGAGGAACTCGATGCCCTGGGCAACAAGCCCGAACTCGATACTTTCAACTACTGGGTCCAGCGATTCATGCCGCTGATCCGGAAACAGATGGGCCATGCCAGGAATGCTGATGCGAGTGTGGACGCAGATGCAGACGCAGAGACCGAGACCGAGAAGAATATCATCATCGTCTTTGCGAACCGCGCGGGTGAAGAGGATGGGGCGCCCTCGCCTGCTCGGTACGCGGGGACTAGTACGATCGTTGCTGTTTCTCAGCGGCAGCGGGGGGGTCCTGCAGGATTGGGAAGCAGTGGGTCGTCGTCAGATGATGAGATGGCGCGGGCTCCGCCCCTGGATGTTAAAATCCTCTGCTGGGATATGCTTGGTGCGACGGAGGAGGGGCTCTGTTTTGCAGATACGGCGGCTGATCCGAGGATGGTGTTTCAGTTGGTAAGGGCGGGGGATAGATAGAGAAAGATAATAATGTGATGAATGTTTCGAGTTATCCGTGCCGCTGCCCACTAGATACCTCATGTACATAGAATGGAATACTGCGGTTCGCTCAGGTTCGCGTCTTCAGGTTTAGCTTTTAGCTTCCTGGCATCGAGTAAGCTCTACTCCCTCTTGCTGTTTGCATGGGATTGAGATCTACCATCTGAACTACTGTAGTGCTTGCCTACTCCGAACGGCAGATGCGAACCCAACATCTGCAACAGCCCCAGATCCCCGCCGCAGCCAAGAAGTTTGCTACCCCCCTACCGTACCCCCGCGAACCACACCGTAATAACGCCTCACTTAGCCGCCAATAGCAGACTGTTTCCCCAGTTGAGATTGCAATATGCAATAGAGGCTTACCTCTCTCCCGTGGTTCGAACGGGGATTACGGAGTACCCAGGTGCATGATTAGTAGATCAGGTGCGAGCGCCGCACTCAGTATGGGTCACGACTCAGCGCAGCGAGCGCAACAGGCGCAGAGGAAGAAGAGGATAAGCGAGTGGGATCCTGCTCGTCTTTGCTTTTGTTCTGCGTTGCTTTTGCTGAGATGATTGTTCTCGACGCTGTTCCGGCCGTATCAAGGCTACAATGTAGATCCTTGGCATATTCTATAAATACCTACCGTACGTCAGGAATGCTAAGCCTCGCTTTGCGCGTTTTTGACGTCGGACTGTCGAGCAGTAAGGGGAGGGTAGGGATATCTCTGAGCAGAAACGGTGGACCATGGTCCGGACACCATCTTCGCATGTTGCACTTTGCGTCCTTCGCTTCTGGACATGGTCGAGGCTATGACGCAGTGTTTATCGTTGCCGCCGCACACACCTCCTTCACTTTGGATCATGTGAGACATGGCTTGCATATATCCGTGTGACAAGGCTTGGGTGTTTTGCTAGGGCTAGATTGACGACTTGGGTGCTTGGTGTTGTGGGAGGTTTGGGCCGGTGGAGAAGTCCCAACAAGATTTCGACAGGGCCTAGGCGGCGCTGCTCATGTTGATATACTTAAGCCACTCAAAACACGGCGGAAGTATACCAACCCATCCTCACCGCTCACCCACTATCTCCGCTCCGTGAAGACATCTTAACTGGGTTTTGACTAGGGCCCTTGCTTGTCCCATGACCCAGAGTTTCGCAGATCGACGAGTAATCAGATGGCATCCTTCAAGATCTTGTATTGCCGATTAGATTTCGGATACTACTCTTCAAGACCCCATATTGACTGGCGCGTTAGATTACGCCATACGCCATTCCCGGGTCGAAGGATGAGGTTAAGATAAGTGTGAGTGGCTTATCACATGTGATACGGGGTGACAGTCGTACTTTGGAGGCACAGTGGAAAAGCATGACATCGAGGTAGTCAACAAGACATTGATAGACCGAGCAAAGTAGTCATCGGGTGGATGGCCCTCAGGCTCAGCATGGTTTGAGACAAAGTGCGGGACCTGGACATGGTCGAAAATGATCCGGCCTATAAGGATGCGCAAGAACAGAGCTGAGGCCACAGGAAGGTCATCTGCTCTGAGCTAGGGTACTTTTGACGGGCTGGAGTATGGTTGAAAAGGCGTCGAATTAATAGGCCACGGTCAGAGAGTAGATGATCGGCGGCTAGAAAACGATAAGGAGATGGACCGTGCAACCTCCTATCCGACGGGGCATTCTCACCAGTCACCAGTGTACTAGGAGGAGGGCCGGCCCGCGAGAGAAAGAGGGCAAAGCAGGTACTCTAGTGCAAGGCGGCAGAGGGCTCTCCAATAACGAAATGGGCGGATGGGCGCATCGCGGGGCTAAACCACGGAGCTAAGCCCCGGAGCTTTGATCCGTGAGGGGGAGCAGCGCAGGGAAGGGTCGTCGAGATCTGGCTGCAGGCTGCTGATGTCCACCATCATCGTGCATATCAGAGTCTCCAGCTCCAGGGTTGCTGGGTTCACTTCCACGTGATGCAGCGTCAATTGGGCCATGGTCAAGTAGGTCTGGCAGCAAATCAGAGAGAGAGCGTGAATGCTCAAAAGAGGCTAAGGGAGCACCAGACCCGTGGGCACATGATTTCCAACCGTAGACGACAGATGAAGGAGGGAAGCAAACCGGTTGGATCAGACATGATTCTCCCAGTCCAGCACAATCATGCAAGGAATGCGCCTTCGTAGAAAGAGAAAGGGAACTCCAGCTTCTTCAGGGCTGTGAGTGGTCATAAATAGAGTGGGATTCCTCGGGTCCCGGGCGCGGTCGAACCACCGCAAAAGAGCCGGAGCCCGGCTTAACCTGTTTATCCGGTGCTTACCTAAACTTGACCTTGAACTCCTCTTTGAACCACTGCGCCATCACGTGGACTTCTCTCTTCATACTCATATATCCCTTTTTTCCAGAATCGCCTTTACTCGCCGAAAGGCCCCAAAGCTGACCATTTTGCTGCCCTAATATCTGCTGATCTGCTTACACTTTTTTTTTCGCGGTTCTGAAACCCCGGATTTGCTGGAATACATACATTCCGCTTGTTGTCGAAACGTGACCATCCTCGTGACCATCTAGAGCCCCAGCAATCCAGACATCTGAGGTACGTATGCTGATTTCCTTCTGCTTGCTTTCGACCACGGGCCACGCAGACGGCCGTTGCTATGTCGCGTTCTGCTTTTTCTGCGACTGTGCAATGTTGCCTCTCTTCCCCGCCTTGAGCCGGCTGCTGGGTGGCTGAAGTCTTTTTCCGCCGGTCGCTGAGACCGAGATGCCCTGACTTGATACGCTGCCCATGCTTCTTAATCGTGGGCTTTCTGTGTATCATTTTCTTGTTGTATCATCTTCTTTGCTCTATGTGAATTTGTGATCTGCTTTGCGATCGGTTGCTTTGTGCAGGACATTGTTGATGTTGCGAGGGAGTGGGCGCGTCAGTCAACACCACGCGTCTTGACCATCCGCAGTAGCCTGTTTCTGACCACACAGCGTCGGTGATGAAACAACCACATCTTAATCTGACGTTGCTCTATGATGCCTCGCGCCTATGTCTATTTTTACTTTTGCCTGCTGGGCTTAGATCACACCTCGATGCACATCACTAACAATGCTCTCTGCAGACAGTGGGACTTGCTGTTTACGGCTGGACCTTGATCAAAGATTCCACTTGGTGGTACGTGCTGCCAGTCTAGGCTATTGATGATGACTAACGGTCGCGTCTAGACCGCTCAACATGGCTGATACACAGCAACTCGGCGCTCCAGAAGGCAACATGGTGAAGCGCAAGCGTGAGAGCAGTGACAGCGGTGGCCCAGATGCTCAACGCCTCAACAGATCCTCTCACGGCAGTAATGGGAGTCTTCCAAGTGCGGACGCTCAGAACTTCACCCATAGTGCCCTCGGTTCCTATGACCATGGACTACCAAACACAGCGTCAGAGCTCAACATTGATCAACAAATCCTTCAACATGTCGGTACTCAAAACGGGATTACCGATGAGAATGCCCTTACCACTGCCAAGGCAGCGCTCGCAGCTCATAACCCCCAGAACAAGTATCCCCCTCCTCCGGAAAACGCATTCGATAACAACCTGGCCCATGGCCTGACGTTTGGGGAAGATCTCGGCCAAAGCATTGGCCAGAATCACAATTCTACTGCTGCCGCAGTCTATGCAGCTCGGGAGGCACAGAGCATGAACCAGAAGCCCACTGTTGGCTCGCCTGAATGGCATCAAGTCCGAAAGAATAACCACAAAGAGGGTGCGTATTCAGCCTTGCCTACACCGATTCCCAACTAACAGATTACCAGTTGAGCGTCGGCGCCGCGAGGCAATCAACGAAGGTATCAACCAGATTGCTCGCCTCGTGCCCAACTGCGACAAGAACAAGGGCGCTATCTTACAACGGGCGATCGAGTACATCAACCAACTGCACGAAGACAAGAGGCAGATGGGCGAACGATGGGAGCAGAGCAATATGACGACCAACCATGCCATCAACGAAATCAGTGCCCAAAACTCCAAATTAAAAGTGGAGGTCAACCGTCGCGGCGACATCGCACTCAAGTGGCTGCAGAGATGTCGCGACGCAGGTCTGGAATTCGACGACTACGAAGAATCCAAGGAGCTAGAGGCCCTCGACGTTGACCAAACCCAGGTATAACCCTGTTCGGCTGCTTCTTCGTTTATGGATTCGCCGTTATCACTCAGGGCCACATACATAGTGCCGCCACTTGTCCACCTGCGAGAAGAGCAGAGCTCTCCGCTCCGCATCTGCTTACGGATTGCGTACCCTGAACAATCTCCGTGATTTGACTACGCCCAGTTCGGTTATCGTGCCTGTGTCTGATTTGATCATGTTGTACACAGGCGGCGGTTGATCTGGACCCACTGCGTCCATCTTTATCCTTGTCGTGACATGCTCGGATTCCTTGCCTTGTTTTGCCACTTGTCGTTTGCTTCCAATATGTTTCCTGTTGTATGTTACTCGTTACTCGATTCTCGATTTCTAGGGTGGGTTGGCGAAATAGGTTCGGGTTTTGTTAATTTGCAGTTCGCTGTTTGCACTACTAGTTAAGGCTATGTATGCAGCTAGTTTGCGCCGCGTTGGCGGAACGCAGTTATTCTTCATATTTAACTTGTAGAGGTTTTTACTGTATTGTGTCTTGCGCCTGTAGGAGTTTTATTCGAGTGTAAGGTAAATGTAAGTAAAAGGTGTGAGTAGAAGCGAATATATACAGAAAGATTCATCCGGCAGTGGCCGGGAAGTCAATATAAAAGGAGCCATCAGGGGCACCAAGAGAAAGGAAGAGAAGGTCATCATATCCTAAATGACTCCACCAAGCCACCATCCCAGGCAAAACACCCACAACTTCGCCCATGGTCAAATCAACCACGAGATCAGAAGTTCCCATCAGCCGTCACACTCTCCCCAGAAGCCACGCTGACATTCTTCACAGTGATGACGCCGCCATCGGCACCAGTAACCCTGACATCAACGCTATCGGTGCCAAAGCCACTGCTGTTCTCAAAGTAGTTGTAGTCGCTCCTCGTCGTGCTCTGCCACGTGCTACCGCTATCAGTGCTGACTTCGAGCGCCTTGACGGGCCCATTCGCGTTAACCACCTGCATCGAGAACCAGTACGCGGATGTGCCGGACTTGTTACGCAGCACGAGCGGGGAGGTGATGGCGCAGGAGGTGAAGGAGTACGAGATGGGGATCTGGCCTTCTGAGGCTGAGGCGAGGGTCGTGAAGGCCGACTCGAAGAGGTCGAGGTGGGTTGGGGCACATTCGGGGCACTTGTCGACGATCTGGGGTTTCGTTAGCGGGCGTGTTTGTGAAGGGAATGAGTGGGTATGCGTACCATGACCTTGACGGTGTTCCCGTCTGGGCCGGTGACGGCAACGCAGGCGCCGCACTCGGCTGCGTCGTTCCATGCCTCTCCGGAGAATGCGACGCCCGAGAGATGCGAGGGGATGGTGTAGTCGGCGAACGAGCAGGTTCCGCCGGAGACGTTGCCGCCGTAGAAGGTTGCTTCGCCGGAGGTGGTGGCCGAGCTTGTGCTTGTGCTTGTTGAGCTGGAGGCGGTAGTCGAGGTGCTTGACGCTTTCTCTGCTGCGGATGTGGTGCTGGGCTGCACGACGGCAACCTGGGTTGGTGCGGTCTCGGTGATGGAGAGGCTTGAGGTCGAAGTTGGGACCTCGGTGGTGGTGGTGCTGCTAGTAGCTGCCTTCACAACGGCCGCGGGGATTGTCTCGACGAGGCCTGATGCAGAGCTTGAGATAGAGCCCGAGGTAGAGACTGGTTCGACGGTAGCAGTGGCCGTGGTCGAAGATGTCACCTCAGTCGAGGTTGGGGTTGGAGATGAAGTTGGCTCGATGATGGAGGTGGAGGGCTCCGCGGTGACAGTGATATAGTACACGCTTGGGGAGTACCCAGCCGGACAAGATCCATTGTCGTCGGCTTTAAGAGGGGCCGCAGAGACAGAGGTGCTCGTGCTCAAGGCAACGAGGGCCAGGGAAGCAAGACGATGGTACTTCATGGTTCCGACCCTAGACAGAAACGAGAGAGAATGAGAGGCAGCGGAGTCTCAGACAGCGCGATGAGCAAGTATAAATGACAGGACGTGCAACCAGCACAGATTGATAGTAAGAATGAATGGACGTCTGGATCTCAGACCCTAGACAGTTGGAGCGGTAGCAATGGACAAGATGAAGAAAGCCAGGCGAGGAGCAGGATTAAATAGGACTGGAGGGTGACCATGAGACGCGCCTGGAACGGACAGTGTCAGGCCGTTGGGATTGCTGGCGCCTGGGCCCTGCAATCTAAATAGATTAACTCATCTTACAGCGTTCTCCATTTTGTTGATGAAAAGTGGCCCCAGCGAAATGAGATCGCGGGCTGAAACGCCGGACGCCATGACAAGACCAGCGATCCGGCAGAAACCGAACTGCTCTTGAGCCTTGATTGACTGCTCGCTTGATCTTGGAGTGCTGTTCTAGCAACAGGAAATGGTCGCACTCATCGCCTCCGATTTCCATCACAGATCGACCATGGCCCAAGTTACATCATTTCAAGCTATACGACAACACACACAATGCAGGCTCAGTGGATGTCTCAACGGCTTCATTTCATGGCTCAATCATATAGTCATAAGTCATCGTCTTCTGACGGAAATTAATATATACATATGCTAACATAAATGCAGGTTGCTCAACATTGGAAAAGCCACAAAAACATACCTCGTCACGAACTTCTTTAGAGAATCATCGGAAAATAAACAATATAACAGCACGTTGGCATGTAACAAATCAATCAAGGGCCGCTTCTCCGCAGTTCGCTTCCTGGTACAACCGCGGACTATTTCGCATGTTTTCTCGTGGTTGGATTTGTATCCTTTTACAGCAAATGCCCTATTGCAGTACTGGCATTGGTAAGGCATCGCTGGATTAACCATGGCAGGTTCGGCTGCGGGCATTGGGTTGCATTTTTCTTCATGCCGACTCTTGTCACTGGGTCTAGCGAATGTCTTAGGGCAGTGCCGGCATTGGTGAGGCTTCATTGGATCGACCAGCTTGATTGGATCGACCATTGCAGGAGTTTGGATGCATTGCTCCTCATGGCTATCCCTGTCAACGGCTCTAGCAAATTCCCTAATACAATGCTGGCATTTATGAAGCCTTAGGCGAATGGTACCTCCAGGCTTGCGCTTGGGCTTTGGCTCACTGTTAGGGACTGCTCTGTTGGCAGTATAAGCCTCTGGTACATCTGCAGGCGTTTATTTGCATCGCTCCTCGTGGCGACTCTTGTCACCAGGCCTAGTGTATCGCTTATGGCAGTGCCGGCATTGGTGAGGCTTGAAGGGATCAACCGTTTCAGGCTCGATGCGGGTTCATTGTCAAGGCCCGCTTTTTCGGCAGTTCACTTCTCTGGTATGCCCGCAGGATTTGACTTGCATTTCTCTTCGTGGCGACTAATGTCACCGGCTCTAGAGTATGGCTTATGACAGTGCCGGCATTGATAAGGCTTCAGAGAATCAACCATTGCAGGCTCAGCTGGGGGCTTATTCTAAAGGCCCGCTTCGTCCGCAGTTCGCTTTCCTGGTATAACCACGGCCCTTGGCTTGCACTTCCCTTCATGGTTAGGCTTGTCACCGACACTAGCGAATGGCTTGGAGCAGTGTCGGCATTGAAAGGGCTTTGCAAAGCTGGGTTTTTCCAGGTGGGGCTCCTTGGGCTTGCATATCCCTTCATGGTTGAGCTTGTCACCGATACTAGCGAATGGCTTGGACCAGTGTCGGTATTGAAAAGGCTTCAGAAAACTGGGGTTTTTCGGGCTCAGGCTCCTTAGGCATATGGTCAGGGCAGTACCTCTGGTGGCCTTGCCCTTGTCCGTTTGTGCCACAAAGTCCACCACATATCCCACAATTCTGAGGGCTTTCTTTTGCACATATAGGCTTCATGCACATTCCGGAACCCCCCTGTCTCATATGTCTCATGGCAAAACCTGCAACTGTGCATTGGTTTGCTGCTGTGAGTCTCAGCTGAGGTTGCGGCCTGTTCAACTTCGGTTGCGGGATTCCTGGTGCCACCTTTCTTCGTGGCATCGAGGTAGTCAAAATTACTCCTCTTTTTTGGATTTCCATTGCAGATCTTTATCAAATCTCAACTGGCCACGGCCCAGACACTGGTCAAATGGCACCCTTTCTCTCGTCACAAACTCCACGGTAGGTAACACGGGCTATCCTCTCCCGATGGGTAATATCTTCACCCTCGCAAAGCCACATCATATGGCGGTGCCTCTGCCAGGCAGCAGGGAATTGCTCGCCGCAGTTACGGCATGTGTGTAACTGCGTACCATCTTCGTCTCTGGCTGGACCTTCGGCTCCTCTGCAAAACCACGTCTCGTGGTGGTCGCTCTGTTCTTCCGTGTCGAGTTCATCGTTGCAATAATGGCATTTCTGCCTTGGTAAAACCCATCGTTTAGGGCCACATTTCGGTTATATGTTGTTCGCCTTAACCTCCTCGTGGTTTCTGGTATTTGAACCTTACTGGCCCACACTTCTTGTAGCTTTTCCACAAATTCAATGGCTTCTTCAGAGGCGCCATCGGTGTCTCCATTCATGCATTTTATAGCATGAGAGATTCGGAATGAATGAAAGTATTGTCTTTGCGTTCGACGGAGCGTAGGGTCTGCATCATCCCTGTCTACCCATATACGCATGACCATGTCAACCACATTAACCCAAGGGCTAAATAGCGAAAAATACGAGATCCAATTGCTGGTCAGTCCGTCCCATTCGTTGAGGACTATCTCAACCGGCTGCTTGTTCTCCTGGGCTTGCTGCAAGGCTTTGGTGATCATGCGTACGACCTCTCCGTCTGGTGGCAGTGGACAGTGCTGTCTCCGGCTCGACAATTTTCCTTTCGCTGAACCTTCCAACTTGTTTGCCAACCGGGATGAGAAACTTCGAGATTTATCCCGAGAGCAGTATGCTGGCCTTGGCCCAAATGGTGTTTATGGTGCAGGCATATGGGTGATCCCAAATCCGTTTTCTGTCTGTGTTCAGCTTGGACCGTTGTTCATGAAGGCTATGGTCAACGGCGCATCGTTTATCCCAGTTTGGGGCGAGTCCTCCACTAACCCCTGCCCAAGAAGTATTCGCTAGGCTTCCCCAGGGACTACTACAGGAGGTATTGGAGATGCTTGGACCAAGAGAAATCGTAAGACTCCATCCAGTCGTACGGTCATTATATCATATTCGTATGTCGCTTTGGTACCACATGCTTCGGCGGGAGATACCGTGGTTATGGGTAATTTGGGATGCCAGCGAGTGTTACGACGACCCTTACTTCTGGGCCACGGTGACTCCAGAGAAATCCAAACCCACAATGTCGAGGATATATGCAAGATAGTGTCCAAGAAGCGGTTGGTCTTGACTCATACAATCAACGTGGGGAGCCATTTGTCTGTGGAAGCTTCCGCGCGGTAGGCTCGATGGCCTCAGGAATCGTGAGCGAATCTGGAATTTCCATGAACAGATATTCCGGAGAATCGGAGATGTCCAAAATCAATTCTGATGTTGAAAGATTCAGTGACAAAATCTTGTTGGTTACCAGGCATCTTGGACGCTTTGTGGTGGCGCGGTTGGGCGCAGCAGCCATGTCAGACTCATCAGTGAGTCAGAAAGAGGATTGTTAGTAATAGTACAATCAACTCAATTGACTTAAATTGAAGGCAATCTCTGGAAGAGAATAAGAGATCAGAACAGAAAGCAAAGTACAGTAAAGAGACCTTTGACCCCACCATCGGGCGGTGACATTCACGGAGGGGCCCAATTTCGTCATCATCTTCGATTCCATTCCTGTACAATCCCTCAAGGCCGCGATGGCTACCGACAATAGAGTAGAGGAACTGTTGAAAAGACCACTATATGGTTAGTTCGTCCTTTTAATGCGCCGTCCCCTCATCTGCGTCTGCTAACCGCCCCGAAGTCTACGATCTCCCCCAGGAACTCCTCGCATCACTCGCGCTCAAAGGCGAAGACCAGCCCATAACCGTCACCGAGACAGAATCTACACCCAAAGAGCCCTCAGACGAAGCGCAAGAACACGCGATTGCAACCACAACCAGCTGCGCCCTCTGTAAGGTCTCCTTCGCGAACGTCCAAGACCAACGCGAGCATGTGCGCTCTGACCACCACAAGTACAATGTGAGGGCGCAGCTTCGCGGAAACGCCGTTCTAGACGAAGTCCAATTCACAAAGGCGATCGGGGAGCTCGACGAGTCGATTTCGGGTTCCGAGTCCTCGGAGGAGGAAGACGATGAGGGCGGAGACCAGCTGACGGCTTTGCTGAAACGGCAGGCTAAGATCTCGCAGGCGGCTGGGGAGGATGAGGAGAGCATCACACCGAAGGGAGTCGGGAAACATCCGCTGCTGTGGTTTACGAACCCGGTTCTTCCCCCGAATACCTCGCTGGGTGTTTACCGGGCGCTGTTTACGAATGTCGAGCAGGAGGAAAGGAGGCATCTTGTTGAGTCGCTGAAGAGGAAACAGCTTGTGCCGATATATCCGCAGCAGAAGGGAAAGGAGAATGGGCAGCCCGCGCCTCCGAGTCCGCATATTTTTATGTGTATGATCGGTGGTGGGCACTTTGCGGCGATGCTGGTTTCGCTGGCGCCTGAGGTCCATCGGAGGCAGGGTGGTGTTGAGGAGAGACAGGCTCGAGTTATTGCGCATAAGTCGTTTCATCGGTATACGACTAGACGGAAGCAGGGTGGTTCTCAGTCCGCCAGCGATGCGGCGAAGGGTGCGGCGCATTCGGCGGGTTCGAGTCTACGACGGTATAATGAAGCCACCTTGGAGAAGGAGATTAGGGAGTTGTTACAGGATTGGGGGAAGATGATCAACGAGGCTCAGCTTCTGTTTGTCCGTGCTGCTGGGTCTACGAACCGTAGGATCCTCTTTGGTCAGCATGAAGGGCAAGTGCTGAAGCAGAACGACCCAAGGTTGAGAGGGTTCCCGTTCAGTACTCGTCGAGCGACTCAGACCGAGCTCATGAGGTGCTTCAAAGAGCTTACTAGGGTGAAGGTTAGCCAAGTTGACGAAGCTGCTCTTGCTGCTGCGGAGGCGAAGCAACGGGAAACATCAAAACCCTCTACACCAAAGCCGCAGCCGCAGAAGCCAAAGATATCAAAAGAGGATGAAGAGGCTATCATGCATACTATACAAATACAGGCCCTCATCCGTCGCTCAAAGATTCCTGCCTTGATATCTTATCTGACCAAGAACTCTATACCCTCATCCTTCACATTCCAACCTCCAGACATCCAGCAAAACTTCCGGTGTCCCACGCCTCTTCATCTCGCGTCTAACCTCGATGCGCCCGCCATGGTATTGGCCCTCCTCACCAAAGCCGATGCCGACCCAACGTCTGCCAACGGAGAAGGAAGGACGCCGTTTGAACTCGCAGGAGACCGCGCTACGCGGGACGCCTTCCGCGTTGCTCGTCACGAACTTGGAGAGTCAAAGTGGGATTGGGAAGCTGCGAAGGTTCCGTCAGCTATATCCAAGGCCGATGCAGACAGCCGGTCACAAAGAGAGCGAAAGACGGCTGAAGAGGAGGAAGCGAACCGGCGAAAGGCCGAGATGGATCGGTTGCGGCAGGAGGAGGAAGCGGCGGCGGCGGCGTCACGCACGACGAAGAAAGGCGGCCGGACTGTGGGTAGTGTAGAAAAGACAGCTCAGGAGAGGAGAGAAGAAGAGATGCGAGGCATGACGCCCGAGATGAGGATGCGGTTGGAGAGGGAACGACGTGCGAGAGCGGCTGAAGAGCGGATCCGGAGGATGCAACAGGGCCAGGGGCGATAGACGGTGATGTTAGCACTATAACGATAGGGAGCTAAACATCCAATGACTAGACTTGAACATATAGCTTGGGCCATGGTCATGACTGGGATGGAAATTGGCGGGAAAGCCTTGCTCCAGCCTATTTGAGAAGAGGCAGCCTGGCCATGTCCCAAACCTTCTTCACTTCATGTATATTCATTCATCCTTGCTGCTGCCTCTTTGAGCTGGCCATGTCCCAAACCTCTTCCCTTTGCCATCTCCAACCTTCTGCAACTACCAACACACACCGACATACCTATGCTGCAGTTTAGTTTCATAATCCCTCGCTCACATTCTATCTTCATATCCTAATTATCTCACTTTCGCTTCATTATCCCTATGAACTACGATTGGGAAGTCACGCCTTCATCCGGTGCCCTGGTTGGAACGATCTCTACCTGGGATCCCGACACTGAGGAGATTACGACCCCGGTCCCAATCTATAGTCACCGAGAGATCTACGTTGGTCGAGATCCTAGGAAATGGTATCTTTCCCATACCTCATCTAGCCCGAAATACCTTCTGAGCTAATTCTGCCCAGTCGATTCGTTGTCAATGACCCGCTCGTTTCCAACCGACACTTATGGATCTACACCGTCATCTTCGATGAGGATAACCCGGAAGAGGTGGCTCCGCTCGTCTACGCCCAGGACCTTTCGATGAATGGGACTTGGTGGAACGACTACCGAATGGGCGATAGTGGAAGCAGCTTCCTTCTCAGTGACGGTGATATCCTTCGTCTCGCGGCAGACGTATACCTCCTTTACCGGTCCTTTGATAATTCGCAACCCATATGCTTCGATTCCTGCCAAGCTCTTGAGATGAGGGTGGGTGCTTACAACCTTGATCAAAAGAAAAAAATACTAATGCGCTGCAGGCATTTTCCTCCAAGTACCTTATTACGCGGCGCAAGCTCGGCTCTGGTGCGTATGGGCAGGTCCATATGGCGTACAAGAAGAGCACCGGGCAGCAGTTCGCATGCAAAATTGTCAATCTCCTCACAATCAAACACCAGATTATTCAAGAGGGCGGGAAGCAACGCGAGCAGTCGTCCAAGAAGACAATGAATGCAAGGATGAGAGATAGTTGTGCCGAGCTTCAGCTGCAAAGAAAGCTCGAGCAGTACCAGCGCGAGGCCAAGATACTGGAAACGTTGCAGCATGTGAGTTGTCTACCTTCTTTATCAAGTCTCATCTAATCCAGACAGCCGAACATCATTGGACTGGAGAAGGTGATCATGAGTGACAATACGATGTGAGTCTAGACCATGCCCAGGTGGCATTAGATTACCACTCTGACATTAGTAGATACATGTTCCAGGACCTTCTGACCGCGGGTGACCTATTCTCCTACATACAGTACAAGGGCGGAAGACTGCCTGATATCGAGGCGGCGGTCATTGTGCGCCAGATAGTTATCGCCCTCGATTTCCTCCATGCTCGGAATATCGTCCATAGGGACTTGAAGCCCGACAATATACTCATGACTTCTAGGGCCGACGGATGTAGGGTGGTTCTTACTGACTTCGGATGCGCCACGTTTGTCGATCCAATTACGAATCGAATGTCGAGTACGGTGGGGACATTTGAATTTAGTGCTCCTGAGGTGGTCAAGGGAAGCCAGAAAGGCTATACAAAGGCTGCGGATCTTTGGTCCCTGGGCTGCCTGACTGGGGTCCTTCTCACAGGAGAGCCGGTTTTCGACCATGTTCCCCAAGAGGCAGGTTGGCGGTGGAGAGCTGTCGATAACCTAGGATTGAGGATGAGCCGGCTCAGAGTGGGCGAACGAGCCCACGACTTCGTCTTTCGACTACTCGAGCATGATGTATCAAAACGCATGGATGTCAAGCAAGCACTGCAGCATGTCTGGTTCACAAACCCATCCCATAAAGCCGATTTCGAGGCCCTCTACGAGCGATCTATCAGGGACTGGAAGCCGCGCGCGGCCATGGGCGAGTCGTTGATAGTTGATCTTGATTCTTACGCCAACGAAACAGACTACGAGAGTGGCCCGGAGAGTGTTTCGGACATGGTCCTGCTTCCCTACCATAAGAAAGCCCACAGACGTTCGCTTTGATTATGTGACTATTACGGTCATCTTAATTAGTTATAGCTTTGCCTTCACGGAGTTTCTAATACCACACCAAGTTTTATTGCTCTAGTTAAAGCTCGTTCTCTTGAATATAATACCTCACCTTACCCTCGAACAATCGCCTTGCGGTCCGTGATACGGCGCAGCTAGCTACCCCTCCATTCTTCTCCATTGACACATCCACCTTAATAGTCCCCTTGCTGTGCTCGATCAGAACTTCACGTTCTAGCGGAAAGCTCTCTTCCATCTTATCCTCAGGCGGGGGTGACTGCTCGGGAGTCAGCGGCAATGAGGCCCCATCCGCGAAAGCAGGGCTAGCCGAGAGCCCAGCTACAATTGTACCAGGATAGCTCAGCGCAACTGCCACAGTCACCGCGCCAGTGAGCTGGAGACTAGGGTGCGGTAAGCACATCGAGTACGCTTGCACGCGGATATCTGATTGACTGCTCATCCCCCTACCGGCATGAGACACGGTCGGTGGATAAACGAGCGCAGCTTTGGGCGTACCGCGCGTCTTGCCGGCTGTCTCGATGTCACTGGCTAGGCCCATTGCCACGGCGCCGGCGCGGCGAATGGACTCGACCAAGGCGTTTCGAGATGATTCGGACGAGATCGTTGCGACGAGGGCCGTGGATATGGAGGTCGCATCGATGAGGACGAATGGGTTTGCGGAGTCGATGAGGGTTACTCGGGCATTGAGGGATTCTTGGCTCGGCATGAGAGATCCTGGGTCCACGCAGAGGATCTGCTGCTGCTGGTTTTTGGAAGGGAAGAGCTTTCCCGTCATGCTGCCGATGGGGGCTACGAATTTGCATTTCACTTCGCTGCCTGGTGTGCTGACGCCGGGAATGGTGAAAGTGCCGTCTTCTTCGTAGTCGCCTGAGCTGTCGACTTCGACGGTCTCAATGACTATTCGGTCTGTGTTTGTGTTGTAGATCCTCACGTCCATCTATATGTTGGTTAGCGTTTATTTTGCCCTAAGTATATTTGTAGAGGAAGGCGCACCTTGGTTTGTCCGCGCCGAGGCTTGACGAGGCCTTCCTGGACGGCGAACGGTGCCACGCCAGAAGTCATGTTACCACAAGTGCCGGTGAGGTCTATCGTTTCTTTCCCCACGGCAACTTGAACGAATGTCCAGTCGACGTCTGCATCTGGCCGCTTTGACCGACGCACGACGGCGACCTTGGATGTCGTTGAGGTCCCTCCACCGACGCCGTCGATCTGTCGAGGATCGTTCCCTCGAGATCCGAGGGCAGAGATGAGATGAGGAGCCCAGTCGCTCTCCTTTGTGGGCAGGTCATCTCGGTGGAGGAAGATGCCCTTGGATGTTCCCGCGCGCATGAGAACGCAGGGTAGGGTATGGCGCTGGAGTCGCCGGGACTTGGTGGTTTGCTGAGTAGCCACATCAAGCATCTTGGATAGGATAGTTCTATGCGTTCCAAGCTTCTGGAGCCAGGGAGGACAAGACTCATGCACCTTTATGATATTCTCAAGAGTCCCCGGCCCAAGTGCCCTCCTAAATACCCGCGGCAGTAACTGATGTACCATTTCAACTCCATGTGGGACCATACCATGGGTTTCATCTTGAATGGCGGAATCTGCATCCAAGTTATAGCGTAGCTTCTATTGGAAGGATACTCGGAAAGAATCTTGACGGGTAATGCCAAAGAAGATCGTTGTGCCCTTGCGAGGGCAAGATATTGTATGCCCCACACACACGGGCATCTGAGCGTTCCCGCGGGAATACGACGGGAGCGGGAGTACTGCTTGTCCCCGCATAGAGATCGTACCGTTGTCCCACGGGTGTCAAGAACACTCACCATGCGTTAAACGGAAATCCGTCCATGGACGAACCATTAAAGCCAAATAGTGGATCTTCTAGGGACGAAAACTCGTTATTTGTCAACCCGCCGTGCTCCCCTTGATACCTCTCACTAAGACCCTCTGACCAATGCACTCCATTAGGGCGAAACGTAGTCGGGTTTCCAAGGGTAAGGCTTCTATCATATATCACCGGCTGGGGAGGGTTTCCCTGGTGTGGTGGCATCCACAGTCTTTGGGGAGGTGGGTTCGAGATTCCGTCAGCATCATATCCCATTAATCTGCCTCCACGGCCACCATTCTCCTGCAAAAAGCTCTGGATAATACCGTCTATATCCATCCAATCCGAGCCTGGTGAGGGCACTGGGTGATCAACAGTTGCGCTTGAGGGCTCTGTCACGGGATGAGCTGCCGTGTCGTCAGCGTCGTAAACGACACTGTCCTGATGGCGTGCTTCGACAGCGCGCTCATTAGGCTGGGAGATCTGATCTAAATTTTGTGTTGGTGCGTCGATCTCGAGCGCGGTGAGCGAAACGTCCTTGATTACCACCCCAAGCTTTTTCATGAGGCCGTCGACAATTGTGGCCGCCTTTTTGACAGCCGAGTTGGTCTCTTGGTTCTCTTTGAAGACTGCTAGACATGTCGCTAGGTCTGTATGCGCTGTTGAATCATTCCTGCGTCGGGCCGCGATTCGGGTAAGGATTGTCGCGGCAACATATGTCGCATATGATATAAGATAAGGCGCTCGCCTGATGGAGAATGCACGGTGATAGGCCCGCAGGAGCTTGCTAGTATTCGATGCCGCGGAGGCGCATTTGATGAAGGAGTCGACAGATATTGATGGAGACGTGCTGTATAGATGACCGTCTGCTACGAACGGCCGGTGAAGCAGAATGACGAGCGAATTATGCATTGCGCTAGATTGATCAGCTCAAATGGTCACTATTCAGTACTCCTTGCGCAGACATGACTTACTGTAGGCTGGATACATGAGGCGGCGGAAGCGCCACTGTTTGAACCTTGGCTGGATCAAATTGCAGGTGTTCTGGTAAACGAGCTTTCCACTGGTCCAACCTAAGTTGCAACTCGCCCAGCATTTTTGCAAGCTCTGTAGGGCTTTGGTTGGAACTGCGCTCTGTGTATATGCAGCTGAGAATGTCGCTCATAATCACTGAGAGCTTGCACAGATACGTGAAGGTGGACGTGCTATATGCCGGCATGCCTGGGTAATCCGGCGCGCAAGTTGAGTATGCAAATGGCTTCCAATGTTCTAGCTCCTCGTAGGTATCCAAGAACTTAATCGGAACGAGAGCGTCTGTCTCCTTTAAGCTGACTGGGCGGCCTTGATAAAGGCTCTGAATCTTATCTACAACTACATGTTCATGCATCGTCAGCCACAGAAACAGCACAAGGAAAATCAAATGAAGACCCATACCAAACGCGCCCCAAAAGACTCGCCGCCGGATTTCCAGGTCCTCGTCTGAAAAGCGGCTTGTGCCCGTTAGGTCGACATGCATACCCAAGTCGATTATCATGCGAAAGGCCAGTCCGGAATACAGCCACGCAGCGCTTCTTTCATCACCGAGGGCAAATAGTGAGTTTGTCATCATCAGCAATGCCTGGATCGTCGTGATATCGCTGCGGTCCAGTGCACCACCTAGAAGTTCGCGGACTCGCTCACGGTACTTCCAGCCTGCAGTGCGGACATCACTAGGATCTTTTCGAACCTCCAATCTAGGGCTGAATTTCGCGGCACCGAAGTAGATCGCGTTAAGGAGCAACTTAGAGAAATAAGGGCCATTGCAGGCCATGTCCCTCATGAAGGCCGGACGATAAGTTATCAGAAACGAATGGTGCTGGCGATTCCAATGGAGCGACAACAGATGCATCCCAAGGTCAGGATCGACGCCATCAAAGTCGAGTTTTCCTTGACGAAAGTTCAATTCCTCCATTTGACCTAAGTTTCCCTTAGCTTCACAGAGATGAGATAGAATTGTTGGCACGAATGATCGGCACCTGGCTGCATAAAATCAAGGCCGAGTGTTTCAACAATCACCTTCCTCGACCATGGTCCTGAAGCCGGGTATCAAGACAGGTGGATATTGATTATATGCATGCCAAGTGGTGAAAAAAACCATAGAACGACGTGCCAACAAGAAACTGATACCAAGCTGTCACTTACGTTGTTTAGCTGCCTCGGCAACAAGTCCCCGTTCTACCCAGTCATCTGGCATCCGAGGAGGTTGATCAGGGCCTGTCAGCCGATCTGGAACATTATCCTCGAAGAATGCGCTGGTACGTCCGTGGTAACTGGACGCGCCGTTGGCTGAAATCAAGACGCGAGCCACTCCAGGCTCAGAGGACGCAGATACGCGACCCTGTTCCGTACCATCTTTAGACAACACCCCTTCTCGCAGACTTTGCTGTCGAATAGGTTCGCCACTACTATGTGATAGCTGGGTTGATCGTGGACGCCCATTCTTGTCAATGCTCATACCGCTCCCCCCTGGCGTTCTCGGATGTCTGGGGCGTTCATGGCGGCCACGGCCAGTTTCCCGTTCCCGCTCGCTAATAGGCTCATAGACACAGTCCTGGGCGTACGTCTTGCAGTTTGCACATACGGGACGCTCATTATTACATCTGATCTAACGGCACCTCACCGTTAGCTCGAGTAGAGGACAGTGGCCCAACCACGCACCTTTCTTCTACGGCAAAACGAGCAAGCTTCGACAGCACGCCGCCGGCGGGAGCGAGACGGAGCCAATGAGTGGGGAGGAGACTCCCTGCCGTGCTGGGCTTCCATGAACTGAGTTGGATAGATGAAGGTGTAGCAACTGAAATCCCGGCGGGCGGTTGTTAACCCCGCTGGCACGTGCACGCTACCCACGGGAAGAGCGGTTTTGGAGATCCCGCGGGAACGGAGGCTCCTCCACACCAACGACGTTCCGACTCCACGTCCAACCACCACTCATCCCTTCCAATCAATTCGCTGCGGCGAGATATCATCGGAGCAATGCCGAACATTCAAATATTATACCATCCTGGTATTTGGTACCTCTCGAAGGCTTTTTTTTACCGCAGTTTTCTCTTAGCACTGGCTCCATCATCGGCCACGCTCTGTTTCGTTACCCCGTATTCTCGATGACTACTGTACCCGGAGCCCCGCTGCGCTCTACAGTGCCTGCGCCGAGGCAACAGCCTCAGGTGGCTAAGAAGAATACGGTTCCGCCAGGTATCTCGCTGGCTGCGGGTGCCGTTGCTGGCGCTGTGGAAGCGACCGCTACTGTGCGCTCTTATCCTCTCTGCCCCGTACCGCGTATCATTGCTGACCGGTGTTGAATTGGACATAGTATCCTTTCGAGTTCGCTAAAACACGAGCACAGTTGAGCCAAAGCCATGCTGGCGGGACGTCCACTACGCTTTCCAGGAATCCTCTGACTGTTATATTACACACGGCGCGACAGGATGGGGTCCGAGCCATTTACACTGGTTGCTCAACCTTGATACTCGGCACAGCCTTCAAGGCTGGTGTTCGTTTCTTGTCGTTTGATACAATCAAGAACCTTTTGTCCGATGCCGATGGGACTCTGTCACCAGGCCGCGGAATCCTGGCTGGCATGGTCGCAGGCGTGGTCGAGAGCGTGGTCGCAGTGACCCCTACAGAACGAATCAAGACTGCCCTGTGAGTAAAAGCCCGTTAGCTTTAATATACAGTGGACTTTCCGGTGCTAATCAGGATTCTATTGGTAATGTAGAATCGATGACGCACGATCATCGACAGCACGTCGCTACAAGGGCGGATTTCACGCCCTACGCACCATCTTGGCCGAGTCTGGCTTCAAGGAGGTGTACCGTGGTCTATTGTCTACTACAATGAAGCAGGCCGCTACCTCTGCCGTACGCATGGGCTCATATAATATCCTCAAGGAGCTGGTATCCTCGCGCACCAACATCAAGGATACAAAAAACCCAGCACTCACGTTTGGTATGGGAGCTACGGCCGGTGTCATAACTGTATACATGACCCAGCCTTTCGACACTATCAAGACGCGCGCCCAGGGAGCCAAAGGCGCATCCACTATGGAAGCGCTGCAGGGTGTGCTAAGAGACGGGGGCGTGAGAGCGCTTTGGCGCGGAAGCTCGATGCGGCTAGGCAGGTTGGTCCTCAGCGGTGGTATAGTGTTTACGGTCTATGAAAATGTTGCGGCATTGTTGATGAGCGCAAAGACCTGAAGAGCAACGAGTAAGAGATTTCATCTACGCTTGCTTCTGCGGTATAAGTTAGAGATTGAATCATACATCCAGCAACCCGCTAAGGCGCGCTCTTTGCTCTTTTACCGTCGCAGCGGTTGTCATGGGGTATCGACACCTGCCAAGGTACGCTATCGCACTCGCCTCCCCGGCAAATGTCTCCAACTGTAGTCGACCACGGCCACTGGGCAGTTACGGGTTTGTTCCGTCTTGGATGTTCTCCCGTGCTCCCACGGGATCCTTCATAGTGGCCCTCTGGGACCCCCGCAACCCCAGGTTTCTGCTCCATTATGTCTCCAATTCTTCCTCGGGTATTGATTAGACGTTGTCATATAAAGAGCGCGAGATGTTAACTAGAGTTCACTTATCCACAACACTGCCTCGTTACTCTGTGGCTCTTAGGACAAACTCAATCTCATACTCATCATGCCTACATCGACCTCCATTGATCCGGCCGGGGTCGAGTTGAAGGAAGCAGATAACCCCGATAGAGACCTCAAGGAGGTTGAAAGCCATATCGAGGATGTCACGGAATCCGTAAAGCAACAACCTGTCCATGGCACTTATGTCTCACCGGAGCAAATCCAGGCGCGATTCGACCTGCTGCGCGATCTCAGCCCCGAGCAGATGGACGCTCTTAACAAGAAGGTCCTGAAAAGGATCGACTGGCATATGATGCCCTGCGTGACTCTCATGTTTCTGATGAAGTAAGTCCTCCTCTACGTTCTACGCAAATATGCTAATACCATAATCAGTTACCTGGACCGCATCAATGTCTCTAATGCCCGTCTGGCCGGTCTCCAAGAAGACCTCCACATGAGCGATACAGTGTGGAACGCCGGTATCTCGACCTTCTATGTGGGATATCTGGTCGGTCAACTCCCTGGAAATCTTCTCATGGCCAAGTCCAACCCGCGCTGGTTCCTTCTGACTATGATGTTCATGTGGAGCGCTGGGACGATCTGCATGCCTGCGATGACCAAGTCAGTTTCCCCGGGCAGTCTAACAACTGAGCTGACAATTTGCCTTAGTGGTGCGGGATTCTGCGTTGTTAGGTTTTTCATCGGTCTGGCAGAAGCACCTTTCTTTCCGGCCCTTACTTTGTGTGAGTAGAAATCTTTAGTCCGAATTCCTTCTTGGTTCTCCTTCCATGGTCATGTCCGAAGCTGATAACCCAGTGACTTCGTCATGGTACACGAAAGAAGAGTCGCCTATGCGCATGGCGATATGGCACGCCGGCAATACCATCTCCAACATCATGTCCGGTTTCCTTGCGGCCGGTATCCTCGAGAACATGGACGGCATTGCCAATTTGCACGCCTGGCAATGGTTCTTCCTGATCGAAGGCATAGCGTCTATCCTTGTTGCCGTGGGCTCTTTCATCTTCTTACCCGCTTGGCCTCATAACACTCGCTTCCTGTCCGATGAGGAACGCGAAATGGCGCAGTACCGTGTGCTTCTGTCTAACGGTGGCATCGATGAGACCGTTGGAGGCACATGGGACGGACTCAGAGATGCAGTGAAAGATCCCTTCACATGGTTCTTCTGCCTCATGCACTTTGCTCTCGTCACTGCGCAGAGCTTCAAGGACTTCTTGCCGTCGGTGAGTTCGCCTTTCCATTTGCATCACTACGACCATCGCTACTCAAGTAGGTATAACTAACTTAACTACTCCACCAGATCATGAAAACATTCGGGTTCGACACAATGACTACATACCTCGTGCAAGCACCGCCATACGCCATCGCCTACATCTTCGCCTGCGTTGTAGCCTGGTCCTGCGGCAGAATGCAAGAAACAACCTGGCACATCGTCATCCCCATCATCTTCTCCGCCGCGGGCTGCAGCATCCTGATCAGCACCCTCAACGTCGGTGCCCGGTATTTCGGCCTCGTCCTTTTGATCTGCGGCACGTACAACGGACTCAATCTGCAGCTCTCTTGGGAGACGACGGTTGTCCCGTCCCCACGTGCGAAAAAGGCTGCGCTCATCGCAATTGCCAATTGCATCAGCCAGTCAAGCCACTGGTTTAGTCCGTACTTCTATCCGACTAGCCAGGAGCCTTACTATCGGATGGGCGGGGGGTTGCTGATCATGGGTTGTGCACTTGTCGCAGTGTCGGCTTTTGCGGTGAATTGGAGGGGTAGGAAGCTGAATAGGAAGCTGGATGAGATCGAGGGGTGGACGCCTCATTCTGGGAATGAGAGAGGGTGGAGGTATAAGCTATGATTCATGTTTAAGAGATGGCAATGCAGTATCCACTGCCGTTATTATCTATGATTAAACCCTTCCAATCACGCTAATACCATTCCCGTCGTCGCATGATTACTCGCAACCATAGACGCTACAGGTCAGACAGCCCAAGCAGCTCAGGCTAGATGCAGCGTGTACTCTGTAGTCACCAACCCTCCAAGGCCCCCAAAACACGAGCGAAAGAACCAATCCATCATCCAATTCACCTAACCTTCCTTTTCCTCTGCCCTCTCCATCGCCCCCTCCCCCTCAAACCGATAAACAACATCCCCAAATCCCGCCGTAGGGAAAACGTAAAACCACTCTAACTCCTCACTCCCCCGATTAAGCACCCCATGCTCCGCATCGCCCGGGATAAACAGCACGCTCCCCCGTTGCACCTCGTGCTCAACGCCCTCGATGACCACGACCCCACGTCCAGCCGTGACGTAGTAGATCTCCGCCTGGGTGTGCCGGTGGAGTGCCAGCGAGCCGCTGCGTGGTGGGCACGTTGCTAGACCCGCGCACATGGCGGTGCGGGGGGTTTGCGGGGTGGAGAGGAGGGTGCGCCAGGTTAGGTTGTTGGTTATGCGGCCTGGGGAGCCTGGGGATGGTGTCGGGAAGGATTCGGGGGGTTGGGCGGTTATTGCTGAGGGGGAGAGGATTATTGGTTGTGGTTGTGGTTGTGGTGCTGGTGCTGGTGCTGGGGTTGGATGTGTTCGAGGTTGGTTGTGGCTGGGTGCTGGAGGAGATGGGTGTGTATCCATTTTGGTTGATGTGGTAGGCTTGGAGGAGATGCTTAGTATATTTCGTTGCTTCTCTTGATAGGATTGAGATGGTCGAATCGATATGAAACCAGGACGAGACTTGTCTTGCGAAGGCAGAGGGTTAATAAGGAGCAGTTTTGTAGTACTATCGTCAGTGCGTGTAGACATCTGTTTATTTTCTGATTATTCTATCGCGAATTCATGACCTCATTGGGGGCAAGTGGAGAGTTTTTCTGTCTTGGGTAAAATTGTCCCGGAGCTCGAGCCCTAAGTCCTGGGCTAGGTGGAGCTTGAGGGGTCATAGCACTGGAAGCCGTGTGTATGCCTAGTTTTTACAGAGCAGTGGTGACTTCGCCCTAGAGCAAGGGGAGCAATAACTTCAGGTGTGCTAGGCACCTGAACAATCAGATACTCTGACCTAAACATCGAGGGATGTAGGTGCCCCAGGTCTGGTAGTCAGTCGCTACCAACTTGTTAGAGAAATCACCAAATAGAAGAAAGCCCGGAGCATGAGCTCAAGGGGAAGCATCACATAAAGGGGTCGCAGGGTAGACATAGCCCTAGAACCCTTTTGCTTTCCCTCCCCTTCCCTTCCTGGTCTCACCTACGAAGACCCAGTACTTTGTCCATCTCGGGTGAGTGCCACACGGAGTAGACTAGACTCCTAGAGTCAGCAGGAAGCAAGGGGCCGACAACCGCAAATCGCCGAACCTGCAGGCCAAATCATAGACGTGCTTTGACAGATGCATGTCGGAGAATACGCGCCTCCCGCCGATCTTCGACGATATAAGACGGCAGGACTAGGTGGCTGGCATCCGGCAGGATGTATCATAGTTCAAGGGTAGGCGAGCCCTGGGTTCAATTCGATCATCCATAGGCCATCGCATGCCCTACATAGGGAGCAGACCCTGGATAGTATTTCAAGGCTCGGTTGGGTCTTTGATCCTTCAATGAACTGCCTGGCTCGTAGAAGCCAACACATAAGATGGAGGTATCTCGGTGCTGTCCGGGAATCGGCGAGGGTTCGAAAGTGAATGGTTAAACATCCTATCATCTGAGAGATTGCCATGAGATGTGACCCAATTGTGCAAAGGTTTGGGGCAGAACAAGCACTCAAGTCAATCAAGCATTCGTGGACTGTGGTAGATGAAGTGCATCAATGCTGCAAGATAATGCAGACGCAAGCCCCACGAGATCAATTCGCCGAGTCCGAAGTGCGCCTGCATTAACGCAAGGTGTCGGGCACAGGGGTTGTTCGCCTTAGGTTGGAGGAGTGGATATCTATTGGGTAGTCAGGATATACACACCCAGTGAGCTGAGGTTGTGCCTGAGACAGGAACGGAATCAAACGCCAGGGTGGAGTCGAACTTCGCAGTAGTGCCCAGTGCCACTGCCCACTCAGTTCCATCCACTGGTAAGATTCTTGAGTCCGTGCTGTCGTTGACCTCGAGGAAGAATGTCAGCCTTCCGCTGGACAAGCAAGGAGGGGCTGGGGGTAGATGCAGGTACAGAGGACCGGGTCACTGCCGGATCGACAGGGCAGCAGTAGTGGCTTCCAGCGAGCAGGGATGCTCTTCCTCTCAGTCTCGAGTCTGGGCTGCGGACGTCACGGTGACTCAACAATCAATTAATCTGAACATCTGATCAACGAAAGTAGTTGATGTCGATGATTATCATGATGAGGCACAAGCTCAGGCACACGACTCTGATTGGCCAACGCGCTTGCGACGCGCTTTGACGCGCTACCTACGCGTCGCGACGCGTTTCGTCTCTCCAATCTTGCCAGAGAGGAGGATTGAGAGAGCGCCATTGACGACATGGGCAGCTCTACGGGATTCGAGTCATCTTTATAACGATGTGCGAGTAGTAGGTAGTGTCCTGGGCAAGAACACAGAGGATAGGAGGCTGGTATCCAGGTCGGGGAAGATATTACGCCGACGGAGTAGCTAGAGACCCCAACCACCTCGAGGAGACTGTACTCGGCACCAACTCATCGCCCTTTTTAGGTTCTTTGTTCTATATGGAGTATGCGTGGCTGGACTCCAATGCTGGACTCCAATTAATCCGTACCAGATTACTTGCTGTCTACTCCGTACAAATAGGTAGTTCTAATTGCAATGCACGGTACACTGCATGCGACGCAATGCGCGCTGTCCCACACGGCACGGGCCTGACGGAGTCAGTCAGAAGACACTGTCAAGGAGATTTCCACCTTGCGCAGGAGCCCGTCCCCTTTTCTCCTTGTCTCAGACTCTCAGTCCACCCTGGTGATGTAGATACAGCCATAGCACTCATATATGACCAGGCCATCTAGAAGCAAAGGAGCAGAGGGAGAATGGAGGAAGCCAGAATCCCAGTCATTCATTACCACAGTCATTTAACAGTCAGCATCAGCATCAGCATCAGCATTGCGGTCATTATTGCAGTCATTCTTTCGTCAGACGACTATAGGCCGTTCTATTATTACATGCCCAACCTCTGATACATTCATTGTTTATCCGCTTGCGGGCAGTGGCTCCACTCCCCTTTTCCACTTATCTCTCCCCCAACACCATCGCCCGTTTCAACTTCTTCCATCAACGACACTCGAAATATCATCGTCGCATCTTCGGAACTCATCCAGGCGAAATCGCTGACACCAACTTTTATACTCATCAACTTCTCAACCCCGTCCCACCTCCCCACCACCTCGAGACGCCCTCCGGCGCAAAACAGCGCCACCCACCGCGCGCACAACCAAGCTCACCACCCTCCTTTCCTCGCGCATTTTCATCCCCCATCGCATCGCATCCATCTAAACAACAATCGCGCAATGCTTCTCCCCTCCGCACTCCCCTGCGACATGCGCCGCGCATCGCGCTTCACACCCAGCCGCCTCTTCTCCACGCCTCCTCCCTCGGACGACGACAGGGGAGTCCGACCCCCAGGCAACGGGCTCCTCGGAACCTGTCGCGCACTGCAATCCCTCCTCACCACACCAGCGCCATCCTCGCGCCGCGCAAAACCAGCTCGTCTTCAAAGCCCGCTTACATTCCAACCCGCTCCGCCGTCGCCCGCCTCGTCGCGCAAGAGCAACAGTAACAGTGACACCAAACTGCGCTTCCGCTCGCACTCGCACACTCTATCATACAAGCCTCTGTCGCCGCGATCAAGGGGCCCGAATAAGCGGAGGCGCGATATCTTTGAGGAGGATCTGGATATGGAATTCGATGGAAGCTCGAGCGCGGTTTGCGCTGTCGATGCGCTGAACCCGTCGACGCCGAAGCGCGCGAGGCATCTCCCCTACGAGCTTCCTCTTGGTCTTTCGCAGACGGACTTCTACTCGCTTCATTCGCCGCCTGTCTCGCAATCTCCTCCTTCTCCTGCATTGCGACGTCAGCAAGAACAATCATCCTCACTACTACCATCATTCAACCCCGACGCAGCCCTCCCCTCCATCGAAGAACAACAAAAACATCCAGAATCAGACGAAGTCGCTTCCACAGACGATAACGACTGGACAACAGACGACGACCAGCGCCTCGTCGAGCTCGTCCTTGCAAAGTTCCAGCTCTCCCAGCGCGACTGGGACGAGTGCGCGCGGCGCATGGGCAAAGACCACGCGAGCGTTGGCCAACGATGGCAGGTCCTCGTTGGAGAGGGCAATGTCGGTCTACGACGCGGCGGACGGAGAGTCCGTAAAGCCATCCACAACGACTGGATGTGATCACTTTACTTCTCTTCTCTTTTGTATTGTAGCATTTTCTTTTGTTTGGAGTTTACGCGGATGACTGACTTTTCTCGATACCTATTTGTTTTTCTTTTTTCTTCATGCTCCCGATGACCGATGTACATTACGACTTCACTGTACTTTATGTTGCTCTGAGCTGTCCTGCTCATCTTATTCGGCTATGCCCCTGGACATGTCTTATCCACACTCTTACCATCTCGATCTTACCAGTTAGCCCAGGTCTCCTGGCCGATGTCTTTAATGCCTTACATGCACATCATATTATATCAACTCTTGTTCCGACCAATGTTCTATATTTAGATCAACATCCCAAACTTCCCCGGGAGCATAAACAATCCCAATCCAATTCCAATGCACGTCCATCACTCCCGATCCAGTCCAGTCCAGTCCGGCGCCATGATCCGCTCTTCTCGTCTCGTCCACAGTTTATAGGTTTGCGCTGTGTTAGATCGAGAACTGCGGTAGGGAAAGCGTGGAGTGTAGTAGGCGATGGACGTTTGGCTATTGAATAGCGTAGGCAGACGGCGAGTTCGAGCTGATGTGCTATCCCGCAACTGAAGATGTCAACCTACCCTTCAAAGTTCATCCGATCATACGGGAGATCGGAACTACCAAGGTCGAATATAGTATTGCAAGTGAAATGAAGGGATGTAGTCAGAAATGTAGTCAAAGTATGTTTGCACTGCGTACCAGTGCTAGGAATAGTTATTATCTACGGCTAGTTGCCGGACATCAAGCTCGACCAGCGAGCGGACTTTGCAAAACAAATTGATCAAAAAGAAAGAAAGAAAGAAACGAAACGAAAACCCTTGATCAAAAACTGCACTCAAGTTAGTATCATCCATGACCAATATCGAGTAGGTAAGCAAAGGAAAAAGGCAAGGCAACATACCGAATCTCATAACTTCCCGCGCGGGTCATGTATCGTACCCACTTTACACTTGAGTAGTTACTCTTTTCGAAGACCTTCAGGTAGCGCACAAGCAATCCGGAACTTGTAAACATTAGAAGAGAAAAGCTAAGGCTCAAGGGCGGCCGGCTCCAAGCTTTTTGATTTGTCATCGCTGACAATGTCGCCTCGGCCGTGAGGACATATTCTGCACCACCGGAGAACCGTGCAATCTTCCACACAATGTTGTTTTGTTCGGGCTCGTACTTTGCTCGGCCCTGAGATGTCCGCTCAGTTGTCTTGGCCGTGTTAAGCGGCGTGGGGATGCGAATGACGACGTTCGTGGCAAATAGTTTCGAGGAGTAATTCGCCTTGATGGCAACGCTATACTCGACTTTCGTAGTTCCGATCTCCCGCACAATCGGGTGAACCTTGAATGGGAGGTTGACGTTCTCCGTAGCGCGGTACCGCATCAGCTCGAACTCGCCATCGGGCGGCACGAAACTGATAATCCGGTCCGCGTCGAACCGTCCTAGCTTCACGCACTGGTGGAACTGGCAGTCCTCGAGCGTGACGCTCCCCGCCGCAGCCCTGGTCTTCGAACCCCCTCCCCCACCACCACCGCTTCGCCCGCCAGAACTCGGATTCGCGGACCCAGGCCCCGCGGCATCATTGTCCAGCAGCAGCCGGTCGTTCAGACCGAACTTGCACTCTGGCGTTCCGGATAGATAAGCACGCATTACAATCTGCCCGTTTACGTCGGCGCGCAGGACCGTCCCCGTTGCGGACATCAGCAGGTTCACGTCCTCGATCACGTCCACGAAGGCCTCGTTCTTGCGGTACTTGACGTCTGCGCGGCGCCAGGAAAGCGCGCCAGTGGCTTGCTGTGTTATGCGGGCGGAGTCGGTCGGGTTGTTGGTGATGGCGGACTTGACGCCCTCAGTTGTGATGTACATTTTCAGCGTGTCGGTTTCGGTGTTTTGGGGGTAGCCGAAGTCGAGGATTTCTAGATATTACGAAGAGGTAATCAGTATTGCCCAGGGAGGTAATGTTAGAGGCAGCATACCATCAAGCAACTCGTAAATCAGCACAAAATTATTCTTCACAGCCTCCTCATCGAACTTCCCGAAATAGCTCTTCCCCAGCAACACGAGCCGATACAGGAACTCAAAGACCAGGGCCGCGTTCGCATTGCTCTTCGTGACAGCAACGATGTAGATATTCTCATGTTTGACATGACTGAACGTGGTCGAACCCAGCGTCAGGATCGGAGACCGCACCTGCGGATTCGATATGACCTGGATGCGGAATATATCGGCGAGCCGCGGGCGACAGTCATTTCGGTATGCCCGAAATATGAGATTCTCGCCTTTCTGGTTGAAGATTAGAATTCCGGAGAGCATTTTGCTGTGTTGTGTTGTGGGAAGTTGGGGCTGGTGGAAGGGTTGAGGGGGCGGAGATGTACATTCGGCCGTGGTCAGGAGAAAGGGCTGCCATTGGCGGAGCGGGCGCTGGAGCTCGGGCGGAACCTTTAGTATAGGACATGGTCCAATCGTCGATTGACGGATTACAGTTTTTACTGTAAAAATAGCATATAAAATTGGACCTTAATTATTTTGTGCAGTGGCCTAGCCAACACGTAAAGCTGTATACATATGACCACAGCCGTGATCTAAAAATGGTATCAGACATGATCTCATACACCGAGACGAGGACCGAGAAAGAAGCAGAGTCCGAGACGAAGACGCTAATATACAAAGCCGGAATTAAGAGAAAGAAGTAGTCTGAAAAAAGGGGTATAGGGAGAAGAAGAAGAAAATTGAAGATGGTTATACACCACCGCTCTCCGGTCGAGTCCCAGGCCGCGACGGATTCCCCTCGCTGGGAATAATGCCGACCTTGGGATCAGGAATCTGTATATCGAGCGACATGTACGCCGTCCTCCGCAGACTCCAGATCCGGACGCCGTCCTTGGCCCCGACTTCGCGATTCCACTTCTCCAGCCAGTCCTCCACACGCCTCAGATGACTCTTGACGCCCGGCGCGCCGATATCCTCCCAGATCCACCCGGTGAGCAACCCAATCGCCCCATCGATCCAATTGCGGAAGCTAAACGGATTGAACGCGTCGACGAGCTCGTCGTTGACCGTCGCGATGATCCGTCGGAATTCTTGCTCGGGCAGTAGCGGGTCGAGAATCTCCGGATACAGATTCGAGTACGTCGGTGCCAAATCCCCCCTGACCATCCAGTCTCGTCGAATCCGAATAATACGCGTAGTCATGTACTCGTCTGACCCCGGCGGAACGTGCGGGTTGATATGTGGAAAGCAAGGATGGGCCGGGCCCCAGGCTAGCTCCTCCGCAACGTCCGGCTCATTCGGGACCCCTGGGTTCGATGGGACGGACGCGATTTGCGATTGTGATCGGAGAGAATGCTGTGACTGGACATGACGCGGACGATCGGTCCCCAAAGCGCGCTCGGGTGTAGCTACAGGTTCCATCTCCAACGGGACGTCTTCGAATGCGCCGCTCTGCCTCCCTCGAGGCACCGCTATGCTCGACCGGCCGCTTTCAGACTCCTGTTGACTGCGCTCGACAACTAGACTATTCGGCGACGGTGAGAGCCGACTGCGACGCCGCTCGGGGATCGTGAGCAGTGGATACGCGTCTCGGTGTGATCCAAGCGGGAGGCTCTCGTTCGAGGCCTGCGCAACTGCGGTCACCGGCGAGATACGCGGGACGTAGTTGACCGGGTTCGCGAGGCGAACGGCGGGTGGCCGTAAAATCTTCGGAGGCGCCCAGCGGTTCTGCAGGAATGATGATCGGGCTCGTGAAGGGGGCGTAACGGGTGTTTGCGTTTCAGATGCAATCTCCAGGCGTTCGAGGTCGGATGGGGGTAAGGCCGTGGGGCTCGGTTGGGGGTCGTGCAATGCAGCGCGCGGGGGAGGGTTCGATGGAGCAGGCTCTTTAATCTGGGGCGGTGGTATGATAGGGAGATCGCGGAATGAGCGTGACGCGGCCGTTTTTGCTGGAGAGGGGAGCCTGGAGGCAGACAGAGGAGCCGTGGTGAGTGGAAGTTGAGGGAGACAAAGTGAGAGGAAGCCGGGGCGGCTGTGATTGGCGGGCGGCGGGCGAAAAGGGGCGCACTGGCTGGGGACAAGATTCGATCTGAGCTCGACATCCACAATGATGCGATGGATCTGGAGTATAATTCGGGAGATGGTTTGGATTTAGGAAATGGAGAAGATAGTCATGAGAGTCAGATTGATTTTAAAGAATGGCTGGGTGGAGGAGTCCGTATTCAATCAAGGGCATCCAATGGACACATCAAGTCGGCTTCACTACAGGGCTGACGGCGTTGGGAGGAAAACGAAAGAAACGGCCGGAATAATAAGAACGGGCCAGGGGCGTTGGGACAAAGCCGGGATTTTATAAAGAAAGAATGAATGAATGAATCATGAAATCTCTGAAGCTCTTAAATCGAAACATCGCCAGCCAGGCCAGCCCGGACGAGGCCGGGTCGCCTCACTACTCAAATAGCCCAAATAGTGTGCAAGTAAGGCTCCAACCATGCTAAACTTAGCTCTTCCTTCCATCATGACTTCACTGCTCTTCTTCAAGGGATGGCGATCCACCGATCCCCCGAAATTGCATTCAAGCTGGGTCTTGTGATTATTATGTCACTGCAAAGAAACTAATGATCGACGTAGGTACAAACAAGCGGAAAGATTAGGTAGTAGGTAGTCGGGTAATACATATCTCATCGCTAACATAACAAGCAACCCTTTACCATGACTCCAGATGACCAAATAAAACACCACCCATATCCAATAAACTGTCATATCTGCCGATTGACGCTTTGATTGGCTTTGGCTTGCATCCGCCGCAGGGCCTCCCGATGCAAGTCGCTCATGTCGCCTCTCTGCATCCCTTCAGCGATCTTATCCCCAAGGCTAGCTGGAGAGTTGGGTTGGCCCAGCTGGCTGTACGGCGAGGCGCCGATGCCTGGGGTCGTCGACTGGGCAAGTTTCAGCGGGTCCCGTCTCCCAAGGTCATCCCGGACAGACTCCCGCCACGCTGCCAGGACAGCTGGGGAGTTCGCCCTCGATGGCACGCCGGGATTGTTCCATCTGGACGGCGCGGCGTTCGTCGGTGAAACCGGGGATGCCTGTTGGTGGAGCATTGTCCGGCGCTGAGACAGAGGGATGTCGTCGTCGTCCTCCTCGGGTATCGCAAAGGTCGAACCAGACGGATACCGCGATGAGAAGTCCGTGGGTGATTGCCCAGTGCTGTGGCGCGCATAGGGGTCGGTTGGGAGGGAAAGAGACGACAGGCGGCTTCGCATCATGTCCTCCCGCACGGCGATGAGAGGTGCCGGTCCCTTCCAGCGTGATTTCGCCTTCTCGCTGTCATCGCGGCCTTGTTCACCAGGCAAGAGCGTGACTGAAGATGGAGTGGCAATGTTACCTATTTGTGGTTGCACCGCAGGGGCCAAATTATGGGAGACATGCGCTGAACCAAATGACTGGCCAGAAAGCCGTCTGGGAGACTTTGATCTTCTCTTCTTTTTTAGCGAACCTGTTCGAGAATCGTGTTTGTGGTGGACTTCGTTTGTGTCCTTCCGAGACTCAACAGCTGGGGGCGGCTGCGCGTTCAGTGGCGTTTGTAACAATTCCGTCACATTGACCGGCGCGGCCTCTTCCTCAGCCGGGTCTGGCTGTCGGTCTTCAAAGAACTGGATAGGTTCTGGTTCGGGGATATCAGCATTCGCTAGATGTTTGGCCCATTCGTTCATGCGGTACGCTTGGACGACCCTTGATGTGTGTTTTGGGATTTGTTCCACCGTCTCTGCGTTCAGACGCTTGGGTTCATCTTTGTTCGGGGCTTTCTCCTTCGAAAGGTCCTCCTTCAATAATCCGGTCGAATTATTGTCTTCTTCGGCGGGTTTTTCAGGAGTTGTGGAGTCCTCCCTGGGCTCGCCCTTGATGTCAGCCTGACCGGTTTGGTCTGGCTTATCCGGTTGAGCGTTCCCAGTTTCACCCTGTGTTTCAGGGTCATCTTTGCCTTTGGAAGGCTTTTCCTCTGGTCGATCATCCTCGTCGTGTTGGCTAATAGCCTCGTTCTGTGATCGTGCGACGTTTGTAATGACGCCCGGCTGATGCTCAGCCTGCACTTGCTCTCCTGAGCTCTGAAGCCCAGCGGAGTCTTTTGGCACTTCAGCTTGAGTCTCGGTCGACTGCTTCTTGGTTTCATCTGGTTGCCAACATGCTTCCGCAGAGTCAACCCTGCTGTCCTTGATGTTGGCCGGCTTTGACGTGATAGCCTTAGTCGGTTTCTGGATCTGATCATTTTCGAGAGCATTGTCGGTAGAGCTTTCTGTACGCTGCGGTATGTCTTCTTTCTCTGCCACTGACTTGCTCTGGGTGTGCACCTGTGCACCTGCTTCTCTTTTCACTGGCGACGCGTCCGTAGCAGCGAGATCGTCTGCCGTTGCAGGTAGCTCCTCGTCCAACATGGCCTGGTACTGGCTGTGCGCAGCAACTGTGTGACAATCAGATTCCGCATCGTCCACAACGCCAAATGTAGAATCCACATCGTCAGCGCGAGCTACCAAAGCCTCTTGGAAATCCGAAACAGGCTTTGCGGCACTTTTGACGGACTTTGCCGCGCTCTTGGCAGAGGCCTTGCGTGAAAGCACGGATAATCGCTTCGAGTAGACGGAGGCTGTCTCGGACCCGACAATCGCTGTCATATCCGAGCTCTTGTCATCCAATATCACACCGCGCAGAGCTTTGGGGTAGCTACCATCCCCCTGTACGTCTTCACTTGGAGTGCAGGTTTCCTTTTCCGCCGAGTCTGTGTCTGTATCCTGACGCTGGGTTTCACTCCCGGTGTTGTTGGTATCCGAAGAATCATCGTTCCCGCGTGCCCTGCAGTCAGAGCAGCGATAAGAAACTGCAGAGTCCGCGATACTCTTTTTCTCTGCATCATCCTTCTCTTTGTCCTGGCCGTCTGTCTCATCCGTGTGGCTCGCTGCTAGTTCAGGAATGCTCGCCGAGCTGTCAGACGCTCCGGGCTCGTGGTCGCCGTATTTAGCCTCCCATTCCATGCGCTCTTTCAGATTATCCTCTTCCAAGCGTTTCCCGACCTCTGCTTCGGCTTCGTCTTTCTGTCTCTGTTCTTCCTGCCGCTTTTCGTCTTCGCGCGCTCTTCGCTCACGCACGACCTTCCATAGGCGCAGTTGCGAAATCACGCCCATAATGGCTACAATGACTGTGGCCGCGAGCTCAACCTTGATGTATCGAGTAACCGGGTACGTATCCGTTCCGAGGGGAAAGATGTCATCGTTCAACGCTGCAAGGTCAGCTTGATTTTACCATTACGGAAGGAGGCACTCACCCCAAAGGTAAAGCCAAAATTCTTTCAATCCAGCTTCACTGTAGCAGTCAATCCCCAAAGAAACGACCGTACCACCAGCAATGGATGTCGAAACAATTAACCCGTACGGCCGGGTATAGTGACTGAACGAAACAGCGTAGAATGCAACAGAGATCGCACCGATGAATCCAGTTTTCGCGTCCGTTGCTTTGATCAGTCCACCGGATCGCGTGGAAAGCAGCCACATGCTCGTGCAGAAACCGCCTAGCAGACAGCCGAGACCTTCAGCCAGTTCTTTGAAGACTATGGCGAGTGCGCCGAATGTCACTCCCGTGAAGAAGATCGCTACGAGGTACGCGCCTTGTATTGCAACTCGGACTGGCGGACTCATGACGTAGACGATGAGCACCTAGCTTGATTAGACGCCTCCAGGCATAGTGAGGGTGAGCTTACCGTGACTCCAAGACTTGTCAGGAAAGCGGAGGATAAGAAGACTTGGATCCTAGAGTCTGATAAGAAAGAGTCATCAGAGCGACGCAGCAGAGAGGCTTACCATAGATTCCGCACTCCAATCAATGCCAGAACACTGCCAGTGACTAGCAGGATAAACCCGCCGACTCCGAGAGCGGGTGTTACGGAGGGTTGGATCGGGAGCTCTCCGGGTGCGGTTGAATTGGCGCCATTGTCTTTGCGTTGTTAGAGAAAGCGCTGCTTGAACGAGGCAGGAGCGACTCACCTTCAACCGGTTCCGAGGCGTTCACCGTGGCCACTGGAGTGGCAGAGGCTGCGGTCGAGTTGGAGCTCTCTGTCGCCGTCGCATTGCTCGTCGCATTCGCAGTTGGGATTGTCGCATTGGACGCATCGTTACTCTCAGAGTCTCTAGCTAGCAGAGGGCCATATCCGCGACGATCGACATGGGGAACACTTGCGACAAAGGCAAATAGAGCAGGGCATAGGCAGACAAACAACAGGAGGAACTGCACCCTCATGGTGAACAGGCGTTGATTCTGTATATAAGATCGTGGCAGGACGAAGATAACACCAGCTTTGGGGGAAGCGTTGCGACGAGCTTCTCAGGCTCTATTCCCATGATTTCATCATGCGTCTAGGAAAATGTGCAAGGAACTGATCCAATCGGTGTTCTAAGGTTTAGATTAGGACGAAACACGTAGAGAGAGGGCAAACGTGGCAGCCGATGAGACAAGAGACACCCCGCTATAAACGTTGAAAGGAAGCAAACAGAGGAGAGAAGAGAATAAATGAGAATTGGCGCGGAGTAAATATTATACATGATGGGCGCGAGCCAGAATTTGGACTGTTGAGTCGCTAGCAAAGCTCACCGTGGTTGAATGGGAAATAGACTCACGCATGGCAGACGCGGTTGATCCACTCACAAAAGAATAAATGATAAATGAAATGAGAAAAGACCAAACAGACCGGGGTATCAGTCTCCGATGATAGGACGTGCATGCGCGTGTAGGATCTTTCTGTGGGCGAGGTGACACCATACTCGGAGTTGGGCGCCGGCTCTGCTCCATGACTCCATGGGTCAACCTGTGCCTTGTTGAAACTTGAAAGAAAGCTGGACGACAACAGAGATTATTGGACGGTTCCATGAATCGATAGACAATCTCAATATCAGCGACTTGTCTGTAGAAGACGATCCTGATCTCGGCCAGCCAACGATCGCCCGGCGGACCACACTAGCACCACTAGTCGTGCCGGCTACAGCGGACATGTCCACTCCATGGTTTCCATCACTCCACTGAGTCCATGCTGGCCGGGGGCACAGTCCCATTGGGTTCGAAGCAAGCTCAGCAAATATTGGCTGTGAGTGTCACTGGACACAAGACCCAGGGGTCCGACTCAGGACCTGCATTAGAGCCCTGCCTGATTCCTGAAAGCCCGGCCGAGGCCAGTGCTGCCCCCGAAGGCCGAAGCCCTTAGCTAGCAGCCTAGCACCAATATCTGGCAATCGTATCCTCCCGAATCCTTCGCGATCCCGGCATCTGAGCTGTCAGGCCCGGCGTCTCTGCGTTGGCATCTGTCAAGACTCAAGCCTGACATGAGCTCACTGCTCAGAAGGCCTGCCCAGAATGGTCAGCTCGCTACGGCAAAAAGTCCGACGCACGAAGGGTGCGGTGAGAAAGTCCAGATACTCCGTAGAAGCTAAATGTCATCACTGATTCTGCGAGGTCCGAGTGTGATATGTAAAGGTGACGACTCGGCCAGCTAGCCGACCTTGGTTTGGAGCATGCATCGAGCTCTGCAACATGGACCCATCGTCGATGCTCCATTGTTCAATAGACTCAGATTGCTCTCAGCTGCAAACCGGGAGATGGCACGCATAAAGCGATCCTTACGGATAGCACAGCAGGGCAGATCTCAAACGGTGAAGCCAAACTCGAGGGAGAGGCTGCCATCCCTGTCCACGTGACTGTGATTTAGCTCCAACTCCAGTCCCGACTCTCCGCAACATTTTTTCTGCAGCTGAGCCAACCATCGATCCGTCCTCTAACCACGCTTAATTGCATCATCTCCATCACCATCTCCATCTCCATCACCATGTCTGCCTACACCTCCTCTCTGCGCTCTGCTCTGCGCGCTGCCCCTCGCGCGGCCCCCGCTCGCTCCTTCAGCTCCTCGTCGGCGCGCGCTGGCGCTCGTATGAACATCACCGGCCGTCTTGGTGCCGACCCGGAACTGGTTACTAGCCAGGCCGGCGTTGAATACGTGAAGTACCTCGTTGGCGCTAATTCTTTCGCCCCCAGCGCCAACCGTACCACCAGCTGGTTCCGTGTGAAGGCGTTCGTGAATGACAACAGCCGCGACTACCTACTCAACACCGTCAAAAAGGGGTAAGTTCAGAACCTGATCCGGACCCGGACGTGTGATTAAATTGCGTCTGTCTTGCTCGTCTGTCTACGCCAAGGCAACGGCAGAGTCGACGCAAGGGAACGACCGAGTGGGTGGATGTAGTCGGCCAAGATGACTGACTTGACTGGAGTTGGATGACCTGCTAATGAGTTTTCCTCCTGAATAGAACCCTGGTCAGTGTCGATGCCGAGGCTACCATGAGGAAGTACACAGCCCCCGATGGCTCCGATCAGTACTCTCTAAGTCTTGTTCAGCGTGCGTTCTTCTTTCCTTAGCGCTTCTTCGCATACACTTCTCGGTCGAGAACAAACTCGTTGGGCTCGACTTGAATTTGCAGCTTCGTTTTGCTTACTGGCTTTCGCTAACCATGTCCGTTATCAGGCCAACTCGAGATCCTGCGCCGCCCCTACAACCCGTCCGAAGGCGGCGCCTACGATGCCGAGCAGTCGCAGGAGTAAAGCCATTCACTCCCGATAGACGTTCCCGCTTTGAACCCACACACTTTCTATGTCATGTCTAGCTTTGTTCACGTCAACGGATTGATTTGACTCGGTCCCTTGGCCGTGATCTGGGTTAGGATACGCTGTCCCCGCTCCCTGGACACTATTCTCCAAAGGCCAGTTTGCGTATGAGAATTCATCGATTTTGGCGATGTTGGTGTCGTTCTAGAGGTAGCTCTCATATGCCATTACTGGTACCTCAATGTATTATATAACGACCTTCTGTGACAACCCTACATCTTGTTCTCTCCTAGAATCATAACCCGTAATCCGTCCTTGTCTACATCAACGCGAACCATCTTCTTCATCTTCTGCTCGACAGGCGTGTCTCAAGACTCCTCGCCTCCGAAAGCCCGCCGAAAGCTAAACCCCAAATTCAGCAAGCTTCGTAGTAACCTAGACCAGGCACTGAATGCCCTACCTACTGCACTAACCACTAGCCCGGCTCACTTGCCCTGGCCCTAGTTTAGTCTACCCTGCTCCGTGCCAGCCACATTTCATCACTTGAACACGAGGCCGGACGAATACCTTACCTTACCTTGTGTACCTAAAGATCTACAACTTTCCTTCGACCAGATCCTGCGTCGCAAACGTTCGAGCGGGAATTTTGCATTCCGGGGGAGGCCCAGTTTGTATGGTGGGTAGACAGGTGAGGATGATGCTTTCTTTTATCTCATGCTATAATAGGATCCCTGCAGAGAACATACCTACCTAGGGTCCGTTTCATGCATTACGGACAAAGAATACCGCTATTTAATCCATTCGAGCACAGGTTCTGAGAAGAGCAAAGAGTTCTGGTATTTAGCCTTAAGGGCACAAAAGAAATGGCTGTTGTGAACCAGGTCAGGGTATCCCGCATTAGAATAGAATATACATAAATGGACCCGTAGAAGAAAGCGGGTGGTGATTAGAAGTCAGAAGAGAACAGAACTGGGCAGATCATACATACAATGCCTACCTGAAGAAAGAAGGGGGAAAAACAGAACATGAAAATGAAAATGAAGATGTTGCCGCGGCTTAAATTTTGACAGGCCGACCCTACACCTGCAATTCTTCCTGCCTAATAACCTGCTTGACTCTGATAAAGTCTGTTCGCGGGGAGATGGACCCGGTGAGGTCGACGAGGTCAATGCTTCCGCGGCTCTGACTAGTTCCAGCCCAGGCGTTCGAGCAGACGGTGTTGGAGTTTGTAGGAACCGCGAGGTTTGGCGTGGAGCGCGAGCGCATCTTGTCGGCAGAAGCCGAGCGCGAGAATGGGTTCCTGAACCAGGCGAAATGGGTCTTGAGCCCTTCTTCCCTGGGGGCTCCCGGGGCCTCAATGACACGAGAGACAGAGGTGCCTTTTTCAAGGTCTTTTTCTTTGTAGCTGGTTTCGGAGCTGAAGGTGCAGTCGGTTGAGTTTGTCCGAGCGGAATGGTAGAGGTCGTCTCTGTCTTTTGTTAGTATGTGGTCAACGGGTACGGTAAGGATGGGTTGGCATACTGTGCTTGGCTCCTCTTAGGTACGAGGTGCGCTCGACTTCCACCAGACCCTGCTGTAGGCCGGGAGCTCCCGGATGATGTAGTCTCTGTAGGACTGAAGCAGCAATCCAGACCGAAGGGTCGGAGCAGCGAGCGATACATCCGCGATGCATCTCGACCAGTCCCAAAGAAAATGAATGCAACGTAGCCTGCTGTGATGGGGATCCATCTGTCGAAGTAGACCTTACCACCGCCTGGTACCATCTGTATCACACCAGCTGAAGACCCAGGCCCGTGGATGAGCGACCATGAGAAGGCGTGCCACGGCAGGCTCAGCTTGATCTGGACATATACTACGTATGCCTGGAGTGGAACAAGGGCTACAAGCATGACAAAGGCGAGGAAGAACAGACGGAGGAAGCGTGACTTGTTGGTTCCTGAATCAGCGGCGCGGATGATCTCGTTGAATCGGTTCCGGTATCGCTTGAGTCGAAATAGGACGAGGCCTGAGACGTTAGACGAGCTTGAGAATGAGGTGCACGGGACGTACCGCAATAATAGCTCGCAATGAAGCATACCACAAGCGGCCATATATAGCCCAGTGCGAGGCTCACCCAACTTTGATCGAGACTGGTAGTGCATCCGGAGACGCCAAAGATAAAATAGCGGTTGCCTTGGTAGATGAAGTGCATCGCTGCCGCAAACAGGGGAACTATGATGCAGAACAAGACTTCCATGAAACGGCTTATCCAACGTTGACGCTTGCTCGGGACAAGAGTGGCCCGGCTGGTGTCCAGCACACAAGCCAGGCTCCGGAAGATACAAACCAGACTGCCCGGAATTGCAATATATGAGGCAATCATCATCTTCACCTCAATGTCACAAAGACCTGCACCGTCCCACCAGTTGGCGAAATCGTCGGTTGGCCAGATGAAAGCATTGGCGACACTGAAGATATTCAGGACGATGAACCACGCCATCATGATGGCGGCCGGGAAGTTTCTGTTCTTCCAGTGCAAGACTAGAGGAGGAGTAAGGGCCATGATGGAGCTGACAGCAAGCGTCTGCATGACCACTGTCTCCGTAGAGAGCGACATCGTTGGTGTCTCCATGTTGGATAGGTGTAGGCTTGTCAAAACTGGATTGTATGTTGTATCGAGGCCGAGTTCTGGCACGGAGTCTGCTTTCTCATGGAATCACAGCGCAAAGGGGAGGAAAGGTTTGATTAAGAAGGCAAACGCTGAGCCAGCAGCATCATGTTCGGAGAAGAGGAAAGACAAGGGCCAGCCGCCTTAAGGATAAGAAATGACTCCGAAACAGAAACTGGCGTAGAATAGCGGTGTTGAGTCGAGTTCATTGAGACAATCGCCTATTGCAGGCCCTTATAGGGACCGCAATAGGGCGATGGTGGACGAGCAATGCATGGTGGTATCCATGTTATACAGCCCGCTGCAGGCAGGCGGTCCAGTCGGGAACGACAGGGAATCGCACAGTGGGTTTGTCTCTGCCGATCCATGACAATAAGCTCAGCTCTTTAACAGCTTGGGGATTGTGAATAAAGAGGTGCTGCAGCCGAGAGTCATGACCAAGGGCATTCATTGAGCCGACTCAGATATTGCCTGATTCGGGTGTCAATAGATCCAGATCCTCAATTGGGAGAGTTGGAATAGTGTCACCTCTTTTTCTTCTGTTCCCTCAGTTGAGATCCGAATGCTACCTGCTTCCAAGCCTTCCACGGCATTTGTACGACAACCAGTGACGTCTTACGCTCGGTGTTACTGCCCACATTGTACGGACTTTGGAGGGTCTATGGCGGTATGGCCGTGCTTCTCGGGTGTGCCCTCGAGATTGATTAGATGCGAGATTCACCCGAGATACTCGGATCTCTGGATGAGTATTCAAGGTGGTAATGTGCGGTGACAACGGGGAATTGCAGCAATCTGCAAGGGAGACTGATTGCTTCCAAAGACCCCCAGTGGTTCGCTGATGTTGTTTGCTTGAAGGAGTGGTGAGGGAGAGGGAGAGGGAGAGGGAGAGGTCACGAGAGCCGTTAGTGCACTCGCTTGGTTAGGAGGGCGACTAGTAGACGACTGCTGGACGCTAGTGCTGGCAACGCCCCGATCGGCCGCCGCCGTCACCATGACAGGATTATGATCCACCATGAACGGTGGAGCTGACGACCAGATCTGATCTCATCCCCCACGATCTTCAGTCTCCTGAAGAGACGAAGGATGGCACCTCCTTCACGCCCCCTGACATCGCCATGTCGAACTCCCCCAGTCCCCTGAACGCGAATCTGCGCCATCGCGGCCTCGCCCGGGCTGCCACCGTTGCGGAGGGCCAGAGCCAGCCTCCGCAGCCCCAAGTCCCTCCCCAGCGTCGCAACTCCACCTTCTCCGACTCCGTGTCTGAAGCCATCCGCTCGTCTACTGATGAATTGTTCTTCCCACGTGCCGCCGGGAAGCATGATGATGAGGAGTCACATTGGCATTCGGCGCCCCTGGGTCTCGCGCTTCTGCCTGCCATCGCCGGCATTTTCTTTCAGAACGGCAGTGCGTTCGTCACAGATGTTACACTGTTAGCGTTAGCGGCGGTGTTTTTGAATTGGTCTGTTAGACTGCCCTGGTAAGCTGAGTCCTATTTCTACCCGAGACCCTATCTAACCGACGTCTCTTCAGGGAATGGTACCGCTCTGCTCGAAGTATCCGTCGCCAAAACAGCCTCTATGACATCGCACCCCCTCTCGGACTAGACACGCCAATTAGCCCTACTCAAGACGAGCAGGAAGATGAGACATCGCCCGGCCAAGACGAAGATCGGGACCATGACCACGACCACGATGACAGGAGAGAACATATCTCTGCCGACAGCACAGCCGCCGCCGCGGTCGAAGAACTACAGATCCACGAACTGGCCGCGCTCACATCCTGCTTCCTCTTCCCCATCATCGGCACATGGATTCTACACACCATCCGTTCCAACCTCTCCCGCCCCTCCGAAGGCCTCGTCTCAAATTACAATCTAACAATCTTCCTCCTCGCCGCCGAGGTCCGACCCTTCTCGCATCTCCTCAAGATGGTCCAATCCCGCACCCTGCACCTTCAACGCATCATCGCCACCTCAGATGATGACGACAGCGAGCAGAAGGACAAAATCGACGCCTTTAAAGTCATGGACCTCTCCAAACGCATCGAGGAACTAGAAGCCCACGTCGCCGAGGCAGCCGCTCTACGCATATCCACCGTCAACGCCGAGAAGGAGAAGGAGAGGGAGCGCGAGAATGAGAACCGCGGACTCACCCCGCAAGAACAAGAGTACACCCTCTCCCTCGTCTCCCAAGCAGCCGCCGAGTACCGCAAGGGCTTCCAAACGGACATCGACGCCCTCAACCGCGCTATGCGCCGGTATGAAAAACGCACCGCGCTTGCAGCCTACCAGACCGAAAGCAGACTTCACATGCTGGAATCCAAGGCCCGCGATGCGCTCTCGCTTGCTGCTGCGGCGCAGCGGTCCACATCTCATCGCTCTCGCGTTCCAGGCTTAGGACTGTTCGATATGGCCCTGGACTGGACATCCAAGGCTTTCTTGTTGCCGCTGACCATCGGCGTTTCAGTGGTCCGTCTGCCGCTGCTCATTGCCAGGCGCGGTGTCCGGGTCTGCAGGGATATGGTATTTGGCTCGCGCTCGGGTTCGGGTTCAAGCAGGTCCTCGATAAAGAAGAGGTCTCCCACTCCCGCTACTTCCGGCGCTGTTAGTGGCAGTGGCAGTAGTAAAGCGAAAGCTAAAGCGCCGCAAACGCGCAAGCATGCGCCGACATCCGCACCGACCTCGGTGCCGTCGTCGTCTACGCAGCAGAAGCGGACGAAGCGCGCCACAAGTGTAGAGGAGTGAGTCGCTTGGTTCTAGCTTGGTTAGGTTAGCTTCAGTTCTTTCGGAGTGTTCAATTCTGGCTCTGGCTTGGGCTTGGGCTTGGGCCTGGGCCTTGTAGATTAGGTAGAGCGGCTTGGTTCGGTTGGCGTCCACTGGCTGGATGGTACATTGGTGCATGTGTATAAGCATTTTGTGATATAGGCATGTAGGGGTTATCTGGCGACTTTCTGGGACGAAGGGGGAAGATATATTTGGCTACCTTGGTTGCTACATTGAGAATAATTCCGTGGTATTCTAGCATAGATTGTAACTGTAGGTGCTGTCTCAAATAAAGATCACGCTATCTAGCATGGTTGTTTTTGTAAATATAGGTGCAACTCAGGCCAAGCAGGTGTATGGCTTTATATATGCAACCCCCTGCCACCCCAACCCATCTATAAATAACTCTAGCCACCAAACCGAGTATATAACAAACCAACCAAGAACGAAATCATGATACAAGTACGCATTATCTAAGGAAGTCATGGCGCGCCGCCGGACGGTCCGTTATAGTCCACCCCAATAGTTTTGAGGAACGGCTCAATGATACCGCGCTTGCGGTCCTCCAGGAGTCGCCTTTCTTTATCCTTAGATGGGACAGGGACGTCAGAAGATATAAGCACGGATGAGAAGAATGCGGCTAGGGCGCTTTCAACGGCGAGTCGGCGCTGGGCCATATGTGATACGGCGGGGTCCGGTGACTGTGGAAATGAGGATGAGGGCTCCGAGATCGTTAGCTTCCGCCGTAAACTACCGCCGGAAATAAAGGACGTCCGGGATACCGAGGATGTCCGGGAGATAGGTGAGGAGGTTGACGATTGGTCGTCCTTGTCATTGTCCCTAGATTGGTGGGTATCTTTTGTATTTTCTTTGAGATCTGGTTCCTTAGAGTGAGGAGGCATGGACGGGACAGGTGCGACTTCGTTGGCTATTCGCGCCAGCATGAATGTTACGAATGTAAAGGAGACACTGTGCGCCGGTGACGGGGCAAGGCTCTCGAGCACCCAAGCCTGCGAGTCTTCCCAAGAGAGCGGGGTCTGCTTGGCCTTTTCTCGAGCTTGAATTTGTTGGTCGAGGTTTTGCCAGACAGATGCAGAGATGACCCCATCTTTCAGGGAGCGCAGAAACGCAACAAGAACCTCGCCTAGGATCTCGAGTCGATGTAGTGACGGTACTTCAGGAGGAAACACATGGCTGAAAGGTTGGTTGGTATCTAGGGCCTCGCGAGCCAAGGCTAGAAGCGGCGAGCGTGCTTCCTTGTCTTTGAGCGTCCACGTCTCGGGCTCAAAAGGCCAGGCATAACCATGCGGCCCCCTTTCCCAGGGAGCCTTGGACTCATCATCCTCGCCTTGCACCATACTCCATTCGGCAACTGCGCGTTCCGTGAGATCAGAGATCGCCTCGGTTAGCTTGAATAGCTCTCTAGGGGCGGATATCGGAGCTCCTGCTTGGTCATGGCTCTCTGTTGGGCGGGTGGCGACCAGGGTACGTGCGCCAGCCTCGGGGAGCCGAGTGAGTTCCTCCAAGCTACGACCGAATGCGGTTGGTAGCCATTTTCCATATGCAGAGACAAAATGATCTCTGCCATCTTTTACTCGAAGGACCAGGATTTCCTCGAGCTTCACCTTTCCATTATTGAGAAGGCGGACGAACTTGGTGTCTCGCACCCAGATTGTGACTTCAACCATAGCCAGCTCCCCGGGCAAAAGTGTACATTCGTTCGATGACGCTGGTTGGGTTTGGTCTTCAGATTCCTCGTGGTGCGGCTTCTCGACTTTGTACTCTAGCCACGGCGTTGCCTCAGCATCACCGCCGCGCTCCGGTTTCTGGATAGAAAATGTGGCAGGTACACCGCTTGTGTTGGCAACAGTCAACGCCCGACTGGCAGGGACGTCTAAAGAAATATCTCCAAAATCCACAGCATTCGGATCAATATCTGACTTGGACGGTTCACGGCCGTGGTTGTCAACCACAACTGTTAAGCCGGGTCGAGACTCGTTCTCGGCCTTATCCAACTCCCTCACAACTTCCTGATGCACTTGGGCTTTGAGCTTCGGTTCCACGCAGTTTAGTTCTAGCGTGAAGCCAGCAACTAGCGGTTTGTGGTCTGAGGAAAGAACGCCTTGGTGAGAGGTATAATAGTCTAATCGTATGGAGTTGTCCGCTTCTGAGGATACATCGGCCGAGACGTCTTCATTATCTTGTTCGTCGTCCGGATCATATTCATCACCGCTATCACCATCAGCGTCTGGGTCGTAGTCGAACAAAACGCTATCATCGGCCGCGGCGCTGTCAAGTCCCCTCGCTTTCATCTCTTCGTCTCGTTTTCTAGCCTCGGTAGCTTCCTTAACGAGCTTCTCATACCTAAGCTTATCCTTGCGTGACCGGTAAAGGATGCGATCACACCAGCTAGGTCCTCTAAGCTTCTCGCTAGAGTCAAACCGCGCCACGCTGCCGACATCGTACTTGTACGTGGGCAGGAACGAGATCTGGCCCTCCCGCCAACCTTCATGAAAGGCTTTCTGCTTATGTTGTTGCATTCGCAACTGATCATGAGGAAACAATGAAGATATCGTTGTTTGAAGAGAAGCCGGATCCTGATTGGGATCCAGCTCTTCATCAGAGTCGCTTGGAATTACCTCGGATACGGGCGACTGACTACCGACGTCCTCAGCGACGACAATGCGCGGAGACGATGAACCATCAACCTCACGCAACGCGCTGTGTCTCCTGTCGTACTCGTTTTCCGTATGCCGAGCAAGAACCTGCCGTACGTCACCGCCAGGGATATCCTCTAGGCGGTAATTTAGGTCGCCAAACCAGAATGCGTAATCCTCATCTCCAATGCTTTCGCAGGGCGCATCTCGAAGCGTATAGTCAGTATCAACCGGGTCAAATTTTGTACGAGCGACAATCTGTGAGGCGTCCCAGTTCCGTCGGTCTAAGCTGGCCTTGTCCGAGCCCGCCGCCAGGTGACAATTGACGAAAATAAAACACGTAGTCTCGCCTAGTAACAGGCGCGTCGCGACAGCTCCTTTGTTGCCCATGTATCCGAGCAGGCCTGTACCTACACTGGTAGAGCTTACCGCGGAGATGCTATCGGCAATGGACGGGGCAGCATAAATAAGTTGTAATAACCCAATAAGCTGAGTTTCCGCAATCAGTTTGTAACCTTGGGGAAGCGCATCCTCAACGGCTCTTTTCCAGCGACTGGCGGGAGCCGTATCCACATATGGCCTCAATGCTTCTGCAGGCGAGGAGACATCAACGATTTCTTGCAGGCCTAAAACATAAAGATCAATCTCATCAGGTGGGGTCTCGAGGAGCGAAGCAGCTCCCCCGGAGCCTCCCACTTTTGATGCTGAGCGATTTTGCAACGCCGATGCGGGTTGTCCGCATACTCCCTCCTTTTGCACAAACCACTTCCCGATATCTCTCTCCGTGCCAGCGATGGCAGCGACATTCCAGCTCCCAACCTTCACTTTGAGAGTCCGATGGTGGGTATATTCTTCTTTGCGCGCTTTCACGGCATTCGGGAGGGACGAAGGGTCATAGCCGGAGTCTGCGGACCCTCCGGGGTTATCGTTATCGGAGGGGTAATCACCAACCCCGGGGCCGGGGCGCTGCTCATTGTTGGCAACCATACTAAAGCGATCTATTCCGATGTGAGCGAATCACTCATCCCTCCAAAGCTGTCTTCGATATATATGTCAACTTGCGCTTCACCTGAGGCTGGAGGCGGTATAAGGAAAGACGCCGAGGGGCGAGACGTAAAAGGGTAGAGTGGGCGTAAGCAAGGCGTGACCGTCAATCATCACGGGTCGACATTGAGCGCAACTGAGGATCATTAAGGACCGGATAATGGCTCGAGCATCACGCGCGGTATACTAGTGGACGGCCTAGCGGAAGTATAGCGAATGAACCGGAGGGATCGTGGCCCTGGGGATGGTGGAGGCGTAGCAGTGGCGAGTCCGAGTCAGATCCAGGTTTCCAACAGTATCGCCCTCGTACCTGTACAAGCGTAGATATCACAGGATGATGCGAGATGTAGATCAAGAGGGGCCGCAGTGGTCGTGACGGGGCCTGCGACGTCGGAACAGCGCGACCGCCTTCCGGAAGCGGAGACAGTTCGAGCTTCATCTCCGATCTCCAGCGTTCGCTCTTGCCCTCCTGCATCCCGCTCTTGCCCTCGCTCCTGCAATTCATCTCGGCATCGCCCGGACTCGCACTTTATTCTTATATGCCGCCGGATCTGTGAACACTTCACTATGGCGTCACGCAGGCCTCGCCGCCCCAACAACAACAACAACAACCATCACAATCAGAGCAGCAATCAACACAGCAACCCGAGTCACACCCAGGGGTACTTTCAAGGGTCAGGTTACGATTCAGACTACCAGTCCTACCTCTCCGACCCGCAGCAGCTGCTCGACCAGCAGAATCGGAGCATGCCGTCGGCGCCGCCGCGCACAAACGAGGAGCTTAACCTTTCGGTTTTACAGAGCCACAACCCCGAAGTCAAGTCGATACAGTCAATTGCGCCATTCGCGGTTGTCTACACATTTAGCCCGACAACACGGCAATGGGAGAAGACCGGGGTGGAGGGCACTCTTTTTGTTTGTCAGCTCGTAGCGGGGAGTTTGGGGGAGGAGCGGTACAGTGTGTTTGTGCTGAATCGACGGGGCTTGAATAACTTCGATCTGCCTTTAACGCATGGCGATAACGTGGAGCTTACGGAAGAATATATTATTCTCAAATCTGACTCCACCTCCGACCCCAGTAATGCGCGCCCTAGCAGCGATGTTCGCATCTATGGGCTTTGGGTGTTTTCGGAACCCCCGCCCAGTTCTACGGCGGAAACGCGCAACATCAACGCCCAGGTTATCCGGGAATGCGCAGTTATGGCCGGGCACAGTCTCAAATTGGCCCGCGAGCGACTCGAGGCCGCGCGCCAGAATGGCTTACATGCTGCTGCGACAGCGGCGTCAACGACCATAGACCCCCTGGATGAAGTACAGGGCAGCGCTCCAATGGGTCGTCAGATCTCGCTTAGAGACTTGTTTGGTCAGGAGAGGGCGCAAGATGATGGATGGAGTGTGAGAGCGCATAGTCAGCCAACACAGGCACAGCCGGAACCGGCCGCGAGCGAATCGCAGGATGTATTGGGAGACCTCTTTAGGAGAAGCGGTTTAGTTTATCGAACCGGCCCGAACTCATGATGATCCGATTGTACGAATGCAACGATTATAGACGACCTTGGAATGTTTTGGTCTCCGGGCAGAGCTCGGTTAAGGGCAATCAGCCGAGTATGCCATTGGTCTCATTCCATGCAACCGGTGATTCACGTCTATCTACTTTCTCAACGACAGAGTTATGCGCAGTCCCCTCGTCCGGGATTGGCGGCTATGGGGGTCCATATAGAAAGTCCGACCTAGTCAGTGATCCGCCGGCCGGACTTCTGAACCAGAACGGATGATGCCACTGTAACGCAGGCTCGTGACGAACGTGACGAATTTCAACTTTGGACTCTTCAACCCATCCGCTATCGGGGTCTCTACCCCCTGAGTACATTAATGAAGATGTCCTCCTGATCTGTACTTCTTTCTGTAACAGTTCTCCAAATCATGAGCATCATCTACTCTATTATTTCTTGAACCATATCAGCCACTTTATTAGCCATGGTCTCATTGTGCCCTAAATATCACGTCAACATCATTAACCAAGAGAGCAAACCAACTAGACGAAACTTACTCAAACAAAACGCATGCGGCACCGACTCTTCGCAGACAATCATCTTCGGTCCATGCCCAGTCTCTGCATGCAACCCACCCCGCGCAGCAAGAATCTCCTCCCTAGTCTGCTCCGCAACCCAATGGTCATTGCGCCCAAAGTAGAAGTAAAGCCTGCTTAACGGCTGCGACTTCTCTCCTGCAGTCGGAGTCGACCTCGACACGCCCCAAACATCATCGCTCCATTGATCAGAGGTAATATTCCGCATTTCGTCTGCGGCCATATGTCTTCCCACCACATTGAATGTCAGCAGAAGCACACTGGAATAGACCTCAGAAGCAAAGGAAAGGACGCAACGTACAAAGCCTGTCTAACGCCATGCTTACTCTTCAAGAACTTCGTCGTCAACTCAACAGCACTCTCAGGCGGCGCGCGCATGACGGACCGAACAAGCCCTCGTAGCATCCCAGTCGGAAGAAGCGCGGTTAGGATCCTCGCGAAGAGAGACACCAGGAGAGCGAATTGCGGGATTATGCGGAGGAGGAACTGGGCACCATTAGCATAGTATAACCAAGAGATAAGGTAAGTTAGCAGTAGACGAACGGTTAATTTCTGGCCCGAAGGCGACTTCGCGATATCAAGCACCGTCGGGAAGAGCATGATGCCGCCGACGATGTCGAAGTCGGCATCGGCATCTCCCTCGGCATTACTAGCAGTGCCAGAGTTCTGGCGTTCACGATGACGCCGCAGTATCTCCATCGCAATATACGTGCCCACCGAGTGCCCGATGAGAATGACCTTTGGTTTCTCGCTCGCCACGTCGAGGTCAAGGTCGTTGGTGGAAACGGGGTCTGAATCTCTGCGTAGCCTGCGCATGTGTCCGTCTAGCCGGCTCTGCACGAAGCAGATTTGCTCTTCGAGGTTGTGGATGTGTTTTGCCTTTCCACTTTCTTGTGGCGTTTGCTTTTCATGATTTTGGAGAGTTGGTACCCGCTTGCCGGTACTCTTAGGTTCGAGCTCGAATCCCGCGAGACTGTGCCCGACGATATGCACTCCGCTTTGCCTTGCAGCTTGGCTGGATGCTATGTTGCTGCTGAGTAGGGAGAGGAACAGTTGGTAGTAGGAGATTAGCCCTGGGTTGCCGGAGATGAAGTAGATGGTTATGGGCCAGGGGCTTAGCAATGAGTCTGAGGGTGAAGGTGAGGAGGTAGTTCTATGGAAGAAACTGTCTGGTGTGATATGGGGCTTGGGGATGGTCATGTTGTTCCCTGGTAAATGGCTGTGCTGGGGAGATGTTGATGCGAGACTCGGTGGATGGGCTCCGAGAAGAGAGCCAAGAGCGGATCTCCAAGCGACTCGATGGACCACAGAGCACAAGCATAGACACTCTACACTAGATAGACCAAGTCTGATGCATTTCAATTTTTTTTCTCTTTTCAATATCTTCGTCTGACTGTATGTAAATCCCAAGTTCTACATCTGAATCATTGCCCAATCCTGGTCCGCATGAATCTTAGCAACGCGCAAATTGTATCAGTGCCAACATGAACAAACAAACACAAAAAAAAGCAAAGCAAAAGCATGACAAGAACAGATGTATAAGTTGAACCCACTCGCCTGGCTCCCTGCTATGATGGTATATTGACAATGATAATGATGACAATGATCATGCCGGTTAGAAACTGACGAAGAAATCCACAGCAAGCAACGCAGAAACAAGTCCAGTTGATACAGAGAATAAAAAAAAAAATACACGATGCCAACAGCTCGCTTTTGGTTTCCGGCTTGAAATGGTTTTAGTACCCGAGTCCTGAGATGCGATTGACGGCGAGCCAGGAGGATTGAGCTCCGATAACGAATCCGGTGGCTTGACGAGTGTCGAAAACCGCGAGCATTGTCCCCATGGAATTGCGCGATCCACGCGAATACCACAAGACGATTGCAACCCGATATGCCGATTGTTTGAAAAGACCTGAACGCCGATGATGAACATGAAAAACCCAAGTGCAAGAAACAAATGTCATATACTACCATAAAAGCCGGAAAACGGCCATTCACTGCCATATATTGTTTTGTTCGAGAGGTCGCCGCCTCTATTATACAATGTCAAACCTCCGAATCGAAGAGGAGGTATAGTCGAGCCTCGACTTGGATGTGTCAACGCATGGCTCGGCACAGGCTGTACAAGTGCTTTCGTATATTTTTGCCGACCTGTTATAGACCAAGTCAATTGCCCAAAGCCACACAGGCCGGGAATAGAATGAGATGTTAACCACAAGAGACCCAATCGTTGGTAGTTGAAGTCTTAAACCATGAGCGGAATGTTGACTAGCCCCCTTTTCGCATAGACTCGTCAACTGGTAAGGGCTCCGCACCATTATGAGGTCCATGGCGATGGTCCGAGGAGAACTTGTTATTCTTTTTGTTCTTCCGCTTGGTCGTCTGCCATCCGGAACTCGCATGGGTATAATTGGAGTCTTGGCACGTTGAGCCCGTCTTCCGCGGTCCACCGACAGCCCGCTCCTTCTGATCATTTAGCCCGGTGGATAATGTTAGATTCCTAGGTTTGCCCTTATGCGTAGCCCCGTTGTTCTTTTCTGGCGCATCGGCGCCATGGTGTCGGCGCTTCCCGTTGGGCGACGCCATATTCGACTCTGTGGCATGAGGGAAGCTCGAGGTTGAGAGTCCTTTGTCCACGGCGTGATTGATCTTGTGGCGAAGCGGTTCCCTCTCCGCAGCCTCATGATAAGCTGAAGTTGCCTTCGTTTTGTCTTGCGCAGGTTTTGATGAGTGTTCGGTCTTCTCACCATTCGAAAGATGGAGACCCTGGAGTCGACTTGACAGTAGGCTCGGCTTCGCACTATGGCCATTGACGTGGCCATTGACAAAGACATCGGCGGGGTTTCCCATTGCATGCGAGTCGATCCCTTGATGGCCATAGAAGGGGGTTGGATCAATCTCTACTGAGCTGCTATCTTGAAAATCCTGAGAGAACGAGTCCGACACGCTGGCAGGCGTATCGGTGTTCTGGTCATCAGAATTCGATGGGCAGTGAGCCATTAAGCCATAGTGGTCATAATGGTCAGTAGGGATCGAGACTCGTTGCTCACTGGGCGGCACCGACCCATCCACGATGAGTGGCCCGCCACGATCGCTCGAGGCCGCCGTTCGCGAGCCCTTTCTTTGTTGCGACTGACCGGATTTTGGCGATGTAACGGAGCCGTTGTCGAACGCCTGGCCGTAAGCTTCAGCCCCCGAAGCTGCGGACATGTAATCCTGTGCATTCCCAACGAAGGGGATAACGCTACCGTTGGGCATTGCAAGCCCAAGTGACGCTGACAAAGGTGAAAGCATCGCATTTTGGTGATAGGCATGGAGCTGCGGAGAACTGCCGAAATAGTATGCCATGTACTCGTTCGCTCGAGCTTCGTCCAGGAACAAGGGTCGGTTGGGTAAGCTGTTGGGTATGGGTGTACCATCTTCCTCGCTCAGTGAATCATCTGAGGCACCAGACGGATTGCGCTGGTTCGAGGACTGCGAGCCTTCTGCATGTTGAGCCATGGAATAGAGAGGAGCAAAGTTGGGAAGGGAGTTGACGGGGCGGGCGGGCTGCGAGTGGGCTCTGAGAGAGCCACCCGGAGAGCCATTGGCAACTGATGATCGACGCGGGTTACGGCGGAGATCAGGCATCGCGATGGCGCCGGCCGGCGATGGCGGGTTGGTGTTGCTTCCAGGCCCTCCTGGTACGGCAACTGGAAGGTACGCCGAGTTGTAGTAGACATTCTGCCGGGACGGTACGCCGTTAGGCGAATGATTCACCGCACCAGATCTTGAGCCGGACCGTGAGCGTGAGCCATCATCAGCTGAAGTTTCCTGCGCGGGCACTGGGAACTGGATAAAAGGCTGACGGATGAGGACAGGCGGTGGCCGCCCAGTAATGAGCGCTTGGCTTTGCAATTGTAACCGCAGTTCTTGTTCCTGTGCCTGAAGTATTTGTATCTGCTGATAGAGATGGTCGTGAAGCAGATACTGTGCATGCTGAGCGTGGAGCGATAGTTCAGACGCGCTGATACCGCCGTTCGTTTGGCGAAAGTGGTTCTTGTTGCCAGTATTCGAGCTGCGACGGCCGCCAGAGTGTCCGCCTCGGTTGTATTGATTCGAATGTCGCCCACCTCGACCACCACCACGACCACCCCGAGAAGGTGGAGGCGCGGTAGTGACAATCGGCCGTGGCTGAGGAGGCGGCCTTTCCCATGAGCGCTCCGCTTCGGGAGGGTACTCGTACTGCTCACAGCATTGCTCAAAGTTACCGTCTGAAAGGGCCTTGAACGCCCTGCGCAATTCCATGTGCACACCCCTGAAAGACGTATCATCCGCCGTGTTGCCCAGATTCCGTATCGTGTTGAAAGGCTCCTCGACGCATAGACGATTGTTTTGCAGTAGATGCCAGCCTTTACCCTCTTTGGATATCAATTTTCCCTCTCGCACTGAGACAACATATTTCTCATAGTCAAGTTCGTGACCGTAGTAACGAAAGAACTGAAAGAAAAGCTCCCCTAACGACTGCTTGTTTTGTTTTCCATAACCCATTAACGAGTCCAAATCATCGTCGAATGAGCACACCAACCCATCAGCGGTCAGCCGCTTCTTATGAGGCCGCGCCTGGAGACTGGGTAGTATCGGAGGTTCTCGAGTCTGTAGGAAGTTGATGATCAAGCAAATCCAGGTATAGGAACTTAACGTGCCACCAAGACCTTGAACGGGCAAATCAGTAAGAGCAACACCTTCATTGCGGAGCGCGTGGGAACATACCAGCGTCGTTGAGTATCCTGCGCTTTGTCCAGTGTTTGACAATCATCGCCAACGGCCGTACTCGCTCATCGATTTCCACATATGTCCGAACCATCCGTGTATTCTCTAGCGCCATTGTATTGTTGACGTTCATGTCGCACGCTAGGCGGAGTTCAGGATCCCAAATCTTCACTATAGGAACCTTTGCATGTGAGATACAAACAACTCTCTCCATTCCGTCTAGTTTAAACAGAAATCTGTCAGCTTCGCTCGTCGCGCGACCAAAAAAAATGGGTTCTTACTCTTTGCGAGAACATCTGCTAGTAAGCACACATGCTCTAGGTCCTTGCAAGTCGTTGTTATACAGATGTCAACTGCATCAAGTCAGTCAGAGAAACCTATTGCGCCGATGTAGATACGCACCATCCGAGTCGCTTGAACATAATTTATTCCCAGACGAACCAAAAACATGGACCTTAATGTCACACCCGGGCCACTGCCGGTTGAAGAGATCCTCCAGCTTCCGGACAAGCCTCCGTCGCCGACTGTCGCTCTCCGCTGATGGTAGCAAACGGTCGTAGACTTCCAACATATCCGCCGTAAGCTTCCTTTCCTCCTCCGGCCGAAGCCGTTGTTTAAGCCCTTCCTTTTCCTCCGGCAGGACATCGGCACCTATTGAATATGGCATTCTCCGGCGAAAGAACGACATGGCAGTCTCGTATTTGCAGCCTTTGAACGGTTTCCGGGCGGATGGGGGAATGTGCGTCGACTCCGAATGGGTCGACCGTGGCGACGTGCTTCCATGACGGGGCGAGGGGGATCTGGAATGGAAAGAGATTTTCCGCGCGTGTTGATAGGGCGTAGAAGGGAGAGAGTTGGACTGTTGTGAGGTCAACGCTGGTCGATTGGGTGTCTCTGAAGACTCCTCTTTGCTCGGACTCCACGGCATGGTCGAAGGTTTTGCCGACGCTATCGGTGACCGTTCACCTGGCCTGGACGATCGACGGTCATTCCCATCGGTAGCTGTGACCATATAGCAACACCCAACGTTGTCCGACAACGTTGGTCTCCAAAAAGGAAGTTCGCAAGGGACGCCTTATCGAGTCCAAATACACCAAAAACGCCGGACTCGACCAAACTCCGGTTTTCGCGTCACCGCAAAAAGGCTCGCCACAAGCACAGTATGTGCCTCCTATATTTCCTATACAGTATGTACCCTTCTATACCCAGCAACTATAATAGGCGGCGAAAAGAATGTGCGAGGAAAAGGGAAACGGCGTCGAGAAGGACGTAGCGTAGCGGAGGTATCGGCCGGCGATGTTCCAGCAAAATGTGCTGCTGCGTTACCACGTCCGTAACAGACTCCAGACGTGACGAAGCAGGACTGCAGGGTACGAATTAGCAACTGGTATAGGGACTCTTGACAAGAGTAAGGAATTGCGTTTCTAACGCGAGGCAACTTGAGTCGGGCAGCTGGGGTCGTGACTGGATGTTCGTGACAACGGAGGCGGTTTAAGGGGAGTGAGTGCGATAGACTCTAGCGGGAAGGGCAAATCTCAGAACCGCACAACTCCAACCAGAGGGTCACAAAGAGATAACAGGAACACACAGAAAAAAGCCCCCAGATTGAAGGACCAGCCTGACAATTCAAGGGATTGTTGTGGACGTACAGGGATTTTTAGGAAAAGGCGTTGAGTTGTTGTAGGGCAGGTTGTTCAGGTTAGTGAACGGGGGAGGGGACAGCGCGTGCGGAGGGGATCAATCAGGGCGATCGGCTGAGAGAGCCAGGGGAATCTCCCATGCCCAGCTTTCCCGGCTGCTCCACGAGTCAAGTATACTCAACTATATACTCAACTATACTCCCTCCACAGGACTTTTGCACTGTGTTCGCACCACGAAATTGGAGAGAATTGGGTGAGATGAAGTAGTAGATGCAATGATCAAATGGCCACGCCAAACAAAGCTGAGCTTGGCTCGCATGTACCGGGGTAAGTAAATAAAGAGCAGGCGAATTATGCTGGATCCGGCCCTCAATGACGGCCTTAATTAAAACTTTCTTGATGCTAATTGCTGAGCTATTATTATTGTTCCCTCCTTGGGTACGGTGACATAATATATTAGGCCCTGGCAGCTGTTTCTTCAGCATTATCACCCTTTATCCTAACATCTCAAACAGTATATCTTCATTCAACAGGCCATGGAACTATGGTAGACACTCTGCGCTGTCCAAGAGCTTTGTCTCAGACACGTTCTCTCCAAACAAGCAGACACCGTCCCCGAGGTTTGTTGTTTGTTAGTGTCTCAAGTTCTATCACCCGCTCTACTCCGTACTCATAATGTGGTCAGCTATGTCAGCAATCCATGAGTAGATTCAGGGCCCTACGCCTACGCGGCTGAATATTCAGGTGTCGATTGTAGGCACTGGAAATACCAAGAAAGCCACGCAGCTGCAGAATCTCGATGCTGAAAGGGGTGCGCTGTCAGCCAGCCCGAGACGCCGGCCGCTGCATCCGGACAAGGCAAACTTAATTAACTAAGAGACACGGAGCGATAGGGGACGCCAGAAAGTCTCTAGGGGCTAGAGGAAGCCATGAAAAGAAAGGAGAGCAGGAACAACCCTCGATCCCTCCATTCGAGCCTAGCAGAAGGCATGCTAAGTTGAGGCCGTGAGGAAAGAGCCCCTGGACAGGCTAGGAATCTCGGTTAGAAAGAAAACACCCAGATCACGGATCATCAACGGTTGCTCAATAAATTCGTAGAATCAAATTCAACGGCTCTAGACCCTCGGGTCCTTGATTGGACAAAGCTCCGATTGTTTGGGATTATTCACAGCACTTGTGCTTTAGCCTCTCCGGTCCTCCTAGCACTGGATCCCAGATATATTCAGCCGAGTCTTCACGTCGACGGAGTTCCTTCACGATCCAGCGCCAGTTGCCGGTTAACTTCTAGCAATATTCCTACACAAACCGTTATGATTGCTGTTCTACGTAGTCAGGAACTATGAATATCCGTCCCAGAAGCATGGTACCAAGAAATATCTCCTCGGGGACCTGCGGCGAGGATACACTAGACAAATTCCTCTCCTTGGTTGGCCTTCCACCATTCGATCTTCCTCGTGGCCGCCGCCATTGAAAGCGGGCCATCTGACTCTATTCAATTGGATGCACGCTTGAACAACAAAGAGTGCCAAAACAGGCGCGGCCCATGGATCAGGAGAGCCGTCGCCAACATCCTATACGTTCGACGTTATCTGTTCTACGTACAATGCTGGACCATTTGCATTGACGAGCTCTTGCGGGGCCGAAATCTTTGGCTTGAAGATCGTGCTTGACGCAGGGGTTAGGTTCTAGTTACGGAGTAGATCGCTGAATCAGGGCATCGGAGATTCGACAGGCTATCGATCGACTCGAGTCGAAAGGTTCGCGTCCTCCGTCATCCTTGTCTACTCAGCATCACAAAACAGACAACGGACAATCTCGGCGAAGCTTACCGTGTGCGAGAGCTCAACTGCTCCTCGTTCCTCGGCACTCAACCATAGTGAGGCACCGTTCACCAGATAAAGGACCACTGCTTGAGACAAATCAAAACTGATCCGAACATTGCAGCCGCCAACCATAACTGACATATGATCGAAGCCACTCGCAGTACAATGACGACGAAATACATCTTGTGATCCAATAGGAGGTGTGGCACATAACCTACTACTGTAGGGGTCCGAGTGCAGTCCATGATCCATGCTCTACTTTCGATGCCCCACTTACTCTTGAGTAAGTCGGTGTCAAATAACAGTGTCAGGGCACGGAGTTGACAATGTCTATTATGTCTGCAACGTTTCTGACAGTCTTTGGGTGCAGCCACTACAGTTATGGTATCCCGGCTCAACTTTAAGCCTCGAGATAGTGGGTGTGGGGTTGTAGGGTGCTTTGAACGTCGTTCCTCGACATCCTCGCCCGTCCACCTGCAGACTGCATGTTCTGCGGCTGACAAATGATACCCGCTTGATCATCGATTCGTTCAGCATCGAGCGTGATACAAGTGTGACCCTTGATCAAGGTGATTTCATCCTTATGCTCGGTTGCCACCCCTGTCTACCTGTACTTTGAGGAGTACCACGTTCTACAGCTTAGCGAGCCCAAGCTTATTCCGTCCTCATGAATCAAGTTGCCATCGGCCGTATTCCGCCGTTATCAGGAGCAGTACGTAATCCAAAGAATACAGTTCTGTCAGCGACCCAGCGCTCGACGATAGGGACGTCGGCAGCTAGATACCTTACGGGTTACAGAATATCTACTTTAGAGCTGTCGGCAGGTAGGTAAGCAGCGTCGTATGACGGCGTAAAGCAGACAAATACAAGGCAAAGTACAAACGCTACAAATTTGATCAGAGTTCAAGCTTATGTTTCTACGTTACTTTGTATAGGTAGGGTCGTATTCCTACGCTAAACTAAATCGTGTTGTCCGGCTCAGTTGCTATATATCTTAGTCCAGAAAGTGCCTCGGACTAATTGCTTCCATCCATCATGCTGCGTATAAGAACTAAAACATGGGCGTCTCAATGACCAAGAGCGAAATGTACTGATGGAAGATACTCCGTCCATACAAGGACACGGGAATTCCCTCAAAGACGAGCCTGAACCAAGACTTGGAGGGTGGGACAATGTCCAAAAGGTTGTCGGCCGGCACTAAAGGATCGAGAGTTGCAACCTCGACGGCCAGCCTGGAGCCCAGAAGGATTGATACTTGCTGCACCTTCGCCCGCATACGCCATTGTGCATCTGATGTTCTGGGGTCAGCGGCAAATTTGTTTTCCCTGATTTCGTTCACTGTGGCTTCGTATTCCGACGCTCTTTTCTGCTCCCAAGGTGATCGCGATAATTTCTCTCAAGGTCAAAAGCGTAGGATCATCTCTCACCCTTGACCACGTATCCGCTAGGCCGTTTGTGTATCACGCACGGAGGAGAAGAAGGGACCTTGGGTGGGCCTCCGTCTCCATTCTACGGAGTACTGCACATGAGGATGGAAGAACCAAAGTCCAAATGTTGAACAAAAAGAAATAGAACAATGCAGTTCTATTGGTCCTGGCGCCATTGATGTATAATTTGGCAAGACGGACCGTTCCCGTCGCATTGTGAGCGAGGGCCGTGGGCGGAAGATGTTCGAACCTTGCGGTAGAAGTCAAGAAACGGGCCCGAGCAAAGCAAATCAAAACTCCGAAGGCCCATAGTCACATTATTTTTTATTCCATCCGCCCACCTTGTCTGTGTTCCTTTGCTTTTTCCGTCTGTTCATGACATGAAAGTCTCCAAGGTTCTTCCCTTCTCAGTATCATGCGTATTACTACAAGATTCATAGCTGTAGCTATGGAGAGCGTCCCGACTTCCGGCTGGCAGGCAATATAATTTAATTTTGGCTCAAACGCCTCAAGAACAGAATCTCTGTTGATTAAACGCTCTCCCTTAAAACTGTCAAGTTATCAACTGGAAGGAGCTTATTATTACTATCATTTTATTACCACTTGTTATTGCCGGTCAAAGTAATAATAATCAAAATAATATCCACTTCTCGCTTCCCCCTCTTCGCTCCCTGCTCGCTCCCCTCACACCCGATCTCCTTATCCTCGCGAGTCGCCTTTTACCGTCGCACCTCTTCTACCCGACTCACCACTCTCTTTTCCTCTTCCTCCTCCCCACCCCCCCGTCTTATTTCCTCTTCCCCCACCCCTTCTCTCCCTTTTTCGTTTCTTCCACGTCAGACTCAGTCGTCTGTCGTGCCTTGGGATTGAGATTCTGCTACTCTTGTCGCTCTTTCTGCCTCGTTCACTCGTGGTAGAGCGCCGGAATTCTTGGGGACAATCACTCCTTTTCTTGTAAGCCGCCGTCCTTCCGTTCAGAAGTCTTTCCTCTTCACCGCAGCATTTATCATTGGGTCCGACCGAACAAAAAGCGTCGATTTTCTCTCTGTTTTCTACGGGTTGGCTGCCGTCGGGTTGTGCTTGGGTTTCCTTGGGTCCTCGAACTCTCTTGGTTGGCACCCGAGCGGAGGTGAAAAAAAGTTTCACGATACCTCGACGGGCACAATCCAGGTACTTTAAGACTGTCTATGTCATCGGTCGCTACTATTCTCGACAGCCCATCCTTGTCATCCGTTTTCTTGACCCTCGGTTGATCAATTGGCCACGTTTATTTTGCCCTCTTCCGATCGAATGCTTACAATTCCATTCCCAGTCTGGAATAGGGTTTGACAATTTCCGAGCGAATTAGGTACCTTCGCCGTTCCTCTTCGTCTAAACTCCGAAGCCTCTTATCGGTCAAAATGGCGTACTACGAACCGCAAGGCTGGCAAGCCCCTTCTTCCCGCCAGGCTTCCTGGGAGCAGCCTGTGCCTCCGTCGCGATCAGGTATGAATCGAATATGCCATTCCGCGATTGAAGTTTCTGCGACACCGAATCAAAAGCTCATCTTTTCGTTTTCAGGATCCAGTTCCGTCTCGCAACGTGAAGATATCCCCGCTTTCTCCTCGCAGTTTGACGGTACGCACTCGACAAGTTTTCATTTGTTTTGCCCGGCACACCATCTTCCTTCCTACCCGCGGTACACCAGAAATAAAGCGCTGTAGTATTCGAGGTTATGGGCCGCGATGGTGTATACCGTCCACGAAGCATAAGAGAGCAGTCGCTGACTTTCCGTCGCAGAGGTCGATCGCGCCATTGACAACCTTGTTAAAAGTGGAAAACTCTGGGCAGCACCGCGGAGAGACTCGATGCCAATGATGGTTGGCCGCCCCCACCCTGAGTACGGTACGGAATCTCGACCACCTTCTTCAGCAAGGCCCTATCCTGAACAACCATTCACAGACCCGCGCATGCCGAACCCGGCCCAGCGCCACCACTCAATTAGCGACTTCGACGGCGCCAGGATGCACCCGAACCCCAACATGCAAGGCTACTACGCCTCGCAGCGTTTCCAAGGACGCCCCAATGAAGTGGATCAGATGATGCAAGCAAAGCGTCGGATGGCGGCACAGCGTGAGAGGGAACTCCGCAACTATCATCAGGAGCAGCAGTACAACCGAAGTACGTGGTAGCATTTTGGAGCTTTTTCTTTCCTTATACATCCAAGATTCCCCGTGCTCATTCTACCCGCATGTATCCATTGCCTTGTATAATACATTGGGGTATTGCCCCATACTTCTTTTGGAGAACATGGTTTAATAATTCTTTTTCCTGAAAGGCCTTCTCGCCGAAATGTCAGCCGGCAAGTCCGACCGTTCGCTCAGTCCAGCCGCCGTGAACGAGGAGAGTCGCCGAGAGCTTCTGGCTCGCCAGCACAGGGCTTTGTACGGCAACGAAAGCCCCGCCTTCTTCCCTTCCACCAGTTTCGCTGAGGATGGCTCCCGCCCTGAGAGCCAGGCTGGTGTTCGAGGCGCTTCCCCCCGCAGCGTTGATCCCTTTAGCCAGGGTTCGATCTCCGGCCCTGAAGGCATCGCTCAGGCAAACGCCGGCCCATCCGCTATCCAATCCCCCTCACGCGCGAACAGCACCTCTTCTCCGAGCTCCGCCGTTTTTGGAAAGTACGACAATGCTGAACAGCCCGTGACCTCGGCTTCTTCGCCCGGAGCGGACTCTCCATCCTCGAGACAGGCACTTTCGAAATCGAGCGTTGGCCCTATCGGCACTCGTCCGGCACAGCAAGCTGGACCTGCTCAGGTCCCCAACCCTGCTCTGAACAAGCGATCCACGACCCCCCTGCCTTCGCCCCTGGGTTTCAGCTTCACAACCGGTGAAAGCATCAATGACCGCTCCATGTCGATGTCAGCTGCTTCCAACCCCGCCACGTCCGCCGCTGGCCCGTCCGGTGTCAAAGATCCTTCCGGTGGCGTTGGGCTCGGCTGGAGCAACAGCAGCGGTGTTTGGGGCTCCAAGGCTGGACTGGGCGTCCAAGCTTCCGTTTGGGGTTAAGCGAAATCCTCACGAAATTTATATCTTTCTTTTTGGTTCATATTTTCCGCCGTGGCGTTCTGAAGAAAGGCTTTCTGTCTACACTGGGAGTGGATGATAGTACATATATGGAGGAGGGCAAGCTTGGTGCAACGATGGTTTCTTTGTCTGGGAGTCGGTTCATGCGATGTCGATTTGGTACATGGTTTGCTGGCTTGGTGGGAGCTTGGTTGGCCTGTTGGTTTCCGGAGTCGGTATTCCCCTTTGGTGCTTGCTGTCTGCATTCAATCCTTACTCGCCCTTCCTTGGTTTATTCTGGCTGCATTTGGATCATCTTTGTTTCCTTGTCATTCTCATTGCAGTTGTTTTTCTGGTCGGATTATGTCTTCAGTATGTCGGCTCTTATTTCCAACTCGTCCGGGGGTTCAGGTGTTCAACATCACTGTGGGTTGTCTACAAATATGGCCGGAGCTACGCGTGTTTTGTCTACTTCCTTTTTGGCACTGGGGTTTTGGGCAGCAAAAGGGTATCTCCATCTTCTCTCATAGTCACTGTTTGGAATTGGGTTCTGTTATGGGCAAAAGGAACATGGGGAGCAGGCAAACGTCAAAAGAGTTCTTGGAGTTTGATCTGAGCCGCATCTTTATCGTGTTAATGCTTGGTCTGGTTTACTGTCATCATGGCTTTCTGTATCTACTGCTATTTCTTAATAATCTTGTTGTTGGTGTACTTTGTACAAAGTAGAATAGGCTCTGTCTGGCCTTGCATGTTGCGACAACGCGAGGATTCCGTGATATAGTATAGCGACAGACTATAACCAAGGAGCACGGACTAGACCATGCAGGGGAGAGAGCACTAGACAAAGTCTGGTACCCTTTGTTCCTGGGATGGGATTAGGCGAGCGGGGGCTGATGGCTGCTTGAGATAAGCTTGTTTCCTGGCCTAACTAGTCTATATCAAGTGAGCAGTTGATCTACTCCGTAGTATATCAGAGTTGGAGTGTTCCACCGACGTTCCATGGGTACTCCGTAGGCTACGCGGGGAAGACGGTCAGGAATCGCAGCAGCAGTGTGGCCAACAGAGTTGACGGCGCACGTCATCCCGAGCGAGCTTCTTTTTTTGTTCTCACCCCTGGCTGGCCCCCTTTCTGATGCAGTGATACTATTCTCAGCTCTGACGTGATTCTGGAATCTGTGGAAGCTCGCAGGGGCGCTGGAATCCCTCCCCTCCCGCCTGGAGATCATCGACGCTTAAGCCTAATCAACCCAACGTTCCCCAATCCCGCCTAGCCAGCCGTCCCGGACGCTCCTCTTGTGCTGCCGACCCCGTCAGCCTGTCACCACTCACCACTCACGACTCTCGCATGCTCTCCTCTCGCTTGTCCCTCGGTCGCGTGTGTATCTTCCATCCTGTCTCCTCTCGCGCAGATCCAAGTCTGGCCGATCGAAGACCCTGAGCGACGTGATTCCGATTCTCGCGCCGACCGCTGCCGAGGCCGCCAGGTGGTCCCGACTCCGTCACCACCACCACAACCGCAACCACAACCATCTTTCATCATCGTCAGCGACCAGCAGATTTCCGCCTCCCCGTCTGTCCATCATCGCCTGCCGCCGCCCTTCCTCCTTCGCTCCCCCTTCTGCTGACCCCGCAACGACAGTACCGTGTCATCATCCTTTCGTCCTTCTCCAAGCTCCCATCCGCCGACCCGCGCTTCGTACCTTGGCGCTCTTCTCGCGCCGGTGCACTCGTCGTCCCTGAGGCGCTTGAGTGACGAGCGGCCCCTCCTCTTCTCGGCCAGAACATGGCGTCGGAACTACAGCCGCCCAGCGATCGCAAGCGGGTTAAGGTTTATGAACTAAAGGAGAATGACTGGTTCGATCGAGGAACAGGGTTTTGCACTGGCCAGATCCTCAATGTAAGCTCTACCTGTTCATCGTCGCATGGCATGACCGGACATATGGCATCACCACCACCCGCCCCGTCCGCGCGACCGGGGTAGCCAGCATTTTTTGGGCGCAATATACCGGATGGAATTGGCGCGCTGGTTTATATATTGAGGACTCGTTAACCGCGGGCTTTTCGCTTGATAGGATGAACCGCGAATATTTGTCGAGTCGGAGGATACACCCGACCGTGTGCTCCTGGAGACGAAAATCTCCAAAGATGGTGGGTACCAGAAGCAGCAAGGTAGGTTCCTCGAGATGGTAATAGACGAATGCGATTCGCTTACACTCCATGCGCTATCCAGACACCTTGATCGTGTGGACGGAGCCAAACCAGACGGATATGGCGTTGAGCTTCCAGGAAGCAGAAGGATGCGCATTGATATGGTAACCATTCCCCCTGGCGCAATCGTCTGGCCTTTACTCACGTGTTAAGGAACTTCGTCAATTCCGTTCAGCAACACCTTCTCAATATGGCCGCAGGTGGTAGGTGTCTTGTTATCAGTACATCGTCGCGTCGTCGCCTGCCCTGCATTATTGTAACTAACAATGTCCGCGCGTACAGATGACGCCCTATCCGAAGACCTCGAGAGCATGCATCCAATTACCTTACCTGCGCCCGAACTCGTGAACCTCCCCGATATCGATCATCTCATGAGAGCCGCGAGCATGGCTCAGACCGGCCGCGATGCGCTGTCCAAATGCGTCATCAGAGACGAATACATACAGAAGCTCCTTCCGCTGGTCACAGTCGCCGAAGACCTGGAAAGCCTCTCGGACTTGCACCGCCTCTGCAACATCATGAAATCCCTTATCCTTCTTAATGACACCACCATCATTGAAACAGTCGTCACGGACTCTGTCATACTTGGAGTTGTTGGAGCATTAGAATGTATGTGGGGAGATGTTTGTATGGTGGGTGCACGCCGCTAACTTGCTCCAGATGACCCCGAATTTCCCACTCATAAAGCGAACCATCGCCTGTACTTGTCCGACAAATCACGCTTTAAGGAAGTTGTTCCGATCAGGGACCAGTCCATTCGGCGCAAGATCCGCTACACTTGGCGGTTGCAATATCTCAAAGATGTCGTTCTTGCTCGGATTCTTGACGACCCTACCTTTTCCGTCCTCAACTCGATGATCTTCTACAACCAGGTCGACATTGTGAACCATATCCAGTCGGACGCCTCTTTCTTAAAGGAGCTATTCTCGGTCTTTGATCCGAGAAGCGCAGATGCAAAGCGCAAGGAGGATGCCGTCCAGTTCCTGCACCAATGCGCATCAATCGCGAAGAACTTGCAGGGTCCGGAACGCGCCACCCTTTACGCGAACCTCATCAACAATGGCCTTTTCGCTGTAATCGCTTTCGCCATCAAGCACCCAAACCCGGCGATTCGGACAACGGGAATTGACATCCTGGTAGCGCTCCTCGATCACGACCCTATCATGATGCGCAGCTACATGCTCAAGGCTGTCAACGAGAAAAAGACGCCCCTTACAGATACCTTAATCGACTTGCTGCATACGGAGGTCGATCTTGGCGTGAAGAACCAACTCGCAGATGCGATCAAGGTCCTGCTCGACCCGCAGGTTCCCATCCAGGCCGCGATGGCCCGGGCTGGTCCCGAGGCTGCGAAAGTGCGGCCCAACATGCTTCCGGATGCCTTCGTCCAAAATCATTTCGACGAGTCTTCAAGGAGACTGTTTGCGCCGTTAAAACGTCTTGAAGATCAATCTAATCGTAAGTTCTTGGCGTCCGGCTGATCTGCGTTTGACGCACTGACACTTCTCCAGTTCATGGTTTGACTTTTCAGGCCGTAGCCCTATACTCCCATCTTGTGGATATCCTCACATTCTTCGTCCGCCAACACCTCTACCGATGCCGCAATGTCATTCAGAACGAGCGGCTTGCTGCTCACATCACCCAATTACTCCGGGTGCCGCAAAAACACCTCAAACTAAGTATGTTTACTCCACTGCCTCTAAAGAACTGCCTAACTGTTCGCTAGCTGCTTTGAAATTCTTCAGGACTCTGCTTAGCCTTCAAGATACCTTTTACCAAGCTTTGATGACGCACAATGATACCTTTGGGCTCATTCTTGACATTGTTTACGAGACCATGCCCCGCGATAACCTGCTCAACTCTGCCTGCCTTGAACTTTTCGAATTCATCAAGCGAGAGCATATCAAACCGATAACTCTTCATGTGGTCGGCAAATATGGCGACAAACTGAGGAATATCACCTATGTCGACACGTTCCAGGGATTGATACTTCACTACGAACAGCTCCAGGGCTACAGCGAGGAAGCCGACTCAACGCTATACTCCCAAGAAGAGGCCACACCTGTTCTGAAAATGCCACCGAGTGGGCGTTGGCAGGGCGTGAAGGAAATGGATCCTGCAGAGGAAGAGTATTTCAACACGTCGGATGACGAGGAGGAGGTAAGATCTCTTTTGCTATGGAAATTGACTGATACGCTGACCTCGAGAAAGTGGCAACAAGATAACCAGACCACGGGAACGCTCATTTCAAAGGTACCAAATGGCGCCGCCTCACCGTCTGTGAAATCCCTGGTGGACTATCCGGACGACGACGAAGAAGACGCCGACGCTATGGATACGAAACCCGAACCAGAGGGAGATACCAAACAGCAGAAACCTGACGACACCTCTAACGAAGATGCACCCGCTGATCCAGTCCCGGAACAGCCCTCAACACCAGTTTCACAAGTCGTGCAAACGCCACCCGAGAGGTTATCGGAGAAACGCCGGCGCGAGGAAGAGGACGACGACGAGCTCGTCAAGCTCACCTCTGGCCCGAAACGAAGAAGTTCAACGAGCAGCTCAACAGGGAGCGCCGGGTTCCTACGGAAGAAGCGAAGCGGCTCCATTGGCTCAGTATCACTTGGCGATAAAGCTGCATCATCGCAAGGCACACCGGGCATGGCCAACGCAGCTCCAAAGCGGATCGCTATCAACCTTAGCTCCTCGGTCAAGGTCGCAGAGCCTCGAGACACACCTCCGAACACTGTCACGAATGCGGCTGGGAAGGAGAGCGAGAAGGAGAACCAGAAGAGCGGCGATAGCGGCGAGGGCTGATTCGATGCCCGCGTCCATCCCATCATCCATTGCATAATTCCCAATAAAGACCTCCTTAAGTCAAACTTTTTCCTGCACCGCACCGCATCGCACCGCTCCAAACCGCATTGCAAGCATAGCTAGCGCTAGCCTTGGCCTTCGAAAGCCTCGCCATCATTTGTTTTTACGACTGCATCCTAGATACCAGATGAAGTGATACGGTGTTATCTGTTTCTTTCTTTTCTTCCTTTCTCCTGCTTGTCTATGTTACTTTTACTGGATTCCATCTATATTATCGTCTGTCACCGTCTGTCTGTCTTTCTGAGCGCAAATTCAATCCTGCCATCTCTCCCCTGGCACCTCGGTTTTGGCATCTACATCTACACCTGCATCTACATTACAGCTTTACATCGGATTCGGACTCGGAATCCAATCGAACTGAAATTAATGCTGGGAGAGGGTTCTCTACATTTTTTTCCTTCATGATCTCGGAATCTTGTTCTGTAGAGCCCGTCCTCTGCCATTGTGCTTTAGTGCATACGCACGTACGTAAGTAGCAGCGCGACGCCCGGAACTAGGCCGTCCACGTCTGTGTCTATGTTGTGTCCGAGCCTTTGTCAGACATAGGCGATGCAGGCTGCACTAGGTTAGTAGTAGTAGGTACCTACCTATCTACATGTATATATACCCAGCTCGGCCTGGGCTAGCACCTACTTCATTCTTCAATAACGGATAGGGACCAGCCCGACTGGGCAGGAGTGGAGTGGAGCACTGGATCTACGGAGTGTAAGTCTAACTTTTCCTTTTCTTCCCTTCGGAGACGGATATGAATGGTTCATGGATTAGTCTACCTAGTCTAGTATGATCTGCATCTGGCTATAGTACATAACAAAACATGGCACACCCCACAAGAGGCATTGCGTCCGACTCACAAAGGAGGGAGAAGGAAGAAGAGATAAGAGGACCAAGATACCTTCACCAAAGCGACTTTTCTTCATCCCCTTCAATATCGAAAGTAGAGAAACGAGATCAAAAGATAGGTAGAGGTAGTAATACAGAGACTATAACATGTATCGTCGTAAAGTGATTGGGGCGGGCATTATATGTGTATGGATGATAGATATGTAAACAGAAAAGAAAGAAGAAAGAAAATCTCACATCCTTTTAACTCGGGGATGGAGAAGAGACGGGACGGGCTAGCAAAAGGCTTCGATCAACATGTAGGGGAAGATAACGACGCAGGCTGTCCAGAAGACGAGCGCGCACCGGATGAGGGCGAGGGGGAGTTGGTACAGCGGGGAATCGCGGATGATCATCCATAGCGATAAGAAAGCGACGGTGAAGAAGTGTGTGAAGAGAATTTGGGGCTTCTTGAGCATGCCGCCGAGCAGGCTGACTGGCGTCTTGTACATTCCCATGGTGAAGTACTGGAAGCAGCCGCGTTGGAGGGCTCTAAGGTTGTCGTCTGAGGGCGTGTTAGTGCACCGGTCGATAGAAAAACTAGGATAGTGGACTTACCATCTGCAGCGAAAAGCGAGTATAATGCCTGTGCTAGGATGTTGATAACTGATGCTCCCATCTTTCGTCTCCAATGAAAGGTCGAGAGCTGCTTGAGGACAAGTCTGGTGTCGCTTAGCCTAGGGACTTTCTCCGGGCTGAGCAGCTCACGGAGGATGACGACGTCGCTTAACGCAACGGTCATACCACCGCCTGTTAACGGATGCCGCATGTTGAGCGCATCGCCCAGTACTATTAATCCAGGTGTTTTGTTTGGAGCACTCGGCAGGAAGGAGTTTGGCATGGACCGCAGCTGGCCTTTGTCCAAAGCGGCGGCGAAGGAGGGCTGCACGCATTTCGGAAGGGAGGGGAGGACGACATTTCGGAGGTGGCCCTTAACTCCCCCATTTTTGACAGAGGCCGAGGGTAGATTTTCGGGAATATCACAGAGGATTCGGGTCTCGTGGGTTCCGATCTGGTAGATGAGGATGGGCGGGCGATCAGGTTCCAGGAGGACATGGCCGTAGTGTGGCTGCGGAAGTTCCGCATCGATGAGCTCGAGGCCCCAGAACTTTGACCGGACCTTGGGAGTATAAGGGTGATATTGTTTCCGGAACTTGGAGGCGTACCCGTCCGCGACGACGGTTATCTGGCCGAAATAGCAGTCTTTGGATTCCTTGGTCATACACTCCACACCGAGAACCTGCTTGGTGTGGGAGCTAGTGACCAGATCTGTAACCTTTGTCTCGACAATTGTGACGTTGGGACAAGCCGCAGCAGCTTCGCGCAGTTTCATCACGAACCGGCCATGGTGGAATGAGCGGCCCTCCGGTGGCGGCGTCCCGGGACTTTGGCTGGGGTATGGGATTGCGACGGGCTTGCCCAGGTAAGAGACGTAGTACCCATTTGTCGGGATGGCCTCGATTCCCTCCAGGCAGTCTCGCAGTCCTAGTTGTTCAAGGGCAGTGACTCCGCCGGGCTGCAGGAGCTCGCCGACGATGCGGTCGGGCTCCTTGAGCGACTGTTCGAGCAGCAGGACGCTCCGCCCCTGGCGGCCCAATGCCACGGCCAGCGCGCACCCAAGCACTCCAGCACCCACTATTACAATATCGGCATCGTGATGAAGTCGTCGGCGGAGTTCTGCGGCGTCTGAGGGTTTCGAGGCGTGCCCGTTGGCATGGCCGTTGGTATGGGCGGTGGCCATTGTGGTGGCGGAGAGAAATTCAAAGACTCGTTGGGAACGGTAGGATGGAGTTGAGCGGAAGGAGGGCGCTGCGCATATTTAGGGCCCAGAATCTGAAGGATCGGACAAAGGGTAGGGAGAGTGGAAAGCTGGCGGGGGCAGCGATGTTTAAGAAGGCGGACTTGGACATTAAGGGGGACACGGCTTTTGTGGCTGTTCTGCCAGGAAGGGAGCAAGTGGCCTGACGCTGCCAGGAACGATGTCAGGTACGCAGCGAAGGCCCTGGAGCGAACGTACGATGCGGATTGGCGCTGGCTATTGGCTGCGACGAAATCTTTTCTCTTGATTGTCAGAAAGGCTGCATTCCGCCAAGCATCACATGCTAATATACAGGTCTTTGCTCTCTATGTCTATACTGATTGCTGGCTACTATACAACCTCACCGTCCCTCGCTTCCAAGTCCACATCCTGTTCACGACAGGTTGCTTCGTTCCATCGAGCAAGAATTGATTGCTCATCATTGTCGATACTGTCTAGCACTTTTTCAAGCTCGTACTCCTCGTCCCAAGATCTAGTTGTGTTCCGCAACACTCTCACACCATTATCCGTGATGTTGGGGGTATACTGCCAGACAAGTTTAAAGAATGGACGCTGCAGGCTTTGGCGATTGAATTTCTTCACACGATGGTTGACGCCTAGAGCCCCAGGTTGGAACCAGCCACCCTCATACTTCATTCGAAGAAATTCGACAAGCTGATCAAGGGCTTTCAGCTCAACCACTCTTGAGTCGGCATCTTCGATGTCCATGTCTATGTATAAAGAGTCACGACTCATCACTCCTAAGACCCGCACGGCCTCGATTAGAAAATCTCGGGAGAAGGCACTGTCTCGAGAAAGAGCGGTTACAAGGCACCAGCGAACCCCCCTGTAGTTTTCCGTCGCGGCAAACGCGCGCAGGAACATCTTCATGCAAACATCGTCAAAAACCTTCAGACGTCCGTATTTTGATTTGTAAACCGACACGAGCAGATCAATAGCCATCTCCGACTTATTTGAGGCAATCAGACGCCCGCTGGTTGCCGCGGTGATATTATGTGTGACCATCATTGTTCGCCTCATCCACCGGATGCGATAGAAGCGGAAGATAGCCAACTGGATGTACTCAGACTCCGCTGAAGGGCTCATGTCTTTCAGCTGCCGGAAGAGGATAGGCAACCACTCAATCCATGTGCCTTCAGCTTCAAGTAGAGCCTGAGCGGCGCCCAGGCCCTGACTGAGTAGTGTGGCAATCAGCGCGAGTTCAATTTCCTGAGGTTTGAGATCAAATCCAGACACCCTCGCATCCTGGAAGCATTGGAGGGCTTCTGCCATTTTGCCCGAATGCATAAAGTAGATCATCTGTGTCTGTAGGTTCTGGTAATCATCGACCGACCTTGAAGGTCTCGTAAACTCTTCAACCGTGCGCTCGTACCATTCATCAGCGAAATCTGCCTTCTCCACTGTGTGTTCTGATTGTCGCCAATTTGTTCGCTGGTCGTGACCGAGAAGCTGCTGCGAGGCGGTGGCCCGCATATTGTCTGCTCGCGCAGCATGCAGCATCTGCCAGAAGCCCACGGGCGAATTGCCAAGCGCCGACTGACGTCGGCGCACCACGTTCAAGACCTGATTTTGATCCGTGTTCACTTCCCACCCGCGTTGCTCCGCCATGACTGTGAATTCGTGAAGCATAGCCATATCGCCCCGTTCCACGACTGCCTCCAGTATGTGTCCCCAAAGAACTTGATCCGGGACAATATCGAACTTGTCCATATAGCGGTAAAGGAACTGCCGAATCTCAGCGGCGCTGTGAGACGGCCAATATTCGAGGAATATACGGTGAAAAATCTTGAGGAAGTCCCCTTTCGGCTTCGTCAGACCGAGACTCTGCATTTCATGGAACCCTTGGTCTACAGCTTCCCAGTCACATTGTAAAGCTTTGCCGTAAACCAATATTCCTTTCATTCGAGCATGAAGTGGAACTTGGTATGTGACCGTCATCTCGTATAGCAGTGATTCAGCATCTGCGAACCTGCCGAAATCCACATATGCTTTGAGCATCGGGCTTACGAGTTTGTGAGTAGGGTCCTTATCCAAGCGCCGGAGCATGATGAGCAATTTGGTGAACTGGCCGTTGAGAAGCTCAATGCTTCTAGCTTTCTTCCATAGACCTGTAAGATAGACACCACATAGACCGCAATCTCGGTCATGCTCCAGATTCTGGAAAAGAAGCTGTTTCGCAGCCTGAAGTCGCCGGGATTCGATTAAGCATCGGAGAACAACGTCCAGCAGGATTCCTGGCAGAGTGAACGTATTCCTGTACCGGAGGAAGACGCTAGCGGCCGATTCTATGCAGCCCTTCTTCGCCAATGAGACAATCAGGATCTTCCACATCGTAGGTGATACCCGATCCACGTCTTCGAGACGTTCAAAAAGACTTCTCGCGATGAAGACGTTTTCTTGCCTGCAGTTCAGATAAAATAGCTGCTCAATGATCTGCCGCCGATGTATTGAGATCCCTATGCTCGCGGCTGGATGTTCGTCCAAGAATATTTGGGCGGCGTCAATGTACTGACCACGTTTAGTAAGCTCTTCCAGGCGGTCGTCAAGAGTCAATTGGTTCCCAGGAGGCAATTCCAATTTGCACTTTATTAACACCATATTATCTTCGCGGTTCGGCCGTCCAACACGATAGATTCGCTTTATGCTCGGCGGGGGCGGTTGGGAAGGGGGCATGTTGGATCCGGCTTTCGACTTGAGACCTCTGGGCCTCAACGCAACTTCCGTGACTATTTCCGTATCATATTCTGATTTAGTCACTTTTTCACTAGCGAAATCATTCGTGACCGGTGGATTGGCGTTATCCGCCTGGTTAGGATCAGGACTTCCGCCGAGAGAGTTATTCTCGTGGTACCCCATCCCACGATTTGCTGTCTGCTTGTACCTCTTTTCGGTCTCTTTCCATGCTTCCAGACCCGCGAATTCGCCTGCTTCCGCTGCTTCCATCATCCGGGAGATCCTTCTGGCTGCGGACGTCGCATCATATCTAGGAGCGGAGGTTTGAAGCGCTCGCTTGTTCTCGACGATGCGCTCCGCGACGGAGACTCGCCGGTGTACATCGTAGGTGATGGCCGCAACCGTACAGAAGCTTCCAACTGTCGAGCCTGCAAGGGCAAGGCTCCGGAGCACTCGTAGGGCGTTTCGAGAAGGGACGGCCGGAGGGCCGTGGGCGGACATGATATTAGGTTGGTTGATGCACCGCGAAGGGCGGGCGGCTGTTTGAGTATCACGTATTAACCATGCAGAATGGAAGTAACGGATATCCGAATTGTTGTTATGGTAGAACCAAGCCTCAGCTTGTCGAATGGCTCGATTGTCGAGGATTGTATCCCGGAGTCGCTGTCCGGAAAGTTTGTAGCCGGGGCGCGGTTGGTGTCTCTCGGCAGCCGTACCTACCTACCGGTAACCTTCCAATCGACCCACCCAACTCCGAGAATGATCATGCAATGCGCGGGACACTTCTACGGAGTTATTCCGTTGTTCAAGATGATGGTATTGGTACATTCATTACATATGAGAGAAGATTGAATCCTTATTGTACAAGAGAAGCGTATTTTTGACCAGCAAAAAACTTCTTCTGTTCCAGGCACCTTTCGCTTTTGCAACCTTGACAGCGGAGAGTCATCTGGAGGGAACATAATTCCCCCTTACGCAAGTGATCGTGAGCCAAGTCCGCGAGAGCTTGGATGAAAATCGGGTTACCGTTCAGACTTTCGGCGCGCTTGACGCCGGGGTGGTTAGCTTCTTCCATCACTTCCAGGTCCAGCTCGTATAGGGTCTCAATGTGGTCGCTTGTGAAAGCAATCGGAACGAGGACAAGATCCGTCTGTCCCCTTTTCACGTATTCCTGAACAGTATCGCTAGTCTGAGCGCCGAGCCAGGCCGACGGTCCGACTTGAGATTGCCAGCACAATCGGTAGGGGTTGCTGAAGTTCAGTCTTTGCATAACCGCGTGGACGGTTGCAGCGACCTCTGCTGGGTATGGGTCACCTAAAAACGACGATTAATCATACGGTCGGCCGCAGGGAGGTATGGTGGCACCGTCTCACCTCTGTTGACTACGCTCATAGGCAAACTGTGGGCTGAGAACAATAACACCACACTATTTCTCTTCTCCTCCGGGTAGGTCTTCAGTTGATCTTCGATGTTTCTCGCGAATGCTTCAACCAGACCCGGGTGCGTGGGCCAACGATCAATGACACTCCACTGAATAGCTCCGTTGGGCTCAACGTCGCCATTGGCACGCTTCCCTTCCAGTCGGGTCCTCCATTTCCACAGCTCGTTCAGCGAGCTACCCGTTGTAGAGCACGAGTATTGGGGATATTGCGTGAAAGCGACAGCACGACCACCTTTTCCGTTGCCAAAACCGTCCGCTAATAACTGCGCATACGTTTCTTCTGTCAACGGCGCTGCGTATCGGAAGGCGACGTAGGGTTTGTGCGGGGCGGACTCAGGATTGAGCTTGTCTAGTAGTTTGCACATCTCTGCGCATTGATATTCAGACCATTTCCTGATCGGCGAGCCTCCTCCGATTTCTGCATACTGTTTCTGGATCTTCGGTGTTCTCCGCTTCGCAATGAGTGGACCAAGGTAGTTCTGGAGACGACCGAGAGGAATCAAGTCGCCATCAGCCTGTATCATGAGCAAGTTGGTTAGGATATCCTTCTTGATGCGTGTTAGATGGGCAAGCGCACGAATAGTCTGCTTAGGAAATCCTCCACTTCACCAGTTGTCGAAGGACCTCCCATGTTCAAGAAAACCATTGCAGTCGGCCCTTTAGATCCCGTCGCATCTTGAGTAACCGGCGGAACAGCTGTTGCAAGACCACGTCTTTGTTCTCCGTTAATTCCCAAAGGGATGCGAGCCACCGGCCGCAGTAGTTGCGGAAGAGTGAAGGTGCGCCGCAGAGCCATCGTTAGCTCAGGTCGCCTAAGCAGGATCACCTCGCCGTTTGATACAAGGGAAGACCGAATGATATATGAAGAGTTTGATCTTCAAAGGCTTTTTGCGAGATGAACAAACTATTCAAGAATTGGAATGAAGCAAGCAACTTGGAACCTGCCAAGTTCACAAAGTTCCTGGCATCATGACGGAGGCCACGGAGCAGACTCGGCCCCCTCTGGACCAATCACGAGAAAGCTGGGGTCATCAAAGCCTTGGCATTGTCACATGATGTTCGTGTTCTCCCCGCGTCACAGGCCGGAGAAACGCGTCTCCGGACGTGTATCTACCTAAGATAGGCAGAACAGCGCCAGCTCCAATAACTACCAAGAGCTGGGGATTGCCCCATTTTCTTACTCCGACTATATCTTATCGATGCCTCCCTGTTAAATACTACCTGTTGCTCACTAGATTGCCCATTGTTTCGACCCCATGGCCGACGACAACTACAATCGTGAAGATGACGTCGTTGAAGAAGAGGAGGAACTGGACGAGACGGTATAGAGCTTATCTGTATCCGCTTACCAAACAGCTTCACGCTAACGTGGGGGCTCAGGGCTATAAATCAGTAAGGGACGCTGTCCTCTTCGCGATCGAAGTTAGCGACTCGATGCTCCAGCCACGTCCGTCGGCAGACCCAAAGAAACGCAGCCAGGAGTCGCCCGCTACTGCTGCATTGAAGTGTGCATATCACCTTATGCAGCAGCGCATCATCTCCAACCCCCGTGACATGATAGGCGTTTTACTATATGGAACAAAGCAATCTAAATTCTATGACGAGGACGAGAGTAGCCGCGGTGACTTGTCATACCCTAATTGCTACCTCTTTACGGACCTTGATATTCCTTCCGCCCACGAGGTTTTAGAACTGCGGTCGTTGGTTGAGGATGAAGATGAGGCTAAGGATATTCTCGAACCATCAGAGGAGCCCGTTTCTATGGCCAATCTGCTGTTCTGCGCCAACCAGATATTCACTTCAAAAGCCCCAAACTTCGTATCGCGACGGCTGTTCATAGTCACCGATAACGACAATCCTCATGGAAACAACAAATCTCTTCGCTCTGCAGCAACTGTGCGAGCAAAAGATCTATACGACCTTGGCGTTATAATTGAGCTATTTCCGATATCCCAAGTGGATCATGAATTTGACACCTCCAAGTTCTACGATGTAGGTAAAATTCCGAGTATCGCAACAGGATCACTCACAAAGGATAGGACATTATTTACAAAGCCTCGCCTATGGATCCCGAAGCCCCTGCCTATCTGAAACCGGAATCGAAAACGACGGATGCCCATGACGGAATTTCATTACTCAATGGTCTCCTGTCAAGCATCAATTCCAGATCAGTACCGCGGCGTGCGCAGTTCTCGAATATGTCTCTGGAGCTTGGGCCAAATTTCAAAATCTCAGTATCGGGCTATATCCTCTTCAAGCGTCAGGAGTCGGCGAGAAGTTGCTATGTGTGGCTGGGCGGAGAGAAACCACAGATTGCAAAGGGAGTTACTACACAGATAGCAGAGGACTCCGCACGAACCATTGAAAAATGGGAGATTAAAAAGGCATACAAATTTGGTGGAGACCAGGTTTGCTTCACCCCGGATGAACAAAAGGGATTGAAAGACTTTGGTGAGCCAGTGATCCGAATTATCGGTTTCAAACCCCTCTCAGCGCTACCTTTCTGGGCCAACGTCAAGCATCCGTTGTTCATTTACCCATCCGAGGAAGACTACGTGGGCTCCACGCGGGTATTCTCGGCCCTGTATCAGAAGCTCTTAAAAGATCAGAAGGCTGCGCTTGTCTGGTACATTGCACGCAAGACTGCTGGTCCAGTTCTTGCTGTGATGATGGCCGGTGAAGAGAAGGTTGACGAGAACGGCGTTCAGAAAATGCCTTCCGGCCTGTGGATTATACCGCTCCCCTTCGCAGACGATGTTCGACAGAACCCTGAAGCTACTCTGCAAGTTGCGCCCGAGTCACTTATTGATAGAATGCGAACAATTGTCCAGCAGTTACAGCTTCCGAAGGGCGTTTACGACCCTCAAAAATACCCTAATCCATGTAGGTATCTGCTCGGTGTCCGATCATCGCAACCATGCTAATCACCAGTCAGCACTTCAATGGCACTACCGCATCCTACAGGCGCTGGCGCTGGATGAAGATATCCCTGAGAAACCGGATGATAAGACCCTGCCCAAATATCGGCAAATCGACAAGGTGCGCTCCCCTTCTCCAGTGAATTCAACCCTCCACAAATTGACACGCCCATATAGCGCGCTGGCGACTACGTCTTCGAATGGTCCGAAGAATTGGACAAGCAGTACAACCAAATAACAGCCAATCAGGCAAAGATGACCACGCTAGCCAAAAGGCCCGCAAAGGGAGACGCTGCCGATAAAGCCGCTCCGCCAGCAAAAAAAATCAAGGCCGAAGCTGGCTCCGGCAACATCCAGGAAGAAGTCCAAAAACACTTTGCGAAGGGGACGCTATCCAAGCTCACAGTAGCTTCCCTCAGGGATTACCTCGCGTCCCAGGGCCGTGCCACGGCGGGTAAGAAGGCGGAGTTGCTGGAGCGGGTGGAGGAGCTTCTGGAGACAAAGTTCTAGTCGCGACTGCGACGGCCGTCTCAGGGCTCTCTTCAGCTTGTGTTGTGTAACATAAATACCTAATGTATACGATATGACTCTGGTTATGAAATTTAATGACGTGGTGGATGAGTATAAGTCGAACTGAGGCGGGCTAATGATTCTAGCCCTAACCCTGCCTAAGCTAACCTTCTTATGCGATTTGAAGCTTTATACGTGCTTCGAACAATTATAATACGTTCAAACTCATACAAATATAAACTAAACATACATACGTCTTGTCAAGAATCTTATTGATCCTAAACAGTCAAAATCGGCACCGCGTTGGGGACAGAAATATATTTTCATGAGGATCCTCATTTAACTAGGCTAGCATAAACTCTTGTGGGAAGTACACGAACAACTAATTTTGGTTGGTAATTGCTAAAGGCATTTTAACCATCATAAAGATTTAGGCAGTCTACGTGGTGACTTGACAGTGAAGAACTCATTTTGTTCTTAAAAAATAGCATTTGGACGAAGACGTTTAGTCTAATTGGAACAGAACGCTAAGAACGCTTCGCACAGCGAATGATCAATCTATATACAGACATAATGTAATATGTGTTGAGAGGCCGTAGTGGACGCGTGCGAGTCCGAGTCCGAAGCCTGGCTTGTACCTTTATTTGCAATATATCCCGATCAACACTGCCCATATACCTGGCAAAAACAGAGCTCTTGATCCGGGCAGCTGGAAGGAAGCTGTTAGCGTCACCATCATAACGTCTGCGTGGGCAGTACTTGAGGGTTACCGGTACGTACTACACGGACTCCTTGCCGAAAATCACATGCCACAGATACTCCATGACCCGACCACTAGACGCATCGCTCCGCTCCGTATCAATAACCCACTGCCGGATCTTGATGTAATCCTCGCGAGGGCGCTGGAGGACTTGGGCCCGGGACACCGCGAACTGCGCGCAGCATGCTGCTGCCACTTGGGCCGGTATCTTGAGGGCCCTTGGTTCAGCCTGGATGCGTAAAGGGTCTGATCCGCGTTCATCTGCGCTGGCTTCTGTTGAATTCAGCGGCGGCGTGCTCGTGCCCTCGAATATGTCGGTCCAGACGGCATCCGTGACGTGCGGATTGTGCGTGTATCCGTGTTTCTGCGTGCACCCGGGGTTCGGATTACAGCGGAGATTTACGTAGCCGTTTTGTTGCACGAAGTCGAGTTGGAGGGAGCGCAGGGCGGCGACGTTGTCGTGTAATGGGGCGTCGACGTGCCAGGCTGAGAGGAAGCCGGAGCGGTGCGAGTGGATGAAGGCGATTGTGGAGGGGAGGTCGTTGTAGTGGTCTATTAGGTAGGTGAGGTACGCCATTGACTCGTGGCCTTTGTTGAGGGGTGTTTTGAGACGGTGCTTATCGGCGGTTGTGCTTGGTGAGGGGTTGACTGTGTAGATTGCTCGTTGCCAGCTGTGCCGGTGTTAGGGTTGGGATGTGATGAGTAGAACAAGAAGATATGTACGTACCCTGGAAGTTCCTCGTGGACCCAGCTTACGGATTCCTCTTCCAGCCTTGCCATGACGATGATTTTGTCTGTGGTGTTTCCTGTGTAAGCGGCCCATTTGCTTTGAGGGTTGCTGCTGCTCAGCCAGTCGATTAGATAGGCGCCTGCGTGGTACTGGTTGGCAAGGTCTGCGAGATGGGCTTCTAGCAGGTATAGGGGAATGAAGAGGAGTAGTGCCCAGTAGAGAACAATGCGATAACCGCTCTTCATAATGGGTACGGGTCTAGGCTGTGTATGCACCTTATTGATCCATTTGAGCAGACGATTTCAATCCAATGGATAGTTGATGAGGTCGGTGATGCTGAGTTAGCAGTAAGGCGCCCGAAATCTGCGAAGGTAGACTGCGCCTTGTAGACAGAAAAGGCCGCTTTCCTATACCTAGAGACACGAGGAAGAAAGGGTCCAGGGACCACCCAGTCATGGATGGTTTGCCGCCATCTGGATCATGGCCACTATATCCATCAGAGGGGTAAAGTCGCTGAACCAGACCCTCATCGCGAAGAAAAATGCCAGAGGGGGTATGGCCTGTAGCTATCATGGCTATCATGACGAGTTGAACCAGTGCGAATGGACGAAAGCAAAAGCTGATTGGACAGTCTTTCTGGTTGTTGTCTCCAGTATGAACATCCCGTAGAAACCAGACTCAGGAACCCGCTGATATGCCACGCGTTAGACCCGCAGGTGGTGCCTGTCAGGGCCCTGAGTGGCGGCATATCCAGAGTTTGGCTGTCCATGACTCCGTACTGGGTCTTACCCCGTGGCTGTGACCTGGTGGGGACTCTGGGACGTTGAGTGCAATTTTGAATTGACAAGGTGTTTCTGACTCGATACCATCTGCTATGATCATAGTAGAGAGTGAACTGCAGCCGGGCGGTTAGATACTGGGGATCAATGAGGTCTGTGATGGAAAAGGGAGTTCCGCTCCATGTGCTGGCAGTGGCATACAGAATCCAAGGTGGAGGGCGTAAGCACCTTAAGTTGAGGATCAACACGTGCCCGCAGGACGGGGAGTGGATGACGTATGGAGACACCTGCGGAGATGGCTCAAGCCGTTTTGCCTTCTACGTGCGGTACTCCGTCAAGTGCCCGGCTACAGCAGTCAGGGGCAGACAGTAGTTACAGACCAGCTGCATTGTTCTCATCTATATCATGACTTTATAATACAAGCATCAAGGAGGCCGTCAAGGGATTAGGAACTTTCCTCTTCTCCGTCTTCATCCTCTTCACTGCTGACTTCCTCGCCATCGGCAATGGCCTGTTCCCTGCGTTGTCGCGCTCGCTCCCTTTTCTTCTCAAGAAGGCTATTCAGCTTCTTGGCGACGTTGAAGACTCCACCGGTGCCGGCTCCGCAAGCGGCACAGGATGGGTTCTTTCGATACCGCTGCAGCGCGCAAGACTCGCAAAAGTAGTGTCCGCATTTTGTGACGATAGGATTCTGGTACGGCTTCTTGCAGATGATGCAGGCAAAAGGGATGTTTTCGAGTTCTTCTTCATCGTCATCTTCATCATCGCCGGCCTTACCCCCTCTCTGCGACACCACCTTGCCGTCCAGTTTTTTGCCCTTTGTGCTGACGTCCCAATCCCGATCCAACTCCCACCCTTGCTTGTAATCTTCACGCATATGACTGAACTTGCATGAATCTCCGAAACCACAGTACCCGGTGAGTTTGTAGTCTTTACACACGTCAGGCGCATAATCCATGAACGTCACGGTGCGCACATTGGTGGGCGCCTTAATCGGACCGAATGTCTTCGTAGGGGCATTGGGATTCTTCTGAATGAACGATTGATAATTCGCGGCACCCTTGTATGTTCCGTCCGGCGCTTCGGCTCCCGATGGCTCTGCGCGTGCCCGTGTTGTACCTAGGAGGTTCTTCTCGTTCAACTCCTCGTCGTACCAGTTGGAGGATTTGGTGGCGTCATTGGAGGTCGTTATCGGAAGCGCAGCGGCGGCCGTAACCGGTTCCTCGGCGGCTGTTGGTCGTCGTACATTGGATGCCGAGGATGCAGATACTACAGCGTTCTTCCGGCGTCTCTTGATCCTATGGCCTTCTTCGTCATCGGAGGATGTGAAACTGGAGTCGGAGTCCGCATCGGGTGGAGGAGATTCTGGTTTCTTGCGGAAATTGGCCTTCTTCACACCGCGCTTCTTGAAAGTTACCGGAGGAGCTGCATCTGCCATGTCGAAATTGTACAATAGCAAGATTGTTGCAATCAGACGATTCAACTCCAGCTCAAGGTTCGATGAAGCTGTTGCAGGGTGGCGACTGGCACGTGATGCTGAATAATCTTACCGGCCGCGGACTAGTCAGGAGAGAGCAAACAGGACAAACAAGTCATCAGCCATGTGACTTTTGTTTTGGCATCGCGGTTGGCTGTTGCGTTCCTCAGCCTGTGATTCTCTTGACCGGATTGACGGCCAGTAACCTTATTTGGTTCCATTGTTTGGCTGCACCTTGAGACTTGAGTAGACTGCTAATCTATACGTGGTGGAATGTTGTCATCATTGTTATGAATCGGCCCTTCATTCTTGTTATGTATCAGATCGATTGATGGTTTATCCCCCAGTAGAACTAGTCCATTGTACTATTGCAGACGCTTTTGCCCCCAGTTGGCCCGGTCTCAGCGGCCTGCCTAACTTCTCGGCTCTGGCGCTCGTCTTCTGCTCCCCGTCGCGCTCTCCCTTCCTTTCCTCTTCGTCCCCCCGCCCAACGAGCGTTCTCGTCTCGTTGTCCAACTGGCATTACTTACTACTACTACTTCCTATACTCGTTCTCTTATTAGTTCCTTTCTCTTTTCTTTCCCTTCCTTCCTTCCTATCACTTGTCTTGTTTGACGCTTCTTCACTTTAATCCCTTCACTTCATCTTCCCATTCGTGTCTTTCCTTTGTCATTTCTTCTTCTACTTACGAAAACCCTCTGATTAAACCTAATTGACGCTGCTGCATGGCGTAGCTGACTTCTGTATTTCTGTTTCCTACTGTTTTGTTTCCTAATCGCCACAGCTGCAGCTTAGCTAGCACCCGAGAACTGAGCGTCTTGTCCCCTCCCGTGGTTGGCCCGCATCTCGGTCGCACGCACTCCCACGGTTACCCTACGACTCCTCCACAACGCGTTTGTTGTCGTCCTTGGGCTGCTCCCGAGCCAGTTTTCAGTCCATCCTTGCATTTCACCACCCGGCTTCAGCGAAGCAACATCGGGTTCCCCTACTTGTTGTTTCGACATTGGAAGTTGCTCGATCTTTTGCGCTGCGCTTGCCTAGATTGACGATCGATACGGCCACCCTAGCGGATTACTCACCGACCGACAGCGGTACCATCGCAGACTCCCACCACCGCCTTTCCCCTCATCCAGGTTCGGAAATCATCGTGAATCCCGAGTCGCTGGTCGGCGCACGTTAGGACTGTATCCGAAGAGGGCCGAAATCCTCAACCGCGAAGGATCGAACGCGAAGTCGAATGATGACTGCGGCTTGAGGCGGAATCAAAGAACGAGCGAGGCGACGAGTTTAGGACCCAGCTACAGGTAAATCGTGGTTTTCAGGAACCGCGACTATTTGCAGACCTAAATCATTGTACTATGGAGGATTCTGGACGAGAAAGCGCTTCGATGATGTCCATGATGGATGACCCTTTTGTCACCAGCCCGGAAGGGGCGCGGATCCCCCAGTCGACGAACCAGTATTCCCCTTTCGATGCGCAACTGTTCAACTTGGATGCAGCCACTCCTGCGCAAGCGAAACGGGCACTCGAGGCCCATTTAGCGGAAACCGAGCGCCGACTAGAAGAAGCGTCGAAGCTGGGAACTGCGCTCGTCGAGCAACGGAAGGACCTGGAGGATAGGCTCAGAGATGTGGAACAACAGCAGGAGGAGGGCCAGATTGGAGAGGATCTCCGCCGGAAACTGGCCGATCTGGAGCGCGAGTACAATGAAATAGGCCAAGAGACCGCGCGAGCATTCCTTGCACCAAAGCGCCATGTTAGTGGAGATGATGGGCACTTAGGCACACCCTCTCTGGACCAGAAGGTTTGCTTTCTCTGCGCCGAGTAATCCACGCCGTTGGATTCCACTGCTAACCATGGAGCTCTAGTCGCCGTTAAGCTCAGCACTATTCGCCGGCCAAGCTACCAACTCTCCGAGCAAAGTGAGCGTCCCATCGCGTAAATCGCGGAACCAGTCGAACCGCGTTCACGATATCGAGTTTGCCACCGAGATATCGACATCTTTGCTTGCACAAGTGCGCCAACTGCAGTCAATGCTCGCCGAACGTGAAGAGACACTTAAAACCGTGAATCTGGAAAAGTCGAGACTGGAGCTGGAGGCTGAAGGATATGCACAGCGGATCCGCGCTCTGGACGAGAGCGAGGAACGTTACAAGGATGAGAATTGGGCATTGGAAACCAAGATTCATGAGCTCACCGCCGCCGCGAAGGATGCTACAGACCGCGAAACGAAGCTTAACAGCAGCTTGGGGGCAGCAAATGTGGAGAAAAGCGCCATTGAGCGAGAGTTGGAGGACCTGAAACAAGCAAACGCGAAGCTCGTCGAGGACCACACGGCAACCCAGAAGGCAAATGATGCTGAAATCAACCTTTTGCGCAGGAATCTGACTGCGGGGGATGCGGAGAAGCTGGCGCTTCAGCGCAAGCTCGAGGACATGAACACGCAGAACCAAGAGCTCGCGAAGGCAGTGGCCATGCGATTGCGCCAGCATGAGACTGAGTCCGCACGTGAAGTTGTCCGCCTACGCGATTCCGACGATGAAGACCAAGCCACGCCGGAGAACTCCCCGCCACCTTCGCCGAGCAAATTCACACCTCGCCATAATCATCTCGAGACCGAGACCTTGCGAAGCTCGCTTGGCCATGCTCATAGGATGATCCAAAACCTGCGAAGTACAGTTCACCGTGAGAAGACCGAGAAAATTGAACTCAAGCGTATGCTCCAAGAGGCTCGAGATGAGGTCGAGCAGCGCCGCCGTGACTCAGTTGCTGCAAACGGACCCACAAACAAGCGGCAAAAGACGAAGGCTGACACGCGCAAGCCTGCACGTCCGGACCTGCTGGGTGCTGGCAGAAAGAAGGCCGAGGTCGAGATCCATGATTCGGATTGGGAATCCAATGCTGGCGACATAAGCCCGACGTCCCACAAAGCGTCCATCAACTCTCGGGCTTATCCTGGAGACCAGTCAACTGATGACCGTAGTGATGCGTACCAGACTGCCACAGAGAACGATGATCCGTTCGAGACCGCCAATGAACGGGAGACAACGACCGAAAGTGAAGCCTTCCAGACCGGCGTGGAGAGCATGGCTGGCGAGAGCACTGATAGCGATGAGCTCACTGAGACTGAAGATCGTATCAACAGGACTCCCCGCGAACGTGTCTCGTCATTGACTCTGGCCAAGGCTCGTGACCGAACATCTTACTATAGCACAGCCTCTACCTCTGCTGATGAGGATGAGAATACAGACCCTGGAACACCATCAGTTAGCCAGTTCTCTACTCCCCGCTACCGCCTGCGGAAGAAGAAGAGCGTTCTGCGCAAGATCCGTCCTTCTGGCGAGGCACCGATGGCCTTTAATAGCCGACCCTCAAGTGCAAGAGAATCCCCATCGACAAGCTTCACACGAGAGACATCCGCGGCCCCAGAAGGCCAAAGTCTCTTTGCTGAACTCGCTGAGATTGATGGTGATGAAGATGACTTCGGTCCGCCAATGCAGTTCGAGGCAGTGTCGCCCTCCACCCCGCGCATGCTTCCCGGCTTCGATTCAAGGAGACCGTCTGCAGTTTCAATAGAGTCTCCGCCGAAGCCGGCTATGGTCGATTCTGGCGTCATGACAGATCCTTGGGAACCCACTCCTTTCCTCGTTTCCCAGACGGATGACGACTCTGTCAACAGCGCTCCCGTTACGCCCACAAAGCCAACAATGTCCGATGCCGGTACAGCCATGGACATGTCGGCTTCACCCGAGTTCGTTAGCTCATCGACTCAGTGGACACCTATGAAGTCTGATGCGGACCTTAATGGGGATCGTGTCTTGAATGTGCCTACGCCGCCGAAGATGGCATGGGACGGGCAGATTCTGGACGGGCAGCGGGAAGTTAACGTACCTGACACTCCTACCACACAAATGGAGCTGGACGTTTCTCCTATCTCGTCTGAAGAGACCGAGCCAGTGGCGCCCACTTTCCCGGAGCTGAGCACAGCGTTCTATGCGGGAAGTGCGACAGAACCCATTGCTGCCAGTGTTCCCGTTCCTGAAGTAGCCTTGTCGTCAATCTCGTCGCAGTCAAGTGAACCAGTGTCGCCCATCGTTCCTGCTCTCACTCCTCGCGAGTTAGCCTTGTCCTCGATTTCCTCGCAATCCAGTGAACCGGTGTCGCCTGTCATTCCTGCTCTTCCTCCGCCCGAGGTAGCCTTGTCCTCCATCTCATCACAATCTAGTGAACCGGTGTCGCCCGTCATTCCTGCTCTACCCGAGCCCACACCGATATACGTGCCGGAGATGGCATTCTCACAAATAATTGTGCAAGATACGCTCCCTGTCCTCGCCAGCTTACCCGAGCCTGCTTCGGAACGAGTGCTGTCCTTCACCGAACAAGGAACGAGTACGGATATTGCAGAATTCTCAGTTTCTGGTATTTCCTCACAACAGACTGAGCCAGTTGAGCCTATCTACGAGCCGAAGGAAGACGTGGCTATCGTGAATGATGTTCCTGAGCGGGTGCTTTCCTTTACCGAGCAAGGAACTAGTACAGAGGAAGCTGAGATTTCATTTTCGATCATTTCGTCCGTTGAAACGGAGCCCATTGAGGCAGTATATGAGCCTAAGGAAGAGGTTGCTATCGTGGAGGACTTTGCCCCTGAACAGGTGCCGTCATTTGCCGAACAAGGAACAAGTACAGACGTCGCCAAGATTTCATTTTCGGCTATTTCTTCTGTCGAAACTGAGCCCATTGAACCGGTTCATGAGCCTAAAGAAGAGGTTGCCATCGTGGACGAGGTTGTTCCCGAACCAGCCCATCCTGTGCTGAGCATCTCACTCACCCCTCCGGCGTACACCGAACCAATCGCGCCAGAGGTTCAAGAAATCGCCGTTCCACCGGCACCGCAGTTGGCGCTGTCTACGGTCAGCTCAGTCGAAACACCCCCTGTCGAGTACACACCAGACGTACTTGTCCTACCTACGCCACCAGCACTCGACGAAAACACTCCACTCAGCGGAATGGCCAGCTCTGCTAAAGCAATGAAGAGTGCCCCACCGCTTGTTGTCGTGGACGAGAACACGGGCAAAGTTACTGCTGATGAGACGGTTACTCAACAGACTAGTGCGACGAGGCCTTTGGGTACGATTTCTGGAAATGCGGCTCCACGTCGCGCAAGGGCGTGCTCGTCCAACCAGGCCGACCAGGGTGCTCAGACCATTTTGTCAGCCAAGCAAATCGACCAGCTCCTTATTGACCGCGCTTCTTCCAGACCACTTTCCCCTCCTGATAGCGACAAAGCTAAGGAAATGAGCAACTCACCTTTTGCTACGCCCAAGGCGCGATCGCGTCCCGTCCCCCAGGCTTCCAATGGCTCCCTCCAGAAGAGGCCAGGAAGTGCCGCAAGCCAAGCGTCAAGTGTGCAAATTCACCCCCCCTTGCCTGCTGATCACAAGGAAGCCATCATGGCCGCGGAAAAGAAATCCATCGATCAACGCCCGTCTTCTGCTGGTTTGATGGGCCCCCCACTTGCTCCTGCCTCCGCATTAAGGGCCAACTCGGCCAACTCGGCGCAACGCCCCCGAACGCCGAATGGATCGGCAGTTCAGGTTGGCTCTGCACAGACAATTACATCAAAGGCCAGCATGAGACGCGACAGCCAGATGTCACGACGATCCTCGGTGTCTTCCTTCGCGTCCGAACTGGAGGAGCGCTTCAACATGCAACCCACCCCGGCTTTTGCCCCACAGGGCTACGCTGTTGGGACCGACCCTCGGATGATTCAAGCCATCACTCAAACGATGATTGGTGAATTCCTCTGGAAGTACACTCGCAGAGCCGTTTCTGGGGACATTTCCAACACCAGGCACCGCCGATACTTCTGGGTCCACCCGTACACGCGAACACTATACTGGAGCGAACACGATCCGCAGTCTGCTAGCAAGAGCGAGGGTCGAACAAAGAGTGTTTCGATTGAAGCAGTAAGGGTGGTGGCTGACGACAACCCATACCCACCAGGACTTCACTGCAAGAGCTTGGAAGTCGTTAGTCCTGGTCGCCGGATCAGGTTTACCGCCACTACAAGCCAACGACACGAGACATGGTTCAATGCACTTTCATACCTCCTGGTACGGAACGGTCCGGAGGATGAAGAGGCAGAAAATGGTGTTACTCTCGAGGATATTGATGAGTTCAACCCCGGATTCCGCTCTCGTTCCCGCCAAACCGCGCGCATGTCGGTCTCCTCATCGCAAAGCCGCGGCGCGGGGCGCTTGCCAAAGCAACGTTCAGGCTCAGCCATGTCGTTACGACCCAGTATGACACCCGGCCGTGCATCGCCGTATCCTCCATCGCACTACTCAGACCAGGCAAGGCAGACGTCGACGTCCCGGTTGAGTACCATCTTTAACTCGACGATCAAGGGTTCCTTTGGACGAAAAAGCCCGTACGCGGCGTCCAGCCTGAACGAAGGTAGCATCCATGACCATGGTAGTGTGGAGGACCTTCGGCACATGATGGACAGGGGCGACGATGCGGACCGGCTCGAGAATGTTCGTGCCTGCTGTGATGGCAAGCACGACGTCAGCTCGCTGTCAAGGACGAGCCGCTACAGCCCTCGCGCCAACCGGATCCACTCGCATCACTAACCATGGAGTTTGATTGCGTTGTCAAAAGTCTTGTCATTAGCGGTGTCGCACTTTTACCCTCTACTTCCCATTCGCGGCAAGTAACTGCTCATCTTTTCGGCTCAACGGTCATCATTTCTTTGCTGGACGGTCATCCCAGCAAGTGAGCGTCATTTCCAGCCTGCATATTGATTCATTCATGGCCTTGCTTCTACATTTGCATTTTCTGCCACTTGATGTTTATTTCCTTCTATCCATACTATCACTATTATGCATGAACCCTCGGTTGATTTCCTTTGTTAATACACACAGTCCTCGTGACCCATGTGGCCACTCATTCGTTACGGCCCGTCTGAATCTCCTCTTACCAACATAAGCGCACAGGGCGCCTTGTACTTTGACCTTTGATCTTTGACCTTGGTATTGGTTTCCATCTCCGATGACAGCGCTGCTTATTGTGGTTGTAATACAGGCTTTGTTGGTTGTCTGGATGCCGTCTCTTTTGCTGTACCGAAATTGATATACAGGCAGGTCATGATCAAAATGTCTTGGACTCAACTGCTGAGCTGTAGTTCTAAAAACTGTCATCTTAAAATGTTGTACAGAGTAGGCTCCCACCGGCCAGAGCTTGGAGAGATTAGTCAGACCCACATTGGCCTGCAACTATAAAGTCGGAAGTCCGTCAACCCACACCTTTCTCCATTCTTACTCCTCACATATCGACTCTTCCGAGATGGCGAGGGACGATCTCACGACCCGGCAATGGCTCGATGCCCTCGCGGAGCCGGCCCAGATCCTGACATGGGCCATGTCTTGTATGCCTCCACTCACTGTCCATAAAACCCTCAAGCTGCTCTATCTTCATTCACGGCCCAGATAATACATACACGATATTTGCGTCCAGCCCAGCTAACAAGAAAACAGACTACATCGAGGCCAACATCAAAGCAATCCTCAGCGGCCGCCTCCTAGCACCCCTCCTAAACGCCCACCAACTCCGCGACGAAGCCTTCGGCAAGTTCTGGGTTGCATTCAGCTGTAATTCCCCTCCACCATCTTACCCAGACTAGAGCTAACCAGTAACCCAGCAAACCGCGAAGAGCCACCACCGAGTGAACAACTCTCGCCCGAGGAGTCCGCATCAACAGGCTCAATCTCAGCCCCCAAGGCAGAAGAAGAAAAGCCTCAAGAGAAAGCAGTCGTGTCCTCAGACCTAATCCCCCCCATCATCTCACAAGCCACAGGCGTCGTGCTCGACGTCGGCCCCGGCACAGGAACGCAGATGCCCCTCCTCGCGCAGATCCCGGCGTCCAACATCAAGGCCTTCTACGGCGCGGAACCGTGTCTCGGTCTGCATGCTGAACTGCGCCGCCGCGCCGCGGCACATGGGCTTGCCGAGACGTACAAGGTCCTGCCGTGTAGCGTTGAGCAGAGCAGTTTGGAGCCGGAGCTTGAAAAGGCGGGGCTCCTTGCATCCCCGGACGTAAACGGCGCGGTTGGAAAACGTGAGGATGGCGTGTTCGACAGCATCATCACAATCCGTGTCTTGTGCTCCGTGCCGGACCCGCAGAAGACGATTGCTTATCTCTACTCGCTGCTTAAACCCGGGGGGAAATTGCTCCTTGTCGAGCACGTTGTTAATCCGTGGACGACGCGCAAGGGGTCCCTTGTTGCGAGGGTTCTGCAGGGTGTGTACCACCTTTTTGGGTGGCGGTGGGTTATGGGGGATTGTTGTCTTAATCGGGACACGGAGGGGATGGTTAGAGCGGTTGCGGAAGTGGATGGTGGGTGGGAGAGTGTTGAGGTGGATAGGTGGTTTGAGAAGACTCCTATGGTTTATGTTGCGGGGGTTTTTGTTAAGAGGGGGTAGTCCCTTCAGATTTTCTTTTTTCTTTTTGGTTTAGAGGGGTGATTATGGGTCGTCGAGAGAGTTTTTTTGAGTGGTGTGTTTATGAATTGTGAATTATGGAATGTATTTGGGTCTGCGTCATTAACTGTCATATGGTCATGATCTCTATACAGATGGTGGGCACAGGAGAGTATGCATGTCCGCCAGCAGAATCATGCTCATATCGGTAAATACGTTAACCTAACGGCTTCGGCCGACCCGGTGGCCAAAAGTCAAACAAATCAAGTGCTTCCGAAGTCCACGGGCCCAGCTCATGTTCATCGGTTTGTTCCGTAACTGGAATCATCGGGCTTGGGGCGGTTAAGGGCCGAGTGGGAAGTCTGTTGATGGTCGTCAGGTCTGAGTATGATTTGCGAAGGCCCGAGGAGCGGGGTTTCGGGGCGATTCCAGCTGGTTGGACTTGTTGGTTTGTTGGAAGGGTTCTGGATGGTCGAAGGATGGCAGGGTTTGAGACTTGCGGCTTTTGAGGAGGTCCACCCGAAGAAGGCGGTTTGATGATAGGGGAGATCGAGTCATTTTTGGTACCATCAATGCGCAAATTGGTCGTAGATGGAGGGCCTGGATCAGTCTTAACCGGGATCGCCTGATTTGATACGACCGGCCGAGGATCCGGAATGTCGTCGTCATCATCAAGAACAATAACCGGACCGGACGATTTATGATTGATTGTTGGTTGATGTCTATAACAGTCAGTCGCGGAAATTGACCTGTAGTGTAGTACATACTGACTGGGATATTGATCGAGAAAGCTGCTTTCGCGGCAGAGACCTCTGGACAGGAACTGTCGGCTCTTGGTACATCAGCTTCTTGCGCGGTTTGCTGACAGCTAGTCGAAGCGTGTTGACAGATGGCTCGGGGCCAGAATTGACGGGTTTCGGGTCCTGTGGACCCGACTGCGGAGTACGACGATCGGCGGCTGGTCGAGAGGGTTTCCCGGCGGTAGATGAACGGTTCGGTAAGGTTGGGTTAGGTAAAGGTGTCGTGGCCTGTTGGTTTGAAGGAGGCCCGGGGCGAGTCTCTGCGATTGGACCTTGACGTCTGGGGGGCGGTTGAGGTGGCTCGGCGGCGGTATATGAAAGATTTGATAAAGGTGGGTTGGGCAAGGGCGCCGTGACCTGTTGGTTTGAAGGTTGCCCCGGACGAGTCTCTGCGATTGGACCTTGTCGTCTGGGGGGTGAGTCGGACAAGTCGACGATCTCCGCTGGCCGACTGATACGCTCTGGAGACGTACGTTGACGCTTCACAGGTCGTTCATGTAGTTGGGGCGTACTGGCTTGTCTCTGCGCGTTGCGTTGTTCGTAGGGAGAACGTAGTTGTGGAGCTGATGTCCTCCTAATACCGAGTAGGTCGTTCAATGAACGCGGAGCCTGCTGGGAGACCAATGGCCGCGGAGTGGAGCGGACGGAAGACGGAGCAGCATCATTTGGGCGCGACGGGGATGGCTGGCTTTTGTTCTGATATAGCGAGGAGATATCCGTTTCCGTCTTCTCCAGTGGCTCGCATACTTGTATCAACACACCCTTGTCCAGTTCCAATTCATCACCGTCCTGGATTCCCTCCGGTGCCCGCCAATGAAGATCTCCGACGAAATATCCCGTATTATCGTAAACCATGACCCGCTTGTTGAAGGTGTGATATCGGAGAAAGCCATCCTGCCATCGCTTCGCTTTCCGTCGCAAGTCGTGCGTGAAGAGGCACCTGAACTTCACCACGGGCGCCGTGCCTTGGGTTGCGGGGACGTTCAGGTTGGGGGAGCGCGCGGTTGCTGCGGACGACGGAGAGACAGACATGCTGGAGGAATCGGAAGCCAAGGCTGGCGAGTAGTGGTTAGCCGTGGGAGAAGCATCTGGTCGGTGTAGCGAGGTGCTGATGAAGTTGGGAAAGGACGATAAAAAGATGCGGAGAACAGTCGATTCTCAGGCACCAAGGCCACGGCTGCTAGGCACCAAGGCATAAATCGAGGCCACAAGGCTGAGGCTGAGAACGGCCAGAACTATCTCAAAGTCGATTCTAATTTGACAATTTATTCCGGTTCTGACCTATAAAGAGAAGGTCAAGGCTGCCATGACCTAGGAACTCCGCTAGAATCATGCCGAATGAATCATGGCACGCCCGTTGAGCTTCGAGCGTATGGCGCTGGCAGGCAGCAGCTGCCACCAAATACCGATCTGCCTGCGGGACAAAAATAGGGACCGTGGCGGAGGCCCAGAACCCACTGAAGCTGCAGTTGAAGTCGCAAAAGTGCTGTTGGCTGCGTCATCCTATGAGCGTGCAACTCGTCGCCATGAGGCCGTTCTTTCCCCTCCTTCCCACCACTACGCCTCTCCCTTGACTCCTTGACCACAATTCTTTGCCTGCTGCCTCTCCCCGTCTCATCTCCCCACTGCCACCACCATGCAGTCCGTCCAGCGACAATTCGGCAAGTTCATGAAACGGTCGGCCGACGACAGCCAGGTGGCCATTCTGCTGAAGGAATTCGACCAGGTGGACAAATTGCTGGATAAGGTACGCTGAGCTGGAAGGAACCACGGATCCGCCCATTGGCATGCAATCGAGAATCGGCTAACGGTTGCGGCCTACAATTAGATTGTCGACTCGACCAAAGCATGGCGCGATGGCTGGTCCTCGCTCCTGACCCATCAGGACCGAATGCTCGTCGAGTTCGAGGCTCTCTATGGCCCCATCATCGGTTCCGCTGAGCCTACCTCCCATACCCCGGTCCCAACCCCAGAGGCCACGCTGGCGAGGACAACAAAGCTGAAATCAGAATATGAGGATTTGTCGAAGGATATTCTACGCGATCTGGCCGCCATTGACCAGCGGATGATCGGCCCCGCCTCACAAGCTAAAGAGTGTTTGGTTCCGTTCAAGAGAGCTATAAAAAAGAGAGACGATCGCAAGGTTCGCCAGCCCTACGACTTGGGTTACTGCGACTGGGCAGCTGACAGCCACAGTTGGACTACGAACGCCACCATGGCCGCGTCGAGAACTACTCAAGAAGAGCCAAGCGATCAGAGCGCGAGAATGCATCCTTAGTCAAGGCAGAGGAGGATTTAGCCCGAGCGACAGAGGTACGCGCAGTACAAGGCAATTCGTCACTGTTCTAACATCCCCAGGATTACCAAGCCGCAGACGAACATCTGCGCCAACACCTCCCCCCATTAATAACCGCCGTATTCTCCCTGCTACCCCGCTTATTGTCGGCGCAGATCGAGATCCAAAACAACATACTCGCAAATTACTATACCGTAATATACGGCTACTGCGAGCAGCAGCAGTACCCTTCCAACCCGCCCCAACCACTGGACCAGACCGTCGCGCAATGGGAACAAGCCTGCCACCCTGTACAACAGCAGGTCGAAACCTTCGCCTGTCTCGCCAATGGAAAGGCCGCCCGCTCGAATTCCCAACCCTCAAATGACCGCCGTCCCAGCAATCCGCTCAACGCTCTCAACCGCTTTCGCAGCACCCACAGTATTCCTACCCAGCAGGCTCAATCGGATCATGACGGCATTCCCAAGCCGTCCCTGGGCGCTCGATCGAAATCGACACCCTACGCGCCGTCCACTCATAGCGCGCCCTCGCTGTGCAAAGATACATCCCCGCCTCCATATCTGAGCGACGCGCACGCCTCATCATACTCGAGTGCTCCCTCACCACCAATCCCCCTAGCAAGCAAACCCTCACTGTCAGCACTAGCCGGCAAGAAGAAGCCCCCGCCTCCACCACCCAAGCCGCGGAGCGCCTCCTCAGGCATGTCTTTCGTGACCGCCCTCTACGATTTCGGCGGCCAGGGAGCAGGGGACCTGGTCTTCAGGGAGGGTGACCGGATCCGTGTGCTGAAGAGGACGGATAGTACGGATGATTGGTGGGAGGGCGAGCTTCATGGTGTCAAGGGGAGTTTTCCAGCGAACTATGTGGAGTGAGTGCGTATTCTTCTGACTGGTAGGGCTGTTATGGTTATTCTTATCGGGTGTTGCATGGCGTTTTATAAGCTTGAAAGCATCGCTGGGCGTGTGTGAAGCGTATTCTATTACTCTCTTCGGCATGGGAAAGACATCCTTACTAAAAACACTGACAATAGTGGCTTCTGAAGATACATATCCTTGTTTGATGCCGGGCTAAACTACTAATTAGAGCGATAATACAAGATTTGCCCAAAGAATGACCCTAGAAGAAAACGAGGATAGAAATGCGGTTCCAACAGAATCAAACAAGAAGCTGACATCCCTCAACACGTTTACAGAAACGCCGGCTCGGAAGTTCCCTCGTCGGAATCGAGCCCCATCTGACGGCGCCGGCTATTCAAAAATATCTCTACCATGCGCTTACTTGACATCGGCGACTGGAGACCACCCGCTTGATCGTACATGCCCTGCTCCAGTCTCGCATTCTCGTTGGTGGCTCGCCGGTTCTCGCGGATGAAGCGAGCGGATCGTCTATGAAGCTGTCTTGCATCTTGGGCGCCGGGCGACCACTTGGTAGGGTACTGTGCATATTTGCCGCCGGTAATCACTGGTGAGACTTCCGCCGCAGATCGTTTGGGAGTAGGTGACTCGGTCACTCGGGGCTGGTTACTCGACCTCGACAACATGGGTGACACTCCAATGTTGGTTTTGCCGACTGGGGTACATTTCAGGAAGCGATCATGGCCTCCAGAGTCCTGGAAGACGTCGTCGGCTAGCAAAGGTGGTATAGAAGGAGTGGGAACGTTGGACGAGGGTGAGCGAGCCTTTACCACTGTGCGCAAGCTTGAGGACCGACTAAAAGGGCGGGAGAAGTTGCTGCTTGTCGACAATTTTCGACTCGCTTCTTCAAGTACTTCGTCGGTTTTGACCGCGCCTCTGCTTTCAACTCGGATTCTTCGGTTGGGTACAGAGGACGTGAAGCTGGACGCATAATCGCCGCAAATGTCTGCGTTCTCACGGTAATGTCCCGTAGGTGTGGCGCTCTCGAATCTTGCCATCTGAGAGTCCATCCAATTCTGCCAGTCAGTGGCCGGTAGCGTTGGGACATCAGAACATGGAGATTCAGCAAACTTCTTGGGAGAGCTGTATGCAGTCCTTTCGGAAGCGTATATCGTCGCCACTCCCGGCTCTGCTGTGGAATCCGGCGAATCAGGAGGGGCCTTGCAGGGAGAGTGTCCGTTTGTCGATCGAGAGTAGACACTCGACGCGGACTCGACTCGTGATATGTCGTCTCCACTGGCCTTGTTATTCTCCTTATAGCCATCAGCCGTGCGAGCTGCACTGTGAGCACGCGACGCGCCATTGTTCGGCGGTTGTTCGTAAGGTGTCATGGGGCCGGCGGTTGCAGTTGCAAACGATCTCGGAGAGTTGACTGACACTTCGCTGGAAACCTGACGGACGGTGCGTTTGCTGTGGTGGGAGGTCAACGAGCCTTGTGTAGGGACTGCCCGGTGCTCCTTCACTTGACCGATGACAATATCTTCGTCTGAAGCCTGGGCATTAGCGCCTCCAATACGTTTCATAAGCGCAGAGAATAAACGATGGCTATCGACTGCCTGGTTTGGCCCATGTCGGATCGGGCCTGGAGGCAGGGGCGGCACGTCAGGACGGCCAAGGCTCCCTTGCTCAGAGACAACAGAAAGACGATGCTGAGCGCTTGCCCTTGGTGTCGTGATCGTGTTCGCTGCAGTGGAATCTGCCCAACTAGTCACCCGAGAGCGACTCGTGGCCAAGCTTGCAGAGCTCTGCATTCTCCGTACCGCGGTTGGTTGAGCGTCTGTTTGCCCCTGCATATGGCTGTCAACAGGCCCATGGCCGCTGGCGTAACCGTTCTCGTTACTGACCGCCGTCGAAGGAGACTGGGCCCAGTTACCGGAAGAAGAGGGAGACGGATGCACCTTTTCCTGTTCAGACGCGGTTCTGGAAAGGCCTAGGACCCGTTTAATACCCTTCTTAATGGTGCTTGAGAAGGCCCTGGCTTTTCCAAGAGAGTGGGAACCCTTGACATGTTCTAACGATGCCTCCGCGATTGATGTACCGTCGGAAGCGCTCGCGCCACGACATGTTTTCCTGAACGGCTTATGCCTGGTCTTTGGCATGGAAAGCGGCGCCCACGTGGAATCAGGACTGCTCATGAGGTTTTGCTGATACTGCGAGCGCGCCAACTGTATAGATACATCTTGACTTCTTGCATGCCGCAATGTGTTCTGAGGAGGATTGTCGCCTCTCAAAAAAGACATCGACCGCCTTAACGTGCGGTAAAGTTTCGGAGGATCAGAGGTCGGTCCGCGACTAGATATACTAGGGGAGTATGATTCGGGCGATGTCAGCCCGTAAGGTATATGGGAAGAACGCTGTCTGGTTGAGAACATCGAACGGGACTTTCGCAACCGGCGATAGGACGAGGGAAGCGACGCGATTCGGTCCTCCACACCACCGAACTCACTTATCGACGGTAGGGCTGCGGACCAGGACTGGTCGTTGTCCGGACTGTCAATGGATGACGAAGCTCTGTGACGAGATGGTGGATCGTCCCCAGCAGGCGAGCATCCTGGAGTGTAGGTAGACCGTTTGTATCTTCTCGGGGGAACGGCCATGCTGTGAGGGCCACCTATGCGGCCATATGAGCCCTCGGAGAGAGTGGAAGTTCTGTCAGCGGAGCGCGACATGGCCATGGCCCTGGACGCTGCAGCAGTTGCAAACAGCCGGGCAAGGTCTGGATCAAACGGTTCTGATGTGAGGGAATGGTCGTAATTGGGGCGAGCGAATCGAGTGGACTTGGACCTTCGCAAGCGGTCTTTTGCGCTCATGCTGCGAAGAAGCGAGTTCTATGATACTGGAGTAGATCTATTTCGGAAAATAGATGCGCGATAGACAGATGGAATGTGATGCAGGATGGGCTGTCTGCCGGCGTGATCGCAGTCTGATTGAAGGGGCCATGGGCTGCCAGTGAAGGCGCGAAGGCCTCGCCTTCCCAAGTCGAAGTGAACAAGACTGTGTTGTCTCTGCCGCAGTTTCCCGAAAGGGAAGTATACAGACCGGCGAGCGGCGTGATCGTCTCTGATCTTGGAGACAACACTACATTGATTGATCTTCATTTGCCAGACAAGAATCCCTGCTGCTGTACGTCCCAACCCGTGACAATCAGTCTGAGGAGGCTGTGTTTGTATGTGAGTCATCTGCCGAAGTCATAGCAGAGTCACACCAACAAACAAAGCCTCGACAGGGACAAATAAATAGGATGAGGCCCGTAAATCGAATATTAGCAATTCAAATCAAACCAACCATCAGACCTCGAAGGTCCATCATGAACCAAGCGCATCCGCCCAACCCAGTCCGACTTGACGGGCGTAAGCTGGAAGGGGGAGGCCAACTGGTCCGCATAGCAGTCGCCCTGTCCGCCCTCACAGGTCAAGCCGTTACAATCGACAATATCAGAGGCAACAGGACCGGAAAGCGAGGCCTCAAAGCCTCGCACCTGGCTGCGATCCAGACCCTCGCAGAGCTGAGCGGCAGCACGCTCGTCAAGGCCCAGGTTGGCTCATGCTCGATAGGCTTCTACCCCCCGCGCGAGCGAGAAGAAGCTCGCCAGATCAACTCTGAAATCAACATCCGCCTACCAACCCCGGGATCCGTCTTCCTGGTGTTTCAGGCGCTCTACCCGTATCTTCTGCGCTCCACTCCTACGGAGCAAATCCGCCTGAGCATCACCGGGGGCACGAACGTCTCGTCGTCGCCATCATACGACTACGTCGCCCAAGTGCTGATACCTAATTTCGCGAGGATCGGACTGCCGCCGCTCTCTGTGCGTTTGGAAAAGCGCGGTTGGGCATCAGGGCAGGGCCACTTGGGTTTGGGCAGTGTGGTTTTTGCGGTCGATACTCTGTGGAGAAGGGATGCGAATGGCGGGGCACCGGGCCACGAGATCCCTTTCCCCTCTGTTGATCTGCGGTGCCGACGGGGGAAAATCTCTAGGATCGACATTACAGTGCTTGCCCCTGATGATCAGCTCGATACCGACGCTGCGGGAGCGGGAGCCCTGGGAACCAAAGTGTCGGGATCATCGAGACGTCGCGTTCGGCAGGATGCAGCTGCTCAGCTTGGTGGAAGTGAGAAGCCGGAGTCTGTCCGGGAATTCATGGAGCGGTATGCGCATAGAGCTCTTCACAAACGGCTGAAGGAGTTACCCCGAGACATCTTTCTCCAACATTCATCTGAAGGAAGTAGTCTGCAAGATGAACACCATGGCATTCCCATCGAGACCCATACCACTGAAGCCACGCATCACCGCTCATGCATGCACGTGCTGATGGTAGCTCACACTTCAACCGGGTTCAAGCTCGGGCGCGAAGCATTATACGGCTCGCTGGGAGAGAAACCAAGAGCGAAAAAAGGACAGAACAGGCCCCGGGTGGATATGAGGGATAGAGTCAAGGGACTGGTGGATGAGTGTGTGGGAAGCTTCATACGTGAGCTTTATGACCCCTTGCTGCAAGCTCAATCAGACACCCCCGAAACCGCTCGGCATCAGCCTTGCGTGGATGAGCATATGAGAGACCAACTCGTCATATTTGAAGCACTGGCGAGAACGTCCGGTGATAAGGCTCAAGAGTGCGATGGTCGGGAAGACGAGCGATATTGGAGTCTTCACACAAAGACGGCGCAATGGGTGTGTCGAGAAATGCTTGGATCCGGCGAGTAAAGAACAGACGAAGGATAATAACCCAGCTAGCCAGACCTACAGAAAAACACAAAAGTTACAGAAGATCCAAATTCATAATCATAATCTTGAAAGCACCGTAGCAGCCTTCATGAATAGCATTCTTTTCCACCATTTAGTATCAAAGATAGGAGAGAGCATGAACATGGCAAGCAAAGGCCCGCTTCAGCTTCAGGTTGTGGTTCAGGTTCACAATGTACAGGAAAGGATATCAGGCAAAGTCAGAAAGAGGGAGGACAAAAAAGAAAAATAGAAGAAGTAAAAAAAAAAAGCAAAGCCGCCTGGACCTAGGTATGCGCGGAAATCGAGATAGCCTCCCTCCAAGTGGTATATGTAGAAACTGAAACTGAAACTCCCAGCAATGCATCAAGTCAGACAAGTCGAGTCAGAGCATCAATTAAACGCGGATAAGAAGAAGGTTGTGAGAGGGCGAAGATGAGAGAAGTGAAGAGAACGACGTTGCAAATGTGCATGTGGAAGAAAAGCGGAAAAGGGCAACGAAGCACAGCACAACACAACAACGCAGTATGCATAGCACATAGCAGCCTGCCTCCTTGACTCTGGTCCCAGCCTGTAGGACCCTTGCAATCAATCCGGTTGAAGGTTCGTCGAGGGGTCCTCCCTGTGTTGTGTGTTTCCCATCTTCGGTTTCCACTGCGCAGTCTGTTCTCGTGTGATTCTTGTGTTTTGTTTGCGTTGGCTTAGACCATCTCTCGGGTTATCTCTTTGTATTGCGAGTTCTGCAGGATTTCGGATGGTAGTGCGCGGCGGTAGTCTCGTGGTTGGGCGAAGGGTGAAGAGGAGCCTGGGCGGCGCAGTTTCAGTTGCTGGAGATATTTTGTTAGTTACTGGAGCTAGGTAGAAAAGAAAGACAAGCACATACCACGCAGTCGGGGCATTTGCCTCCGGAGATGTTCACACGGCCACGGCATCCGCGGGGGTAGTTGGCGCAGGAGAACATGATGACGGATTTGGTGGAGGGTTGGTTTGTATCGTAGTGCGATGCGAAGCCGGCGATTCGACGAGTCGATTAGAGGAGTAGGAGGTAGATGGTTGTGGTGGTAGGTAGATGCGTGATGCGATCCCGTCAAGGGAGACTTGCTGGCTAGAGCTGGCTCGGAGGGAAAGAGTCGGGAAAGGAACGACAGAGGGTCAAGTCACGAAAGGAGCGGACGGGGGGAGATATGAACGAGAGAACGAACGACCGGGGTGGTAAAATAGAAAGCGACGAGAGACAAAAGGATGGAAAAGGAAAAAGAAAGAAAAGAAGAATGGAATTGGAGGAACAAGCTAGCGCCAATCCCTGACTATTACGTCAAAGTCAAGATCGAGCGACCGTTGCAGGAAAAATGATCGCAGCCTAACCTTGCTTGCAATGGACTGGGCTGGACTGGAGTTGGGCTGCGCCACCGGACAATAGGGGCGGTGCTGCTTTATGGAGAAGTGAAAGGAAGGCAATGACCAGCAATCACCAAGTTGAAGTCGGAACTTTCTGAGGACTTTTCTCTGAGATTGACTGAGTGAGAGGAAGTGCTGCTTAAGTATTGGAACCGCAAGCTTCCCATCGATCAGTGTTTCACTAACTTGCAGAAATGATGGGAGGACTCGTACGTATAATATACAACGAATAATGTCGCAGGCGGAGACGGGCCATGCCAGCAGTTATTAACGCTCCCTGTTATTATTCTCTGCTACGAGCCTACGACTGGCCAGGAGCTCCTAGGACGCTGCTCTCGTCCAACAAATTCTCCATTGGCCTTGCCGTCCGCCTGTCTTACTGTAAGCTTCGCCTACTGAAGGATGAGCGGCGAAAATAACCCTCAGACAGGATTCATGACATGATCTGTTCCACTCGATCCAACTAAGATTCGAGTTTGCGCCCTGGCCCAGATTTTCGGGAACCCCCGGACCACCGTCGCTGTCCATTTTTACTATTTAAGGTCAGGAGAGCCGAGAGCTCGACAGCAGGAGGCCGATCAGTTCCCGAGAGTGATCGAAAAAACGGCTCGATCGTTTGAGATATGACTCGCAGACTTTGGCAGGCTCTTCGGCCTGATTGCAGGGAGGCATGGGCTGTGTCAGAAAGCCATCACAGCCTCAAGCCCAAATGCTTCATTGGGTGGCAGGGGTCATGCTGGCCATCTCCGTGAGCAACGTGATGGTTCCAGAACACAGCCCTCGGAGTTTCGGATAGATGAGAGGAGGCCGTACCGTAAACCGTTGGCGTCTAGATCTTGGGACCCAGACTGGCCGCAGCAGGACCCATCCGATGTTTCTGGAACGTTGCCTAGGCGAGACACCCCCATTTCTCGTGTCCAGGAGGCAGAACTCAGGAGTCAGGAGACTCGCAGAAAAAAATTCAGTCTCCGGGATACGCGGGAAACGTGGCCAATAATTGCACGCCTGGCTGGCTTTGTGATAGAGTCAACAGGGGTGTTCTGCCCCTCGTCTGCTTCCGGGAGACCGACTGGGCATTTCTACTCAGTAAGTATCGGTGACAGCTGTCGATCCGCCACTCGATCAACAATCTGATAGCACGTCCGCCCTTTTTCCGTTATTTGTGCAGTTGAAGCCTCTTGCTCTCGTCCATTTTCCCTTTCGAGCTTGCGTCCGCCCCTGCCGGTGGTGAAAGTGAAAGTGAAACAACCAGTTGAAGAGTCCATTGGCCCGCGAATCACAGCCGAGTGGAAGCATCGTCCAGGCAATTTCGGAGATCGGCTCTAATTCTTTTCCATGGCCGCCGATGATAGAGTTGGTTGAGGGATCGTGGTTGTACCGTTGTACACAGTACCGTTGTACCGTAGTAGTATAGTAGTATCTTTCGCATGAGGGAAAGGGATCTGTCGAGATGGTCAGTGTACTCCGGACTCCATAGAGGCGGAGGCCTGCAGATCGTCCAAGCTTCAAGCGCCGGGACGCCCATTGACGTGCATGGCCATCCCTGACGCCTTCAGTGGTAGTGTAGTGTGATGTGGCCGTCACTTGACAACCCCGGGTCATGTGCCGGCAGCAGGGATCTGCCTGCTCAGCCTGCTCAGCCTGCTCTCCTGCTCTCCTGCTCTCCTGCTCTCTTCTGCAACGCTGCCGACACCGTTACAGAACCTTCAGGCTTCAACCCAATCACTGCAGTGTCAGAGCAGCCGAGATCCCGAGCACAAGGGCGGAGCAACGAGAGACGTGGCTGATGTCCAACTAAGGTTACCGGTAGCAAACAACGCCGTCTGACAGCAGTGCCGCATTCGTCACCATACATATTCCTTCTTCCGACCGCTGTCAATATCAGGTTTTTGGCCCTCCCATCGCTGCCCAGCATCGTACGATACGTGGCTGACGTCGTCCCCAGAAAAGCATACCCGTTATTTCCTCGGACACCACTGCTACTGCATACAATGACAGACGGCATATGTCAGTCCTACTTGGCCTTTTCCTCGTTTCAGAGCTAGAGCAGCGCCATCTTGGTGGGGTCATTGGCGACTCGCCTAGACCGTTCCCTCAGGGTCGCCTCGAATCCTCGACGCTGTACTCCGTACTCCGTACTCCATATGCAGGTGATGCGACAATGCTTAGACAGACTGCCGAGCCTCTACCTCGATACCCCCGTGCTATGCATATATAAGCCATCGGCGGGTTCATTGATCCTCATCAGGCGCCAACACGTGTCAGGACGGTATGGAATTCGCGATGCGCAACCTATGAGAACAAACACCAGCCTGTCCATATTATTGCAGGAGGCATAACCGGCAACATCAAACCGCCCCCACTGCATCGTGATTTCGCGATCGCATGTGGAGTTAGATCTGCTCCAAACAGCTTTTGACGTTTTTATCCGCCTTTGCATTTGGGGCCATGCTGGGCATAGAAGTTGACCCGTTTCTTCGCCCCATTGCTCGTATCGGGGTCTGGACCGATCTAGGGGCAGAGATCAGCCCTGCCGGCCTTATAAAAGGATTCTATACTGTGGCGCCGTCGAAGATACTAGATCTGGTGCGCAAGTCATCCGAAGTATTTCCGAGCGTTGACGCTACAAGCGTGATCGCCAATGCGTTAGTGCCCCACGGGGTGAGTATGACCCCGGCATTTGAATGGTCGTTGATCATCTTATCATATACGAGAGAGACTATCACGCGCGTCTCGCGCTCCTGAGATCGGCCGCAACTTGCGCTGTTGTATTCCCGTTGGGGTCTCTGGATTAATGCCCAATTTCTTGGCTGACGTGCGGCTGCATTGATGCTCCGTACACAACCAATTCGCTTTACTCCGTACTATAGCATTGTGCCACTGGATGCCTCCGTTCGTGGCAGCCAGTTGGAGTTGCACAGCCTACGAGTAATGTCTTCGCGGGAATTCATCCTGCAGTTGCCTCGTCGAGCAAACATGTAGGCGTGAAGGCTATGCCCATATGCCCATTATTGAGGACTAGCTACCTTGGTCAAGGGAACTGGACCCCTCTCGAAGGAACGACTCCAACTCTGACTCGTGTCTTGAAAGAATGGCAGCGGCGGAGCGCAACCCTACGGAGTTTTCGGCACCTTCTAACCCGACCATTCAATGACCCCCCAGTCCTCCGTACCAGCTCAAGAACTACATTCCAACTCCCTGGCTTTTAGGGCTTCTGGTAGGCCAGCCCAAGGACTTGTGACCTGCTCCTTCTCTTTATCCTTCATCACGAGACCACGATATCGTCCTCTCTTCGGAAACCTACGGCAAATCCTGCCCACGACTTCCGAAAAGCACAAATCATGGCCCCACGATACAAAGAAACAACCTCTCTCGCATTTCATTATCGAGTTCATCGAGGTGGGGCCGTCCTGCAGGTGCGTCTCATGATTCAGTGTACCTTACTGACGACCGGGATAAGCCGGATTGCGTTCCCGTGGTTTGCAGGAACGTTCTTTGTTTGCCTTCTTTACCCCTCGCTCTTCCCGTGGTTCGGTTTAGGTGCGGCTTATGGGACCTCGCTTTGTGCTGGGCTGTACGTGGCACGAGTACTTGTGGCAGCTCAGCTGAGCGGAACGATTTACCGCTAGTACAGAGTACGGTGCTGTGAGTAGTAAGAGTATGGACTCCACCAAAACTCGGTCTCGGATTCGGCCTCCGTCTTTCGTCCTCGCTGCTTGGTCCTTGGTCCTTGGCCTGGCGGTGCGGTTTCGACCTGACTAGCCAACATTGCGCGGGTCAGGTTCCTCGAATCGAGTCTTCTCTTTGTTCCCCCTCACGTGTGTCTTTGGATCAGGCTACGGTCTCGAAACCCGGCTTCGGGATTGTCCGACGATCATGCTAATGTCAGAAGGCAGAAGAAGGCGCCAACGGGCATCCTCGCATGGCGTGCGGTTCCTATACTCCGCACAAACTTTGCCCACTGGCTTACAGTGCCAGCTCATGCTGCGCACATACTTTGCCCACTGGCTTACAGCTCCAGCTCTCCAGCCCAAAAGGCTAAAATACGACATGTTAGCTGACCTGACCACTACCCATGACAGGCCGTGTTCACACCTTGCCCGTACGGTAAAGATACTGATCCCGTAAGCGCGCGGGACAGTCTGCCTCCGGTCCCTTGCTCCGTTCTGGGATTCGGACACCGGGCCGGGTGTTTTGGGCTCTCTCTAGCTATCTATAGACCTTTATTCTACTCCGTCTCTCGCTGTACGACCTTACACAATCACCAACAGATCGAGTCGGCGGCCCTAGCCTGCACATCTCGGTTGGTGTGGGTAGTTAGGTAGAGACCGTAAGCCGCAATTGGGGCCCTATCCTACTCGGGTAGTTTGCGCTTTCCTTGTGCGTCTACTCTGTCCTGTCGGTTAGTCGGGGAGTAGGCTCTTGGAGTGTGGGTGTATATACGTCTGCGCTCTGAAGTAGGATAGATGCTATGTACGCGAAGAATATACCCTGTCCTGTGTCCTTGCAGTCAATGCCGGATAAACATGTGGCATTCGGATCTATGACCTATGTCGTGGCTAATACGAATGAGGCGGAGTATATATTAGGATTTCTAAAATCATGTAGATGCCGCTGCATCTTTAATGAACACAGATGACTATTGGCTATATGCAGGTGGTGATAGGATAACTCGGACCGAACTGTGCACAAACATCTTCCCTTCCCGAAAATAAGATCTAGCATTATGTATCATGCCATGTCGTATCTCATAATCTAGCACTGGTTCAACTGGAGATCCAAGCCAAGTAGAAAGAAACTCGCGAAGAGCTGCACGTAGTAGGTTAAGGGCCTAAACTTCTGAAACGAACGACTCGGTAAACCAATTGTCCGACAGTATCTCGACTGCAGGGCTTGCGGCTGGGGGGATCTGCTGCGCCCCAAAGTGTGTTGTGCTAAATGACTGCGAGGAAAATGCGCAGACAGGCTGTCGTCCTATCCACGTGGCCAATCTCACGTTATACATTGACTGTCCCTAGCCAGCGCAGCTGAGTAGGTCTGCTTATATTCGTTGTAGTTCGTGCGTTAGCATGCCGCACGCCATACCATACCACCCAGACAGCTGGGTATCTCAGATCTCAGCATGACACACGACAGCATGGCGTAGCCCCAACAGCCACCTAAGAGCCCAGCATAGCCCGCACAACAAGCCAAGCCCCAATAACCCCCACAGCCGAAGCCAACAGCAGCGCGTTCCCCTCCCTCGTTAAACCCACGTACGCAAGGCAGCCAACAGCATACTCTTTCATCAGCGCGGCCTCCCGCTTGCGAGCCCAGTCCGGATCAATTGGGAATGGAGCTAGCTGTGCCGATGCCGATTCACCAGCCGCACGGCGCTCAAGGACGGGGATGGAGACCGTCAGCGCGACGGGGCGGTGGTCTGATGTCGGCGAGACGGGGAGGGCGTCGTAGGCCAGGACTTGGACTTGCGAGGCGCCGGCGAGGCCCGGTGGTGTATTGAGGAAGAGCACGCGGTCACACCAGCTGGGCCAGCGGTGGCTGGTCCATTTCCATTCCGCGGGCTTGTCGGAGGGTGCGGGGTGCAGGGCGGCGAGTTGGGCGGCCTGGTGGTATTTGTATGTTGGGGGGAATGTGATGGGGGCTTCGGTTAGGCCGTGGAAGCAGCGCGACGCTTGCATCTCGCGGCTTAGCTGGTCGTTTTTCAGGAGGTGGCTGAAGTGCAGTGGGTTGTCGGCGTCGGCGTCGGCTTGCGGGTACTTTCGGTAGTCGTTCTTCGAGGGGAATCGGTCTGCGGTGCGGTAGTTGAGGTCGCCGCCGATGAAGAGGTAGTTTGACGGTGCGAATATGCCGGGGTGTTTGCTGTCTGGGGTTGAGGAGCTTGGTAGTAGTGCGGCGCTCTCTGACTCGTCTTCGGCTTCGTTTCCGTCGCTGCGTTTCGCAGCGCCATCTGAACCACTGAATACCAGTCTTTCCACCATGCTCCGCCAGTCTGCGTTCCTTCGTGCAACTGCGTCCTCCATCGGTGCGAGGTGCGCAGCAATGAGGGTGAGGTCGACGCCTGCCCCTGGTGTTTTGGGACTCTGGTAAGACAGCCGCGACGCAACAGCTGCTTTGTTGCCTATTTCCTGGAAGCCAAAGCCGACTTTTGCAATTTCAGGAGAAGATAGATTGTCGACGATGTCAGGACGCGCAAAGATCATCAGCGCCGTCATGCCGCTGTGCTCGGTGAGGATGTTGACATATTGGGAGTCAAAGCGCTGGACCGTCGCGCGGTCGACGGCCTGAGCATAGGAGGCAAAGTATGGAGTTATGAGAGAGCCGCCTAGGAAGGCATAGGGCATGGGAGCGACCTCTTGGAGACTGAGCACGATGAGATCGGGGGGCGAGTTGGAATTGTCGGTGACGGGGTAGGCGTCGAGGAAGTGGCGAGAAAAGTGCTCAACATTGATGAGTCTCAGGGCGCAGTTGTAAGTAAAGAAGTACAGGCGAAGCGACTCCATTACGGGCGGTTTTCGGTGGCTGGTAGTGAGATATGGAGAGGAGCGCAAAGAGAATGGTGAGGACGATGACGTTTGTGGGGGAGATGTTGATCTTATCGCTCGCTTATCCGCTATCGTTCTATCAGATGGCCGAATATCTTATCGATTGCTTATCTTCTATCGCCTTATCGATCGGATGCTTATCTTATCGCCTGTTTATCGGCGTGTCTAGTTGTTATCGATAAGACGCTCCCTCCGTTTCCATTCTGATACAACCATGGTCGACAGTCATACCTAGGCCACCGCCGAGAGCCGAGCACTTCTCCGACAAGAAGGTCAATGTGTATGCGATCTCGAGCCCGTGGTGGAAGGTGGCAGGGCTGCAACTCCGTCCCCCTTTGACGGACCCTGGACCGCGGAGCCGGGCTTCGCTCTTTCCGGAACGACGATGTCGTGGCGTTGATCAAGGACGGAACAAGGATAGGATATCAGTCTAGATGCAGAAGACTTCACACCGAGTCGGGCTTTATTAACCGTAGGGTAGACGCTAAACTATGGCTGGCGCAAGCGGCCTTGCCCCTGAGCCCCGAGAAAGGTTTCCTTGCCAGTATTCGCAGTAACCAAGCAAATCAAGTCTTCCATGACTTTGGGCCTAGACATTCGATCAGGAGACGACATACTGCGAAGTGGACTGTAACGGCACACCAACATCGGCGAATTAAAGAGCCACAGGCGTACAAAGAAAAACTCTCGAGAGGCAGATCCCAAGATGGCCCTGGACCGGGTCCAAGAACAGCCTGCCGTAGACTCCTATTATAACAAGCTGTTTTGCTTCCCATACCGAACCAACTACGTAAAACAAGGCACCACCCTTCCCGCCGCTCTCTGCACTAGCCTTACCGGCATAAGCACCTTATAAACATGCCTGGCCTAGCTACAAACAAGCTGCCGCGTACCCATTGGATCCCCAATCTCCTCTACCCTAAACGCATTCGCCGTGCGCACGGGGTTTATAAGCCGCTGATACTCCTCCTCTAGCTCCTCAAGCCGCTCTTTCTTCAGAACATTACCCTGTTTCTCCGCCTCCCGCAGCTCAGCCCGGTGCGCGACCTCGATGCCCCCCTCCAACTGTTGGATGACTTGGTGGAACATCGGTACGTATGGGAGGTAACTCCAGCCTTCCTTGCGGATGGTCGTGACGCTTCCTCCGCCTGAACTGCCATCGACTAGCTTAATCACAGGCAGCTTTAGAGCAACAGCTAGTTTCTCTAGGTAGATCGTCTTCCCCGCCGACGCCCCGTCGGCATGTCCACTGCGAATAGAAAAGTCATCTGCTGCCAGGATACACGCCGTCCACGCAGCTTCCCAAAGCCCTGGACATTATTACTCGGCACAAACGAGACCGGCTTCTCGCGCATCGGGCCAGTCTTCTCCCACTCCACCGTGCCGGGTAACGAGCCGATTACCTCGAAACTGTCCGCGTTCAGCAGTTGCTCGAGGCGCTCGCGGACCCATAGCTTGCCGGCTTGCTTTTGACGGATGTAGCCTCGGTGGGTTGGATCTGGGGTTGCGGCGATGGTGCGTAGGGTTTGGATCTGCTCGCGGACGTCGGCGTAGTCTGCGGGGAGATTGAGATGGGAGGATACTTGGCGCAGTCGGTCCTTCGCCGATAGCGAACCCAGCCTCAACAAGACACCAATTACTTCCGCCACTCCTCATGCCTATCCCGACTAATACCAAAGGTACGGTCAACGGCCGCGTTGATGCCCCCGCGCAACCACTCGCCGGCGCCCTGGGCCTTTGTTAGCGCTGACATGACTTGGCATAGATGTTCTGAAGCGCTGGACGTACGTGAATCGATGCGAGGACCCGGCGCACCCCGCTGCCGACGCGCTCGCCCATGTCGGCGCCTGCGCGGCTGGGACTGGATGGGGAGGTGGGTTCTGGTGCGATTCTGTCAGCTTGGAAAGATTGGTGGATGAGTTGGAGATGAGAAGAAGGGGCGTACTGTCGGCGCCGATGGAGCTGTAATGCTGGTATCACCTCGGGAATCTGGCATTTGGAGCCGGTGTTGTACGGTAAGAGCGGTCGCAGTCGTTGTCGAAGCGGCGGCTGGCGGGAGTGCCAATGTGGGCGTCTGCTGCTTTGGTATCTGCTGGTTGTTCCTCCATTGCGAGATGATGATGAGGAGGAAGAGGATGATGATCAAGGCAAAAGTTGTTGTTGGTGTTGCCGGCTGTTGTAACGGGCGGTGACATCACTGCTGATCTGGCACCACCTGCACCTGACCAGCGAGGAACGGCTTCTGTGGTTGCGTAGGATGCTAAGTAGAGCGTCGAAGGCCAGCTCGGAAGTAATGGGGTACCGTTTGTTTATGAGAGAGACAAGGATACTACGCCGTAGGGGCGTGTTGTTTTGCGAAGACGGTGGCCCCGCCTTGTTGCGGATGCTCCAGGTGGAAAAGACTGGCGCCGCGTCTGGCAGTGATGATTGGCTCCCTTTCCAGAATGCGGCTCCCTCTTTGTAAAGTGCGATTGGCTCCTTTTCAATAACGTGATAGGCTCCCTTTCTTCAATGTGATTGGCTTCCTATCTATAGTGTGATAGGCTCCCTTTCCAAAATGCGACTGGCTCCTTCAGTAATGTGATTGGCTCCCGTTCCACCGTAAATGCGACTGGCTCCTTCAATAATGTGATTGGCTCCCGCAGCGCTCTGATCAGGAAGTGACAGGCTGACAGCCTGACAGGAACTTGAAGTCTGAGCGCGGTTCCAATCCGCAGGCACGCGCGTGGGGAAAAGCTTGGCAGCGACGACAAGCTATCCCGCAGGGCAGGCGATGTTCCTGCAGCTGGAGTGTAACCTGGCAATTTCGATCTTGGAGACCTGGTGCTGTGCTTGGGCTTCTCCAACCAGGCATCAACGCCAAATGAGGCGTCAATCCCAAGCGGTGGCGCAGTCTTTGTTCGCATCGGCAACCCCGGGAACGTAGATGGAGAGAATACTTCCCACCACAAGACTTGCGCGACAAAGATCATAAGTTCTGGCTGTCGTGTGCGTGTCTTTGTCCCTGGAGGTGGAGATGGCAAGAGACCTATTCCGTCGCCCTGTTCACGATTGCCAACCAAGGCGACAATCAAGTCTAGATCGAAGCGCATGAATGCAATGTCATGAATAGGACTCCACTTCTGCTCGGATGACTTGATTTCAATAGCAGGACTGCGATGGACGCCCTTTATGTGGGATTTGACTTGGAAATGTACCTAGCCGCATCTACACTCATCCGTCTCCCAATTGATACGGAAATCGATGGACTTTGGCTACGCCGTACGGGTATTTGTGCTGGAGGAATGTTGAATATATCGGGACACTGCTAAGAGCAGTGTGGTGTTGCTTTCCGCTTCCTTTTGGTCCGGGATTGACTGTGATGTAATTGTGCTGCGGTGAATCGACATATTCACCTCGCTGAGTTGCTAGACTCGAGGGCTCAGCAACAAAGAGTGAATCCACTTCCACATCTTCTCGAGAAAAGCTCTCTCCATCTCTTTCATCTCCTTCACCCAAACCCAACACAACCATCATCATCCCCGATCCCCAACGATACCACTTCCATCCACCATCGTCAGACTTCCCACTATTTCTCCGTCACCGGAATCCTTTGTACGACAAACACAGGCACTCAGCGAATCAGAGAAAAAGAAAAAAAAAAAACCATGGTGTTCCTTGCATGGGCCGCTGATACTTCTCGCAACCAAGTAAGCACTACTCCATTCCTGATGACCCAGCCAAACAGGACTAACCGCGCATGCATAGGCAACCCCGGACCAAGGCTCCAACGCCGCGGACTGCCTGCAGGTCATTATTGCAAAGGATTATTCGACGTTCAATCGCTGGTACTGGGCTGCGCGGCGGAAGTCCGAGTCCACTATCCATCGACATTCCTCCGACTGGTACACCTACGATGGTCAGGTAGTGGATCTGGCCGAGCTCACCCGGAGCGACCCAAACATGAGCGCGTTTAACGGCTGCGTGGTGGTGAAGCCTTTTACGGAGATCGGCGGCAGCATCCTGCTGTCGATGATACTGTGCTCGGCGCCTGCAAGCCTAACGCTGCCCAAGCCGTAACAGAGGTAGGATTGCCCGTTGTGTTCTTGATTCCTGGTGTGGAGTTGCATAATACTAACGGTTGGCAGTTGATCTTTCCAGAATTCTGATTGTCATGGCCCATGTACCGATACCATAGACGAGAAAGCACTAGAGGCGCCACTTTTGTCTGCTTCGCTTCTTTTTCCCGTTTCCGTTTTTCGTTCTCGCTTTTCGTTTCCCTTTCCTTCTCCCTCTTTAGTTAATGCCCACTGAGGCCAAATCAAACTGCCGTGAACCTTTCCACTCCTTGATTGCAAGTCCTGAAGTAGTGGCGCTGGATGAAATGCAGTAGACAAAGACAGACGTCCCGTGGAGGAGCGCCTGACCCAAGTGACTTGTTGAGACTCGAGTCCCTCTCCAACCGGCCCCCTCGAGGCATAAATATGGAGTCTGTCTTCCATTTCCAGCCCATGTTCTCTCGCGCCATCCTCGCGAACAGACTCCCAAATCAAACAGACCTTCTAGCAGATCTTTGCCACCGCAGTCTCCCACCTGCCTGCAGTCTCCCGCCATGGTGTTCTACGCTTATGCCTCGCCCATGGTCGTACGTTGATACCCCTGCCCCCCTGCTCCTCCGCCGCCAGGATAACCAGGTTGACCGTCTCTGACCCTCCCTTGCAGCCACACGCCCGCAGCCACGGAATCCTACTCGCTGCTGCCGACAAGGAATCCCTCACGCAGTGGATCAAGCTCGTATCCAAGCATTGCAAGTTCGAGCGGAAGACCGACGACTGGTACTTTTACAATTTCGACCAGTACGCAGGCCTCTCTAGTCATAATTTTTTGGAGGACCTCAAAAACAAACCGCCCGCCGTCATCATGTCGAAATTGCCGACTCTGTACAGCCGAAACAACCAGCCCTTTCCCATAATCCCGATGAGTGACTGATGCTGTCGTGTTGCTGGTGACGGGAATTCGGATCCTTTTTTTCCCTGTTTGCTTCTCTCTTTACTTTTTCCTGCTTGTATTTGTTCGTGTTGGTGGGAAAAGAGGCAGGGGGCATGTGAATAGCGGCAGAACGCAGAAAAGAAATCTGAAAGAATGGGACAATTGTATCGAATCGCATCGAATTCCATCGACCGTAAAAACAAATTTGTACCTACAGGCGGCTTGCCCAACCCCGAGCCGGTCGCTCATCGCCCACAGGAAAATCATCGTCTCTCGGATGTCAACCCTTGAATGGCCCTGGAAAGAGCTTCAGTGCAACTAGGAACCAGTACTTGCTCTGATTAAACCAGAGTAACGGCCAAGTAGACCTGGCTTTTGAGAATCCTGTCTGCAATGGGTAGTGGGATAAGGTCATTTCAAGGCTCGCATTTCTACCTAGTTCCTTGCCAGTCAGAAACTTCCTCCTGCCGCTGCAAGCGTCAACTTGTTCAAGATTCAGCTTCCCAGTATGCGCGTGCGTCCTCCTGTATGCGCTGCTAGGATCACGTCTTGAAGTTTGTCTCTTGCACACCGATCTTCCCTCTCGCTGCAGGGATCAAATCACTCAACATCCTGTTTCTTGGCCGCGGGACGGTGCATCTTGCTTTCCTCGACGATGGGTTGTTGTCTTTTAGCGCGTCGATACGCGGGGTCCCGAGAGAATTTCTTTTGCCGTGAGACCGGTTGGCCCGCCAGACCATTGACATCCAGTCCCTCGCTAGCAAAACGGTGCGCCATGGATCATCTCCTTGCCGCTATTGTCTTTGCTTTCCTGTGAGAGTTCTTTCTTCTGGAAGATGGGCTTCGGGCGAGTCCATTGCCACCCGGGTCTCACCGGCAGGACAATACATTGTGCCGGCCCGATGCTGGGACGGTGGTTGAGACCTCTGTCCTTTGCGCTATTGCCTGATGCAGATAATATGTCGGTCTATCCCCGCCGGGGTTGCTTCTTCTGCAACACAAAATTCCGGCGAGTCCGTCAACATTACGCCTCGTCATCAGCGGGAAGGTGCAGCTTGCTGCGACTCAATATCCCTGGGACTGCACTCGGAATCCTTGTCCGTTGTGTTCCTATTTGCACTCCCTGGGAGGATGATTTCTGCTGCACGACGGGTTTCCGGCGACTCCGTTGACCTCCAAATGTGCCACCGGTGGGACGATGCATCTTGCTGTGACTCAATGGTCCTAGGACTGGATGTTGGGAGCGTTTTCCTTGAGCTTCTCCCTCCCTCGCCGTTTTGCGCGTCCGTTGCCTCCTTAAATACCGCCAATGTTCTGCCCTCCTCCCACTCCTGTCCCGTATACTCTCCTCAAGCTTCTCAAGCTTCTCAAGTTCTCACTTGTCTTTTTTTCTCTTCACCTTGAACGCCCGAATCGCGCCGACTATCGAAGCTTCGTCAGACGCATTGATAACACCATGAGCGGGGCCCAGACCTTATCGAGGACGAACCCAACCACGCCGAATCCGAGTTCCTCTCAAGCCAACGCGATGAGCGGTGCCCAGGTTTCATCGAGTACGAGCCCAACTCCGCCGAATCCTGGGAGTTCCTCTCAAACCATCACGATGAGCGGGACCCAGGTTTCATCAAGTACGAGCCCAACTCCGCCGAATCCTGGGAGTTCCTCTCAAGCCAACATGATGAGCGGGACCCAGGTTTCATCGAGTACGGTCCCAACCGCGCCGAATCCTGGGAGTTCCTCTCAAACAAACCCGAGCCAGGTACACATTAAGGCCCGGAAAATGGTAAGTCTGGCAGCGAGTCGATCACTACAAGACAGACGGTATACCAACTAATGCTCGCAAATGATAGTCAGCGCGCGATGCGGTTCTGCAAAACCTTTTCAACGTGGAAAAGAACGACGCCTTCTTCCCCGGCATAAGCGCGTTTGCAACCGATCTACAGACAAGGTCCGTCGATGAGATAAGGGAACTCGACAATGATACCTGGCGATGCTTCAATATGCGATCCCCGTTGAACGCCGACGAATTTTGGGGCTGGTGCAACGACGTTATTATCGCTTTCAAGGAGGAGCGTGGGACCGGCGACAACCAAAATCGGAATCCAGCCATTTCAGCGGTGCTCTCTAGGCTCTTAGCGTCGAAAGGAGGGTCACTGGACGGCATGGAACCCCGACTGAGAGGTTTGGCCACTAGAGCAATGATGATGACGCTTGGTTGGATCTCGACGGCGACTATGCCGGTGGCGCAGCCTGACACGCCAGATGACCGCGAGATAGATGAGGGGAAAGGGGATGTCTCTCTGGTGTTTGACAAAAGTTACAACCCCGCCACTTGGATTGGTTCCTGGAAGGATCCCCAGGACCCCCAGGACCCCCAGGACCACCATGTCAAGGAGCCCTTCAACTACTTCCGAAACAATCTAGGTGATCTTGCCCTCCACTCACCGGTCGAGGCCGGCTTTGGCCCCTACCAGACGGGACAAGACGGCGATGATGCTGGCACTGTCAATGACGAACTATTGCACGAAAATCGCATGACGTATGATTCATTGCAGAGGTTTGGCGCAATTTCACTCAAGTGGGTGTCAACACTGGTAGAGCATCTGCATTTCAACCCAGAGCGACGCGAGCTTTCTGTGTTCCAATTTCCTTCGGTCTGCGCGATCAGAATACAAAACAAACAAAGTTTTCCCCTTGACGCAAAGTAAGTCCCTTGCTCTATTAATCTACCTTCAACTGCTAAACATTTGTTCCCTGTTCAGCATCACCAACTGGGTCTTGACCCGCAACCCTTCCCCTGCGGAGGACCTGGTGGAGGACCATGTTGAGGTGTACCAAGAGGTGCTCCTCTCCTATCGTCTCCTGTTCGGGCAAACTGCCAAGTCGCGGTCTTTGCTAAAAGAAGCGCTGAAGAAAGTGGAGGGAAACATCCGTGATCCTTTTTTAAAGGATTGCGTGGCCGCCCTCCCAAAGGGACGCCCCTGGGATTTTGTATGGACGGCGCAGGAGCAACCTCTGGACAGCAACCTCTTCCCTAAGGCTGTTCAGGGCGCTGACGGCTGTATTAGGGACTGGAATACATATCCAGCACGGGATAACTTCCCTATTTTTGGCGAGCAGCTTCTGTTGCTGCAAAAATTCGCAGATAGGCATCCGCCTATGGGGTTCTGGGACTATGTGCAAGATCGCAGATACCCCAAGGAGCACTTCCAGTCCCAGGTAGCGCTATTCTTTGGGCTGTTCACCCTCTTCTTCGCTGCCCCACAAACAGTCGCAACAATCTGGTCGCTCGTCAAGCAGTACGAAGGTTGAATCAGATCCTCCTGCAATTGCGATCCGCGGGTATTGTGAGTGCGCACAGGGATCAAGGCCACCATCGACCGTTATGTGAGGTTTTCGGGTATCTCTTTTGCTTTCTGCTTTCGGGTAATTGTTTTTGATGTCTTGTGCATTCTCGATAATAGCAAGTACTGAATGCACACGTCTTTTTTGGATTTGGTGTGGGAGCCTAACAGCAGTCAGCGAACGTTCCTTTTCCTCTTCCCCGTATACTGCCCTGTCTCAGCGCCCTCAAGAGTGCTCCGCCATCCGCGGAGATGCAGTCTCTCGGAATGACTTCATTCCTTCTGGCCGGTGTTTGTGATCTCCAACACGGCATGGATATTATCCGCTTACAGTAATCCAAATCAGGCTAGCCTTTGTCACGTGGAGGCTTGACTCTTCGCCAAGGCGGTACCTATGGACAGGAACAATAAGTAGTAGTGAAGTGCGAGTACGTCCAAACAAACACAACGGGGCCCCAACAGCAGTAAGCGATCAATACGCAACAGAGCAGCAGGTAGCAGTGCAAAGATACAAGAGTGGCAAGCCAAGCAACCGGAGAGTCCGGCGAAGGTGAAATTACCTCAGTGAGGGGACGCACAGTTGCTGATCTGTCCATGGAGCATCTCTGCCCTGCCTTACTTGTAGGTTCCTTCAAAACAGTCCCATTCACCCCGCTGCAGAACGAGAGAGGCTTTGGCATTTCCAGAAGTCGCCGACCTTAGCATTGAGAGGCGTGGCCGGAGTGATCCACTTGCCCGTGGAATGCAGGTCGCCAAGACGACACACAAACTCCATGCCCAGTGATCGTCCATCGTCCTGCGGAAAAAGTTTCCGTTCGAGCCAGCGCCTCCAAGCGCGTGTGTTAATCTCAAAAGTCCGAGAACTGTCAGTCCCCAGGAGTCCAGGTTCGTGGAGTGACTAGGATGGGTTCGCGCCGCCAGTCGAAACCCCGACTGGATGATCCTGTTGCGGTTACGCCGGCCTCAAGATTGCGCCCTTCTTCGAGTCGCCACATCCCTGCTTACCGGCCCATCCCCCCGCGCAACCCGTCGCTCGCTGCAGATTAAGCAACCGGCAGGTCCTGCCTGTTGAAGCCCGGCCTCTCAAGAGCAGAATTCAAGGGTGCGTCTTGCTCCGAGGTTGGAAGGATTTCCCGCTACCGAACGGCCCTGCGCTCGGCACCACGAGTCGGTTGTAGGTTAGCCGGGTTGTTTCGACATTGGAACCTCGCGTAGATGCTCCCCCTTTGAGTAACGTCCCGCTGCATGGATGATGCCCGGACACCCAACAACCCAGCTCGGTTGGAGACCAGGGTTTCCATGGGCGGAGGCGTGTGCCTTGCTCTGATGCTTGTCCATGCGTTGACCAACTTCCCGTACCAGGTCGCACGAATACCTGATGCCTTGGACTGATGGAAGTCTACTCTTCACCTTCACACCAGCGGAAAGAGTGGCGGAAGAGTGTGTTTGCTTCGTTGTTAGAATCGCGCCTCGAATTTCTACCCTTCCGTCAACTTCCCGCCGCAAAATGAGCCCCCAAGGACTCGAATCGATTGACGCCCATCATCTTCTCAGCAGAAGGCCGCAATCAGCAACTTCATGCAAGATAGGCACGGGGTTGACTCGAGCGGGTGCTGCCCCACCTCTATTGATCCAGCCCTCACGCGGGGAGAGAGTGCGTCTCGCCGTTACATGTTGGTTTCCGTCTTGAACTTTCTACTTTTCAAATTTTTCTTCCTGCTGCGGGATGGGTTTCCCGCAACTCAAGCAACGTCCAGCTTCTCCGCTGACGGGATGATGCATCTTGATTGTCTGATGCTGGGATCCCGCGTTGAACTTCCGCTTCCCAAATACGTTGCCTTGGTGCGAGGTGGCTATCCGCCAGCCTGTTCAACATTCAGCGTTCCAGCCGACGGGATAAGTGGTCTTCATCACTCGATGCTGGGATTTAGCTTGGGATTTTCATGTTGTGAGACAGGGTTCCGACATTTCGACTCGCGTCCAGCCTTCCAGCTGACAGATCAGCACGTCTTGTTTGTTTGATGCCCGAGAAAAAACTTCGATTTGTTGTGAGTTCTGGATTCGAAGACTCAATCATCTTTCGTTTCTCTACCGGCGGAACGATGCGACTTGCTGGCTCGTTGCGCAGCGTCGCTCTTCGGACCTTCGCCCTTAACGTTGCTTGCTTCCACCGATCACGAGTCTGCTCGGTGGTTAAATACCTCGCAATCCCCTTCCTGTTTCCACCTTTCCATCATCGCTTTTTCAGGTCACTTCAAGCTACCTAGCGCATTCATTCTTGATTCAAGATCGACCTCGTCTGTGAACCTGCAGTCGTCATTTGTTCCATCCTTACCATGGACTCGACTGACTGTATAGATCGACTGCGACTTGCGAGATCTCCCGCGCAGATCCTCTCGGGTGCTGCGAACACTGTGAGTGGCTGGATTCCGGAGGGCGTCAAGAAGCGTTGGCGCCAAGTGAATACCTTCTTGCAGAATCATTTGCAAAACCCACCGACGGATTATTCTTCTGGGAATATTCCACTTGTGCCGATCTCGGGGGTTTCTGGGAGAACTTCGCCCACTGCTGAGGATGTAAGTTAGCAATTTGTCGAACACCACCAGACAGACTCAGAGGCTAACCAGTAGGCGCGGCCAACAGTTCCGTAACGAAACGATCGAGAGCCTGTTCGGTGCGGCGAAAACTCGATATTTCGGTGTTTCGGTATTCGCCGACTACATACAAACCAAGTGCTTTCGACTGGCATCAAGACCCCCCCCGGATATCCAGAATAATGTGAGCCGCAATGGCAGGAGCCCTACACACTCTGTCGACGACTTTTGGGAGTGGTGCTGCAATCTTACTTCCGCGTTCAGGAAGCTACTGCTGGAAGGCCAGCCAAACTACAACCCGACCATGCTAGAGGCTCTGTCACAGCTTATGGAGGAGAGAGGTCAAAGCCTGGACGACAAAACAGAGCGGGAGAAAGCACTCGCTGCTACGGCAATGATGACGACTTTGGCTTGCATCTCAACGGCGACTATGCCGGAGTTGAAGGACTGCTCTCAATCAGATAACCACGCCATGGAGACGGGTAGCGCATGCGAGGTCTCCTTATATTTCGGAGAAATGAACCGCCTGGGAGGTTGGTCTGCAGATATCCAACGATCTGTCAGAGAACCATTTGTACATCTCCATGATGGCCTTCGTGATTTTGATTCCCCAGTGGAATCTCCACCCGCCTTGTTAATCAATCTTCAGCCCAACCAAGAGGATCTCCGTGACCGTCTTTCTCCCCGGACAGTGCCCGAATCCAGCTTCTCCATCAATCCTCCATCAACCCAGGGCGACCATCACGACCCCGCTTCACCCGATGCGCTTAAATCCGGTGATGAAATCGATCCCTCGCCAAATCAACAGGCTAGCGCCGCCAGTACCCACGATGAATTGTTGTATGAGGCCCGCATCACCTTTGAGTCCTTGCAGAGATTCGGCGCAATCTCCCTGAAGTGGGTGGACACCTTGAGTGAACACTTGAAATTCGATCCGGGAGAACGTCAGCTTTCTGTTTTCCAATTTCCGTCTGTCTGCGCGGCCAGAATTGACCAGGCGAACCAATTCCAGATGGATACGATGTAAGTCGCTTGCCCGCTTGGCTGTGTCGATTCAACTGCTGATACTTTGTCTGCTTCCCTCATTCAGCATTACCAACGCGGTCCTACATCCTGGTCACGTTGTTCCAGATGACATGGGTAATTTGCAGGATCAACTTAAGTTGTACCAAGAGGTTTTGCTCACCTATCGGGTTCTCTTTGGGCAGTCATCCGGATCGCGGTCGCTGCTTAAGAAGGAGTTGTCGAAGAAGAAAAAGCTGCAACCGCAGGGGGAAGACCCAACGTTGCGCTTTGTTGATCCGTTCTTATTGAAATGCGCTACTGCGCTGCCAAAGGGACGGCCGTGGGAATTCAACTGGGCGACGAAGGAGCTACCCCTTGACAGCAACCTGTTCCCCAAGGCTGCCCGGGGTGCTGACGGTCGCATCCGCGATTGGAACACGTACTCCTCTCGTGACCACTTTCCTGTCTATGGAAAGAAGTTCCTTCTTCTGCAGGCATTTGCCAACAAGCATCCGCCGTATTCGTTCTGGGACTACTACCAGGACCGCAGATACCCCAAGGAACACTTTGAATCTGTTGTTTTCCTACTGTTCTCGATAGTTGGTACTGCCATCACCCTTCCGCAGGCGATCGCCTCATTTGTGACAATCGAACAGGCGTACGGCCATTGAGTTGGGATCTGGCTCCTCTTGACCTGCGGAGGCGCTCCCCCGCCCTGCTAGGTAGCAAACGCGGCCCTCAACGGCCACGTGAGGTTCTTGCGCATGAGGTATTGTGAGAACTTCTTTCGGGTTATTTCAGTCATTTCGTTTGAGAAAGTAGTTAATGCAATGAATTGTTTGTCGAATCGCTCTGTAGTCCGTACAGTAGTCCTGCCTGTCAGTTCCTCTTCCTCTTTGTTGGGAACTGCGTATACCTACTCCCTCTCAGTACGGTACCGTATGGACTAGCGCGAGATGGAAGGCCGTACTCTCTACGGAGGAGATCCGCAGAGTTTGTACTCTCTTCTTCTAGTCCGGATACTCCCAGGCCCACTGGCAATCAAAACAGTATGAGGGTACGACAGAGAGGTGTTTCGGACCAAGCCACCTGAAAGCCATCCATGCGACGAGATCATGCACAGCCGCCGACCAGGAGAATCTCCGCCCGGTGCCCCTTGAATCCGAATCCCAGTCGCAAAAATTGACACTATTTGCCATTTCAGGAGGACTGATATGAGTATTGTCGAGCTCTAGGTAGGATACGAAGTCGGCCGGAGGGTTTTAGTGACTCAGGATGAGTGACGGCCTTACGAAGTACGTTGTCTACTGTTGAGTCTTTTTTGCCCCGCTGCCCATGGAGCAGAGCTGAAAGAATGCAGTAGCTTTTTAGTCCGCTTTCCTGAACAAGGCTCCACGAGAATCTTGCACTTCAATACGATATGCCAAAGCCAGCCGGGGGTTTTGCAGTAGTCAAGAAGTCTTTCTCCTGTCCACTGCCTGAAGCAGACTGCTTGAGCAGTCCTTACTTTACCGGTGGAGTGATTGATCCCCCGTCACATTATCCGACATGAAATTCCACCGCGCTACCAACTCGGATGCAGTAGACGAAACTTCGCTGGGCGGACTTGGTGCGGCCTGGAACGCCCTCGTGAGGCCTTGCGAGATGAGCCCAGTGGGCTTGTTTCCCCCGCACAAGGATCGCTACTCACAGGATGAAGCTTAACATGCGAGTTGAACCCGTGCCAGGCCTTCAAATCAGTGCAGTGGACGAAGCTCAGTCGGCGCAATGACGCGGCTCGAAGATCCTCCGGTGGCCATGCGAAATATAGCCAATTTCGACATCTGGCAGAGTGGTATCCTGTGTTCGAGTCTATGGGCATGACGCGAGGATACACCCTACGCTGAAGCGCGAGCGCCGACTTTAGGCTGCATATACTGCCCTTCCCCTTGTCTTCCTTGCCTTTCAGATCATGCCCATTACTCAACGGGTCTACTGTTTGTGGTCTCAATTTCTACAAGCCACTACATAACCTCGTTGTCCGCGCAGTATCCCCGTCAACCGCCACGACGTTCTACGCTTATATCATACAGCGCGATGTATGTTGTAACCCTGCAATCGATCGACAGAATGTTGAGCTAACGTCTATACTTGAAAGGAAAGACTCCTTATGGCCGGATCCTGGTCTCCGGTACGAACCAGGCTGCCGTCAAACAATAGCTTGGCCATGTTGAGCAATGCATTAAGAAACGCGAACCAAGCGAGAACGGGTTCATCAGTCATGCCGATGACTGCTTTATCTACACTGTGAGCCCGCAAGTGCTTCATGAAGCGGCATTCAAGTGCGATGGACTTGTTGCTGTGTGGTCTTTGCCATGTTAGAAGCATCATGATGCTAGTAAAAGTGTTTCCTCAGGTGAACTTGGACGGACAGTCTTCAATAACAACTGAGGGACCCAAGCAGGCTGTCTGCTAAGGTTGAGGAACTCGCAAACCGGGAACAATGGAGTGCAGCTTGTCTTCCTTTCTGGCCAAATGTGCTTTGAATGAGCTTCTTACCTTCCTCACCCTCCCACCTTCCATTCAAACCCACCTATCGAGTCCTATCACAGAATCAAGCACAAACATCAAACCATGATGGTCTTTTGCGAGGCGATTGCCGTGAGCTTGAATGTAAGCTTCCCTGATCAAGCATCCTCTCTCCAGCCAAACTATCTAACACCTAGAACTAGGCCAACGGCGAGGAAACCGGCTTCAACCGGGTCAAGACAATCACGCGAGACCTAGAAATCTTGACAGCGTGGTATGAGGCGGCGCGCGGCGAGTCTCCGGGCACGGGAACCCAAATCTTTCACGTTCGACAGCATGGAACTGAAGATACAGGATTCAACAAACCATGACGAGCGCATGTTCAAAATTCGTGGCGTCGTTACGTTCTTTCCCCTGTCGGATTTTCCCACTGGACGATCGTCCGCGTCGCCAACCTACTACTGTTGTCTCGGGCCTTGGGCGCATTCGCATCGGAATTGCATTTGGATCAGTCCTGTACATTGGAGCACAAGCTGAAAGTTTGAGAAAATTAGTCGAGAAATGAGAGCACTCTCCCGACGCGACTACTGTACAGAAACCGGAGATTTGATGAGCGAGTTCGTATCCGCAGGCAGACGCAGTGACGGGCCACCCACTGTTGTTGCGCTCCTGAAATGTGGTAGAGAGCAGCAGTACAACACCATCCACTAAGAGTGAGTACCGGCTAGATGGATACACCGCTAAAGCACGGCTAAAGAGAGCCCGGCTCGAACGGGTTTTGAGGCGGGAGATAAGATGCGGGTGCTGATTGGACCCTGCTGGAGGATCTGTAGGCCGAGCTCGTGCCAAGCCAGGACAACGGCCTGAGGCCTAAATCAGGGGTGACGCCGAGTGAGACGCCGAGTGAGACGCCGAGTGAGACGCCGAGTGAGTTGCCCGAGTGATGTCTCTCCTTCTTGCCAACAACGCCGAAACCTGTCTCCTCTTCCCGTGGTGATACATCCTTTTCCTTCCACTAGGTACCCGCCATATGTCTCTGCTGCAATGACGCGTCAGGCCCAACCTTCCCAGCCCCGTCCGTGATCCGGCGCTGCGACCTGCGATTGCGAAGAGAGCGATTACGGTCGCAGGAGCGCTGACATTTCCACTGCTTTCGGCGACGTCGAACGCAATCTTGTCGGAACACCAAGTCAGTTAGAGGCCACTCTACACGGGTTCCGTTCGAAACCTATGATGTAGTCTTCTGCTCTGTTGTCTTACTGAGTCGGGAAGCCGACAAACAGTGATCCTCTCAAGGTCGCGGAGGGTAGGTACATCATTCATTGCTGGGTAAACACGGACTGAAAATTAAGGAGTTTTGCGAATGCAATAATATCTCACTCAGGGTATCTAGACCTCCGCGAACGTTCCTTCCATCCAGCGTCGTCCTCCGTGTCTCACCGTCTCACGACCTTTCCGCCAGCAGAATCTTGCCGGTCAACATCACTCTTCTTATCGTTGAGGCTTCTTGCAGGAAAATAAGCACTAGGATCATTGCAGCTAGGGAACCGTGCAGGCATTAAAATCGCAAAGCAGAAGTTTACTCGTCGGCCAAGAAACTTTATCCTTACAATCTCAAACATACGACAGACTAGCTGAACATCACCGTGGGCTAGATTCTCGCCAGCTCGGCTCAAACCGGTCCAATCAGCCGTATGATCGATCGTATATGTCGGGAACTGTGAGAGACGATCATTTGATCATTTGATCATCATTTGATTGTGCTCCCCAGCTTCAATCACGGCCAGGGCCGGATGGCTGGATGTGCCGGACCGACTGCATATGCTGCCAACAGTGGTAAACAACGCCTCAATCATCATATTTAGAGTAACGCAACTAGATTCTGAGCTTGTGCCGTTTCCATATCCTGCATGTTACCGCGCCCGGATTATCGCAATGACTACGAGGCGCCGCGGGCGCTGAACGTGCCGGAAACTTAGAACAACAATGGACAACTAAGAATTCCTACACGATGCGACGAAGGATGTGGTTATCAGAAGACCCTTGGCGAGACAAGGAATGCCTGCTGCCTGGCGATGTTCAAAGTTGCGCGACATCGACGAGCCGAGAGCACAAGCAGGCTTCTGCTCGACGCGCTATTCTTATCCGCCGTGTTTCTCCATTGTCTGATTCTGTTTGTTCGCTTTTTTCGGGCTTCATTTTTGATTCTTGCTTCTCCTTTTTCGTTCTCTTTCCGAGACTGTCTATCAAATTAGTGTTTGCAAGTCTCTGGTCACTGTTCCAGGCCGTCGAGTAACGAGATGGGGGAATTCTCATTGACCACCCTGTTTGATTTTGGCCTGACACCATGGCAATCTTCTGCTCCAGGTTGCTGGCCAGACGAACTACAAATTGTTGACTCTTTTCCCGGACTGAGGACCCCGCTGTCAAGACAGTTCTCATTTTGGTGCCACTCCTTGTGACTTTTTTTGTTCTTTTTCGCATGACGGACGACTCAGCCATGAACAGCCGTCAAAACGCCAACTTGCCCGTCGACTTGGCCGAGCGAGGCCATGCATCTCAGCCTCTTTATCCCCCGCCGGTAAGTAATTGTATATGGCAACCATTGTCTGAATGTCCGAATGCTAATCGCCTAGTCGCCATCAATTCGTAGCCGAGTTATTAGAGAAATATTCGGCAGCTCGAACGCGAATAATCCTCATCTGAACTCGGGACTTTCCATGTTCTGCGACCATTTGCAGGAGCACTGCTTTCCCCAGTTCGGTAGCTTCGACACGGAAGTCTGGACCGCGTTGAACCGCCCACCTCCCTCAACCCCCGCGGGTCAATGGGAATGGTGCATTGCAGTCGTCAGAGCCTCCAGTCGCCTGCCTGTCTCTCATGATCTGCAGGTCAAAGCCCTGGTAGCTGAATTGCTGCACGACGCGACCATTAGACCGGGCGGCTTGAGTGTGCAACAAGAGATCGCCATCGCGGACGCGGCGACAGTCACCCTTTTCTGGTTATCAGCCGCCTTCATTTTCCCTTTCAATGCTAATGGGAGGCTCTCGTTGCTGGACTCTTTGTTCCCTTCAACCGCGGACTCTCAAATGCTACTTGAAAAGAGTTTGTTCGAGGTGTACGAGATTCTCCATTGGAGAAGTTCGCGATACAACTTAATGTCAGTGTCCGCAGCTGGTAAAGACGACATGTTGTACGAACCTCGTTTAGGGTATGACTCTCTTGGACGATACGGAGGTATCCGCTTGAAGTGGGTAGAAACTCTGAGCGACCATCTCTCTCTCGATACGAGGAATCGCACTCTCTCCATTTTCAAGTTTCCTTCGCTCTGTGCGGCCAGGGTTCTGAGGCACAATGACTTTGTCATGGACAATGCGTATGTCGTTCCTGTTTTGTCTTATTTGCTTCGGCAGCTGACTGGTGTATTATCAGTATTACGAACAGGGCGATGGAACGCTTCTCGATTCGGTCAGCAGACGATGTAGACGGCCATATGTGTCAGGAAGTATTACTATCCTACCGATTGTTATTTGGTCAAAACTCTGCGGCGAGAAAATTGCTGAAGAAAGCTCTCGAGGGCGAAACCTCCGTGGATCCTTTCTTGATGCAATTTACGAAGAGCATACCAAAATGGACGGTCTCTCGATTCTGGCCTACCAAGGGCAAAATGCCGTTTGATAGCTCTCTCTTGCCCGAGCGCTTTCGAAAAAACGATGGCTCGATCATGGAATGGGGAACGTATTCCGCGTCGATTGATTTCCCGATTTATGGAGAAAAGCTTCAAAACATCCAGACCTACGGGAGCAACCACCCCGCAACAAGCTTCATGGAATACTTGTGGGATCGCAGGTACCCGGTCCAGCAATATAGTGCCTGGTTGGCAGTGAATGTTGGCTTAGTGACTACTGTGGTTGGTGTGGGGCAGTTGGTAATGTCCTCTGTCGATGTGGCCACTACCCGATAGATGGTTGACTTGCGACGTTGAATGGGAGAGTCATGATATTCTTTTGTAGACTGGCAGTCTTGAATGTTGATTTTTATGCTTTGGAAGTTTGTGAAGGAATCGGGATGGTCTGATCATCACGCAGACCTGCATATGTTCCGTAGGGCCGGCCGTCTGCGCCACTTTCGCCTTCCCATATTGCTAGATTGCTAGATGTACCGACCGGAGGTAGATGCGAAATCACTGCAATCTGGGCTAGGTCTGCCCATAACCCGCAAGGACCAAATGGCCAGACAACCAAGCAAGCCCCAGCCCATCCAGTCCGTCACTCCGGCACCACAACGCCAGGTTGCTGGAGAGGATGGGCCATGCACCGACAGAGCCAGAGCCAGTGTCGCCGGGGCCAAACGTGATAGAGCCAGTCTCGATGGCCGCTGGGAGTCTTTGTTGCTTTCAGGGTGTGCAATAAAATGGAAAGAGCTGGAAACGGTCGGGGTGTCTGGCAGTAGTGGCGCACCACCACTCCGCACTGGTCCTCAGAAGCGAACGACGACCAAGCCTCGAAAGACATCTTCTGCTACTTTCTTGCTATTCTTCTTCTTCCGCTCCTTTGTTCCTTCTCCCTTTGTTTCCCTGCTGAGGATTGATCCTGTCCGTCATGGATATTGTTCGTTCGCCATCGCCGTCTTGCCAGCCGTCCGTCGTCCAGGCCCGCCTGCTCGGTCATCGTTCTCGACGTCCCTTGCCTCTCGTGGCTTAGTGCAGCAGCGCAAATAGTTCAAGGCATGAAGCAGCAGTCCTAGCCAGGGCGAGAAGTGAGAGGAAGCAGAAAGGTTGCGACGGCTGAACACCCGTTCATGACCACACTCCCATCGACCAGCTCTTTTCTGCGCCCTCCCAATTCCTGGCACGAAGGGTGGCCTGAGAGAGGCGCCAATCAGGGTTCCCGACCGTGGGGACAAAGACGCCGTGATTGTGCAGCGTCCTGTAGTTTCTTAGATCAGCGCGTTCAATGTTCACCCAGTTGTCGTGTTCCTTGTTCTTCGGCCAATTCATGGTCAGGACACTGGTGCAGAAAACCCAGCCACCAAGAGGTCGGGAACTCTGCTGCTACTCACGTACGGTGCAGGATGAGCGGCTTGCCTTGCACTTAGCTACGGAGCACGCCACCTTTAACTTGATGGCCCCAAACCTGGTGGATTGTCGCGGCTCCACCAATGGTCTGCGGGACGAAAAGGATTGATGGTCAAATATATATTCCGGTTTTTAATGCGGCTATCAGCTGCAGGGTGGTTGTCAACTTGTCAGAAGAGCGCTGCGCAGCGAGATCGAGTACCCACCAGGAACGGGCCAGCGCTAGAGGCTTGGCTGCCTCTTTCGGACAAAGCCCTAGGCACTCATCGCAGTTGATATAAGAGGTAAGGGTATTGCATGGCGAATTCGCAATCATCCTCGTCACAATGAACGATTCCAGGGTGCGTCTGACAGTCCCAGACACACATCTTCACATCGACGGCGAGAGCAACGCGCCCATCCCGGGCTCGATCTCTATAACATCTCTCACCCCTTCTCCAAGCACCGCTCACCCCGAGATCATCATCGAGTTGGCACGACTAGTGAAGCCAATGCTATCAAATACACGCAGCCCGGAGCGAGAGAAAGAGAGAGGCAGCAAGAACTTTTGTATCTGGAAGCGGAAAGCAGCCCGCGCCCGAGCCCAGGTGCAACATCTGCCCTGTCGAATACCCGAAGCGCAAATGCAGACAATAGCAAGATGTAACATTTGGCATGCACCGGAAAAGATCAGCCAAAATACCCATGAAAGTATGTTCAACTTTTCTCTTGCCGTCTCGGGTGACATCCCGCCGACGGCGGACACGGTGTTGGGCAGTGTATCCTACATCGTTACAGCGACAGTACGCTTTGCATCGGCTGCAAGCGTACAAGAATCGCAGCCCATCAAGATTCATCGGCTAGCAGCATCGAGCCCCATTTCATATATCCGGTCATACCCTGGTAGTCCTGTGGTCACGGAACTTCGCATAACTCCGCAACCAGCAAAACGGGAGTACGGACAGGCGTGCAAGACAACGAGAGCGCAACATCACTATGACCTACGGTGGCGAGCGAGGTCAACCATCATGCCTGGAGCGCGAGACTCGGAAGTTAAATGCGTTGTCGTCAAGGAATTGCGATGGCGGGTCGAGGAGACGGTCAAGTTTATATCTCTCTTTCCAGCAAGACATGGAAACGAATCTGAGGACAGGAACGGGCGGAAGATGATCTGCCATCATCAGCACACCCAGAATTTATGCCATGGACAGCAAACGGGGCGGTGGGTAGCGAGCAGGTGCCAAGTGGAAGATGAAGATTGTTTGATCGAGATACCGTGTCACCTAGACCTTCCGAGTGCTGTCAACAATATCGATGCCTCGTCAGACCACCACGACGACGGTAATGATGGGGAAGCGCTCGCAATTGCCGTCGACCACCAGCTGCATCTCGAAGTCGTGACGGGTGAGGATACCTTTCACCGAGAGACTGGCGATCTCGTCGAGCGCAAGCCATGCGTAAGGTCCTACAAGGCTGCCTTCGCTCTTCCCGTATGCGGCGTCGCTGACGACGATTTGCTGAACCAACTGCGTGCCGCGAACGCGCTTCCAAAGTACGAAGCGTCATATCCAGCGCTGCCAGAGTATAAAGTAATATCATAATTCTGGGGAACCATGGCGCAAGAGTACAATCCCGGCTTTGCCATCCCGATAGCGCCTGCAAAAAACACTGCCCCGGAGCAATCGCACGTTCGGCGCCACAAATAATCGTAGCAAAGACCGGAAAGGTACCCGGCGCCGCGAAGGGAAAGAGAAGAAAATAAATAGCAATTCCGCAGTTCTGCCCTGGTCTGGCTTTTTATCACTGCTGTCGTCTTTGCATCAGTAGGATGTCTCTGCGGGATTGGGGTTGAGTTACGGTAGAGTCGCAGACGTGGTGGAACATGGACTTGCATGCTGATCTGCCACGTGGATGGACATGCGATGCAGCGTGGCGTCCCGGTCACAGAATTAGAAATACGGAGTAATAATAAATAAATCATCCATGCAGGATCCACGTGCACGTGCAACGGTGTCACTGAGCTTATTCCCACTTCCCACTTCCACTACGCATCACACGGTTATTAACAAACAAAATCAATTCTATACCCTATATGATCATTACTGAACCTACCTGCTACCCATCAGCCCAATAACCCCGCATCAACATCACTCACCTTCCCAACCTCAAAGTCCAGCACCGGCACCCTCGCATCGCCGGGCCCCGGAACCCTCAGCCTGGCCACGATGTCCTCCGGCCGCTCGTTTGCCTCCTGCCAGCTCCACACGCGCCCGTCCGGGTTGAAGTGCGAGAGCATCAGCAGCACCAGCAGGATCGCGATGATCAGGTGGCTCCACCGGAAGGTGCTGTCGTCCTGGTCCCAGGGCTCGTAGACGACTTTCTGCTGAAGCCGCAGCGTCGGCTCGAACTCGACCGCGTCGGCGAACCGGACGTGCTTCTTGGCTTCTTTGGCCTTGCCCTTGCTCTTACCCTTGTTCTCACCCTTGCTCTTGGGCTTCTTTGCCGGTCCGAGGGTCCAGGTGTGTGTGATCCTGGACCAGTGCGAGCGCTCGTCCTTGCTCAGGGCCTCTGGTGTCTTGGGGAGGTACATCGGCCCTGAGAACGTCTTGAGCCGCGGGATGAACGGCTCGACCGTCTTGGTGATCGTGATCAGCTTGCCAAAGGCCCCGTCGTCTTCCGTCGAAACGCCGGCATCTTTCCTCTTCTCGTCCACATTCCACTTGGCCATCATCAGCGCCGACAGCTCCCTGTCCGCGCGCTTGGTGTATGCCTCCGCCGCCACCCGCACGAGACTGCGCGGGATGACCGGCAGCGCGCGCGTCGCCGTCACGGCCTCAATCCGCCGCTGCCACTCGAGCATCGTGCCCAGCCGCGTGCGCTTGCGCGCTGCACCCCGCGCCATCCCGGCTTTCCGGCCGCGCGGCTTCAGCGCCCCCATGGCTTGCTTCTCGCTCCGCCCGTCCCGGTACTGCAGGTATGTGCTGGCGGCGCGGCGCTCCGAGAACCCCTTCCTGCAGTCCGCCGGCCTCGCGCCTCGTGGTCCTATCGCGCCGGGCCGTTTGGCGGCCGTCTTGGTCTTGCCGACGCGCCGGTTCGCGCGGATCCCGGGGGGCGTCTTGTGCTTCTCCGCTGCGGTGGGCATGGGCATGTCCACGTCGAACGCGTCGTCCATGCCCACGTCCATCGTGCCGGTGGTGAGCACCGACACCGTCGCCCGCGGCCGGGTCAGCAGGCTCTGGAACCGGCTCGTCAGCCCCAACGTCGAGCCGCCGGTCCACCTGCCGGCGTCCGCGGTCCGCTGCGCCAGCATCTGCGTGCTCAGCTCGTTCAGGTGCCGCCGCAGCTGCAGGTTCTCGTTCGACAGCCACCCCGTGTACATCTGGATGTTCTCGGCCCACTGCCCGCTCGCCTGCTCGCTGGCCGCCATGCGCGTCCGGTACTGCTCGATCGACGCGTGAGCCGCCGCAAGCTGCTGCTCCAGCACCGCGGCCTGCGTCTCGTGGTCCTTGAACCGCTCCATCAGCTCGCGCTCCCGCTGCTGCACTCTCTTAAACGACTCCATCTGCTCCAGCACCCTCGTCCCGGGCTCCCCGCTCAGCGCCTCCTGCTGCGTCTCCATCGCCTCGCGGAGCTCGTTCATCGTCGTCGTCAGCTTCTTCGTGTCCTCAAACAGCTTGCCGTTCTCCGCGTGCAGTTCCTGCAGTTGCGCCGCCAGCTGCGACCGCTGCAGCGTCAGCGCCTCGAGCTCCTTGTCCCGCGCCTTTCCCGCCGCGAAGCTCCGCATGTACATGTCCTTGACGATCCCGACTTTGACCTCCGTCGGCATCCCGTCCCGGTCCGCCTGCTCCAGCTGCGCCTCCATCCGCTCCTGCTCCTGCTTGAGCACCTTCTCGCTCTGGGCTTTCTCTTCGGCTTCTTTTCGCGCTTGCTCGTCCAGCTGCGCGCTGAGGAGCGCCATTGCTTCTTGGTCTGCGCTGACGTCCCGCGACCTGCGCGCGCCGTGCGTTCCGATTGCGCCTGGCATTGCGTCCGTTGGAGTTGCGCTTGTTGATGTTGCGTTCCCTGGAATTGCGCCTGATGTTATGTTCGCTGGAATTGCGCCCGTTGGCATTGCGCCGGTCGACATCGCGCCGGTCGACATTGCGCGGTCCTACCTGCAGCTGGAGAGGTAAGTGTGTATGAATGTGAGTCTGGGTATATGTATAGGGGTGAAGGTGTAAACCTGTCAGATGTGTAGATGTTTCTTGTCTTGTAGTGTTGTAGGTAGGTAGTGTAGTATACTGTACTGTAGTGTACTGTAGTGCAGTGTAGTGTACTGCAGCGTAGTGCAGTATAGCGTGATGCGCAGAGCGTTTTAAAACCCTCGCTTCCGGTCTGTGTTTTGCGTTTTGTGTTCTGTGTTTTGTGTTTTGTGTCTGGTTCAGAACAACAAGGGAACTTGGAAGGGGACCCAGCCTCTAAATACCCCCGCCCCCATCGCACGAGACCATGGATTGCACCGCATGTCTTTCATCCCATCCTTTGTCTACTGGCTGTGCTTTGTCCCTTGCACCCTGAAACGCCTTTCAACCCGATCCTCCCACTTTCTTTGTCATGCACAATGCGGGCTTTGGGATGCGCGCTGGGCTCTTTATACGCGCGCTTTGTGGGAGCGCTTGGTGCGTTTCGGATTTCCCTTGTTGGGCCGTTGTGTTGTTCTATTGTGTTTTCTAATGCTGCTGCTACTGCTAGAGGGTGGGTGATGGGTTGGGTCTATGGGCTTTGTTGTGCTTTTGCAGGGTTGGTATTGTTTGCTTTTGGTGGGATGCCTATCGGTACCTTAGGGTACCCTATGAAAGCTGGTGGGATGGGGTTGTAGGAAGGTTATGCTCATAGGGTTTGTCGCGGACTTTATGTGGAAGCGTGTAGATTAATAATTGGAGGAAGTAGAATGTCAGAACGAGGCAGGGGAGCCAGCGGGATTGGGGAGCGAAAGATCGTTCTTGCAGTCGAGGTCGGGCGGCCTTACCGTAAGATCGGGAGGTAGGGCCCGGCCGGACCTAGCCCTAACTCAACCCGAGTACATGAGAAACAGCAACAACACGGCGGGATGGAGATGGAATATGGACATGAGACATGGCCAGTATGTATCAGGAAAAGAAAAGCGAAGAGAGAAAGCAGCAATCGAGTAGATTAAGTGAACGACTGTCTTAACTGAGGATATCTAGTCTGATATATATCCTCACAGCCATCTCGCCTATACAAACTTCCACGATGACTTCGTCAGCGCCCGCACCGCACATCCTTATCCTGCTCTAGTTCCTTCGAGCCTTGTCCTCATCGCCGTCGTTGCCAGACCCATTCTCGAATCCATCCCCATCCTCATCCCCGTCCTCATCCTCGCTCTCGCCAAGCCCAACATCCTCCATGTACTTCTGCCGCTGCGCCCGGAACAGACTCTCTCGATCCCCAGACGCAGACGCAGACGCAGACGCAGACGCAGACTTCGCCAGCGACACCTTGCGCTCTGCACCCATCCCCTCCTCCCGCTTCCTCTCCGACCAATCCCCGCCCGCGACATAAACCTCGCAACCAGCCTCCCCCGCCCCAGCCCCCGAACTCGGACTAAGCCCAAGCAAACTAAACCTCCGGCCCCCCTGCACCTCCACGAAATTCAGGAACGCCGCGTACGCGCTGAACACCTCGTCGCGCTCGGACGTGGACGTGGACACGGACACGGTCCCGCCACCTCCCCCTCCAGCTGCAGGTGTCCCTGTCCCGGCCTTCTGCCCGAGGTGCTTGTGCTTGATCTCCCGCTCCACGAACCCCTCTACGCCCCGGAGCGTCGTAACGAGGAACTTATTGTATGCGACGCGCTGACCCCTCGGTACGGCCTTCGTCGCCTTGAACTGCGCCAGGAGGCGCGGGCCTTCTTTGAGGATCGATGTGCGCGTGTTGAATGTTGCGCAGGTGAGGGCGTAGCGGTGCGCGAGGATTTTGTCTACACAGAGAAGCATGGATGTCAGTGTGGTAATGGTAATTAGAGGAAGGATAGGGATGGATAGGGAGAGGACGCACCGAACCGTCCGCCTTTCCCGCCTTCTAGCACGAAGTCCGGGATCGTGCGGCCTTCGCTGCTGGCGTGCCAGGTTGAGCGGAGCGTGAAGTCTGAGAGGGGCATTTTGGGTAGACGGATCCGCTGGGTGGATTTGTTGTTGTTTAGATCGAGATGCTTGCAGGCTTGCGGTAGGTTGGTGTAGTGAACCGCGGACAGCAGGGTCTGGAAGGATGGAGCTGGGTGGGTTGAGTCTGTATTTATAGGCTTGATCTGAGCTGGTTCAATGGATAATGCTGTGCAGACATAGGGGAAGCTCTGGTTATCACCGTCTAGTGGTGACATGAGATAATGGCTTTATACGAGCTCTTTACATCGGCATGGCATGCCTGTGCGAAGACAAAGCCGGCTTACGAACTCGTTGTAGCGAACGCTTCTTGTCTCATTGTTATCAAATCTCTAAGAACACATGTCAATAAAACCGCTACCAATATCTGACTGTGGTCCGCTTTCAGAGCTTCGCCTTCTTCTTCCCTTTGACGTTCTCAAAGGTATCCCCTGAAAGGAGGAAATCGGGGTAGTCAGATGACCCGATGCCGGCAGAGGAAATGCGCCAGCTTGCGCCGTCCACTGCACAGCTATGGTTAACAAAGAAGGCAAATTACAGCTGCAAGAGAGCCAACTCACCAACTAAAATCTGACCGCTCACGTAGCTGCCCGTGTCGGCGAATAGGTACACAGTGGCATCGGCAATGTCGCGGACGGAGCCAAACCGCCCCAGAGGCTGTGACCGTTTGATCTTGTCGAGTTTGTCGCTGGGAAGGAGGCGGTCCAGGCCCTGGCGTCGAATTAACATCGCCCCTAGGATTGAAGCTGTTGACTTACCTCCGTCGAAGCAATAGGACCAGGCGCAATAACATTCGACGTCACGCCCAACGGCCCGAACTCAAGAGCGACGGAATTCGACAACGCGTCAATTCCCGCTTTCGCCACGGAGACGTGTGCTTGGAACGGTGTGCCCGTGTAGTGCAGCGTAGCGCTGACGAAGATAATGCGGCCCCCTGTTCCAGTCGGCGAAGGCTTTACTGCACAAGGTCAGCCAGAAGTTAGAACTGGGGCAGGGATCGGAGACGCACATGACGTCGAGTCAACCCTGTGCTTCTGCGCGGACTCAATGAGATGCGGGATCGTTGCCTTGAGCGTGTTGTAGGACCCCTGCACATCAATCTCCATCACGCTCTTGAACGCATTGACGGAGATCTGGTTGATCGAGGCAAGGAAATTCCCCGCCGCACCGGCACTGCGAGAGTCAGCAGCGCAGCCTCGACAAAGTGGCGTTCGTACATCACATAATCGATCGCACCCAGCTCGCTAACGCAGCGCTCAACAGCCCCCTGCAGACTCTCAAGCGAGCGCACATCCACCGCCCCAATGCCCAGCACCTTCGCGCCAGCCCGCGCCGTCGCAATATCCCGCGCTGCCTTCTCCGTCTTCTCGACGTTCCGGCCGACGATGCAGGCGTTTGCGCCGAGGTGGACCAGCGCGCGGACTTGCGCGCTGCAGATCGTGCCTGCGCCGCCGGTGCAGAAGACGACCTTGTTCTCTTTGCGGTGTTAGTACTGTAACCTGGTTGGTGTATGCGGGGATGGAGACGAACTGAAGAGGCCGTCTTTCCAGGTGTCGCTGAGGTAGGAGGATTTTTCGAGGGGCATTTTGTGGGGTTACTTGTATTGCGCTGGGAGAGGATTGTGTATGGGATGGAGGAAGAGGAGGGAGGTGTAAGATGTGACAGTTCGCCGCTCTCCTCCCCTGTCTTTCAGTCTTTCAGCCGCGGTTGTCGCCCGCGCCCGGAGCCTCGGATGTACCGGATTCGGTTAGAGCTTGCTTATCAGTGAGTACATAACTTGCATAACTATCCTGTATAACTATCGGCATAACACACTGGATATTCGAGGGACCAGGTTCTCGCAATCAATTCTGTTCTGTGCAATAACGGCAACAGATTTGAATTGACATACCCCGTACAGACTAACAACTGCCAAGCCAGCTATGTTCCCTGCTACGTACAATCACAGTCACCTTGACAAATCCGCTCTGCTGATTCGCCAGTTGCTTTCCGCCTCAGGCCCACATCAGGCCATCCGCGACGTCACCAAACATTTTCCTTTCCGCAACGGCCAGGCACCGTCCTTTGTCCACCATCCATCCATCACAACTCGCATCGCCATCATCCACGCGCGGAAAATACCTACTTCTACCGCACCGAGCAATCAGCAATTTCTCCCTGCTGCCTGCTCACTGCCAGCGCAACCCCTCGCCATGGCGTGCCCGATCACCGTCACAAAGTTCATCGGGACCATCTCGCTCGGCCTATTGACCGTACGCCACCCACCCAACCAACCCAACCTCCATCCATCTCCATACCACTAACATATCGCTCAGGGCCTCTCCTACTCCGCCGCAACCATCACAATCCCCTCCCTCTCCCTCCTATCCACCTCCACCGCGGCCGCGAAATCCCTGTCCGAAGTCAAGCGGCTTACCCGCAGGCACGCGGTGCGCCTAACAAACATCTCGACCGTCTGCCTGCTCTTCGCGTACGCCGTGTCCCCGCGACATCGGAAACACCCGTATTTGCTGTGGATGGCGGCGGTATCGACGCTCGGCACGTACGGCGTGGACTTTTGGTTCCATCGTCGAGTTGGCGGGTGGGCTTGGGGGTGTGCCCTTGTGAGGGATTTGGGGTGGGCGGGGTGCTTTGGGAAGAAGCAGAGGAAGGAGGAGGATCTTGTGGTTGTTGAGGCGGAGGCGGAGGCGGAGGAGGGGGTGAATGGGGAGGTTGTGAGGGGGGAGATGGATGTTGAGCGCAGGATGCAGGGGGTTCGGGCGGTGTTTGCGGGTGTTGCGTTGGCGATGGGCATTGTTGGGCTTTGGGGCGATCGGAGGCCTTGAGGGTTGGCGTGGCATGTTGGATTGTCGGTTGTTGATGCTGGCTTGGTTATCGACTGGTACGGAGGACTCCGTACTAAGATATGGATGCAATGAGGCCATGCTATTGGCTCTCTCGTCTACTGCCTGATGGATCCACACTCCTCTCGGAATATTGGTTACCTACACTTATGATTATGTTCCTTTGTACTCTATGACGACCTCAATATGGATATGGTGTTCTGCTCTACTCTCGAAATAATAGCAATGACCTTAACTCACCCCCAAAACGTCCGCCAATCCGCGTCAACCCGCGTCCACATTCCGAAGTACCTACTACCTTCTATACCCTGGGCCACGGAGTACAATGCTTGTTTCTTAGCCTCTGATCCCCGCAGTGGCGGTGGGGGTGGGGTCGATCTGCACCGACTCCGGTCCAGCTCCAGCTCCAGTCTGCTTACGGTTTACCCCAAGCTTCCTATCTTTATAAAACAGCTTACGCACCCCAAAAGAACAACCATATAGCCATCCAACCCATCCATCCAAAATGCATCTTTTCACCCTCCTCGCCCTCCCACCCCTCCTGCTCCTAACCCGCTACCTCTTTTCTCTCATATACACAACCTACACGCACCGCCCCCTCCTCTCCATCCCAGGCCCGCTACCAACCCGCTTCACACGCCTCTGGTACTTCACCCGCTTATGGGCAGGCCACTTCGAGAACGACAATATCGCCCTGCACAAACAGTACGGGCCCATCGTGCGCATCGCCCCAGACCATTATAGCATCGATGTCAGTGACCGCGCGGCAATCAAAACGATCTATGGTCCTGGCACGCGCTTCGCGAAAGCAGCTTGGTATGAGGGGTGGAAACATCCTGATCCGGACCGCTGGACGCTGTTTCCGGATCGGGATATTAGACGGCATGGTATGTAGCCTCTATTTTACCTAGGTACTTTTCGTACGTGTGTTGATGATGTTGGCGCTGGCAGGCGAGACAAGAAAACGCTTCGCAGCGCTCTACTCCATGAGCTCGCTAGTGCACTACGAGGCCTTCGTGGACTCATCCGCAGACGTATTCACGACCCGCCTTGCACAATTCGCAGACACCAATGCAACATTCAATCTAGGCGCGTGGTTCCAGTTCTACGCGTTTGATGTCATCGGGCAGATTACGTACGGGGAGCGCTTTGGTACATACCTCTCTACCTTCCATTCTCTCCAAAATGTGATAGCGTGTGCTGATGTACGTGGCGTGATAGGCTTCCTAGACAAAGGCACCGACATCGACGGGACGATCGCGGCGCTGCAGAACCTCATGACGTACAGCTCGCTTATCGGGATTTACCACGAGTGGCATGCAACCCTCTTCGGTCCGCTAAGTCGGTTCTCCTGGTCTGGCGCCGGCGGCCGCGCGTATATAATGCGGTATGTGAGCGAGAAGATCGCGCGGTATAGCGCACGCACACCCAAGGAAAGAGACGTCGAGAACAAACAGCTGAAGACCCAGAATTTCCTCGAGAAAATGATTCTCGCACGCGATAAGGATCCCGAGAAGGTCACGGACTACCATGTTTTCATGATGGGGTTGAGCAATGTCATTGCGGGGTCGGATACCACGGCGATTAGTCTGTCTGCGATCATGTACCATCTCCTTCGGAACCTGGGTGTTCTGCAGAAATTGCAGAGGGAGATTGATACTTTCACGGAGCAGGGGAAATGTAGCGCCCGCGTGACGTTCAAGGAGAGTCAGGATATGCCGTATTTCCAGGCTGTGATCAAGGAGGCCCTGCGCATGCACAGTGCGACCGGGTTACCCTTTTGGCGTGTTGTTCCTGAGGGGGGTGCCGAGATTGCGGGACGGTTCTTTCCAGCGGGCGCCGTTGTGGGCGTTAATGCGTGGGTGGCACATTATGATGAAGATGTGTTCGAGGATCCGCATGTCTTCAGGCCGGAGCGGTGGATTGAGGCGGAGTGTGGACTTGATGCTGAAAAGGCAAGGGTTATGAATGAGATGTATATGCCGGTATGTCACTGTCATCATTTTCTGTTGTGTAGGGAAGTGCTAATGTGCTGGTAGTTCGGTCTCGGCTCGCGCACGTGTCTGGGGAAGCATATTTCGATCCTGGAGATGTCGAAGCTCATTCCAAGGATTCTGCGCGAGTTTGAGTTTACGGCTGAAAGGAGAGAATGGAAGACGGAGAACCATTGGTTTGTGAAGCCGGTTGATTTTGAGGTTAGGGTCAGGCGCAGGGAGAAGGTCTGAGTCGAGAGGAAGGCGTGCATAGATTGTATGGTAGCGACGGTGAAGCGTAAGATGGGATGCGGACGGCAAGGTAATAACAGCCATGATTGGCCCGATCACGGACATACCAGCTGGATACCTCCTGGGAACTTGGACAGTGTATATAGGTATAGAACCGGGACTCGGCACCGTCGTCGGCTCCGCTTCGAATCGACTCCATTTCCCCGCACATCCCCCGCATTCTTCATCTTCGCTCTTCGTTCCATTAGTCTCTGCCTCCAACCAACGACCAGACATAGTCTAGAATGTCGCCTCAATGGCAGTGCGACCTGTGCCTGACCCGCTTCACACGCTCAGAGCACCTCCGCCGCCATGTTAGATCTCGTGCGTGCCAAGTCCTCCACAGACTTCAAGCCAGTTGACGTCGTACAGATGAGAATAAAAGACCGTACGAGTGTAACCTGTGCCAGCGGTCATTTACGCGGCGGTACCTTCATCATCCCTGTCGTAACCTTTTCCAGCGCTGATTCGACTGGACAGAGACGCAAAGACCCGCCATGTGAAGACGTGTAAAGCGCCACCAAGCAAAAAGCAAAATCATGTCGCTCGCGACGTCACACAAGCATCAACCCCCCAACTGTCAACTGGCTCCACCAAAGCGCTGTGCAACCAGATCGATGTTGAGGATGAGTTCTTGACGAACATGCCATCCCCCTCTGACTTCACGGCCCTGGACTGGCTGTACTCGACACGGACGAGGACCGATAGCATCATTTCCGCAGAGAGACTCGACTTCCTGGCCCATTTCACCAGCGAAAATGGAATGGGTACGTTCCTTGCGCCGGATGTCTTGAAGGAACGACAGGACCTGATTCTGCGGCAGGAGCGGATCGCTGGTCGAATCGTCGTGCCAGGAGTGCTCCATGTCGATAGGGACGAGATCGACCCGTTAACAACGCGAACATTCGAGATAGCACACCTCTTCCACGCCGTCATTGCGGGTAAAGCAAGCGAAAGCATCGTGAAACTAACCTGGACTGCCGGAATCGAATCGCTCTGCCACTCGTTCTTCTCAGCGGCTAATATCGCTCGCTTCCTTGGCTACTTTTGGGCGCTGTGGTATCCGAACTGCCCGTTCATCCATCGGGCCTCGTTCGACGCGCATACTGCACCAGCCGCGCTGCTGTCGGTCATGCTGTTGATAGGCGCCTGTCTTTCACCGCACCCGGATGATGCGAGAACGGCGAGGATGTGGCTAGATTGTGTTGAAGAGTTGGCGTTTAGTGATGCGGCCTTTTCCGAGCAAGTGGCAGGTGCTGTCTCTGATTTCGATCAGCACTCCCTTGAAACAAAAAGAATGAAGCTGGAGACCATGCAAACGGCATACCTTATTTGCTCATTGCAGAAGCGTGAGGGGTCGACTGAGGCTAGAGCAAGGGTACGGCGGTATAGGCATGCTACTATGGTTATGGTTAGGCGTCTTTTCTTGTTCTGATCTGAGCCAATACTTACCGGTGACCGTATTGATAGCTCGCACGAGACTTCGGACTCGCGAATGCCTCGCATCGCAGCCTCACCATGGACAATCCCCAAGAGACATGGTGGCGCCAGTTTGCTGTTGAGGAGGCCTTAATCCGGTACGATTTTCCCATTCATGCTCCTTCGCAGATTCAAGCGGTACCGGTACTCATGCCGCACACAGAACAACGACATACATCTTCCTTTTCGACGCCGCGCTGACGATATTCCACAATTCGCCGCCCCGCATGGTGGTATCCGAGCTGAGAATGGAAGTCACTTGTCCGGAGCCTTGCTTCCAAGCTCAATCGGCAGAAGAGTGCTTTGCTGCGATAAAAAAGTGGGAGGCAACGGCTTTCTGGCGCCACCATATGTCCATCGCTGCGCTTGTGAAGGCCATATGCCAGGCCGAGCTGGAGCCGAAAGTCGTCGAGGCGTATGCGGATATGGGCGCGTTGAATCTCTTTACTGCCGTGCAGTGTATGTACCATGGTGTTCCTGTCCTGGTGGCGGCGTAGTAGGCGTAGGCGCTAATCAAGGTGGATGTGATGTATCCATAGGCCTCCACTCCCTCACATTCCACCTCCAAAATTCGCTTATCTTCGACTCGACCCTGCTTCCCATTACGACGGGACTGGAGAACTGGCGTCGGATTTGGAAGAAACACAGATACGACGAAGCGGAGAACCCGCGCCTCCGCGTCTCTCATGAGCCGGGTATGCTGTGGAAGGACGTCGGGGGCAGCTTTATCAGCTATGCGCCTGAGTTCTGGCAGCTGGCAAGGATTGTCATTGAGGGGATTCGTGTTGGTGGTGCTGGCGATGGAGTCGATGAGGAAGGCAGGGACGGAGAGGGCGATAGCGACGTTGGGGGAGACGAGGTGCTGAGGAGCGCAGGAAGCATGAAGACAAAGACGAAGATGCGGTATGATCATACTGATATGATGGATGTAAATGGGTTGATTATGGAGTATCGCCGGATGAGTCTTGGGGCGACTGTGTAGGTGCATGGGAAGGTGGCATGGAGGAGTTGAAGACTCATAACACAGCTGGATTGACTCGCGTCAGCAGGGGCACTCTCAGAGAGCGCAATTCTCACTCTGATACCTCCAGGCCATGTCATAAGCTCTTTTCAGTTCTGTTCTTCTTCGATGTCTGTTACCTTTTCCATCCTCTACCATCCGATATCTCTGCAGCCATCCAAGCTCTCAGCCTTTCGCCCATTTCCATACAACCATCCATCTACTCTCATCCTCCTCATCTGAACTCTTCCCTTCTCACCAAGAACCTCACTTTGACCTTGGTATCCTCCCTTCTCATTATGACTTCACCTTGTAATTTCCGCTCTCACAGCCCACATCTGCACCCTCACCTCCTTCCCCTTCGAGCTCATCTACATGATCGCATCCTCCCTGGGCCTCCGCCACATCGGCGCCCTACTCCAAACTAACTCTGTCCTCAACGCCATCGTCGAGCCGACCCTCTGCAAAGACGCAACAAAGAACAGAATCAACAAAATGACATTCCTCAAATAGAGCGCAAAGCACGGGAATGTTTCGCTCCTCGCCAAGATCAACGCGCACGCAAGCCTCACTACGCCCGAAAAGCTCAGACTCAAGCCAGACGTCAATATCTTTACCAAGGCCCTCACGCTCGATGTGAGGATCCTACCAGTTCTTCCAGTACATCCCCTACTTGACCAGAGGGGATTATACAAGGTTCCTAGGGGGCTTGGTAAATGGAACTATGAGTAGTATAGTAGGGCTAGGGACGTTACAATGGGTGCAGGATACCACGGCCATCAGGCGGCTTTTGTACCCTAGCCTCGCTTGGACGCATCGTAAGAGTTATATTAGTCCAGACCTATTATTTGCCTTTACTATCTTAGTATCAAGAGATGGTACTGTTAGCGAGAATAGTGCATCACGACTGGAACGCAATCTCCGGCGGGCGACGATACTGCGTCCGCCAATCCGGCATATGAACATGGGCCTCGATCTGCGCACGATCCGCACGAACCCTCATCCAGCCCACATCATCCATCGCACAGCCCTCGATAGGCTCCGAATCATCCAAGACCGACGGCGCGCCAGCCAACTCCTCGTCTTGGTCTTCGTCTTCGCTATCCGGCCATTCCCGCCTAATCAATCTCACATACGCACCCTCATCAACCCACATCAGCTCATCCATCTCCGCGTCCAAGACAGAGCGCATCGCCTCCTGATCAACCATCAAGCAGTACCGGTACCGCGGCGACTGGGCGTACTGCGCATCCTGCCATGGGACCCCCTGCTCCTCCTGACAGGCCGCAACAACCCACTGCTTAAAGTGCTCTCGGACCGTGGAGGTCGAGGCGCCATCGAATCTCGCATCTTCTAACACAGTTGGCGCAAACGACCCCAGCAGATCCAGCCCGTTATGCTGCTTCAGCGTCTCGGTTACGCAGAAGCGCAGGCGCCGCATCAACTCGTCCCAGTCGGAGCCGCTTGTATATGTGCATCGGTATATCACCAGCCCCCAGGATCGGAACTCGTCGTGCTGCAGGAGCCGCTCGATGGTGTCGGCTTCGTTCTTGAAGGTCGATCTGTTCGGGGTGCGCTTGGAGGGGGCCATTGGTGGGTCTTCCAACGCGCGCGAGTATGATGTGAGCGACGCGGTTGACGTGCTGGGAAGGTGTGGTGTCTTTTGAAAGCTGCGTGGGGTGACACTAGCCAGTAATTGCAGGTGGTGTTTGTTCTTGGGAGTGGGCAGGGCACGCAGACTGGAAAAGGCTTTCCGGCGCGTTAAGCTACGGATCTGGCCTTGGGCTTTGGGAAATACTCCAGCGCTTGTCCACTGGCGCAACATAGTGTGACAGCTATAGGAACGATTCAACACATTGGATGGAGGTTTGGCCTGAGAAGTCGCGGTGACATGGGAACAGAATGGGAGAGGGCGAGGCCGCGTATTTGTGTTTCTGCATGCGCACGTGACACTATTGATCGGTGAACCCTAGCTCGGTGAGAGCCAAAGGCAGGAACATAACATATACCTGATCCACTACTGTATTGTAGTAGGGGTACCTAGATTAGACTGAGACGGGCGAGCGCGAAGGGTCACGGCCAGTCCAGCTCCCAGCATCAAAGACGCTCACTTCACTTGGCTGAGGGATTCGTGGCAGGAGAAAGGAAAGCGCCTCGAACATCCGAAAATGGCAAACCTTATGCAGAGGCAGGGCGCCAGAATTGTTGAGGACCCGGTTGTTCAGCAGTGGAGGGAGAAGGATAGGCGCCGTTGCCAGCGGGAACTTAGGTACCTTGTTGTTTGAGATTCGCTTGGATAATAAAGGGAAGAAAGAGGTCAAGGACAGGGAGGGCGCGTCCGGTTGATATTGTGTTCTATCGGCGCAGGGTGCTTTGGCGTTGGATGGTTTTGCATGTTGTCCATTGGATAGGGCCTTGGAAAGAAGTTAACAGGGCACTGCAAGCTTCTCATTAGGTGCATCCCATTGGGGTACATTTGGAACGGAGAGGGAATGTTTCTGGGGCTGACGTCGAGAGGAGGACATGATGGCGCAATGAGCCGAAAAAGTGGGTTTCATTTATTCCACAGGCGCGATGGACCAGGGCTGGCTTCTTGGGACAAGACGATGGGCCTTAGAGAGGAATTTGGAAACTGCAATACAAGCTTCTCATCATGCACATCCCACAAGGGTGCTTTTTTAACTTAGAGCGGATATATCTGCGGCTAATGGAGAGAGCGATTCACTCTTTTCAAGAAGGTATGATGGATCTGGTCTTATGGGAAAAAAGAGTATCATGGAGTGTAGATCAAAACTGCATTGCATTGCTAAATTGGCGCGAACAGCCTTATGGCGTCAAACTTAGCAGGTCGATTATATGGAGGCCTGTGTCTATGAAACATCCAAAGCTCGCCTGGTACCAATCCAAAGAAATCCCCGTGCACCAATTCTCCAAATAGCCAGCCACTTCTTCCTTTGCAATTAGATGTAACTCGGCAAATTCTCCTCTGCCGTGCATGGGCTTTTCCCTCTCGACTGTTCCACGCTGTCACGCACGGAGACTCAACTTACTGGCCGGTGCTCAGTGTTGTTACCTAGGGTATCACCAACGGGGTTCCTTGTTGAAATCGATGGATGTCTTGCCGACAGCCTGGCCATCCACATAGGCCTCGAACTTGAGAACGCCTTCCCTTGCCCCGAATATCATTTTCCAGTCGTACTTGACGTGGTAAACACGCTCGCCCATGTAATCATTCCACGGGAATTGAGTAATGTCGACATCCTCAAGATCGATATGAACTTTACCCACTTTGCGCACGTCTAGTGTGCTTCAGTCAGAAGGCCAATGCCAGGGACTCAACTGTAAGGAAGAAAGAAAAGCTCACCATCATGGTCTCGCCTGGATGGCGCTATATCGCTGTCGCATGAGTAGATCGTTTTGAAGTATGACATGTCATCATCCTCATCCAACGTGCGATAACGTCTATGATCGCTCGTGAAGTTATCTCCAAGAATCTGGCCCTAGAACTCTTATCAGCAGCTGCATCGGCTTGGTGAAGAGTCAGTAAGGATCACCATACCTTTCCAACAACCCAGGTCATGTGCCCCCCAACATATTTCGTGCCATAATATCTATGGATGAAGGCGTTTTGCTCATCATCAAACCCTTTTCTGAAGGGACGGATTGATTCAAAACCATAATGACGACGGCACCGTCTATTGAGAGCTTGAAGACCTTCCAGACCTCGTAATGCCGCTCCTTGCACGATAGCAGCTTGTCTATAGGTGGACGGTCATTAGCTCTGGATTCCTATGATTTTCACCGTAGCTTACGCATTGTTGGGCACGGTGACTGCAATATTCCCTGCTGGATCGAATGAGTTCCGAAATGCAGTTCGTAAGTACTCGGAGTTCCCGAAGCCCCCAACAAGAATAATCCTCTATTATCATTAGCATTGGTACAGGTAACAAGAGCTTTCTTCTCACGTTGATTGCGTCTCGGCCAGCTTGTCGGTTGGCGGCGTTGATCTGTTGATGAACCAATGCCAGGATCTTCTCTATAACTGGATCGAAAAAGCCCCGAAGGTCCTCACTGTGACGTGTTAGGGATGATGAATGGATGATTTATTTGCCCAGGTATTCTAGCTTGCTCACTCTGAGATTACTACTACGTTCTCGTCCGCGTTGAAGTATGCGGGGTCCGGAGCCACGGGTTTGATGTTGAGAGACAGTTCGTGCGTGGTGTTCTCGGAGTCGTATCCAAAGTCGCGTTTGATGACTTCGAATTTGTTCATGAACTCGCTACCGGGAGCAGTCTTGCTGCGTGGGAAATCGGTGAACGCTTTACCGAATAGGCGGCCCATAAGATTGTAGAACTTGCGATCAATCGCAGTCGAGCCACATTTTGCTCCTGGTCTTGGTTAGCTAATAACATGATCTCGAGGAGATACGCCCGATGCTGACCGATTCCCGTGCAGAGTTCTTCAAACTTGAGTGTGGGCCACACTTCTTTGACGAGGTATGTGGTAATATCCTAGTTGGCTCTTAGCAATGGCCCACTGTTTGGAAAGATAGATCAAAAAAGAGCTGGAGACTCACCACGGTCCCTCCACCACAATCGCAGATAAGCACCCCGTCATCAGGCTAGGTTCAGGTAAGTTACCTGACGATGGCAGCGAGTGAGAAAAACGTGTGAGGAACATACCTTGACTAGGAACCCTAATCCATCAGCAGTTGCTCTTCTAAGCACCGCAATTGCAGCCGCCTCAGGTTCCGGAATCAAGCAGATTGTGTCCTGAACACGCCCCCTGCGAGAGCCAAAACCCGCACATCGAGCAGCTTCCAGAGTGGCATGCTTTGCCTCGTCGGACCAGATAGCAGGAACCGTAAACCAAAACTCAAGCGGTGTGATGCTCAGGGCTTCTTCGGTTCTTTGCTGGGCAATACATCTAAGTATATGCCTGTAGACCCCAGAGAGAAAGTCACCAGCCACCTCGACAGCATCTTTGTCCTCAGGCAGTCTAAACATTCCCAGCGCCGTTGCGCCCTCAAGGTCAGCGTCGTAGTTGGTGAGGCGACTTCCGGTGTCCAGCAGCAACTTGGTCCACGAATATGAGTTCATTCCTGGCTTGACTTGGAATCCCCAGCGGCGGTTACCGGCACCATCATAGGCGATTCGAGAGGGGGTCTTGAGTACAACTTCATGGTGTTTAGCCTCTCCAGGCCATGAATGAATGAGGACAATGTCATCGATGCCTCGGGCCTGAGTGCTAACGAAACTCGCGCCTGGTAGGCTAGGTGGTTAGTTTATGTCTGCAAGCTTTTGTATGTAGATGGCTTACCAGTGAATGTAGTTCCGTAATCAACGCCGACTATGATCTTCTCGATTCTGTCCGCCATCTTGATATAGGATTGGTGGGGTAAGGACGATGACAATTTCTCAGGTGATAACGATGTAAGGTACGTATAGAGGGACAAGTTGCCGATGCAAATGTAGAAGGTGAGGAAGAGATATCGCTGGTAGAGGACGAGGTATGGAGAAGGAGAACTCAGGGAAGTGGCGGGGGAGAGAAGGAAGATTGCAGGAGAGGAGAAGTAAAAGAAGTTGATGGAAGCAGGAAATAAGAGTATCTGAAAGAGAAGAAGGTGAGAGAAGGTCGCTGTGGTTTGGTTCTTTCTCACTTTGCCCTCACTCCCAACAGAAGGCAAACCCTCAGCCCAATCTCTGGAAACATCCACTCCCACCAACTTACAGTCTCCTCTTCCTCATTTGCTTCCTCGATCTCTTCTTCACCACTTGGATCACTTTCCTCCTCGTTCTTTTTATTACACCGCATTTTCTCAGCAACACGCTATTGTTGTGTCGAACTGTCCTCATCTAGCCTGCGTGATGATGGTAAGTTGTGCATGAAACTCAGCAGCCCCTGGCCATCACTAACCGCGGAGTTCATGAGGCTGCAATCATGCAGAAATTGAGCCTGACATCTCACGACCCGGATGGGTCCCAGTCGTCTGAGGACGGCACCATCGCGGCTTCTACTGGAAGCGCTCCTTCCCAAAGCACTCCTTCCCTCACCGTCACCAATGTCTCTCGGTCTCCATTCTCGAAAGGCTGGGGTGTACCTCGCCCAAGCGCTGTCCTTCGCAAACAGGTCAAGAGTGCAAGGCGTCACAATCAACGGCTCTCAGAAAATCGGAAGGCACTTCGCCGGGAGCGAGACTATCTGGCTGGCGACCTTTCGGATGCTGAGGCTGAAATTTTGAGACTGAAGGCGCAGATAAACGACATGTTGAAGGTCGACGAAGCCAAGACTTTGCGCCTTGCAAAGTTGAACGAGCAGATCTCGGACTCGCGTCTATCTCTTCAAGGGGCACGGGCTGAGAATGATAGACTCCAGGAGAGAGCCCGGATTGCACAAGCGGCTGCTCTACGCGCCACGGAAACAGGAAGGCCCGTCCCCATGGAAGATAGGGAGGTCCGGGACAAGCTTGAGACTCTGGAGGAAAAGCTGAAAGGGTGGGCCAGGTGTTACGCTGTGGATGACCTCGCGGCACTGAATCAAGTCTCCGATGAAAAGATGAATCGCGTCATATACAGGCTGAGCGGATACTGTCTGCAGGAGGAATGGTCGGAACTCAAGTCTCGCTTCCCAACCCTGAAGAACAAACTGCCGTACATGCTCTCGCAGGCTTTGCTCGCGAAGACCATTTTTGAACGCATTTTCAACAACCCATTCTTCATCTTCCCTGACTCGCAGCACTACCACAATCTTCCAGGACGTGAGAACATGGGGGTCCTATACGACAGACTGTACGAGCGAGGTAAGTAAATCTTATGATGACCCTTTACTCATCTACGGTGACTAACTTTCATATATGTAGATGAGCCAGGAAGCCACAAGTGGCGGTCGCATACGCTCTTGATGCTTAATAATGGCAAAGGACATCAGACCAGCAATTACGTTGACACTGCCCTCGACAACTTCAGTCGCAGCCTAGAAAACCAGATTCTCAGTGGACCTATCCAAGTCCTCCTGAAGCCGGTGTCGGGCCAGATCCATGCCGACAAGCGTGCCGACAGCCTGCGTGGCATTATCCGTACAGCCGGGGAGCTTGCATTCCGCTTGTGGACTCAGCACGTCTACCCAACATGCCACAGCCTAGGCAAAGCCTGCAAGTTCTTTTCAGTAGACTCTGGGATGCATGCTCACCGTCTTCATCGGCTTGAAGACGACGATCCAAGGTTGGATGGCCACAGAGTCGCAATCATCACTCAACCGCTGATCTTGGCATGGGGGGATGAGAACGCGGAGAACTACGAGAACAGCAAGGTCTGGGCCAAGGCAGTCGTCTGTGTGGATGAGTTGGGGGTGAAGACCGAAAAGGATGTACATGGGAGACCTTGGGGAGCCGGATGCCAGATTGAAGTTGGATGAATCGGGGCAATGCGTTGATCTGATCGTGATCGATGGCTTGGAGATTTCTTCGCAAGGACCGTAACACCAGAAGGAAGGTGCACAAAAGTTTTGAGATGCTGTTGATAATTCCGATAGGCGCCGGGGTACCAGCCATTGCCGGCCAGGCATCTTCCACGCCTTTTGCATAGTCTGAATGGAAAGGTTTCATCTTTGCCCCATACATCTATGCTTTCGACTAGAATAGTTGCGGATTCCCACTACTGACATGTAGGAGTGCGATCAATACAATCGGGTTCCAAGCACCTAACATCGTGCTGCCGTCGAAACCTACAGCATACCAATATGCTAGGTAATCTGACATTACTTCGGTGTAGACTTCCAACTAAGGCTTTACCTACTTGTTAGAGAAGGTAACGTTCCCAGATGCCACATCGAAAGCCACTTTGAGCGGCTCTGTCTCCTGCTACTAGGTATGGCTCGTAGTCCTCGTGCCCACTAACGTGACCTGGAAGCCTCCGCCAACACAAACATGTAAGGCAACCCAGGCAACCGCGACTTTCACCTGTCTCACACTTCCACCTATAAATTCTCTCTCTCTCGCTCAGGCTCCCAGTTCAAGACACCCATCGCCTACCAGATCCTTTTATCGTGTGTTCTGGACCTTCGTTCCCCTCTAGCAGAAGAACGTCCGCGTTCCACGCCTTCAACAAGAGCACTTTTTGATCTGCCTTGCACGCGACGCGTTCCAGCGGCGTCAAGCTGTGACACCAATCCCCAGATAAACGCCGACTGGGTTTACGCTCTGTTACGGAACGGGGAAGCATCTGCATCGCTCTCCATTATACCCTCGGGCATTACATGTCTAAATTATGCAGCCTTGACAAGCGGCCGCTTCTCAATCGTCACCCACATGTCGCGCCAGTATCCTACGCCTCCCTTGACCACGAACTTGGCCTCGGGCTTTCCGTGCACGGGGTGCGGCTTGTAGTGGCGGAAGAACTGGACAGGTTAGTCTGGCCCAAATATTACGGAGGAATGCTCATACCTGAAGTGGCCCCTTGAATAGCTCCATCATGGCGATGTCCCTTCCGAGGCATACTCTCGCTCCGTACCCGAATGTGAAGAGATACTTGTTCATAATCTTCGCGCGCTCGGCGTTCATCCATCGGTCGGGGTTAAATTCCTCAGCGTCCTTGCCAAATATCTCCTGATCGCGGTGCATGATCCATGGGTTTCCGGTGATTTCGGTTCCTGCTGGTGCGAACTTTCCGTACAGGTTCAGGCCTGGCTCAGACACATAGCGCGGGAAAATGTTCGGGGCAGGTGGGCACATTCGGAGGGTTTCTCGCACGCAGGCGACGAAGAATGGGAGGTTCTCTTGTATCTCGGCATACTGGGGCATTTCTTCGTTGATCAGGCCATTTCGAACGGCGGCGTCGACCTCCTCCATCATCCGCTCGTATACGCCTTGATGGGTGAGCAGGTAGTAGATCATGGCCTGGAAGACGGTTCCAGTGGTATCAGCTCCAGCCAGCAGCACAAGAAGAATCTCGGCTTTAATATAGTCCATGGTCAACGGCTGGCCGTCCTCAGTGCGGGCTTCCAGGAATGTCTGCAGCAGGTCGATGCGACCAAGATCGTTGGTCGATTCTAAGTCCTTCAGACGTTGCTCGATCAGGCCATCACGGAAGCGCATGAGAACACCAATACCAGAGTCATCTTCGGGCTTCGCGACAAGGTACTTCTTCAAGAAGGTTGTCTTGATCCAGCTGGTGAAAGGATGCAGACGCGCGAGGAGACCAAACGCTGGAAGACCATCGTGGAAACCCTGGATGAGACCGCCAACGTCCTCTCCTTTCTCGACGAAGCCAAAGGGCGCACCGAAGCCGACCTCGCTGATGATGTCGTATGCCATGTACCTATACGGTCAGTGCCATCCAGCCAGCTGGGTAAGGACCCTTACACTGCCCACCATGAGAAGTCGAAAACCTCGCCCGTACTGACGTACTTCTCGCCCAGCTTATTGCACCAGTCGCGAATGCGGACGTCAAGCAAAGGCTCCATGCGTTTGACGCTGGAGAAACTGTACTGTTCGATCTCAACTTCTGTTCCTCGGTATAGCTAGGTTGTCTTACCGGTCCAGCGGCATGCTTGCGGAAGGCAGCGTGCGTTTTGTGCGATCTCATGTTGAAGAGAGACTCGGTCTCGCCAAACGAGCCGGTGATATAGTGCCCGGTCTTGTCGGCATTGCGGTGGTAGATTTCGGGGAGCTTCGTGGGATCGCTGACGAGGAGCAAGGTAGGGGTCACTCGAACAACAGGTCCTATAGCACAAGAATACTGATCAGCAGCAGTTATTGTCACAGATGACAGCCGGGCGCACCATATTTCTTGGTCAGATCATAGACAGTCGGCAGCTCCGTCTCATTTAAGTTGTGCCATGCGATCCAGAGGCGCGTGACGGAACCCCAAAACGGACCAGGGAAGACAGAGAGCGGGTGGAAGAAGCGGTAATAAACAATCTGATAGATGAACTTCAGGGCGACATACGCGACGCAGCCTAGCACGACATTGGCCAGCGTCAGCTGCGAGAGGACCTGCTCTCCAAGTCCCATGATGCCTCGATATGGTGGTCAGCCTCAAACAGCGAGATGAACCATGGGGGAAAAGATGTATCAAATTCGCTCCCACGGCTGAAACTCGAGATTTGATATGCCCTTCCAGGACTGGCCCTCGTCCCCTTTCCTTCCATCATCTCCTTCTCCATCCGCAACGGCAGGTCCACGGAGCCACACTCCAAAGTCTCCAATCATGATGGTCTCAATTAGCTACGTGAGCCAAGGCATTTGGCAATTGCGCGAGCGAATTGTAAGCGAAGACAAAGTCCACTTGCGTCCGTCTAGTGGTGATCGGCGTTGCGAGCCGTTGGCCGCGGAAGACGGGCCAGCCGCTGGCCGCGGCATACGGTAGTGGGCACTGTGGGACTTTGTTTCGCATTGACACCGGCCAGACCAAGTTGGACTTGGAGAAATGCCTGCGTTGCGACCGGAGTCTTCTAAGTTCGAGTCAAGCTCGTCAGCAATCTGTCAAATACCGGTGCCCTGGTAGCGACTAGCGGCATCCTTGCACGTCAGAAAAGCTTCTTTTCTTACCAGTTGATATCGATACCCTCTGGCGCATTTAAGCGTCTCACTACGTCCTTCGACTGCAGCTGCCATCCGCTTGCACTGGCCGGACGCAAAGGCAGTACTACGTAAGGCACTGTGCATGTGGTCCTGTGGATCCTCCCCTCGGCGCACGCGCATTGGTACTTTGGCAGGTGGATGTCCTGTCAACACGCCAACGCCCGCTCCACTGCGATGCCTATCCTTTCCTGTCCGGCTCTGACGGCTCGGTTACTGATTTCATGCCCCCTGAGGGACGGATAGAGCCTTGGGGGCTACGGAGCACTGTTCTTCTAAAGTCAACTCCTCCGTAGAGGTCAGAGCTCTTACTCGATCAGGCAGCCCCAGTGGGGATGCTCAATATTGTCAGCCGATCGTTGAAATTTCCCATTTCTATTCCTAACAACGTTTTGTTAAAGAATGACAGCGCCCTTTAGGTTTGATCTCACATGTACATGCAGGCGGCATTCAATATATGCAGCCAGTCAGCTTACAGCTCACGTCCGGCATCGCTGTGCTTGTCTTGATAGGCTTGTCCCGGCTTAAGCTCTAGGTAGCGATGGGTTTCTTTTCCACGCGCTCTCTGTCCATTTGCAGCGTATCAATGCCGATCCCATCCACGTTGCCCTAGGCTGCAGCCCCTTCATCTCGCCTCCAGCCGGTTCGGCCACTCCCACAGGCAACCGCGGTTCCACCTCCAGATTGACAGAACTGATTCGTCGCTTGACAGTAACTGGTCGCCTCTTCCGATGCGTCTCCATTTGGCGTGATCTGTGGCGGCCATTATCTTGTCTAGTCTGGTTTTAGCCCTCTGTGCAGCTCCACCGGAGCTGATGCCCCAATCTCATCGTCGATTCAAACCGAGAACCCGGGCGGGAGTCCAGAACGGACAGGTGCAACGGCCAAGTGCCAAAGAGGCAAACAGGATGAGACAGCTGTTGCAGGCTTGCAGCCTATGTGCAGTGCCCAGACTGCCAGGGGTCTGGGTCGGTGACGCTTCTTTCCTCAGGGTTTCTTCAACTCCCCCGTTGGTTCGTAAACTTTATACGTACCTTATTCCCAGCCTGGGCAAGCTGTCGACCTATTCTTGGGGTGGGCTTGACTACTCTCGATTGAAGAGATACCCTTTGGCTGTGTCTCGACGCCTGCCCAGAACCGTCGCTCCTTATTCCATTCATCCATCATGGTCAGATCCCAAGGCCCAACCGTGACCGGTATCGCCGTGGCTTTTGCCGTCATCACCGTTTTCGTCCTTCTTTTGCGTCTCTTTGCTCGGCTTTACGTCTTGAAGAAATTTGGCGTGGACGATGGTCTTATCATCTTCGCATGCGTAAGACATCCTCCTCTACCCTTGACGAAGCTTGGCTAACCAAGCCACCTAGGGCTTCTCATGGGCCTTCTCCGCGGTGACGGTTGTTGGTGAGTTGGCTTATGCAATGTACAAGTTCCAAGCTGACAGACGCAGCTGTAAATCACGGTTTGGGTAGACACCGCAAAGATGTTGACGACAGCGAGATGGTCACATATTCCTTCGTATGCCCCCTACCTCCTCATGTACAATCTTTGCTAACTGAAAAGAATGTCTGGCTTAGCTCCATGTTCTACCTCGCCTGCCTCGGCTTCGTCAAGACTTCCGTCTGCTGGTTCTACACTCGACTAGGAGACAAGTTCCTCTGTCGCATGTCCTACACCATGTTCGCCATCATCCTGTGCCAGGCCACGGCAAACGTCCTCACGGCCGCCTTCCAATGCAGTCCCGTCTCTAAGGCCTGGGACACCACGATTGAAGGCACCTGCGTGAATATCAACGTCTTCTACCTCGCGAACGCGGCGCTCAACATCCTCACCGATCTCCTGACCTACACACTCCCGGTTCGCGTGATCTTCAAACTACAAATGCCGCGCAAGCAGAAGATCGCTCTTATCTTTATTCTATGTCTCGGACTCTTGTGCGCTCCCCAAACCCACCCGTACATAACATACCCACTAACAGATATCGCAGCGCCTGCGTCTCCTCCATAATCCGCATAACCTACATCCCCGCCATGCTCACCTCCCCCGACGCAACCTGGGCCATCAGCGGCGCCATGTACTGGTCCGCCATCGAGATCAACATCGGCATCCTCGCCGCCTCAATCCCCTCCTTCAAAGCTATTGCCTCGCGCTTCCTCCCCCGCCTCATCGGCGAGTACTCCTCCAACAAGGCATACAACCCCTACGGTGCGCGCTCGGGGTCCGGCTTCTCGAAGGTCCGTGATCCGTCAAGAAATCAGAGCGTCAATATGCATGCCCTTCGCAGTCGGAATCATGATCAGGATCATGCTGTTATGGGGACGGACATTCATAGCGCGATTGATCGGACGAGTGAAGAGAGAATTTTCGTCCCTGAGGGGAAGATTTATGCCCATACGGAGATCGAGGTGAGGCAGGATTAGAGACGGTCTTGCTTTGATTAACATTGGCCGGTGTGCTTTGGGCCTGCGAAAAGTACTGCTGTTGCTGGGTTATGTCGCTATGCGCGGGTTGGATAAAGGGTTGGTCATTTCGATACTGGATATATGGGTACATCGGTACATGGGCACAGGCGTCGGATACCCTTCTTTGCTTTGATTTCATCTTCTTTCGGTCATCTCATCTCGGTTTTCTCATATGTTTGTTCCTTCTTTTGTTTCGCTATAAACCGATCATTTCGCGTCGCTCCGCATTGAGCACCAGGATATATTTCGACCATCCTCATAAACAAAGTCCATAATAAACCCTTAATTCGCAACGTCGGTCGGAGTCGCCTTCTTCAGTATTACTGTTTCGAGGCCGCTAGATAATGATTACATTTGTGTTTCGGATGGTCGCTATCCTCGTTAGCACTTCGTAACGAGGGCAATTCATCGACAGGCATTCGGGACGGTGCGGCGGACCCCACTGCAGCCTCAAGCTCGTCGAGGGCAGCGAGCTACTCGCCAGACCATTTCCAATGCGCAGCTCGTGGGCCGATCCACGCTGTGGTTAGTAGGCGCTCAAGTCCGTCACCTGTAGCCATCAGCGATATGGATGGCAAGGTGGATTGTCGAGGGCCCGCCAACTGGCATGAATCGACACCCCCAACATCAAAAGTCCGAAGCGAAAAATGTCGAAAGAAGAAATGCGGAACGAAGTTCAGCGGGAGAGCCGTCTTGTTTAAATACTGCGCGCTGGGCGCTGAACACCGGTGTCACCGGAAACCAGGGCATCCCTGTCATGGTCCGCGCGCAAACGGGGAGGACCCTGCTCGCACTGACTCTCTGAGTTACCGTACTTTGGTGCGATGCGCCGATCTTGATGTTTGGGAATCATATCGAGCAACCTTACGGAGTAGAGCGGACGAAGAGTCTCGCACTTGGAATGGAGATGGGAGATGGGATGATGGATTGATTGAAGCGAAAGACTCAATGAATGAATGGCCGACCGATTTTGGAATGCGAAAGATGGGTTGAGGGTCTCGGACCTCGCGAGGGAAGCTTATGGATGAAGTGAAATACACGAATAGTGAGGACTGGAGTCCTCGTGTCGTTTAAGTACATCGTCGCAGATTATGATTATCATATCTAATCTATTCGAACAAGGTGGGAGGAACAGGAGCGCTGGGTATGAGCGTCGCTAGATAGCAGGCAAACGCAAACGCAAAGAACGCCGTAGTGGGCGAAAGAAGCATTAACACGCGAACACGAAGCAAGTCTATATTCAACACCATCACTTCACCCGGGATAGATAGCACCCCTAAACAGCGCCCTCAGGCTTAATCTGCACACCCTCCCTCACACGCCCACGGACATTCGACGCCGTCCCCGTCGTAAACGCATCCTCGCAAACGGGCCACCTCGCGCCCTCCTCCCAGTACTTCGCATGGTGCTTCTTCTTGTTCAGCAGCCCCGACAAATCAAGCGGGTCGATGAACGTCTCCAGTTTCGTGCGCGAGTCCAGCCACCCGGGCCCCATGCGCTCCGTGACGCCGTCGAAGTCGAGGTACCGCGTTTTATCGCGTGGGAGGTAGCGCCCAGGGTGCAGCATGTTGATCCAGAAGGTGAAGAGGACCATTGGGGCGGCGTCGAATGCGTATAGTAGCCACTCCTGGCGCTGGAAGTACGTGCATGTTGAGCTGCATGCCACGCCTGGGGGGTCGAGCGTGTAGAGGGCTTCGACGGCGCGGTAGATGCAGCGGAATAGCACGATCGTTGATGTGCCATAGAGGGTGTAGAAGAGGAAGCGGAGATTGCGAGGGAGCATTCCGGCGCGTGCGCACTTGCGGTGCAGGGTTGCGATGATGGATACCAGCCCTATCTCGACGATGCATTGCAGGATCACGGATACGGTAATGAGCGTCGCGCCGCTGCGGTACTTGTCTAACTCTGTTGCGCCTGTCGCGATGCGGGCGCCTCCGGCTGCTGTGAGGCCTTCGACGACGGCGCCGATGTACACGAAGAAGAAGACGGTGCGGTTGGGGTTGAGCCAGGCGAACATGGGGATGTAGTGCATGATGCGGCCGAGGATGTTGTAGGCTGAGGCCGAGAAGACGGGGGGTGCGGCGTAGACGAAGACCGTTGCGGCGATGTAGAGGTTTACGTGCTCTGGGCTGTAGCTGGAGAGGGCGCGGAGGATCCAGCCGATTGTGTAGAGGAGGGAGCCCCAGAACATCCAGAAGGTGATTCTCCAGAAACGATAGCGGCTGTGGATGTTAGCATGTCTATCCTGGTATATGGGGGAGAGACACTGACAAGTTCTGGTAGATGTGCGTTGCCAAGGATAAACTCAGCACGCAGGCAAAGACGATAGGCAGCACATGGCTCGCCTTGTACTCGTAGATTCCAGTCACAGGGTCCATTTGGCCAGATTCAAAGACGATGTCAGCGTGTCTTGCCTGAGGAGCTCTTGAGTCTGGGGTCAAGGCCTATTATAAGCGCTGGCCGCACTTTGACCACCATATTCAGCCCTTCGTCTGTGCCATACGGCGGCACATGGCGACAAAAGCAGTTAGAGGCAGCGGGGCCAAGCATCGACGTCGGCGGAGTCATCGCTCGCGGCTCGTCCAAGGTGCTGACGGGGGCCGATTTGGCGCCCGATCGGACCAGGACGGGCGTGTTCGTCCGAAACCAAGCAGGGCGCAGCTGAGATAGGGCAAACGTGATTGAAACGAGATCCTTTCCTAATCGAGCGACATGTGCCGACTTTCGGACGCCCTTACCATGGGGCTGGCACGGAGATGCCCGCTTGGTGAAGATGAGAGACGCGGTGCCTGGGGATCGAGGCACCCACGCTCTCCAGCCTCAGTCACGTGCGACCGGCGCCAAATCAAGCCTCATCTGGACTAGCGTCGCGATACAGATCGGCCAATCAGACGGCCTTCCCCTGTGAGGACGGAGTGTATCTCGAATTTCTATGTAGACGTGTTGAGTATAAGAACAAAGGAAAGCGCAGTGATGGAATGGAGAGAAGCAGACAAGAAACAGGATACCCGAGACGATGGCGGACAAATCTCCTTCTCTCATTCCCTTTCTGGGTGCCATGACGGCCGCGCAGAAGGACGCGGTGAGTTTAGTTTCAAGCAGACAGCAGCAGTTACTGATCCATAGCAGACATACTCCTCGGGTCGAGGTCCTGTAGCGCCGTACGCCAACCTTCAAGACATGGCTCAAGACCCCTACCCTCCCCAGTCGTACCATACCCGGAAGCCCTCCCGGTCCATCCATATCGACTTGACCGGCTGGGAACAAAAGGCTATCCCCATCACCGAGGGGGGACCAGGCGGTGCAGTTTTATACACAGCCGACCTGACGAGAAGCACCTCTCAGATGAGATTCTTCGCCGGGCAATCGCAGACAACGCTCGCGACTGTCAACGCCCAAGCTCCGAACTCACGCATCGCGGTCAACATGCATGGACATAATATCACCATGCATATCACAACCAGGCTGCGCAAGGAGGCGAAGTACGGATCTCCGTCGCTGCAAAATGCTCCCATGACGTGGAAGAGCCAGAGCATGAAGGTGGTCGACTTTGAGCTGCGCGATGGAAACGCCATTCCCCTGGCGCAGTTCAACCCTCATCCCTCCTGGTCACGACGAGAAGCCGGCCGGTTGGACCTTTTCGGCCCCAGCGTTAGCAGTGGGCGATTGATGGAGGAGATTGTGGTTACGGCGGTGGCTTTGGTTCATTCGACGAACATACAACTGGAGGAAGCTGCAGGTGGACCTGGGCCATCGTAGCCGGATTTACCGGGGCAATGGGCGCAGTGGGGATGTGATCGTCTGTTGTTGATTATAGTTCAGGTTGGCGCGATATTGGGCGTTATGCTGGACATTGGTGCGCATTCTCTATAGCATAATTTGGTCTTCTGAGGACTGATCGCTGTAGGGTAACTAGATGGTAGTTAGCAATTATGATCCTTCTTGAAACAAACCTACACGTGAAATAGCTCGTCAGTCTGGATACCTCACGGTAGTTATGGCAGTGATAAGCAAGAATAGCGAGGGTGAGACAGGGCTCAGGGCAAACAGCCAGGTTATAGACGGCCAGGTACAGCCGCATCAACCTGGCCAGTAAGAATGTCTGATGAGCTTATTCGCCCGAATGGCAAATGATATCAGGCCTCAGACTGCGTTTCAGCCGCTGCGCCTCGCCAAGCCCATCTTGGCGGCCGTCACGGCGAGAGTCGAGACCTCCAACTCAGAAGTCACTCTACCTCTCATCATCTTCCTTATATCGGTTGAAACACAATCACCGTTTATTGTTCACCATGCCAGGTGTACCGTCCGGAAGAGGCTGCGACAACTGCCGCAAGTCCAAGAAGAAGGTGGGTAGCGACGACCCCACAGCGGATGGCCCGACCCCTCGCTATGTGGATACGGACGTCTGCTTGATCTTTGAACCTCGAGCTAACACCTTACAGTGCGATGAAGCAAAGCCCGTCTGCACGCGATGTGCGCGCCGGGGTATCGAATGTGTTGGTGCTGGCGAAAAGCGCTACAAGTTCATGGAGGAAGGCCCCGCCATCGCCAGAAAGCGAGCTGCGAAGAGCCAAGCCAACCCGGTAGAGCGAAAGGAAGTCGTCCGTCGTGTCTCCGTCAATCCGACAAATAGCGCTGCTCTCCTAGGTCAGCGTCTAGTAGCAGCTGTCAAACCGCAGACGAGCCTGAGATATAATCTGGCGTGGGCGTTTGGTGGCTATTTGGCCCTCATCCCTCGACGCTTGGGCATCAACGAGGCGCTGGACGCAGCCACAGATGCTTTAGTAACAGCACATCAGACATTTTCGTCTTGCAAGGAAATCACTGTCCCTTCGCTAACAAAGTACTCCCGAGCTTTGGGAGCGCTGACCAGGTGTCTTGATAACCCTCGCACGGCCAGCACAACAGAGACGCTCTGTGCGGTGAATGTGCTGCTACTGGTCCAGGTGACTGCTATGGAATGCTTCGAACTGCTTATCGCTGACCTTAGCAGCATATTTTGGGCCCTGCCGACTGGAGATGGACTGGCCATGCCGAAGGAGCGGCGAAGATACTCAAGGCTCGAAGAAGCTTTGCTCCTCGAGATCGGTTTGAGCAGATACTTCTGATGTCTTTGCGTGGACCAGTGGTAGGCCTTTTCTAGAGCTCTGGGCCATATTTGGGCTAATGGTCATCAGTTATTTGAAGGACTGTTCAACCCGCGCATCGAATTGACCCAGGAGGAATGGAAGGAGCTGGTGGTGAACGAGCTAGACGCAAATACCCCAGAAGGCGACATGCTTCTTAATCTCTCGCAGATCCGGGACATCTTGGGTCGAGTGAAGACCAATCCAGATGGTCTCGCCGGGTTGCTGATCCTGCAAGCTGAGATGAGGAGCCTATACACCAAGACACGAAAGACCTGCGACGTCCTCCGCACAGAACTCGACCTGATCGAGAATCCTGGCGAGAAAAATCCTGCGAATCCGTACGGACTTCCTCCAACGTGGCTCCATGCCCTCACTCAACGATCCTACGGTCTTGCCATCACCATCGCCATGTACATGCACTACGCGCTTGTCGTCATGCGAGCAATGGACCCCGAGACAGCCGCGGACGTCAACCACCTTGCCTTTGAGCTGATCAGTATCGCCGAGAATGCAATTCAATATCGACCGTTTGGCGCGGGGTATGTCATTGTGGGGCTGATTGCAGCAATGATGACGGTCCAGAACCCGTCCTTGCGCATCCTGCTACAGTCCTGGTTTGATGACTATCGCAGCGACTTTAACATGCCGGACCTGGTGAAGTTGGGGGAGAGAGAGAATTTCGACCTCTTGGACCCGTTTGGATCTCGCGAGTGGCCGGAGGGGTTGGCGGAGACCGAGGAGCATGCCTTGTACGACCCGTTTCTCCTAGAAGCGCCGACGGCCCCTGAATATGAGATACCCCTGGTTGGTTGAGGTTCTGTACGACGTTCTGATGGAATACTAGCGAGTTTGACCGTAATAATAGATTGAAGAAGCTTCCAGCTTGTTCTTGAGCGAGTGAAGTGCAGACTGCCAAGTCATGTGACACTCTGGGTGGAGCCAATGATGCGACGATGCGCTGAACCGTGGAACTGCCCTCTTCCCAGTCAACACGCTCCTCATGTCATCCTGCCTGCCCTCTCTGCCCTCCGTGGCTTTTTCTCCCTCCTTTGTCCGCTTCCAACCGCAATAACACGATCTATCCCTATCAATCATGGCAGAACCCTCGCTAAGCTCGTCGCACAATGGCTCGTCCCAGCGGGACCAGGCCATCCTCTCGCAACATCTCGATCCCCAATTCACCGCTTCCCTCCACGAAGAGGCTATCCTCCCCGACAACGGCGATGGCGCGGCCTCGAACTCGACCGATCCCTCCGAGCCTCAATCCTCGCTTCTCCTTCAGGGAGGAGACATGCACCGTGACCTTTACCGCCTCGACGCCAAAACGAAGCGTGCACGCATGGACAAACGGGCAGCGACCTTTTCCGCCATTCCCCGCGAACACGATCTCGTTGACGAGGGCGGTGCGACGCTCGAACCCGGTGCCTTTCGTCGGAACTTTATCCGTAATCAGCAGGGCTATGACCACCCCGCCCTTCATCGTTCGTTCCTCGAATACCTAGACATGTACGGCAATTTCGCGGGCGAGGATCTGGAGGAATCGGAGGATGAAACGGAACAAGGGGAAGAGGATACACAGGAGGAAGGGGAGCGGAGACCGTTGCTCGGGGGCCGCAAGCACAAGCGCTCGCGCTCTAATCGGCCGGGTGATGCCTCGAACACGAAGACCTTCTTCACCCTGCTCAAGGCGTTTATCGGCACTGGGATTATCTTCCTGCCAAAAGCGTTTCGAAATGGAGGTATTCTGTTCTCGTCGCTCACCCTGGTGACGGTTTCTTTGATCTCGACGCTATGCTTTCATCTCTTGCTGGAATGTCGGCGGCGTTATGGCGGAGGATATGGCGATCTTGGAGAGCAGATCGCCGGCCCTAGGCTCCGATCGTTGATCTTGGCTTCGGTGGCCATTTCTCAGATCGGGTTCGTCTGCGCCTGTCTCATCTTCACGGCTGAAAACATGCGAGCGTTCTTCTTGGCTGTAGTGCCCGAGACCGTTCAGTCCCTGTCGACACTCCGCTTGATTGTACTCCAGCTGGTTGTACTCACCCCTTTGGCCATGATCCGGAATATCTCCAAGCTGGGCCCGATCGCGCTGATTGCGGATGCCTTTATCCTCTTCGGTCTGGGTTACATCTACTGCTATGACCTTGCGAGTTTGGCGAGCCGGGGCATGGCACCGAACGTGGACCTGTTCAACTCCGACACCTTTACCCTGACTATCGGATCGTGCATCTTCACGTTCGAGGGTATTGGCTTGATCCTTCCTATCCAATCATCTATGAAGAAGCCGCAGTGCTTTGATCGACTGCTCTACACCGTCATGTTCATCATCACCGTTCTGTTTACCGGCGTCGGTGCTCTTTCGTATGCCACTTTTGGCGCCGACACAAAAACTGAAATCATCAGCAACCTTCCTCAGAACAGGCGCCTGGTCAACACCGTCCAGTTCCTCTATTCTATTGCCATCTTGGTCGGAACTCCGATTCAACTGTTCCCGCCAGTTCGCATCATCGAAGGGAACCTGTTCGGATCGGCGTCTGGCAAGCGAGATCCCGGGATCAAGTGGAAGAAGAATTCCTTCCGAACAGTCGCCGTCCTTGCATGTGGTGTAATTGCAGCCGTCGGGGCAGGCGATCTGGACAAGTTCGTGTCTCTCATTGGATCATTTGCCTGTGTACCGCTTGTGTACATCTACCCGGCGTACCTGCATTGGAAGGGTGTCGCCGATTCTACATGGGCCAAGCGCGGTGATTTAGCCATGATGGTATTGGGATTCATATTCATGGTCTACACCACCGCAGCGACGGTTTCCAGCTGGGTGGCCGACTCATGATGACAAGGCTTGGTAGATGCAACGTAACGTCGGAGAATAACGAACCAGTAGGATAGCCACGAACAAAAGCAATTATGAATCAGACACCCCCTTTATAGACATGGGCTCGCCACGTTACGCAGGCCTTGTCCTGTCGGCTATAGACTTGGAAAAGTCGCCACGTTCTGGACGCCGAGTCGTGACACCCTGACGCCTTATGCACCTTGACTCCCGAGTACCAATACCACCGTACCATAGCCCCGGACCCTGCACACCGCGGCCGTCAGCCCTAGCCACCGTGACACGAACTATTAATATACCAGGGGGCCGCGATTCGCTCGCGAGATGCAGGATAAGCTTGAGGCTGCGCGGGCTGGTCGATCCCGGCCCGATTTGGAGTGGAGGATGATCTGCGTTCAGCTATTTACTCTGAGTTAGTATAAAGGTCTGTAGACCGTGGCGTTGTATCCCTGGATGGAGATTTCCAGGCTACTACTCTATCACGATGCGGTATACACATCTCCTCGCCGCAGTATCGGCATTCTTCGCGCTCGCTTCGGCCGACGAGTCCATCACCACCAATAGCACAAACACGACAAGATTAACAGGCACGTGCTACAACCTCGATGGCTCTGAAGCGTCAGGTCACATTCCCTGCGGCACCGGCGAGACAGTCAACTGCTGCCACAAAGACGACATTTGCATGTCAAATGGACTTTGCTACCAACAGGGGGATCGGTCGGTTCTGTCAAGAGGGACTTGTACAGATGAGGAATGGGGTGAGGGGTGCTATGCGCCTTGTTGTACGTTGCTCTTCGCAATACACCCGCCTCTCTGAGAATCGTAAGGCCCTTTGCTGATGAGTATTGCTTCCAGCCGAGTATAACCGCAACTCCACCGTGACGATCGTGAACGCCGAGTCTGGGGATGAGCCAGAGTACTGCTGTGGCTCTGTACGGACAGAAGCCGACGATGAGAATGAAAACGATGATGGTTCTCTCTCCTGCGAGTTCGGCGACCCATTCACGATACCAACTGGAGCAGCTATCCCAAGCGTCGCCAGGTTATCACCAACGTCAACGTCAACCGCCACCTCAACACCACACTCGGACAGCGATGACGAATCCGAAGACAAAGACAAAGACGAAGACGAAGAAACCTCCCCGTCCAGCTCCAATAGCCACAAACATACCCACACCAAAATGACAACCGCCCTCGCCATAGCCCTCAGCATCGGAATCCCCCTCGGCCTAGCCACCATCTGTTTCGTCCTGTGGGCAATCTGGGAGCGACGCCGGCGGCAGCTACGCGATGTCGAAGCACGCACGCTTGGTTCCAATGGTAGCGTGGATTTGCCCGGCCTCCATCATCGCTATGGGCCGATTCCGAGTTCTAGTGGGAGGGGCACGCCGAATCAGAGTGGGTTTTTTGTGCCGCAGACACAGGCACAGGCACAGGTGCAGGTTGGGCCTCAGACTCAGACTCAGGGTGCGGGTGTGGGTGTGCGTTCGCCGACGCCTACGCCTCCGGCTACCTCTGCGCAGCTGCAGATGCAGTGGGCGGAGGTTCAATGGCAAAGTCGGGATCCGGAAATGCGGCGGGCGAGCACGGCGTCGGGGACTGGGACGGAGTGGGCTACACCAAGTCAGGGATCGACTAGCACCTGAATTTGGTGAGTTCGTGGCTGGGCTTGTACTTGTATGGTTGTTTCCATGTTGTGCATTGTGCATCCATGCGGCGCTGTCGGACTCGTCAGTTAATTGTGTTTTTTTTTTTCGTTCGCTGGAGGATATCTGTGTCTGATGTTTTGATAGAGAATCGCATGTCATAGCGCGGCGAGTTGTTGATCTGATTACACAGTTTGTTTTGTTAACGCTGCATGGGAATGATAGTGTCTCCAATTCCATCTGGTAATGGTAATGGTGATTGAACTAAGACGTGATTCGACACTTGCCCACCATTGACTCTTGTCTCCTCGCTACCTTACAAGACTCCCTGAGCTCTTACCCGAACCCTAGATACTATGCAGCATAAGCCCTCAATACATATGCCCCTGGTTACTTCGCTTCTGCTTACGCCAGGCGAATTAAATTAAGCGGAGTGTCTTGGCGACGCCGAATTCATTCGAGTCTGTGTCTAATACACTGGGATCCTCAGGTAGAGTCTGACTATGTTGTCCAGAACACTGGCTCCAGTACCAGCTCGAGACCCGGAGACCCGAGCGAGATGGGGCCGTGGGCATGCCGGGGACCCGTGTACGATGTTTGACGATGAATGAATGCTGCCTGATTACTGGGATACTGGCTTTCCCCAGGTTCATGTATATACAACGAGCCTGTGGGTGGTTTGCCAAATGCCAAATGCCAAAGGCCAAAGGCCAAACAAAATAATACCTTGACCGTATAGTCTCGCTCGATGTTTCTATGTAGATGCATCATTTTGTCTATGTCTATCCATTTCTATTTCTACATGTCTATCCTATACGCAACCTTCTTCCCTCCTTCATGAAAAGCAAAAAGCCATCACGCCTGCTTATCCGCATAAGGCGCCAATTTACTCTTCCTCCGCAGCCTCGGCCCATAAATCAGAAACAGCACCGGGATCGGAATCATGATCACCGCTATACACCCCAGCAGCGTCCCCGCCCACTGGATCCCCATGTTGTTGAACATCTGGCGCGTGAAGAGCGGGAACACGCCGCCGACCATGGACCGCATCATGGTGTTGGCCGCGAAGGCGGAGGCCGCGCTACGTAGGTTACTTTGTTAGATGCGTTGGTGGAGATGTGGGAAGAGAAGGGAGGGACGTACAAGTTCAGGTAGGAGTCCAGGATGTAGTTGAAGCCTTGCATGAAGATGGAGGTTAGGCCGAAGCCCACCAGCACGCCGGAGGCTGTGGGCGCCATCCAGTGGATTGAGGGGTTGTAGCCGGTCCAGCCGAACCTGTTGTTGCGTTAGTATGTTTGTGTATCGTGGTGTGACGGAGACCGAAGTCAGGGACGGGGACGTACCAGAAAAGACCTCCTGCGAATGCGATACCGCCTGCGATGCATGGAGGCAGGCGCCACTCGGGGATGGGGACGTTGTTATTCGCGACCAACTTGCGCGTGTAGGACTTGTAGAAGGAGAGAACGAAGCCCGCGCCTAGGATTTCGCCGATGATTAATCCGATGAACGGGAGTCCGCTGACTCCGAGCGACATCCCGTGGACGCCTTGGAAGACGAGCGGGAAGGCTTGCAGCATGGCGTAGCACAGGCCGTAGAGGAAGGACATGTACAGCGTCATGAGGAAGGCAATTGGCTCGGTGAAGAGGATCCGGAACGGACGCGCAAAGTTCTTGGTGACGAGCTCGCGGATGTCGATTTCGAGTTCCTCCTGGCGGGCGTGGATGCCCCAGTTGCGCGTTTGGCGGCGGAGGATGGCTGCCTTTTGGACGAGGATGATGGGTGCGTATGTTTCCTGTGCGCAGACGACTAGCAGGCCTAGAGCGAAGAAGCCGACGATGGCGGGGACGTAAAGTGTCCATCTCCAACCTAGGTGGCTCTCTGCTGTGTATCCTCCGACGAATGGGGCGGTGTATGGTCCCAAGAAGACGGACATGGTATAGACAGCTATGGCGATACCGCGGTGGTGGCTGTTGAAGAGATCCGACAGACTGGCCGGCACCAACGCGATGAGACTCGCGGCGAAGAGTCCAGAGAAAAACCGGGTCAGCATGATCGTTTGCGTATCTTTCGCGGTGGCCGTCGCGATGATGAAGATGTCGAATCCCAGCATTCCCACTAGCAGCGGCACCCGTCGGCCGATGAGTTCAGACATGGGCGCCCAGATGGTCGGTCCGGCCGCGAAACCAAGCACATACAGCGTCGTCCCAAGCGCACCTACTTCCTTTCCAAACCCGAACTCGCTCATCGTGCCTGGGGTCGCAGTAGCGAAGACCGAACTGCCATACGCAGCAACCAGCGCAGCGAACGTCAAAATGCACCCTAGGATCACCCTGCTTGCGTCAGCGCCAGGTGGTACTCGAACAGTGCGAAACGTACCTCCTCTTCATCGGCCAATTCTGGGGATGCATCGGGTCGTCTGGTCCCTCAAACTCGACGATATATGCCTCGACATTCGGCAGGTCAGGGGGATAGGGCTTCCCAGCGCCGAGGGGCAGCCATTGCTCGCGCGGAATGCGACTGCGACTCGACCCGACCGTCTCCTGCTGCTGAAGCCGGTAGGTGTTGATGCGCTCCAGCTCGACTTCCTCTTCTCCATCGGGCGTCGGCAGGCGGGCCGACTCGGCGTCGATGTCGATGGAGCTGTCGTCCCCGGTCTTTTCAAGCGGCGGCATCTTGACTTTGAGCTCTTGAGGAACGACGGGCGCACAATTCAGGCAAAAAAGGCGTCATGGCAGGTAATAAATGTTCAGCTCGAGCGGGTCTGGATTTCGCAGAAAGAGCTTGCGGGTGGGTCAGTGGCCAATGGATAACGCCATCATGGGCTTAAAAACCTCTTGTTAGTTGTTATCACCAACCGCGGGGGATTTCCGCGGCCAAGAGCGCAAAGCCAGTGGTTCCGATGCCCAATTCCGGCGCACATTCGTGGATGCTTGGGCAGTGGCCCGGTGGGTGTGTGGTTCCCGACTTTGCGGACCGGGCGCCCGGGTGTTCGGCATCTTATTTTGATTTCCAATGATCCTTCGCTATGCCGAGTTACTCGCAGTCACAATGCCTCGGTCCACTTTATTTTGGTATCAAACTGCTGTATCGCTCGTTTCACTGCTCTCTGAACATGCTGCTGCTGCCAGTCAGTACCAGAAACTCAACTATTGTCTATAAAGCAGTGTTGCTGGGACCGATTGCGATGCCGGATCTTCGCAGCCACTATTGACGATCCACTCCTAGAAGGGACTGCCATATAATCAATCTCTCCGGAGCAATAACAAAAGCAATATGTGTCCGACATTTCTAAGCTGGTCTTGCGCTGGCACCAGACTGAAGAGACATTGACGGCCGCTTCTGTATCCCTAGACTGCAGTCACTGTTAGGACACAACTTCATATAAACATGTTCGTGCATTATGCGTTCATCTCTCGAGCCGGAGTCATCCCACAGCTCCCCAAGCTTGTGACTGCACGGGCGTACCCTCATTGAATCATGTAGGGTGGGGTTTATTAGATGCTTGTGATGCTTGAACGTCAATAGCGGCTCCGTCTGTCTCCATCTAATATAAACAAGGGCTCTGATCATGCCGGAAGGTGCCGTATGGTGACAAAGCTGTCCGTTGTAAGTCAAGTCTCAACAGACCGTGCGTCCGCGAATGCATTCTGAGTCGAGACGATGCACCTCGAACTGATCCATTCCAGAGGCCTTCTTATCTGTAAGAGACGGAGGTTGTCCCAGGATGCCGGCCTCGGTTGTGTTGACGGCTCTGGCCAACGTGATCTGCAGCAGATGTGAGCCCTTCACCGGACTTCTTCGTCTATGTTCCTGTCCCATCATGTCATGTATAGATATCGTCAGAATGCGCTTCCATCAAGCCTCGCTCCGACGAGGCGCTCACGTTGAACCTCGGGCTCATGTCGAACCTCCACTCGAGAGCTGCCTCCGCGACCACCATTCCGAAGGTGACCTGCTTCCATGCCGAAATATTACACCCTCTAATCGTGGATATAACGCATTGGGACCGGCTGTACAAGAAGCCTATGTGCCATGGTCGAATTGCACCACCGAGGGCGACGACGATGTGTCCGGCAGACGCCGAGTGCAACACAGCATATTCCTCGGGCTCCGAGACCACCACACCTGAGCCTTCAACGGACCAATGGCTGGAGCCTTCGCAGGAGTCGATGACGATCGGTCGGAGTGAGGAGAGAAGAGATGAAGAAAGGAATGAAATCGCCGGGGATACGAGGCGATTTAAAAACCGCGAAAATTGTGTAGCGAGGCCTTGTGCTACACCAGGTCCCTGCTGGAGCAAACACGCACACCTTCCACCACCTTCCATCTCGTGTCGCTGTGGCTATCGGTATCGGAGCAATGAGCGTTATCTGAACTCTGGCTTGTTGGAATGCGGACTTGGAAACTTTGCAGTTGACTTCGTCCCTGGGGTTTGTCCTGCGGGAAACTGTTTCCGACATGGCCGATGACAGCGAAATGCGGGGAATAAATTGCAGCCCCTCCCCCAGCTCCAGCCTCCTCGAGCTCCCCAACACCAGATCCCAGTTCTTCGATCCAGATCCAACAAAATGATCACTGGCCTAGCCCACGTCAACCTCCTCGTCCCCGCAGACTCGCTCGACCACGCCGAGGCCTTTTACGGGGGAACACTCGGCCTCACCTCCGCGCCAGTCCCGCATTTACAGAAGGGTACCATTCTCTGGTACGCCATCACCTTCCAGACAACCTTAAGTGATGGGAGTCGCTGACGCTTTCCTGGTAGGTTCAACCTCGGCACCTCCGGCCAGCAAATCCACGTTGCGCCGGGCGTCAACGAGACCATGACCTCCGATCGGCATCCGTGCTTTAAGTTGGAATCGCTGGAGAAGTTGTTGGAGTTGCAGCGGCGGATATGGGATCATCATGTGCGCGGGGGAGATGCGGCGCCCCTGGATGCTGATATGCCTGGTGAGAACTCCGGGACCAAGGGCGTCGAGTATCCGAGTCGCTTCTTTGCTAGGGATTATGCGGGGAATAAGTTGGAGTTTAGTCTTTAGGGTTGGGATAATGGAATTTATCATTTTGCTCGTGTTTATCTTGATGACTGCTCTTTGTTTGGTTTCCGGGGAGATACTGATTCGTAAGGGAGTATGCACTTAATAGGAAATGAGTGAGTTCGATGTCTGACTATATCTTTCACCCGGCTGACCAGCTCTCCAGCTAATGATAGGCGAGTGCATTACAACGCGATCAACGCATCATACTGCTCCTGATCAACCGACAAAACCGACAAGTGCCGCAAGAACGTCAAGTCGTGCTCGTTGTTCCTCGCCCAGTTGCCAGACGTCACATCAGTCGATTCCCACGCCTCAACTCCCGGGTTACTGCCCACGCGGTCATTCAGCAGATACGCCTTGCCCTCCTCCACGTTATCCCAGAACGGGTACGGGCCCTCGAAGCTCAGACTGTCCTCGATCGTGCCGTCGAGCGGCGTCCACTCGCCCAAGAGTCCGTCTGTGCTGATGTCCTGGATCGGCGACGTCGTCGCCCCGTCGACGTAGTACCGGATTAGCGTGTTTTCGTCGACTTTCAGAAACGACAGATCGATGGCTGTCTCGTTGCCCAGGGTGATGTAGGTGGATGGCTCGGTGAAGGTGCGGAAGTCGCTTGTGTATGCGTAGCGCAGGCTGTTGAGGAGGACGGGCGAGCCGGTGTGGTTGGGGTCGTCTTCGGCGAACTATGTCTCGTTAGAGTTGTCAGGAACAGGTGGGTAGGGAGACGCACCAGTTGCGCTGCCCAGTGGACAAAGTACTGCCCCTGCTCCTCGTCCCAGATGGCATCCGGTGCCCAGGCCATACCCGCCTGCTCGTCCTCCACCGTGACTAGGCGCTCGTCCGTCCAGTTCACAAGATCCGTGCTCTCCCAGACAAAGATCGCTCGCGAGCCGTTGCTCGATGCGGCGCCCCAGTTTGTCTGTGCGTGTCAGTTCTCGTCAATCAACCATGCAAGGAGTTTGAGTGCGTACGGTGTCGATGTCCAGGTCTGTCCCGATGATATAGTACTTCCCCTCATCGTCGCCCTCGCCTCGGATGATGGTCGTGTCTCGAATCGCCTTTGTGCCGAGGGTTGGCGTGATGACGGCGTTCCCGCCGTTGATTCTCTCGAAGCCTAGGGGGTCGTCGTTGGAACTCAATGCGAAGTAGACACTCTCGTCTTCGGTTGTCCAGTAGACTGCCAGGTAGCCGACTTTTGTCTCGTCCACTTTTTTGGGGGGATGCTTTGACCCGATGTGGGGGAGGGCGAAAATGCCGGGGAGGGAGAGGGAGAGAAGGGCTAGAGAGGGGAGCTTCATCTTGCTGTAGAACTAGTCCGTGTAAGCCAGGAACGTTTGAGCGCTCTGGTCGATCTGTCCAGGTATTAGCCTGAGGACGCACCTCTATTTATGGTCCTCTCCCTCGCCCGTATAGTCCTTAGGCACCGGCAGCCCATCCCATCATGCCACAAACCCCGAACCTACATCTGCTTCTCCTGCGGGATCTTGGCACCCTCAGCATCAATGACGTTTTTTCCGGCCTGCATGTTTGCACCCTGCAGAATTCAATGATCGGCAGAACCGCCGGTGATTGTCCGGAATAGTCAAGTGCCTGGGCTGGGGTTTCATCTGTTTAGGGCTCTCCCCGCATTTCATGTACATATGTGGGGTGGCTTCGGGTTAATGTGCGCCATTCTACCGAGGTGAAGTAAATCGAGGGGCGGCTAATATACGGAGTATTGACGCTGTGACTCCGAGGAAGTGTGTGCATTTTGAGATGTGTTGTGATGTCATTTGAGGAAATCGAAAAGAAGGCTTGACGCAGGTTTGTGTAAGCGGGATATTACGATATAACACCCCCGGCACAAGTGTCCGACATTCCAAGCTTGACTACTCCGTACAACAGCTTCTATTCAACTGGACCCTCTGGCTCTCGTGACTCGCCTTCCTCGGCTTTTACAGCAGATTGAGGACACATCTTGCCCTCCCCTTCATCCCACCGGTAAACAATCCCACTGCCAACGTTATAGTTATAGTAATTGTTCGTCCCGCCAGGAACAACCGCCTTGCGAAAGGTGATGTTGATCCTCCCCTTATGTGCCTCTCCACCTTTCCGCTTGGGAATACTATGCAGCCAGTTCGACTGCGTCTCGCCTCTCATGACGACCATATCGCCCGACGCAAGCGAGAACTTCAGCGGCTGGTTACTGACTCCCGGCGCCTGACTCGGCTTGTGCCGCATGAGGAAGTCTCGCTGTGCACCAAGCGATATGGACGCGATGGACGGGTTCGGGCCCAGGAACCGCTCGTCGTCCGAGTGGTAGGAGATGCTGTCGTCGCCGGTGGCGTAGTAGTTCACCAGGCAGAAGTTGTACGTTGAGCCATCGCCAATCGCGGCTTCAACGCTTTGCCGGAGTTTGTCGAGACATTCCGGGATTGGGCGTGGTCTGTACTGGTACTTGGTTGACGGGATGGGTTTGCGCGTCTTGCTGTCCACGGGTATAAGCGCGTCTGGGGTGACGTCGGACCCTGTGGCTGAAGCTGGAGCGAACTCTGCAGTTGCGTCGATCCCAAATACCGTTGTGAAACGCGGGGTGTTTATTTGTGTCGTCTGGCCCCCGCGTTTGATGGAGTATTGGACCCTGTAAAAGGGGAGTTCGCGACGCAGGAACTGGAATAGCTCGCGCGCCGCCGGGGAGGGAAGCAGAGGGTGGAAGTAGAGTAGGTTGAGATGCGGCTGATTGGTGATGCTTTTGGACTGCGCTTGGCTTAGATTGTCGAGGGCGCTGGTTAGTGAGGGTGGGAGGGAGGCGATTGGATGCGGATAGCTGGGGTGGTGGGTGTACGAGATGGGGGCGGAGAGCTCCTCGTCAGCCTTGAGCTTTTTGCTCTTGGGAGGTGTGACTGTTTTGTAAAACGATTCTAGCGTCCGTTTTGCCATTCTGTTGTCGTTGGTTGCGTACGCCAGGTTTGAGATAGATTGGCGCGGTGTTGTCTGTCTCATGATGTCACCGCAACGTCTTTTGTCGGATCTCGAGAGATCTAGAGGTGCAAGCCTGCAAGATGCCTCCGTTTGCCTGCCCCTGCATGGCTCGGAATCAACTTTGCTAGTAGTTTCTATGGGCGTTTGATTGCTCGGTATCAGCAGGGATATCCTAGTTCTCTTTCTAATCAATCGAACTTCATGATCACCTTACTACAACACATCTTTCAAGGCTGACCCCTACAAATATATATCTGCACTGTGCAGTCCCTGGCGCGTCTAATTGTAATACTGCGATAGTCAACTATGTCAACCGACTACCTTGGATGTTTAATAGTCGGAAGTGACAGCCACAACCTTAACATAAGCGCTGTTCCAGACAGTACAACTCTGATCTGCCTTGTAGTCGAACATTGTCTGCTTCCGAAGGTCGGGCTCTCGGGCACTATCTACGGTATTGGCATCAGCCACAACAAGGCTATGAGGTTAAAATCTCTTAACAATAATAACAACGGCTTTCAAGTTTCAGCTGACCCGCTGGGCGCTGCCGCGTCTTGGTCTTGGTTGCCTCGAGCGTCAGTGGCATAAGCGATGAGTGTTCCACAACCACTGTCAATCTGGCAAACTTCTCCGTCCTGCATTGACGGATAATCATCATGCAGTTATAATAAGACAAATTGTACAATGATAATATCGTGTATCACTATCACGGTGGTAAGATGGTAGGCCTCGACGTTGGGCGGGACCACGTGCGATGAGGCTGAATCGGCCCTCTGGCTTTGAACTCCGACCAACTCCACCCCATCCATCTCCCTCTCTTTCCAACACCCACTCTCCAGGCATCCTTTGCTGCCCACGCCTTGTTTTGTCCTCGTTTTTATTTCTTCATCGTTCATATTCTTTCTCTCTTATTGTCCTTCGCTTTTACGGCCTTTTTAACGGCCCTTTTTTGTGCCGCCCGCCCCTCGAGTCATGAGCCAGCGCTTCCCCGACCGAGTCTCCAACAATTGACGGTCGGTCGCCTTTCCACCGCGCCTCAACCTTCTCACCCTCCCCGACCTCTTCGACCTCGATGATTTCTCTCCAGAATGGCGAATTACCACAATGGCAATCTTCCTTACGGGCAGCCGGGGAACCAGCAGCCCTATGATGCCTACACCCCTCCGTCCACCAACCCGCCGCTCCGACGAATGCCAAGTTACAGCGCGGGGGACGACACGAGTCTCTTTGCTCCCCCATCCACTCACTCGAGGGTCGCAGAGAACCATAGATATCCCAATCGTGCGAGCGTCGGCGAGCCTCCAGTATCCTATGGCCAGCGCGACGACTACGGCGAGCCTCGATACGCTCATATCCCCTCGGCTACTTCGCCGCCTCGCGCCCGCGCCCAGTCCCAGTCCAGCTACCAATACCAGTATGGTTCATTAGGACCGATGTCGCCGACCCAGACCTCCTACAACCCCCAACAATATGCCCTACCTCCTACCTCGTCGCATCAGCGTACCGGATACAGCCCGCTGTCATATTCCTCCTCGAATTCCTACGGCAACAGCAACAACAGCACCTCGCCAACCCATCAGCCGTATAACCCGGCCGCTTACCAAGCGACGAACATTGGCAGCCTTGGGTCTCCCACAATACAGCGTCAGTCGAGCATGCTTTTCGCTCAGACGCCCCTCTCACCAAGCCCGTTTGGATCATCGCACCCTTCGTTACCTCCTCCGCCTCCACCGCGTGGACCTGATCACCCTTACGGCGGCCGTCCCTCGCCACAATATCCGAGCGCATCGCCAGGAGTCCAGTATGGATTTCCGCAGCACTCATCCACCGCTTCAACGTATAACAGTCTGGCCTCTCCAACTACACCGAGCATGACCTACGCACCCGGTAGCGGATCGCTCTCCGGCATGGCATCGTATAACTCCCGTCCATACGGCGGAGTTCCGGTCGCATCGCACTTCTCCCATCCTTCTCATCTTTCGGATCCCAACCGGACACCCTCGGTGGATGAAGAGCCGCCCGAGCCGCCGGCGCACCTCTCCTCGGGGGATACCTACGACAAATCCTACAATTCGGTGCACATTCCAGCTCGGTCCCTTCCGACGCCTCCCGTTCACCAATCTCAGTCGTCAATGTCCCCCCGAAGAACGGATACCCTGACGAGACATCCACAGGCACGCCCCCTTCCAGGGCCTCCAGTCGATTCAGAGTATGGGTATCTGAACGGCGGCGCACAATCTGCGGATCAAGCATTGACCTACGATGGCTTAGTCAGGGAAGTTGACGCCGCTATCCCGGACAAACAGTGGACCAGTTATCAGTCCGATAGGCCGCTCCACATTGACATGAATTCCCAGGACTCCGTTGATCGACTGAACCTACCGGGATCTGCGCATCCTTCCTCGGATTCTGTCCCCTCCCACCTTTCCCCTGACGAAAGACATACCCATACGAATGGGAACATGGCCACAGGTACCGGGCAGTATGTGAACTACGATGCCTACAGCGATGATAGTGACGCCGAAGCGGAGGCGGGCTTGGCGATGCTGCGGATGGCTGATGAAGAGGATCGCGCGCAGGCTGAGCGGCTGCAGGAACGATCGCGCCAGGAGACCAATGCCTCAAATACGAGCTCCCTGGTTAAACGACCATCAGTTACGGCTGCCTCACCAGTTCAAGTCACTCGTGCTGAATGGTATCCTGCTCATAGTGGAAACAGCTCCTTAGGACATTCCCCGTATGACGACAGCGCTTTAGCCGCGAGCCCATATGGCAATGAAGCCAGCTACGCCAGCCATCATCAAGTCGTCACTTCCGGTTCCCGTCACAGCTCTAATGCATCTCGCGAGGACCGCGCAGAGTACTCCGACGATTATGACTATCCTCCGATCGAAGATGATTACGCGTTCCATCCATTCCCCGAATTGCCATCAACTGCACGAGTTGATGCCGCCGGCACGGGTGGTCTATCCGAACCAAGCGCATACAACCGACGGATGAGTTTTGATTATGGTGATGAAACAGATGGCTCGTTATCGCACCGCAGGCAGTCCCATCATTCAGGGAGTGAAGGCTCTCTTGTCGGCGAGGAACCTGGGGATCTGTTCTTCCACCCTGGAATGCGGCCCCTCCCTCCACCTCCAGAAGGACCTGCAGATAACGCGACATTAATACCACACTTACTGCCGGCTGGCACATATCGACAAATAGAGTCGGACTATTCATCTTCCTACGTCTCTGTTCCAACACCAGATGCGTACGCAGTAGCCGCACCCAGTCCTACACATTTTTCGCGGTCCACATCTTTGACGAGCCATCCAATTGCACCACGTGCTGACCCACCAATTAGGTCTAAGACCGATGCAGACAGGGTGAAATACAAGCAACAACAGGAGATGCTGCGGCAGGGTGGCTCCAAGTTTGATTCACCTCTGGACATGGTATCACCTGGCATTCCCCTTGATCTGCCTATAATACCCACCGGTCGCCGCAAGAAGTTCCATCCGTCCAAGCTGTCGTCCGAGGACTTCCGACGCTGCGCAGAACCGTGGGCGCTCAGCTCCGTTTTGGCCTGGATCCGAGATCTGACAGAAGATGAGAATGACTTGAAAACACACGCCGTCATCGATGCCATCGTCGCTCTGTTCACTCACAAAGTCCCAACTATGAATATCGCTGACGCCGAGACACTTGCTGCACGTGTTGTTGAGAACATGTTTGACCAAGGAGCCCTCATTGAGGACGAGGAATGGGTCAAGTTTGGCAACGGCATGATGTCCGGTGTGCTGTTCCAGATCACCGGTACTGGGTGCTACTCCCCGTTGTTACATGAGGAGGAGAAGGACGCCGAGGTTGTCGGACGCTGCTACTCGCATCACTGTATGCGGACGCTCAAGAAAGTGAATTTGAGGGCGCAGGTCATGGAGCCGCAGAAGAAGGCGGAAGACTGGGTGACTTTCTACAAGGTTACAAAAGAGATGTTGGAGATACACTCCAAGAAGGAAATCGACCGACAGAACAATTTACACGAGATCGTTACTACTGAAGACTCCTTCATAGGGCAACTTGATGTTCTTCGAGAACTCTATCGCGACCGACTGGCGACGGCTGAACCTTCCATCATCCCACCCAAACGCGCAAACAAGTTCCTCCACGAAGTCTTTGGCAGGGTCGATGCGGTAAAGAGGGTAAATGAGGAATATCTCCTTGCGCAGTTGAAGTATCGGCAAAAAGAACAGGGTCCGTTTATTGTTGGGTTCAGTGACATTTTCCGAGAATGGATTCGCAAGGCAAAGGCCGTGTACACCAGCTATGCAGAGACGTTCCCCCACGCAAACTACCTCATTCGCAAAGAGGCCGAGAGGAATGTTGTCTTCCGCCAGTTTCTCAGCACAGCTCGGGATCATAAGCTCTCCAATCGTCTCAGTTGGGATACCTTCCTGAAGGCTCCCATCACCCGAATTCAGCGATATACTCTGCTTCTGTCGACGGTTCATCGCAACATGCCGAAGGACTCCGAGGAGAAGGCCAACCTAGCACAGGCTATCGAAGAGATCAAGGTCGTCGCGTTGGAGTGCGACAACAAGGTCGGCGAAATGAGCAAGAAGGTCGACCTGAGAGAGCTGGCTTCCAAGCTTCAACTTCGCCCAGAAATGAGAAAGCGTGTGGAACTGAACCTGGACTTCTTGGGCCGGGAGGTCGTCTTCCGTGGTGACTTGCAGCGGCCGGGCTCCCGAACGCGTTTCTTGGTCGATACGCATGCCATTCTCTTCGACCATTTCCTCGTCTTGGCGAAACTATCCATTACCAGAGATCCCGCCAAGCCAATGAAATACGAAGTATACGATGTATCGAAGTTGCCTATTCCGATGGATCTCTTGGTACTTGAGAGCACCCGAGAAGACCCAGTCGTGAAATCTGCCGTCAGGGGAGTAGTTGCCGCTGGTCAATCTCCTCAGCCTGGCGTTGTAGCCCAGGCTGGCAACGCCGATAAGGGTCTCGTTCCTGCCACGGACTTGGGATCTAAAGATGACAAAGTGTTGTATCCTTTCAAGGTCAAGCATCTGGGTATGAACGAAACTTATGTCCTATACGCACCCTCGGCGCAAAATCGAAAGGACTGGTGTGATAGGATTACCGAAGCAAAGACGAAGCATGCCGCGTCTTTGTATGCTCAGAATGCTGAGCCTTTCCGTCTGCGCGTTTTGGCCGACACTGCCTTTGCCAGCAACGACGCCTCTCCGCCGACGCACAGTGCTATAATCAAGGGGACGCCTCTGCATCGCGCCGTCAAGGAAGTTGAAAAGCAGTACCCTGCGTCGGCTCGACCGAACCCCATTTGTCGGGCGGCGGTCCATTGTGCTACTGTCTTCGAACAACCTCCTGGACGCAAGATGTGTGCAATCGGGACTGACTACGGGGTTTACCTTTCCGAGTACAATGATCCCAGGGGATGGTCTAGAGTAAGTCTATCTGTGTTTGTCTTTTTTTGACTTCTGCTGATGATATAGGCAATTGCCATGGCCCGCGTGACGCAAATCGCGGTCTTTGAAGAATTCAACCTTTTCCTCTTGATTGCCGACAAGTCCTTGATTGCATACCACCTTGACGTTGTCTGCCCAACGAGCGGCGTGCCTGCATCAGCATCCAACGATTCAGCCCGGCGAGCACCACAGAAACTCTCTGGGAATAGAGAAGTAGGCTTCTTTGCGGCCGGACACATGAAAGACCGTACGCTGGTCATGTACAAAAAGCGTGACGGCCTGTCGTCGACATTCAAGGTTTGTCAAGACCGCTCTTTTCGCGAAGCTGGCTAATGTTGGTGCAATAGATTCTGGAGCCCGTCCTGCAAAAGTCGGCAACGAGTAGAGGTCGATTCTTCAGCTCCCGCCGATCCAACACCGAATTCTTCCGCGAATATGACGAGTTCTACATCCCCGCCGAGAGTTACGGGATCAACTTGTTCCACTCCTCGCTCGCGATCTCGACCCAGAAGGGAATCGAGATTCTCACCCTCGATAAGAAGCAGACATGGTCTGTCCCTGAATTCCGCACCGAGGCTCAGGAGGCGCAGGCACATCTCAGTGAGATCGGGCGCCGCATCACCGGTCTTCGGCCCCTGGGCATGTTCCGCCTCAGTGACGCAGAGTTCCTGGTCACGTACACCGAGTGTGCGGTATACGTCAACCAGCACGGCGATGTATCTCGCAGTGTCGTGCTGGAATTTGTCGGTCGCGCCCACTCGGCCTGTCTTTACGGCAAGTTCCTGATTCTCTTCAACGACGACTTTGTCGAGGTGCGAAACGCCATGAACGGCCGGTTGCGCCAAGTCATTCCTGGCCATAATGTGGTCTGCCTCGACGATGGTAGTCGCCTTCCTGGCTCAGGGGTGAACAGTATTCCCACCAGCTCGGGCGACACCGTCAACCTGTCGAGCGGCTCGTCCAATGGAGCCTCACTGGCCAGCCAAGGCCGCACAGTCAAGATCTGCATGCAACATCCTGACTACGCACGTAATCTGATTATCCTTGAGCTCATTGAAAACGAGGGCTCCAAGGATTAATCTTTGCTCTATTGTCCTCGAACTTCCTCTCTTCTACGCCTTCTATTCCGGATGACCATATTACGAATATTTGCGCAACGAGACACTAACTCATGCATTTCCTGCCCTTTCCTTTTGGACATCTATACCCATTTTGCTTACGCTGTTGGCGGCTTCATTATCATGGTAACATGTTTGTATGAATTGTTTTTCTGTGTGGCATTCCCGCACATGTATGTATATATTGTCTTTAGCGAAGAGCTTCTTTCAGGCTACGCGTATGCTCTACTTGTTCTTGTCTACTCGGTGCATTGTAATGCTTCGATAACCCTCTTACTGCCAAGCCCCGGCATCCGGTAGATAGGAAGCGCCTCTATACTCGAGGACTACCCAGCCCATGCATGCAGCGCAATTCTTATTCATGATGTCTCCTGATCGGAACACTGGGAGTCAGCCGTCCCCACCCTCACCTTTCCGCCCGGGCCTCGCATCTCTTCTCCAAATCCAGAAGCGCTTTGCATGCGCCCAGATCCGAGGTGGGCCTGGATCGGCTCATGCTCGGGAAGCCTCCCGATCCCCGCCGTCTCCAGCGGAGCAGCAATCAGTCCAGCAGAGGAATGATGAATTCTTGCCTCTCCATTCCAGCCGTCTCACCTCTCTGAATCTCCACCGGAAGACTGGCATCGATGCCAAAGTCCGTTGCTCCAATGGCATCACCTCATCCTTCCCCTCGTGAGGGGTTCCCGCTCTCGGCCATTCATGATGGAGTGAGAGCAATGCGTGAGGGGTCCTTTTCCTCCCCTCTTGTGGATTGGAGGAAGTTGGAGACGTAGAAATAATCCGATGCATGGCTGACGAGGAGAGGAGAGCCTATATATAACTCTTCCCCTTCCACAAGGTACTTGCTCTAGCCCTCACTTTCCACCAAGCTTTCCACTCACACTCATACTTCACCTACTCTATACTATATACATACTACCACCAACCAATCACATCAAACAAACCAACATGTCCTCCCCATCCCTGCACCCCCTCCTCGACAACGGCATCAGCCAAGGAAAACCCAACTTCCCCGGCGGGAAACTCCACTGCCACTGCGCGACGCCCGCCAACCGCGTCGAAGTAACCCTGACCTCCGACGTCCTCCACAACCACGCCTGCGGCTGCTCCAAGTGCTGGAAGCCCTCGGGCTCGCTGTTCTCCGTCGTCGGCGTGATTTCGTCCTCAAACCTCTCGATCACAGCCAACGCGTCCAAGCTGGAAATCGTCGACAAGAGCGCCCCGATCCAGCGGTACGCGTGCAGGGAGTGCGGCGTCCACCTGTTTGGGCGCATTGAGGTCGACCATCCGTTCAAGGGGCTGGACTTTGTGCATGTGGAGCTCTCCGAGGGGAAGGGGAAGGAGGGCTGGCAGGGTGTGCAGTTTGCCGGCTTCGTGAGTAGTCTTATTGGGCAGGGGCTGGAGCCGGAACTTGTTCCTGGGGTTAGGGAGAGGTTGAGGGGGTTGGGGCTTGAGAGTTATGATGCGTTGAGCCCGGCGCTTATGGATGCGATTGCGACGTGGAATGCGAAGAAGGAGGGGGTTGTGTTTCGGTCTTCGCTTTAGGGGTGTACGTAGTAGTTAGGAAAAGGTGATAGCAGTGTTTGTTAAAGCTGCATTTTCATTTCCGAAGGTATATCCAGGACGAGTTGAGATGTAGAAAAGTAGTGGTAGGTAGCCGATCGGACAATTATACGTAGTAGAACCCCAGCCAATTTGTTACAACTTGTAAAGTGCTGGCAGCTCTTTACGTCGGGCAAGGGCCGAATGAGAACAGAGAACAGATAGGCAAGGGTGAGCCTCGACCGTCAAGAAAAAGATGATGGAATTGCGACTAGAATTGCTAATCAAGATGCAAGTATGCCAGAAGGTAAGCTCCATGGATTAATCTTATCTATACACCCCTTCTACAAGAGGCACAATCATGACTCAAACTCCACCTTGGCGACAACTTTCTCGTCTCGCCCTGCGTCAGCACCTTGACTACCGCTTCCGTGCTGAGCATCCTTATCATCCAAGAGTAATGTATCATCGCGTCCTCGGATGTTAACAACCTCCGCACCCTCCAGCAGATCCCGGTCCGTTTCCCGCACGCTGCGCCGCTCCGGATCGGCGCCATAAGCGCCTGCGCCCCAGGAGGAGATCCCGCCGACCATGAGCGGGGCGGCGCCGTGATGGCCGTCGTCGTCCTCATCGTCATCCTCGTCCTCATCGCGGTTGAGGGCATTGCGTTCCAGCTCGCGCTGGGCTTCGTCCATTCGCTTCTTCACCTCGGCTGCCATGCGGATGCCGTCGGTGACGATGTTGTCTAGAACGCCGCGGAGACCGCGGTTTGGCGGGACGATACCACCAGATGCGCCGGCAACTGTGGCGACAGAGGAGGAGATCTGAGGTTTGGGAGCGTTGATGTTGGAGAATGTAGTGAGGTTTGAGGAGAGCGACGGCAGCGGCGTAACGGTTGCGCCTTGCTCGGAAAGATGGAAGGACTGTGGGAAGTAGTTGTCGAAGAACTGCTCTAGCAACTCGTCGGCCAGAACAACCATTCGGAACGTGGGCAGAGTAATATGCAAAGGGTTGTTCGGGTCAAGAGCCGGATTCGCCGCCTCAGACGTGCTGCGAGCACGCTGGTTGGCTGTTGGCTCGCTGCCAGTCGTTTCGGGCGTTTTGGCCTCGGGGCTGGGGGTAGACTCGGACTTCACATCATCCTCACCAACATCGATCAGATCTTCCTCATCCTCCCCGATGCTAAATGAATTGAGGTTGTCCGTTGTTTCAACTAGCTTCTCTTCTGTAGCCGTGTTGGTAGGGTCAGCGTACTCGAAGCAACGACGTATAAAGGAGCTTACACTTCCTAAAAAGCGTTCTCCCGTGCTGAGTTTGTCATCTTCTTTACCGGGCGTCAAGTCTTCCGTGCTCTGACTAGGGGTAATGGTTCCTTCAAATCCCCGCCGAGAAAGGAAGAGCAGTGCTTCTGACATTCGCAGGATACCCTCCCTGTCAACCATGCCATCGCCGTTGTCGTCATAGAGGTCGAAAAAGTAACTGATATTGTTCATGATATCACGAGGTCCTTTCAGACGTGCAATGCCATTGACTACGTTTTGCAGATTCAGCCCATCATCTGGATCGGTAGACCACTTGCGGAACAAGCGCTGCATGAACTCGTGGTCGGCTGGTGCTGGTCTTTTGGCCAAGGAGGGTCTTCCCAGTCCTCTGAAGCTCCCAACGTCTGACACTTTTCGCGACGGGCCAGGAGAATCAGCAATCGCCCACTTGGCCGTTGCAGCAAGGAATTCTCGAAACGCGTCATAGTCCATATGAGTGGGACTCGGACCGAGGCCGACGCGACCGACTTCCCGGTCTACTGATGGCCCGAGGACAGAAATCCGTTGAGATTTCTTCCTCTCCTGCCGTTTCTTCTCCTCCTCGACAACCTTCTGCCTCTGCTGGTAGTCATAGAGGACCTCATAGTAGCGGTCATAGATCGCTCCCAAATCCTCTGGACTCAATTTCTTGCTATCGGGACCAAGGTTTCGAATAGAGGTCCGCTTAGCAAAGCTTTCGATGTTCTCCAGGACCGCATCCTTGTGCTTCTCGCGCTGCTCGGTAATAGTTTGATGTGTGATTTGTGAGAATTCCTTGAAAGCTACTACCATGAGCTCTTGGAATCGCGTGATGGCCCTAAGCTTCGGGTTCTCGGATCGCGGATGAGCTGACTCGTCGAGACGAGAAAAGTAGGACTTCAACACCGAGATAAACGAGCCGTCATCCTGAACGTCAAGAAGCTCCTCTCCGTTGATTCTAAGAATCGCCAGCCCGACCTGGAAGAGAACTTTCGGTCCTTCCAAGAAGAACACATCAAGGACTCTGAAGGCGAACACCAGGGGCATGGAGTTGATATATAGAGAAAGGAACCATGGGAGAGAAACAACAGATAGCTGGACGTCGGACTTCCCCAGGTGATCCCAGAGGATCGGCATAGTTTTCTCGACAAGCGACTCAAACACCTTTTGGTCAAGCAATGTCCCATACATAGTAGTCGAGTAGTACCCTGGTACCAGACGGTCACACAGAACAGAAAGCAAAAAGAAGGCTTGGGCCTCCGACATATATCTAGTACGGTTAGAGCGTGATCGAACAAGAGTTGCGGCATCTTACATCAATAATGCTGCAACAACAATGTTCATCGCTTGACAATAGCCAATTTCAGCGTTCGTCCAACTGTAGGCAGTCAAGACCCTTCGAAGGCGTCCTATGCCTTCCTCGCTCTGAAACCCCGGATACTCCGGTAAACTACGGTTCAAATCCTTTTCGATCTCATCAATTGCCAAAGACTCTTGGCCTTCGAACTTCGCTAGAGTCTCCCCATATAGTTTCGGCGACCGCAGTCGCAGGTTCAAAGAACCAGATGCCACCTCCCAGATCTCGCCGCGAAGCCGATTAGGAAGACCAACGCGGATGAGTTTGTGGAAGGTAGGTTGTCGGATCAACGTGGCGTTGCGGCCATTTTCTACAATGTTTAGTGCATGTACACGAAGAAGCAAAAGGAAGCATACCTCGAAAGTATTCTCCCCAGAGCCTCATCTTACTCCGATCCCGAAGCTTGCGGGCATCACCGGGGTAGCGGAAAAGCATCCCCAACCCGGCGTCCGGAGGTGGTTTCGCTTCAGGGTCATCGGCCGACTGACCCTTCGACTTGGCGCCCGAAAGAAGATATTCCGAATAGCAGTCATTCACCACCGACCGCAAATTCTCAATCTCCTTCATGGACTCGCGCAAGTTCTTCTTCAAGCCATCGCAAAACCGCTCGCAGGCCTGCCTGCTCCCGACCAGCTCGATAGTGAACCTCTGCGGAGAAAACCCAGGTGCCTGTTGTTTCCCCAGCGCCCCGTTCCATGTTGTCAATGCAAGAGAGAAAATATGGCTCTGACTATTCAACCGTTCCACCCGGCGAATCGAACACAGAGGGATTGTGAACCCATTTCCGGACGGCCCGGTGCCATTCGTCTGACCGGCCCAATGTGTGGAAGCGCTAAGGGTCGCTGAAGGGAGAAAGCTTGTGGGCTGTGTCGAGAAGCAGATGAACCGCTCGCTCAAATGCAATCTACCCGCATATCGATTGCCACCGCGGTCGACGGTCTTGGATTGGGCACCAGAGGCCGATGACGAGGTGTGCGATACAGGAAGTATGAGCTCCGCTGTAATCTCATGAAGAGGGTTCTGCGAGTCGGGGAGTCGGAATTGTTGGCGGAAAAGGGAGGCTTTCGACGGGTTTCGGTCGGAGGATGAGGTCAGGTTCGGCAGAGTGAAGTTCGCCGGGTCGATCAAGGACTGAGCTTTCTGAACGAAGGACGTCCACTGCATCATCTTGGCAAGAGTATCGCGGTGTCCGCAGGATGGTCGGAGGCAAAGGGAAACGAAGGTACTGAAGGTAGAGCTGAGGCTCAGCCCGGGGATGTGCGGAGGTGGTGCTGGAGCTTCAGGCCACTCGGAGCAGCGCTAAGAATGGACAAAAGCCGACGGGTGGTCAGCACAGATCAGAATCATTGTAGATTTAGCGCAGCATATTGACACCCAGCCGGCGACGGGGTAGGGCGCCTAGAGTTGTGGTAGTCGGTAGAAGAGGGGAAATGCAGTGTCGAGCTGATCCCTGGCTGTGGCAGGCATCCGCAAATCCTTGCACGTGACGTCAAGTCCGCCTCCACTATACGGAGTACAACCGACAATTACTTGCTGAGAATGACTACAACCTAGATTATCCATAATTCAGCTCAGAGAACATCCAGTACTTAAGTAGTTCATTGAATCGAAGCCCTCGGGTGACTCTGTGGGCCATACACGCGATAAAGCATGTTGCAGCATAGGTACGATCATTCTCCCGCCTGGCTGTCAGAGTGAGGTTTCTTGTGTCATACTGGCCTTCACATTGGAAATAGTCTGCTATGTTTCAGCTAGGAATGGAAACATGACTTCGGTACATGAAAGGAGAATCACGGCTGGTGATGCCATTCGTTGTAGAAATATATATTAGGAGTCGTTGATGTTCGATGTCAAGCAGCCACGATTTAAGACTCAAGGGCTTTGCAATCAAAAGCGGCGGACAGTAGACTAGGCTTAGATGCGGCAACGAGTTGAAAGCATATACGAAACAAATTACATTGGTAAGATCAGTTCACTTTACACTAGGAAAGTATAGAGAATGGAAAGGGTGTAACAATAGTAGCTCAGAAAGGAGAACAAGAACAGAACACAGTAAAGTCGAGATAAGAGATCCAAGCCCGTCCTTCTTGTTTCTAGTTCAAACCCAAAGCTCATCCCGTCCAGCAGCCAGAGCCTGGCATCCTATCGCATCTTTTCCAGTCGTCGATTGTGGCGGTCTCGAAGTAACCCATCAAGCCTTGTCAGCAACCTGCTCCGCGGCAGCCTCCTCATCGGTGTATGCCGGGGGAAGTTCATCGGAAGACTCGGTCATCAGACCTTGCTTCTCAGAAACCGAGCCTTCTTCGTTGTTCTCCTTGCGGGAAGAACGGCGATGACGCTGCCACAAGAAGACAGCGAGCTGACCGATAAGCATACCCACAGCGCTGGCAGCGAGACCAGCCAAAACCCCGAGAATAGCCGGGACAACAATGAAGCGCACAACGCGGTGAAGGGTGCGCTCCCAGGTCTTGTGGAACTTGTCGTGGAAGTGAGGAGGAGGGTGAGGGCCGTGGTGGCCGTGATGACGGTGGGGCTCGCCTTCGGAGACGTGACGGTCGAAGTCGCCGTGGGAAGGGAAAGGAGGAGGTGGTGCAGCAGCGTCAGCGCAACCTTGTCCCTTGAACATTCCAATGAGGCGCTCCTTGGCCGCGGCGAACATGGTGCGGATACGGTGGACCAAGAAGCGGCGCAAGCACCGAGCGTTTCCACCACACTGCCTCCATGATTCACGGTCCGCGGTTTCCTCGATGCTTGTTCCGACCATGTAGAGATCGCCTTCGCTGTTGTGAACCAGAGTGACGGCGACGGTGTCTAGGGGAACGGGGTAGCCGTCAAGATCGAGGACGGTGAATCGGACTTCGACCATGTCGAAGGGCTCGTCGGGAGGAGAGGGAATGGGCATCATTTCGACGGCGTAGCCCAAGGGGACGGGCTCGGATTCTTCGCCATCTTGGACGCGGCGCTGGACAGCGGAGATCTGCGACGGAGGGCCCGGAGGGAAGATTTGATGGTCGTTGGCGAGGAGCACACCGTCATCGATAGTGAATTCTAGCGACTGGAACCGTTAGTCTGGATAGCTACGGGGTACATCGAAATGATCTTGACGTACCAGCGAGGTTTCATCGCCACTCTGCTCGGCGAAGGGACATCCGGTGCAGAGAAGGTCGACCTGCTGCTGCTGAGCCGCCTGGGCCTCAAGTGGTTGAAGACGGGCGATGTCGTCGATGGAAAAAGCATCAGCGTCAACTTCGGGGACGACAAGCAAGGCGCTGGCGCTGGTGAGCGCAAGGGCGCTTCCGATGAGAAACGAGCGGAGGGTCATGGCGGTAAGCGGTTAGAAAAAGGACATGAAAGGAGAGAATGACAGCGGTGGGTAGGTCGTGTTCAGGAAGGTTGATCAGAAGTCTCACGTAGATGAAGAGGGTTGAGTGAGATGAAGATGAAGAGATGAAGGTGGATGGCAAGATAATGAAGAGGTCTGGAGCCTGGGGGCACACAAGGCTGACGCAACCCGCTATCCCCTCCTGGGACTAGTGCCTTTATCTCTGCTGCTGCGGTGGGGCGCTGACGACTACAATAGCGACAATGGCCGTGTCAGATCGATATGAACCAACAGTTCTCAGTTGAGATGTATGCCACAGTCTCAGAATCTGCACGTCGGAAAGCAGTCGGAATCAGGATCTATTCTCTGCGAGGGAGTTGTCAAGCTGGAAGCGCCGGACGGGGCCTGCATTTATTTTTATCCTTATCGCGGGAGATTAGCCGCTAAGCCGGTTTCGGTCATTGGACTCGTCCCCATCACATGATTCCTCCCATTCAATCCACTCTTTGAGTTGTTCTAAAGAACATCAAAACACAGCGCCGAAGCAGAAGCTGATAACAGTTAGCCCGCCTGGTGGTACGGAAACTCCGATGCAACCATTACTCTATGTGACAGCGTGGTACCGCGATGCTGAGCTCGCTAGATCCTGGAAACATTTTGACCAAGCATAGCGCCAGCAAAGATAAGGCCAACACGATGGGAACTGAGTTCACAGGATGCCACGGTTATCGACCAATCTGATCAATTACGACTACATTATCCTTCTTCAGTATCGGTCCCTAGAACAGCCCCTGAACGGCAGCAAGAATACTGGTGGCCCCGCTCTTGGTCCAATCACGGAGGTTCAAGCCTAGTATGCCAGGAAAGCATCCCCCGCCGTCCTCTCTCCAAATTGCCAGCACCCGCTTGACCACATCTTCTGTAGCCTGCGCATATCCCGGCGGCGGAGGTTCAGCAGGCGCCCTTGACGGATCCCTAAATACCCATGCCACAGGTTTCACACTGCACTTACGGCACATGGACATGGACTGGAGCTTCTTGACGAAATCTAGGCCGAAGCCACGGCCAAATACCACACCACGTGGTGGCTGGGTGTAATTGTGCGTGCCTATCTCGTTGGGAGCGGCGATGGCTGGGATCCTTTCCCCAGAGGAGCAGCGGGAGTTCAGATTCTGCTGCCACGGGGGTTGCGCAGAAATGGATCACTGCACCGCTGTTAGGTGGATGGCGATAGAATGAGAGCGAGCGTACCCTCATATTCCGGGAGCAAGAGCTCAGAAACGACCTTGCCGACCTCTACTCTGCGGCCGCAGAGGACAATGGGGATGGGTACGGCCTCGGCCATTTGGAACAACAAAAGATGGAGAGAAAGGTGGGAATCTTGAACATGAAGGAAAAACAGTGCTATTTATCAACTGAAGCCTTAGGGAGCTCGACGCCTAATCTGACCCCGCTTCCGCCGCGCTGGAGTATAGCTGTGTCTGATATGTGGAGTACATGAATCTCAGCTACGCACTGGCCTTCAGATACGGGATCCCCGTCAGCCTGAACCCTCTCTCCGTCAGCTGCACCGGCTTGCGCGGCTTCTTCCTGTTGTACGGGTCCAACTCCCCGTTTCGATGGACGGGCAAGTCGACAACGTGCATGGCATTCGGCCAGTGAGTGGTCATTTTGGTTTCTACCCTGTCAGTAAAGAAAATCTGACAGGATGAGTCGGCATACCTTCGAAAGCCATCTTCTTGGTGAGCAGTTGCTCCTCGGTAGCATCTTCCACCGGCATGTAGCAGGTGTACACTGCGAACCGCGGCTGCGAGGTCTTGGACGAGAGATTATAGTGTGGCGTTCGTGAGTCCCCTACTCACTCTGTTAGTGGGCCGCGGATTGTGAATGGATAGGGTACGTACAGAGCAGCAGGTCACCAGGCTCAGCAGTAAGCTTGATCCATTCGCAGCCTCTGTCCTTGAGCCACTGCATCCCGGCATCAGTGAACCCATACCACTCTTTGGTCCTGTCCATCTATATCAGCCGCGTTCATCGGGAAAGTGGGGAGAATGATCTTGAACCATACCAAGACCAGATCCTCTTCTCATCCTTGAACACCTCGTGGAACTCCTCACTGAGCAAATGCGCCCCCTTGCAAACAATCAAACCGCCGTCATCTGGCCCGTTCGGAAGCAGGTTCACCAAGCCCTGGAGGCATCTGAATCCAGGCTTTGCAGGGTCCTGATCCTGATGCGGCCAAGGGGTATTCGGCTTGACATCTGTCCTGTTTGGGAAACCGATATTGACCGAGTCGAACGAGACAATCAGGTCTTCGCTATCATAGACCTTCTCAAACGCGCCGACGACGCCGGGCTCCTGACGCACAGCCCAGGTGAAGGACTCATGGGAGACCGCGTAGCCCAGGCACATCCCCTTCTCGTTGATGTCGGGGAGATGGTCTTTGTGTATGGTCTTGGGATCATGTCGATCAAAGCCAAGGTTACTGCTGATGTTAGTGCTTGCATTGCATGAAGAAGATGATAGCTTACAATCCTTCGAGCCACTCATAGATCTCGTCTGCATACTTGAGCGCACGGTCACGGGGAACGGCACCCTTGACGACCGCAAAACCGTTCTTCAGCAGGTCGTCGCGGAAGTCGCCATAATGCACATCGGTGCCGTGCGAGAAAACGCGACCGGAGGGTACGGTGGTGGTTGTAGTAGTAGTCGTCGACATGATGAATGTACCTTGATGATGTGGATTGAGATGACCATCTTCCTCAACACCCGCTCACGTTTATACTCAATTCAAGTGGCAATACAGGCCCGGTTCGGCTCGGCTGGCGGTTCAACCCATTCGGCTATGATGGGAAGTACCTTCCCTACCCCAGGTCCCCAGGTGTTCGGAAGAGTGGGCGCAGACGAGGTGGAGCCGACAATCTGACACTGCGGGGTTGATCTCTACTAGTACAGCCTGGACGAAACAGCAAGGATGACACCTGCACCTGTCAGGCCATCATGGAGTCCTCCACCCCCAAGCGCAAGCGCCTCTCGTACGCCTGCAACTACTGCCGTGAAAAGAAGACCCGCTGCGATGAAGGACAGCCCTCCTGCCGCAACTGCAGAGTTGCCGGGGTGCAATGCATCACCACCGATAAGCGTCGTGCAGGGGCTGTTGTCACCAGCCGGCGACGACCCAGTCCCAACACTGCTTGCAATACGGTAACTACACCGGTGGAGAATGCTGTCAACACACCCGTGTCTTTAACCCAGCCCTCGCCGTTACCAGTAGCTGCCAGCCAGGGTTTACGCCCGCCGGCGCAATTCTGGGACCGGTCCGGCTGGCGTAGCGGGCGGCTGCCCATGATGCCCCGGTTTATTGGGGGCTCCATGTTCGAGATCATGACCGAATGGCTGGATCTAGCGTTCTATCGCTTGAGGATCCCTGCACCGTACCCGGCTTCGTTGCCGTCAGGTTCAGCCCTTCCGGTATCTGTATCTGTACCACCATCGCCGCCAATTCTGCCATCAGGCTCGGAGATGCGCCTGTTGGGTCAAAGGTTTCTACAGACCGTCTGCTGCATCTTTCCCTTCATGACTGAGGGTGAGATATACCAGATCTGTGATTCGAACCTGACAGGATCTCCTTCAGGACAAGCGCTGGCCTACCTCATTGCGGCTGCTGCGTCCATGACAGAGGGAGGCTCACAGCCAGAAGACTACATCGCTTACTGCAACACACTCCTCGGTCACGTGGTAGCAGAACGAACCCTGCAGTCCGCTCAGGCTATTTTTCTCTTCGCTATTGTCCTGCGGAGTTCTGACCACATCGCCTGGGCATGGGACGTTCTGTGCTTAGGCGTTTCAATCGCACAGTCGATCGGTATAAACCAAGCGACCACAGCAGCACAAGGCTCGACATGGTGGTGCGTGTACGTGTTCGAGAAGATCCTCGCTTTCGAGAGCGGACGTGCCTCGATGATATGGGATCGTGAGTTGTCACGCTCTGCCCAACTAGACGACGACGACGACGATCCAACAGCGAAGTACAAATGGACTTGTATCAGCCTGGCCAACACGCTGCATGAGATGCAAGACCGCGCGGCAGGTGCGTGGCGGAGAGAGGAATGGCTGCCACAAAGCGTTGATGAAGCCATCGAGGAGAAGATTCACACTGGGGGAGAGCTGGCAATGCTCCTGGACTACTGGTGGGGTGGTCTACCCACTGAATATCGGACTGGATCAGCGTTCTCCCAACAGTCGGCGTTTCTATCATTCTACTATCAATACGCGTGAGTACGCTGTCTTTACCGACGGACGTCCCTGACCAATCCAGACTTATCCTTCTCAACCGGAGCGTTCTCCTAATTGAGGCTTCTGAGTTGCGTGAAATGACTTCCCGCTACGCTGCCGGGAAGCCATGGCAGCATCGCCTTGCCAACGGGGCTGGAGTGTGCGTCGAAGCTGCCAGAGACATGATCAAGCTCACTGTTGCCACGGTTGACTCCGGATTGCCGACATACCTGACGGCGTTAACTTCGCCTCTCAGCGCCGTATATGCCCTGGCTGTGCATATCCTCCGGGAGCGCCGCTCCCTGCTTGCTCGGTCTGATCTTGAGGTACGTCTTCTACTTTGGTTCCATTACAAGGCTAACTTGGCCAGCTCATGAAAGCTGCTATTGGAATTATACGACAACATTACGCGCGATTAGATGACATTCAACGAGTGAATGAGGTTCTATCTGCGCTCGAGACGTACACGGCAGACTGCTTAAACGGACAAGTCCCAGAATCCTTCGGTCCTGGAATTGCAGAGTCACCCCTAACCGATAGGGATCTACAACTATGGGGCCCTTCAGCGCTAGACTGGGCCGGCTGGGACTGGAACGACCTAAGCCATCTATTCGAGAGCAGCGAGTGAATGTCCATTTAGTCTAAACAAACGGTAGCACCAAGTGACTGTCATAGTCCCCACCTGCATGGACCCAATGTCTCCCTTTATTTCGGACATGATCCGATGTCCCAAAGTTCGAGATCCCCTGGTAGTGTCCTGCGATCCGTAGCTGCAGGCTCTCGCCGGCTTCGTACTCCACTCCCATTCCCCAGATCCCGATCTCCAGCCGAACAACCGTGCCAGGTGGGACCTTTTGTTCCCGCTCGTGTGGGTAGAACGGCCAGTTATCGTGCATCGATTTACTGACGTCGATCTCCCGGTTTGAGGCTCGAAGGATGCCGGTTGGGCCTTGGTAGAGGATGACCTCTGTGCGCTTGTCGTCTGGGATCTCCTCGATGGATGACACGGGCAGCCCTTTCCAGGGGATGTTAAGGTTCAGCATCATTTCTCCGGATGCAGAGAGCTTGCTTAGGACGACGAAAACGTCCATGTCGTCGTGCTCGTCGCAGCGCATATACAGCACCGCTTTGGGGATACCGACTAGCTGCGTGCGCTCTGGGAAGGTGTAGGTGAACGTGGCCATGTCCGAGGGGTTCTCCGAGTTATACGACAGCGTACCGGACGTGGAAGCCGGTGTGTCAAGCAGCAATCCACCCTTTGCGTCCAGATACGCCTTCCGATAGACAGTCCGCGGCAGGGGAAAGTCAGCCTCAACGATATTCGCCAGCGGCTGGCTCTCGCCGTACTTCAGCACCGCCATCCTCACCCGCGGCGTATCCTCCCACCCATTCTCGATCCCCTTCAAATACCGATCGAAGAACGCCTTCAGCTCGACATTCGCCTGCGCATTCCCCCACAGGTCAAACCACTCCTGGTACGGGTGCCACCGCAGCCACTTCTGCTCCGTCTGCACCTCCAGCCACCCCCTGATCGCGCCCATCCCGTGCATCGTGTTCGTCCATGTCCCTGTGATGTACGTCGGGATCGTGATCTTCTTCATGTCGGGCCGCTTGTCATTCCACCAGTCGCAGGCCAGCGGGTGCTGCGCGAACATCTTCCGGAAACTCTCCATCCCGCGGCCCCCGCGCAGCATGTATTTCACAATGAGCCGGTCGAATAGGTCTCCGCCGTAGATGCCGCCGCGCGCGAACTGCTCGCGGTATAAGTCGCCGCACCCTTCCCAGGGCGCAATGGCTTTCAGCGATGGTGGCTGCAGCGCCGCAATGAACCACTGGATAATCGCGAGATGGGAGTTCCCGGCCAGTCCCACGCTGCAGCTGCACCAGTTTTGTTGAGCAATCCATTCGATCACGTCGTATCCGTCCTGGGCTTCTTGCGTCCCCATGATCGCCATGGTTCCTTCCGAGTCGAAGGCCCCGCGTGAGTCGACGTTGACAATGGCGTATCCGTGCTGTACGTACTCCGCGGGATCGGGCGCTTCGAATTTCTCCAGCCCGCTCAGGGTTCCGTCTGGGATACCGAGGTTCCATGGTGTCATGAGACGCAGCGAGTCGATGCCGTTGAATTTCTTGCCGAAGGGGCTCCAGCAGATGATTGCGGGGACGGGCGGGCTTGGGTTTGGTGGACGGTAGATGTCGGCGTACAAAGTGCACCCATCGCGTACTACGATCGCGACGTCATGGTCTACCTGGATGGCGCACGGTAGAGCCCGTCTGCCTGGTTCGGTTTGGTGGCCTTTGGGCAGGATTTCAGAGCGAGGATTGAGGCCTTGGTAGCCGCCATGTCCGATCTCTGGGGCTTGGAGCTCTTCGATAGGAACGTCGACTTGGAACTTGACTGGCATTGTGTTTGGTATGCAATGATAGAGAACTAACTATCCGGCATGGTAAAGTATTTATGCCAGGAAGACATGTCCACCGGGCGTCCGGTTCGGCTGGCGGTTGGGGTCGGTTCGGGTCGCGGCTCCACGAGCTTCATCCCCACGGGGTTGGGTATGGGGAAGAGAAGTTAGCAAGCAGTCTGGGGCACAGATACTTAAGGCTCCCTGTCTGTGACTACGACAATATACAAATCAACAATGGACAAATCCGAAATCATCCACGAGGAGGTCATCCCCTCCAAGCCTGGGAATGGGATCTCCGGCTCCGGAGCCCCAGGCGACGTCGAGCTCCTTCGAGGCAGCGATACCATCCTGATCCCAACGCCCTCGCAAGACCCTAAAGGTAGTCCTCATCACCGTCCGTCCTGCCGTACTGACTTGGCCACATAGACCCCCTCAACCTCCCCCCCTACCGCAAATGGATCCTCCTAGTCCTCGTCTCCGCATACAGCTGCACCTCCGTCGTCCTGTGCTCAGGCATGGGCCCCATCTTCTCCGTCATCCAAGCACAGTACCCCGGACAGGAAGACCGCGCAAACGACCTCCTCACATACCCAACCCTCTTCATGGGCATCGGCAACCTAATCAGCATGCCCTTTGCGCTGAGCATCGGCCGCCGACCCGTCTTCCTCGCCTCGATGGTCCTCCTCGTTGCGACGGGTGTTTGGTGCGCATGCTCGCAGAGTCTGGGCAGTCACATCGCCGGCCGGAATATCATGTCCCTGGCCGCTGGGCAGAGCGAGGCTCTTTCCCCCGCGATCGTGCAGGAGATCCACTTCCTGCATGAGCGTGGTCGGAAACTCGCGTGGTTTATCTTTATTCAGAACGTGACGGCTGGCGTGTTTTTCGTGGTCTCGACGTATATGGTCTCGGCGTGGGGATGGCGCTGGTGGTATGGGTTCTTCACGATCATGAATGCGGCGGTCTTTGTGCTCGCTGTTGTGTTTGTCTCCGAGTCGAGGTTTGATCGCTCGCCTGAGGATATGAGGGGAGAGCCGAAGATTCCTGAAGGAGAGGAACAATACACGCCCCGAACATGGCGACACGATCTCTCGCTCTTCGTTGTCACGCCCCGCTGGAGCATCATTCCGACCTTCTACAAACACGTTGCGCAGGGCCTCTGCATCCCAATTACACTGTGGCTGCTTCTCCTGAATGGCGCGTTCCTAGGCGTATACGTCTTCCAATCCGCAACCTTCTCGACCATCCTCCTCGCCCCTCCATACAGCTTCGCATTCACATCCCTCGGCTCCGTCCAGGCCGGCCAGATCGTCAGCTGCATCATCTTCCTCCCGCTGCTCGGGTACGGCAGCGATCTGACCATCCGCGCATTCACAAAGCGCAACAGAGGCCTCTACAGACCCGAGTACCGTCTCCCCGTCATCGGCATCCCCGCGCTTGTCGGCGTCATCTGCGGCATTATCTACGGCCAGGCTGGAGCGCACCCGGAGGCCTGGAACGTCAGCGCCATTGTGGTCGGGTACAATGCGAGTTTCTTTGCGTTTCTCGGTGCGAATATTGTGGGGATTACGTATGCTGTTGATAGCTTCCCGCTGCGTGCGGAGCCGTTTCTCGTTGTTATTTGTGCGGGGCGTGGGATTATCTCGTTTGGTCTTAGTTATGCTACTCTCCCCGCCGTGCGGAGCATTGGGTATGATATGACGATGGTTGTGGAGATAGTGGTTTGTGCTGCGCTGGCCCTGGTGGCGATCCCCATGTTCTTCTTTGGGCCGAGGATGAGGAGTGCAGTGCAGGGGTGGGTTGGGAAGTGAATAGGACATCCGATAATATGAGATCCAAATATATCGAGCTTTCTATCCATTATATCGCTCTCCATAATTCGGCACGCGACCAGCTACATCCACACCACCCAAGCCACCAGAGCCGAAAGCGAAACCCCCCAAGGCGCACCTGCAACCCTCCCCGCCGCACCCGTCCTGATCAACAGCGCGGGCTCGTAATCCTTTACCTCAGAACTATCCAGCGTCCCATTCCAGCAGTACCGCTGAAAGCACCGCCCACAGAGATCCGGCAGGTCCGTCCCCGTCCTCTCGGCCGACCGAGCGAGAATCGCACACCCCACGCATGCCGGCCACGTCTCGTCCTCCGTGCTGTTCCCCTTCGTGACGACGTTGTACCCGTTCTCGATCATGGCGTCGCGATCAGCGTTGCTGTAGCTGAGGTCGTATGTTGATTTGTTCGACATGTACGTGTACGGGGCGTTGGGGAGGTACACGATCAACGGCGCCGGGGCAGTGAGGTTCCACGAGTTGCACCCGAAGAAGGTCGGGCGTTTGTTCAGGCCGAGATTGAGGAAGGTGTTTGTGTCTGGGATCGCAGGGAAGGCTGTCCCGTTGCCGACGCCGGTGGAGTTGAGGCTGCGCTCGTACGTCCGCACGAGACTCTTCCCGTTCGGCCAGTTGTGGATGTTGGCCGTTGAGTCCACCGCGAAGATCACGTCCACGTTTCGGGCTGGCTGGATGAGCGGGTGGAAGGGCACGTTCTGGCCGTCCTCGCCGCCGTCGACGACGTTGAGCTCGCGCCGGCTTGAGATGGCGGCCGTGCTGCCCGAATAGCTATAAAATGGGTTCGGGTAGTTGGCGATATCGTCGTTGGCCTGCCCGACGGCCTCAAGGATCGACGCGATCGCCTTCTTGAATGTCTCCGGGATAGACGTGCTGTTCAGACGCAGAAGACCCTGGTTAAACAGACTGGACGAGGTCCCCATGACAAAACCCGCATTATCGAACCCTCTCACACAGCTTCCATTGTGCGTGTCCGTAAAGTCCGACCCCAGATACTCAAGCGGCGCAAAGGCGTAGATCGCCGGATCGAACGTGCCGAATTCCCAGGGGTTAAACTCATACACCGTCGAGTTCGAGCCGATGACCAGCTCCCCGGGATTCCGGCCATCCGCGACAAGAAGAGGCATGGGGATCCGGCCTGTCTTGAAGTTCTCCATCATCGCAATGGAGGACCATGTATAGCTTGGGCCGCCGTCCGAGGCGTTGATGAACTGGTACGAAAGCGCTCGGCCCCAGTAGTCCGTGATGGAGGTATTAAAGCCAGCGTGTTTCTTCGAGTGGACTGCCTTGACGAGGTCCGTCCAGTACTCGGCCGTCGAGAGGAGCTGAAGATGCTTGACGTCCGGACCCTCGAGGATATTCGTGCGGAGATCCCAGGTCCGCTCACTGTTCTGCAGTGCCTGGATGGTCGTGAAGTTATTGATGAATACAGATCCAACAAGCCAGCCCCCTCCACTCAGTGCAGAGAGATACGTCGACGATTGAAGAAGACCCCCCAGCTGTCCGGTCGCCGTTGAATTCGCCGTCCGCCCATCAAACGCCTTCAGCGCACCGGCCCCATTAAGCATAGCCCTATACCCACCTCCGGACACCGCAATCCCGATCGTTGGAACATCTGACGTATTCGACGAGACCTGCTGCATGTATGCCTTTGCATCGAAACCGGTGATGTTCAGACGGGTGAGGAACGACGTCAGTGGGGAGACGACCTCCTTCTTCCGGGTTTCCAGCCACGCCGTTTCGTTCGGTGAGAGGGTTGATGCGCTGCGGATTGAGGGGCGCACGGAGGGGCAGGGGACGCTTGCGGGGGCGTATTTGTTGGGTGCGTTGGGGAGGGCGCGTGGTGATATACCATAAATGTCGATGTCTATGTCGATGTCATTGTTGAAGAACGGGGTGGCAGACGCACACGCCACGGCGAGGAGGGCGAGGAACTTGGCCTTCACCTTCATCTTCATTGTTTCGACCTCGCAATTCGGCGGTATGCACCAGCAGGAGATCGAGCCTTATACTTACTAGCAGAGGACCCACTCGTAGGGCTGGCCGGTAGGCAGCACAATAACCATAACCGATCGCGGATCGATAGGGGTTTCGGCGCCCGCGGATGGACTCTGCTTTGGAAGGGTTCATTGGGCTCATTCTTTCATTGTGGAGCGGGCATCAGGCAGCTGGATTCAGGCGACCGAACCATTTTATTCATCCTTTCGGGGGAGTTTTTTTGCTCATTCCGTGAAGAGACCTGAGGGTTGCTTTCGCTCGCATGTTCCATGAATCCTACCATACATCCTCGACCTGCTTCACGGATCATGGAACCCCAGCGCCCTTGTAAGGGGGGAAATAAGTTTCACAGACGGAGATATATTGATAGCGTAGATAGCGTACAGTGCGTCTAGCCGATTATATCCCGGCCAGACTGCCAATACATACAGAAGAACGAGGTAAACAACGGCAACTCTCGCCATATTAACAAGGGAACTAGGAGCTGGTTGGCATGCCGTTCACTGGAGGTATATAACTGGCCGTAAATACCGATGAACTGATGTCTACAGTACTCGAGGCATCTAGACGCATGATGGTCTGCAGGCCAATATATCCGAGGCCAAGGTTGTAACCTCCCTTCAATACATGGGAGGCGGAATTGTCGAGGTGCGTTGGTATTGGAAGAGTACTGGGCTATATTAAATACTTACTGCCAGAGCAGACAGTACGAATTATCTAGGCAATCTGTTGTCGAGGGATGTCGGATTAGGGTTTCGAGGATCCCTGAGTGGAACAGCGCCAGTGACACCACGCAGCCAGCCACGTGCATTGCAACTTCCAAGATCGCATGGGCAACCAATCCATCGCTTCTGTGTCCCGTTCAGCGTTTCCGGATCGGACGAGTGCTTGAAGTACATCGGTTTCCGGTTGGAGCGCGTACGGCCAAAGCTCGATCTGAGATACCCGGACCAGGACATGAAGCGATCAAGTTGTACTAGGTGGGCTTGCTACATTTTAGATGGCAACTGCTTGAATGCGAGTCAGAATCGGCCATGGCGCCGCAGTGCTAACAGCCTCAAGCGCAGTTCGACTGCCACCGATGCCGGCATTCGCTGACCAACTCGAACTACTATACTCCTTCACGCAGAAGAAGCTGGTATATGTTCTTCAAGGGATAATCCTTGAGGCTGATGGAAGTCAACGCATCACCGGGTTGAGCATCAGCTCCTCGAAACGATCGGAAGCCCTCATCTTCCATCCAGTCTGACCACAAACCCCGATCACATCTCGTCCAGCGACTTGCTACCGAATCAAAGCCCGGAGGCGAAGGACGCTGTCTGACTGTGCCTTGGGCCTAGTCTTTCAGAGGACCGAGTCGCAATCGCACAGCCCAGAACGAGACGGAAGCATGATCAAGACTGCAGAAAGGCGAGAAATCACCCGGGTTCAGACTACGCACCTCAACGGGGCGTCTAGAACGAGGCTCATCGCTGGGCGCATTTAAGACTCGGCTCTGGCCTCGAGACCAAAGCGTTCCTGTTGTTGCGGATCCAATTAGCAAGGCGGGCCTGATCACGGTCGCTGCGGGGATAGCTTCACGCAATCAACTTGAGAGCATGAGCAGGTAACGCGGGAGACAGATCTGACAAGAGCACGTACATTAGTGCTTTGACAGCCCAGGACCAGTCCAGTATGCCGTTCCTCCACGTGTGCTGCGGCAGTCTTGGGCCCAGCCCTAGCCAGACCAGTGCCAGCGCTAGACCGACGCACGTGGGAGGGACAATGGTGAGCACAGTCAGGACAAGGAATCCTCCTCCTTGTCATTTCATGCCATTGTATCAGACAATAGCATGAAGTTATGAACATGGCTGGTCTATAATTCAACCATTCTGCTCGTCAGACCTTCAACTTGACTGAGCCATCGATCATGTCTCTGTCATGGACTTCTTCTGGCTGAACCTCGACCTGTTTATATAGAGAGAAAGAGAGACCATCTATGGCCGTCCTCCACCAGTATGACTACATCTTCGCGGTCACGACGATCTTCGCCTTCCTCGATGCGTGGAACATAGGTATCGCCCTCCTCCGTACTCTATCCAGCCAGCCAAAATACCCTAACTGACAGCCAGGCGCCAACGATGTCGCCAACTCCTTCGCCTCGTCCGTCTCCTCACGCTCCCTATCCCTCAAACAGGCGCTCCTGATCGCCGCCTGCATGGAGCTGGCCGGGTCCATCAGCGTGGGCTCGCGCGTCGCCGAGACCGTCCGCGAGCGCATCATCGACCCGCACCTGTACGACGCCGAGCCCGCCGTCCTCATGCTCGCCATGATGTGCGCCATCATCGGGTCCTCCATCTTCCTGACCGTCGCGACGCGCTGCGGCCTGCCCGTCAGCACAACGCATTCCATCATCGGCGGCCTCGTCGGGGCGGGGACGGCCTCGGTCGGAATCAGGAATATCCACTGGGGCTGGCATGGCGTTGCGCAGGTCTTTGCGGCGTGGGGGGTCGCGCCGGGGATTGCGGGGGCGCTGGGGGCGATTATGTTCCTGGTCACGAAGCATTTCGTTCTTTCGAGCAGATACGCCGTGCATCGCGCTCTCTTCTCCATTCCGATCTACACCTTCGTTGCGGTCGGGGGGTTGACCATGCTCGTTGTCTGGAAGGGGATCCAGCTTGACGTCGAGCTGAGCGGGATGCAGGTCGCCGTCTCGGTGATCACGGTCGCAACGGGCGTTACACTCCTGCAGATCCTCTTCCTCCTCCCGTACCTCTGGCGCCGCGTCATGAACGAAGACTGGCAGTTGAAATGGCACGATGCCTGGCGCGGCCCGTTCCTCCTCTCGCGCCCTCTCCCCAGCCCACCTCCCCCGGGCCGCAGCAGCCTCAACATAAAAGACTACTACCGCGGCCACCTGACGCAGGAAGAACTCAAGTGCCTCCGCGCGTCGGAGAGTCTCCTGCAATCCATCCAGTCCGCGGGCTACAATGACCCCGAGCGCCTCGAAGGTACGCGCACACCGCCAGTCGAAGGCGTCCCGCCGCGCCCGGTCGGACCCTGGACCAGCTGGGCGGTGATATGGTGGAGCATCCAGCGCGTGCTGTGCCACGGGCTCGAACAGGACGTCATCCAGGCGCAGAAGCGGCAGACCGTCTTGAGCTGGGATATTCAAGACATGCACGCGCGGGCGGCGCGGTACGATAACCGCGCCGAGTACATGTACAGCTCGCTGCAGATCCTCACGGCGGCAACGGCGTCGTTCGTGCACGGGGCCAACGACGTCGCGAATGCGATCGCCCCGTTTGCGACGGCGTATCTTGTCTGGCGGAGTGGGGAGATTGAGAAGGAGGTGCCGGTGCCGACGTGGGTGCTGTAAGTCAGGCAGAACATGAATCATGGATGTATAGCTGACGAGGTAGGGCATTCGGCGGAGGTGCCATCGTGCTTGGGCTGTTGACGTACGGGTACCATCTCATGCGCAACCTGGGGAACCGGCTGACGCTGATGTCGCCGTCGCGCGGGTTCTGCATGGAGCTGAGCAGCGCCATGACGATCTTGATGGCGACGAGGCTGAGACTGCCGGTGTCGACGGTACGCTTCCCCTCTACCATATCGCACCGCTAACAGGCGCAGACACAGTGTATAGCCGGAGCGTCGATCGGCGTCGGACTGGCCAACGGCGACTGGCGGTGCATCAACCTGCGGCTGGTGGCGTGGATCTACTTTGGATGGATCATCACGGTCCCGGTGACGGCGTTGCTGGCGGGCTTGCTGATGGGCTTGATCTTGAATGCGCCGCGGTGGCCTCCAGCTGGGCCCTGACTGGCTGTATCACGGGCCAACGCTGGCTTTCCTGAATGACCAATGAGCAAGAAGTTTGGATATGACGTATGATGCCATGGTATATACCCTCCATACCGTAGGGCATCCCCCAACATCTCCTGTATCCGTATCCTTTACTCCTGCAACACCAACACCATCACCATGTCCTCCGTCACCGGCAGCTGTCTCTGCGCCAGAACCCGCTACCAGACCACGGGGCCTCTCTACGGGCTGTCCTTCTGCTACTGCGCCACCTGCCAGCTCTTCCACGGCGCCCCCTTTGCCCCATTCACCAACGTCAAGCGAGAGCACTTCGAATGGATCCAATCCGACGAACTTGTCGAACTGCGTTTTTCCACCTTCGCGACGCGAACATTCTGCCGCTCGTGCCATGCTCCGATCTCGATGGTGTATGATAGGAATCCGGATGAGGTTGGGCTTGTTGCGGTGACTGTGGAGGGAACAGTCCCGAAGCTCGACAGCCATATTTTTGTCAAACGCAAGCCGGCGTGGTATACGATCGGGGACGATGCACCGCAGGAGATGGGGTTCCCGGACTCGATGAAGGCGTATGTTGATATTGCTTGATTGTTGTTGCCTGCAGCCTTGTGGGTCGCTGTGACATCATGGCCTGTAACCCTTATATACCTCTTCCTGTCCAATTTCACTACAATTATACAATTAGAACAGGTAGAAAAGTCACAATGGACGCCCCCTCACACCCTCTCTCCCGGGCTATCTACAACTTCACCTCCTCATGGTTCCTCATCCCCCAAGGCACCAGCATCCTCGCCGTGATCCTGCACCAGCTGCACTACCAATTCAGCGCCCTGCCCACCCTCGCCAAAATCGTCTGGATCTACGCCATCGTACTGCTATCCCTTTTCCTCGCCATCTACATCACCCGCATAGTCCTCTACCGCCGCCACGTCACGCACGAAATCCGCCACAACGTCGTCGAGGCCTCCTGCCTCGCCAGCGCCCCGATCGCTTTCACCTGCATCATCCAGATGATAACCCTGCAGTACAAAGGACACCCCGGCGCCGAACTAACAGCCTACGTTCTCTGGTGGATCTCTACCTTCCTGTCAATATGCACCGTCATCGGCGTCCCGTATAGTCAGCTGAAAATGCAGCCTTCCGGAATCGAACACATGCCGCCCTCTTTTCTATTGCCCGTAATCTCGATCCTCACGTCCGCGGCTGGCGGCGGCGTGATCAGCTCAAACAGCACGTTCAGCGCCCGTCTCAAGATCCCCGCTATCATTGTGTCTTACATGGAACTCGGCGCCGGAATCGGGTTGGCAACCTGCATCGACGCCTGCATCGTCTACCACCACTTCGACAGAAAGTACCCCCGCTACAGCGAAGCATACCAGGACATGGTATTGTGCGGACCGTTCGGACAAGCAAGTTTCGCGCTGCAGATCCTCGGCAGCGCAGTGAGCAGCAGCTTTGGATCGTATGAGCGCGGTACGCTGTTGACGGAAGCCGCGGCGGGCCCGATCGCCGCCGTGAGCGAGTTTGCGGGTGTGTTGGCGTGGGGGTTCGGGACGTTCTGGTGGATATTGGCCATTCTGAGTATTGTGTATACGCTCAAGGTGCAGAGTGGCGGGTTTCGCAACGTGGCGTTTTCGCTGAGTGCGTGGAGTTTGATTTTCCCGTGGGTGCGTTCGTACCATACCCTGCTTTATTATGGGATTTCGAGGTCAATGGCTAATACGTGCAGGGCGTGTACAACAATGCCGCGGTGCAGCTGGGCAAGCTGATGGATGCGCCGGCGTTCGATGTCTGGTCGACGGTTTTGCTGCTGATGCTTCTTGTGCTGTGGGTGCTGCTGAATGGCCTTACGATCAAGGGGATTGTTACGGGGAAGCTCTTTGGGTTGGAGAGGGGGTGGAGGGTTCCGAAGAGCGAGGGTCAGACTGTTTAGTCTGTGTATATACCTGCATTTGCCTATGGAGGACATAATCGCATGCTTCATGTCATGGACGGTTGCCTTGGATAGACCCGTGACGTTGTAGCAAGCATATGCAACGATAATCACCAGTAGGGCACTACGCTATTAGAAACAAACCCGCGCAGCCTGCGACTGAGGCCTAAGCACCACAAGCATCCTCGAGCCCTTGGTCCGTGCAGAGGCACAATGAACGTGCATGACCGAACCAACCCGGCATTGGACGGCTTCCAAAGCCGACGAGAACCCGCGAGTCATGCGGTGCTGGACATCTGATGCCGTTCTCGCCAAGCACGAGCCAGACAGGGGCCCTACCTCTTGGTTTCTACAGAGACCCGGGGGTCAGGGCACATTCATCACATTCCCATACTCCGTAGGTGGAGAAGCCAATCAGGGTCCTTGGATCGGTCGGGTCAGCATGAGTATATGCGGACGCCGGACTGTACGGAGTAAGTGCAGATCAGCTCATAGAAGCCGTCTCATGACAATGCCATACTGTGCCCTGTCGCCTACGTTAACCTTGGAATGGGGACTAAGGCAGGGATTCCCCGTCAGCGGCAAGATCGATCTGCTCATCGGTGGCCAGATTAGGTTTACGAAGTCCTAATCCGATACTGTCGGGCAATAATGGCGTCCGGTGGCGTGCGAGCCACTCGGAGGGATGGCTGGATGCGGAACTCCCAGAAACTTCAATGTTGGCATGTACCCCAGACGAACCAATCGATCGCAGCATGCCCGTGGGAAAGTTGGCGGACTGCGGCTTACGCACTGCGGTCACGGGCTATTGAACTGTATGGTAAGCACTGCAATGACTGACCATTGAAAAAAGAAAGAGGGCAGGGATGGTTCCCCGGCTCACAGTCACACTCGAGGTCGCTTGTCAAGTTGGCCGGCTGAGGCGTCCCGGTCTCTGCCCCGGCATTTCCGCCATGGTATATAGTCGTCGTCCTCTCCTCGAGGCCTGGCTGTTAGAGATCAGCATCTTTGCTTTTGTCTAGCATGTCCCAATGGAACCGTCAACCTCAACCTCAACAGAAGCCCTCGTCGTCGGCGCCAGCTGGGCCGGCCTCTGGACCCTGCACCTGCTCAAGCGCCGCGGCCTGAACGCCCTCCTCGTCGACGCCTGCGACGACGTCGGCGGAACGTGGTGCTACACGCGGTACCCGGGCTGCCGCGTCGACACCGAGATCCCCCTGTACGAGTTCAGCGAGCCGGATCTGTGGCGCAACTGGACGTGGTCGCAGCGGTTTCCGGCGCGCGGGGAGATCCAGGCGTATGTGTCGTGGGTGGTTGATCGGCTGCAACTGAGGGGTGATATTGTGCTGAGGACGAGGGTGGTGCGGGCGGAGTGGGATGAGGGTCGGAGTGTCTGGGCTGTGGTCTTGTCGAATGGTCGGACCTATCGGACGAGGTACCTTGTTCTTTGTACGGGGTATACGACCGTGCCGTATATACCGGACTTTAGGGGTGTCGGGATATTCAAGAACAGCGTGCATACCTCCGGATGGCGCGATGGCATTGAGTGGAAGGGCAAGCGCGTTGGGGTGATCGGGAGTGCGGCGAGTGGGCTGCAGATCATCGAGACGCTTGGTCCGCAGGTGCAGCATCTGTCTGTCTTCCAGAAGACGCCGAACTTTGCGACCCCAATGCGGCAGAAGGAGTACTCGTCCGCGCAGATGGACGATATGAAGCGTCGATTCTATCCGGAGAAGCTCGGCCAGCGCAACGCCATGACCGGCTTCTATGCGTGCAAGAACCGCGCCACGTTCGATGACGGTCCGGAGGAGAGGGAGCGGTTTTATCAGTCGCTGTGGAATCAAGGAGGCCTTGCGTTCTGGTTTGGCAATTACTCGGACCTGCTGACCTCGCGCGCTGCCAACCGGGAGGCATACAACTTTTGGCGGAGGACCGTCCACCGTCGAGTACGGGATAAGGCGATCGCTGAGAAGCTTGCTCCAGCAAAGCCGCCGCATGCATTCGGTACTAAAAGACCGTCGTTGGAGACTTCCTACTTTGAGACATTCAACCTGCCGAACGTGGAGCTGGTGGATGTCAACGAGGATCCGATCGTGGAGATCACAGCCGAGGGCGTCAAGACCACCTCCAAGTTGCACGGCCTCGACCTCCTGGTCTACGCGACCGGCTTCGATGCACTGACGGGCAGTGCCCTGGCGATCGACATCCTCGGCGTCAACGGGACGCGACTCGGATCGAAATGGGATACGCGGGTTGACGGCAACGGGGTCTCAACGGCGCTCGGTATGATGACCGCGGGCTTTCCTAACTTGTTCTTCCCCATGGGCCCTCAAGCGCCGACGGCATTGGGGTTGAGTCCACAACTGGCCGAGATCCAGGGCGAGTGGATCGTCAACTGCATCGATTATGTCAACAGACAAGGCCTCGAGCGGGTCGAGGCCACGATGGAAGGCGAGGCGCAGTGGAAGCACGAGGTCACGGCGGCGGCGGAGCGCACGCTCTTTGGCGAGACGGACTCGTGGTACATGGGCGTCAACATCCCTAATCGCAGGAAGCAGCCGCTCTGCTACTTTGGTGGGATTGGGAGGTATGTCGAGTGGATTCGGCGGGCGGCGAGTTCGGGGTATCAGGGCTTTGTGCTGTCGTAGTGTTGAGTGAATGATGCTGCGTATAGCGACATTGTTGAATACAATATCTTTCGTTCATAGCCGTTCGTTGATAGTATCTTTTCGTTCATAGCCGGTTGTCTCTTGCGGTATCTTGGTGGGAGTGGCCGAGTGGGCGGTCACAGGGGCCTTGTTTACAGGGCCGTGGGTTCGAATCCCACTCCTACCAAACTCCCACGTCGAAATTTGGCCTCCCTATACAAGGCCTTGATATCCGAGCTCCCCGGAGCCACGACCTCCAGCCCCCCCCCCGGGCTATTACTACCTGCGCCTTCTTACCCGCCCTAAGCCCTAAGAAGGCCTCGAACCACTAATCTTTCTTGGTTAGGAAGATATAACCTCCGCGCCTTATTATAAGGCCTTAAAATCCGCGTTCCCCCTGAGCCTTAATAAAAAAAAACAGTGTAAACAGCCACACGTTGGGATGGTTGCATATAACAGCTCACGAGAATTCGCGAGTGGCTATCTAGGCAATGAATATTGTTAAGGGAACTTAGAATTAGGGGAACTTTGGCCTGTATCTATATTTATCCTAGCGTTAGCCCGCCTCCATACCCCAAGGAAGGTTGGGAAAGGGTGTCAAACCAGCCTTAGTACCCCCGAGGCGTTACTCGTCACTTCGCTGAGCCCGACCGCCTAGGTGGCGGTCGGTCAGCCCCACCCATATGAAAATATTATCTTAATGAAAATTGATTAAACATGAAGCTATTCAGAACTCATTTTCTTAGCCAAAATAGTAGATATTATAAAATAAAATAGATGAGGCTGATTCTTAGGTATACGCGGATCGGCCATACTAATATTAAATTAGTAATATAAAAACTGCGCGAGAAAACGCGTGTTAAACAGGCTGCCTTAATAATTAGCACCATGATAGTAAAACCTTTAAATAATAATATTTTAATAAAATAAAGCCATACAGAGTTCTTGATAGGCTTATTTTAATCCCTAATAAACAGTGCTTTATTTGGTATATTATTAGCCTCCTCCTCCGTTATCTTCCCAATATTTTTGGCTAGTTTTATTCGCTTAGCAGCGTGCGCTTTAAATAGCTTATTAATCTGCTTTCTTTTTTTTTTCTTAACATGCTCCTTCGCATTTTTAACATATAGGAGGTCTGTTATCTTGTTAAATTACTTTTTGGACCTAGGATTATAGCGCTTCTTTAACCTTTTAATAAGTTTCTGGTTTAGTTTCCTCTTTGTTATGGCTAGGCTTTTAAACTAATAAATAACCCCTTAAATAAGGCGCTGGAGTATAGGAGACTTTAGGAGTTTAGGATGCTTTTACTTAATTAATTTAATATTACGGCGCGTTAATTAAACAGTTCTTAGTATTATAGGAAGAGGTGTAGTTTGCTGGGCTGTAAGAGACCTTAAAGCCTTAAGATTAGCCATGCTTTTAATAACACGCTTACTATCCAATATTTATAAAGGCCTTTTTAAAGTTTCTAAAGCGCCTATCTTTTCCAAAACTATATTAAAATTAAATAGCCAAAGGCCAGTTTTATTCCAGCCCTTTTTTATAACCCTTGTAGTCAACGCCTTTATTTAAATTAACTTAATATTATTAAGGAAATGGACCTTGTTATAGTTCTAGCCGTTAAGATAGCTTAGCTTGTTAACATGCTTTTTATAAACCTTTTTAAGCTGCTGAAAAGGGACTAAGTTAAGTGGTTGGAGAAGGTAAGTTAGGTAAGATGGCAAAAAAAGTAATAGAACTTTCTCCTTAGCTACCAGCGCAGCCAATTTGTAAGAGATATGGCTTATATATTAATTAAAGATAAGAAGCTGATATGCTTCTCTTCGGTGTTCTTTAGTTTTTTTATAAAAATGCCTAAACTATTTGTAGTTAAGCTCACGGCTTGTATAGCCAGTTTTACTCTTCTTGATTATGTAGTCATTAGGGAAATTAGTTAGAGAGATCCAGTCCTTTAAGAACACCTGCCCAGGCAAGATTAGGAGCGGAGGAAGGAGTTGGCCAGCCATAGATACACACTCGACTGCTGTAACAAGCTTCCGCTGAGATCTTGAATCTATAGAGGGAACATGATCGGGATAACGCGTGAATATAGTATCCAAAGTTCTCCCCTGGCCTATTCTGAAGCCCGTCTTATCCATATTCCAGATATCTTTATTCTGAATCCCATGGGCTTCGACAACATTGCGGAACTTGCCAAACCAGTGTAGGATGATCCCAGCATTCTCCTTTTCACCCCTTTTTTGTTCCTTCGACACCCGCTTCTTCTTGAAGAACTCCGGATGCTTCTTCATAAAGCGCCCGGCCCAGTTCTTGCCAACTGTAGGTGGTTGAGAGTTGTTTGAATCGCTGGGGTCGAAGCCGATCTGGAGGATCTCGTTCGCAACGCCTTCGATCATCTGGGGGGTCATCGGAGCGCCTAGGTCATCCCATTTCTCGATGAAATCCAATAAGACCTTTTCCTGCGCGTCGTCCATTCGTCTCCCGGCACCCCGGCGTTCGGATTGAGGCCCTATGTCGAAAACGCGTCTTCGTAGGCGTTGGTAATCGACATTCCATATTTTCGCGATTTCGGACAGCAAGACGTTCGGATTATCCGCTTTTTTTTGCATATATTCAGCGAGGGCGTTCTTAATAGCAGATTCATCTTTAGAACGAAGCTCCATCTTAAAAATTGGTGGAGTTGTGGCAATTTGAAGTTAATGGGTTGAACCAAAATCTACGATTTTCATTGAGATGATATTTTCATATGGGTGGGGCTGACCGACCGCCACCTAGGCGGTCGGGCTCAGCGAAGTGACGAGTAAATATCACTACTACTACTACTACTTCTTGCGGTATCTTTCCCTCGGCGAAAAAGCAGTCCAGTATCTGTAAGCGAGGCGGACTCGTTCCAGTGGCGCACTCTACTGCATCCCAAATGTTGTCCAGCAGCAGTAGTTGGTTGATCAAACGACAAACAGGCGTGCATGAACAGCTCAAGAACAAGCCGCATGAAGGAACCGATTATCGAGGCCATCTCGAACTCGAGGAGATGACCTCTTTCCAAGACTGAGGCGAAGTGTCTCTGCAGTTAGCCTTGGAGATAGAAGGAAGCAGAGGATATTAACGATATTGGATGAATATAATCAGCCTTCCCTTGCCACCGCACAATCTCAGCCCTGAGCCCAACGAGGCCCATCCAGGCCCTGGCAGGCTGCCAGACCCTGTTCCAATACCCTGTTCATTACGAACTGGCCAATCAGGCTGCTTAGATGATGGAGCAAGCGGCCCCAGTCCGCTCGTCCCGACAAATCCAGATTCAGGGGTCCAGACTCAACAGCACAGTGACAGAAGTTAGAACCGTTTGACAATACAGAGTCGAGGCAATCAATGCCAGAGCTCAATGCTCGTCCTTGCATCTGCTCTGCACTTTCCCAGTCCCAACGCTCAGGGGCACCGCTGCTCTACTCCGTCCTCCGTATCTGTCTGCACTCTGCACCCTGCTACCCGCTTGGCACGCCAATCCTGCCCCTTTCCAACGGCGTTATTCCCCTTTCAAACGGCGTTATGCCCCTTTCGATCCGCATAGATTAAACCGGCCGTGCTGGCCCAATCAGCCGAGGCGCCTGCAGCCGCCTGTCACTGCGCTGAGGCCCAGGGCCCTTGGTAATGGGGGCCAAAGGTGAGGAACTGCCTGGACCCTGCCGTCTTAAAGGCGACATGTCGCTCGCGCGTGCTTCCCACTGTTTGCGCCCGAAACCCCTGTCTCGCTACCGTTAGTTGAGGCCTCATCTTGCCTACGATACCGCATCACCGTCGACTCGAGATGAGCACCGTCCCCGTCCAGAACAGCAACAGCAACGTCAGTCAAGACGGCAACTGCGGCGCCAACTCCGACTCCAGCGCGACCTGTCTCGGCTCGACCTTTGGCGACTGCTGCTCCGAGAAGGGCTACTGCGGCTCCACGGACGCCTACTGCGCCGTCGGCTGTCAGCTCTCGTTTGGCGAGTGCAACGATGCCAGCGAGCAGACCGTTAGCAACACCGGGTCGTGCGGCGCGACGCTCACCAGTAATGTTACTTGTCTTGGGAGTACTTGGGGCGATTGTTGCTCGGAGAAGGGGTACTGTGGTGGGAATGCGAGTTATTGTGGGACGGGGTGCCAGGCGATGTTTGGGAGTTGTGGGCTTGATGCGACGACGACGGCGGCGACGGTGACATCGACTTCGACTTCGAGTTCGACTTCTTCTTCCGCTTCGAGTTCGAGTTCGAGTACGTCCGCGACGTCGAGTCCGGCTTCTAGTGCGACACCAACCAGCGATCCAGAGGGTAGCGGTGGTGATGGTGGTCTGAGCAAGGGAGCGATTGCAGGAATCAGCGTCGGGTCTGCGGTCGGTGGGCTGGCGATCATCGCGCTGCTGGTTTGGCTGCTGTTCTTCAGGAGGAAGAAGGCGTCTGGGTCGGACGACACGGCGGACCTGGTCAAGCAGCCGGTGCCGGTGTACGGCGAGATGCCGGGACAGGGCATGCACGAGATGGACGGAGGGAGGAAGCCCACGTACGAGATGGAGGCCAGGGCGCCCAATCGAGCGCCGGTCGAGCTGCATGGTTGAGCTGGTCTTGATGTTCGGAGTCTGTGATTTAATGCTTAATATACCCATCTTGTTCGATGTCTTCTCGGTAAACAGCCCATTGCAATCTCTTCCCACAACCCTTCCACGCATCTGGAAACTCCGTCAAGGTCTCTCTGCCGCAGCTGTGCTCGTGCATCCACTGCAGACTCGTCGAGGCTCAGAGGCTAAAGCCGATGGTCGGCGACCAGCACCTTGCTAGCAAGGTCCAAACTCGATAGGCCGCTCCTAGCTCGATATCGCGGCTTGAATCAGTTCCAATGTAGATCGGTCCGTGACTGACACGGTCGGTCAGTCGAATTCCGAGTGGGTCGACAGCAAAAGTATCCATGGGTGGGATGGTTGATCGGAGGCTGCGGTATACCGACCAGAGCACTCGGTACGGTCGCATATTCGCAACGCACGGTTTGGTGGAGTGATATGGTGTTTGTTGGACCTCTGGCAGTGTGTGCTTGCTCTCGACGGACTTGTAGAATGTCTGCTGTTTTCTCTTCCAACCGTCACCAGTGGGGACTGGGTTCGTATAACAGGGTAGTGAAGGGCTCGTTCAAGATATATATTCCAACACTACGGAGACAAGTTCATTGTGAAGAGTCCTCCCGGTCGCTATAAACAGGAATCTTATCCAATCAATCAGTCCTTCGACTGCTACTCCATGCGTCTACATCGCCCTGCCAGCTTTGCTGCAGCTACTGGTTGATTCGTTGCCATTCTGTCCTGTTGTAGGCGAGCGTCAACACCACGACGCCATCGCCAAGTCCAACATTTCGGTCGCGATGATCTGTGCCCACTGCCCAAGTTTAAGATGCTACCTGTCACATCCTGGCAGACACGAGGCAAGCTTGGGCCCGAGGTTCGTGCAGTGCCTCGTGCCAGCGAGGTATCACATTCTATACACGACCCACTCATCATACATTAGATTGCGACGAGAGGCAGAACAAGAGTATCGATACTATCGTAGTTGGACTCTTGGAGACTACCTAATCTAAAGCGACCGAGGATATCGCAAGCAGGAGCCCCGATGGACTGCAATGCCCTATAACGGTCAATGGCAACGAGCCTCCAGACCATCCACCATCACGACTCCACGCGTCTACTCCGTGCTCCATGCAACTTACGGAGAGGAGACAAGGAACGTCACCATGACTCGCATTCTGCAGGCGCTGCGTTGCTTTTTCCGATTTCGATCGATCCTGCGATAAGTCTATCGCTGCCCCATCTGGACTGGAGACTGAGAGTGAGAGTCGAAACTGGAGACTGCAACGAGAGACAAACCTGGCCCGGCGGAAGCTTCATGCTCATGCGCTAGAGAGTGCTAGGGGGCACTATTAAGCGCTAGTTGTTGACTGTTTGTATGTGCGACGAGAGTGGAGGCTGGGTTTGACGTAAACCGTCGAGTGAGACTGCGCCTGGCCGGCTGCCCATGTGATTGTCACGGTGCGTCGCGTATGGAGATGGTGTTGCTGAGGTAGGAGTAGTTATCAAAGGGTAAGGACGCTTGTTGGAGCATCTGAAGCAGTTCGACGTGGTGAGACAGTGAGACAGCAAGGTCCTGACGATGTCGATGCGCACGAAAGGAAGCTGAGCGGCATCTAATCTGATCAGCACACAAGCTTGGGGTGCATGCGCTATCGAAGTTAGAGACGTGGAGATGCAGAGCAGAGTCAGGAGGGCTTCGTCAGTGACTAGTGCTGGCTTAGGGTTATGAGAGTGTGAGACAATGCAGGCAGTCGAGACAATTGGACCAGCAGGTCGTATCTGCAGTCTGCAGTCCATCAAACAGGCCTGCATGAGACAGCCTCCGGCCGATGATTTGTATTCCTGCGACAGCGGGACGGACAGAAGGATCGAGTGGAGGACAGGATAATGGCAGGATCAGCCTCCGATCAGGATCTTGCACGGTCAATCAGGATCAGGAACCGATCATTGTCGAGATTACCCCTGGAGATCGCAGCAGTGGGAACTCCAATTGTCCGCAAAACGTGTTTCCTGCAGCTTTATTCCGAGAATAGTGCCTCTGTGATTGGTGAATCTCCCGGTGGACTCAATAGCGCTGCCGATCTCGATATCGACCCTCACCACTCTAAGTGCCTACCCTACTCTGCTGTGCTTGCAGGCTGTGTCACTGTCACTGAAAATTGGGGCTGATCTTGCCAGCGCTGTGGTTCCCAGCGGACTTGCCAGCCCTCATAAGTCCGCCCTGCCCGGGTCCCTCTTCTGCCACCGGACTCGTTCTCTCCTTCGCTACCGACCAGAGCTCCCATCCTCGTTCGTTCTCCGACCCTTCCATACCTCTCTTCGCCAATACCAACTACATTCCCTCCTTCACCATGGGCTCCGAGCTCGGAATCACCCCCGACACGAAGCCCGCCGCCGTCTACAGCCCCGTCGCCATCTGGTGGGTGGTCTGGGGCTGCCTCTGGACCGCCGTCGTTGCGTCCGGCGTCGTCTTTCTCGTTCTCCGCCGCAACTCGCCCATCCTCCGCGTCCGAAGTCTCTGGCTCTCGCTTGGCGCCATCGGGTTCCTGCACATCTACTTCTGGTCCTGCCAGTTTGGCGTCATGATCGGCCCGCTCATGCCCGGGGATGCCCAGTACTGGATCATGGGCACCTGGTTGCCGTGTGGGCTCGCCCTCTTCCACGGCTCGAACAGCTACTTCCTGCATATCGCCAAGCTGCAGAAGAAGTACGCCAAGTACAGCTTCCTGACCGACTCCACGCCCGATGTCAAGCGCCGCCAGGCCGGCTTCCTCAACAGGTTCCGCCGGATGGAGTACACCACCCGCGTCGTCGTCCTCGTGGGCATCGCCATGTTTGTTCAGGTCCGTTCACATCGCCTCATGCTTGCCCTTTGCTGACCCTGGTAGATCCTCCTCACCGTCCTCATGTGGGTGATTTCGCGCAAGTTCCACCGCGGCTGGGGCGCCCCCGGCACCGAAGTCCACGGCCCCGAGATGGCGCAGAAGGCCGAGCAGGGCCGCGGCTGGGAGTGGTGGCCTGGTGTCTTCTGGCAGTTCTTCTGGTCCTGGGTCGTCGCCCCTCTGGTCCTGTGGAACTCCCGCCACATCCACGACACCCAGGGCTGGCGCTCCCAGACCATCGGCTGTGCCGTGTCGGGCCTGCATGCGACCCCCATGTGGCTCATCGCCCTGTACGTCCCGGCCATGGAGAAGGTCAATGCCGTTTGGATCCCGCCGCAGTGGTATGCCCTGTCGTCCCCGTCCGGAGAAGTCGTCTAATGCATGCCAGGATCTGCATCTCCATCGTCTTCCTCGAGATCTTCACCGTCCTCCTCCCCTGCTGGGAGGTCATGCGCCACCAGTCCCTGCACAAGGACACCCTCGAGGCCATCAAGCAGTGGGAGGCCCGCACCAAGGGCAACAACTCCGACAACAAGTCGCTCGGCTCGACCGCCACCATGGTCGACTCCATGATGTCCGGCTGGAAGTCCAACAGCGACTCGGTGCTCTCCGACAACTCCGCCCGCGAGAGCATCCTCAACATGAGCGCCCTCGAGTACGTCCTCGAGCGCAACCCCACGCCCCTGCAGCGCTTTTCCGCCCTTAACGACTTCTCCGGCGAGAACGTCGCCTTCCTCACCTCCATCACCGAGTGGAAGTCCCTCCTCCCCAAGGCCCTGCTGGAAGGCGACGAGGCGACCGACGACATCACCAAGGAGATGGTCCGCGAGGCCTTCAACCGCGCGCTCTACATCTACGCCGAGTTCATTTCCACCGCCCACGCCGAGTTCCCCGTCAACATTTCCTCTCAGGACCTCAAGAAGCTCGACCTCATCTTCGAAATGCCCGCTCGCATCCTCTACGGCGATGAAAAAGCCGAGGTCGACCCCGCCACCCCATTCAACCAGCCCGGCATGCCCTCGCCCACCTACTCCAACTTCTCCGAGTCCTCCGTCGCCGCCATCAAGAACCGCGCCCAGTACATGGGCGACATCCCCAAGGCTTTCACGGCCGGCGTGTTCGACGACGCAGAGAACAGCATCAAGTACCTCGTCCTCACCAACACGTGGCCCAAGTTCGTCAAGCGCCAGCGGCGCATCTCCACCGACTCGACCGAGACGTTACACGTCGAGGGCAACGCCGACTTCGTGTAGGCATACTATAACGAGGACCCAGCCTCTGCCCGCAGGGAGGCATGTGAAACGCATTGGATGATTGGACCGTCTGCTCTTCTTGTATATATTTCTCTCTCATTCTCACGTCCTAATAATACCCCTGAAGTTGGTTGCGCACATACCCTAATGTTCGTCCCGTGAGCTTGCTATCCTACAGTATGTTTGTATGCTATGTACAGCCTGATCCCATCTTAGGCAGGGCAGGCAGGTCAGTTCTACCTTCCTAGGTAGCCAATCAATGCGGATGGTCCTCGCTCGAATCAAAGTGCTCGCGCGCCCAGGGGCTCTTGTACCGAATCGCCTCGCCCTTGTAGAAGAACACGAACGGGATCGGGACCAGCAGGATCGCTATGAAGCCCAGCAGACTGCTCGCCCACTCGTACCCTAACCGCTCGTACATCTGCGTCGCGAATAAAGGGAATCCAGCGCCGACTACGTTCCGCACCAATATCACCCCTGCTAATGCGCTCGCTGAATACGTCTGGTACCCGTCCACCACGTAGTTCAGGATGCTCAGGATGACGATGTACAATCCCGCGCCGAAGAACGAGGACGCGATAATCGGCACGATCCAGTGTACAGAGCTGTAGCTCGTCCACCCGAACCAGAACAGGCTGATCGGTATAAGCACCGCCCCGCCGCGCGCCATCCACATGCGCGCCTCGGGGACGGATTTCCCGTTGTTTTCAGACACCCGGCGCAGGTAGTACCGTTCCTGCAGCGGCGAGAGAAGGAACGCCAGGATCGGCCCGATTGCCATCCCCAGAAAACACAGTCCCTGCTGGCCCACGTTGAACCCGTGCCCCGTCGGCCCGAAGACGAGCGGGAAGGCCTCGTTGAAGAGGTAGACCAGCCCGTACAGGAAGCCGTTGTACACGGCGGAGAAGGTGGTGATGGGCTCGGTGAAGAGGAAGACGAAGGGGCGGGAGAGGGTGAGGGCGAAGAGTTGGCGCAGGTTCTTGCGCTCTGATGCGTGGAGGTCGTGGGTTGTGTCGCATGAGCGCAGGCCCTCTTTCTCCATGGTCTTGCGGGCCCGCGCGGCTTTGCGCTGCAGGATAATGCTGTGTCGGGTTTCGGGGACGGTCACGGCCAGTAGGATCCAGAAGGCCCCCGTGATGATCATCAGGATCCAGAAGATCCAGCGGAAGCCCAGGTTCAGCCCGATATACCCGCTCATCACCAGCGCCATGGGCGGGCCGAAGGTGCTGCTGAGCCCGTACACGGCCATCGGCCCGCCGCTGTCGTTGCGCTCCCACAGATCGCTCACCGTGCCGCCGGTGTTGGTTAACGGTGCGCCTCCTGCTAAGCCCGCGATGAGCCGGCAGACGATCATGGTCCCGATGTTGGGGGCCAGTGCGAGTGGGAGCTGGAAGAGGCAGACCAGGAACCACGAGACCAGATACACGGGCTGGCGGCCGTAGTACTCGGACAGCGGCGCCAGGAGGACGGGCCCGACGGCGTATCCGAGCACGTACATGGACAGGCAGAGCGTGGTGACTTCGCTGGAGACGCCGAAGTGCTCGGCGATCTCGGGCGCCCCGGATGAGAAGGCGCCGGCGCACCAGGTCGTGACTATATTGAGCATGCTCACGAAGCAGGTGATGTACCACTTGCGCCAGAAGCCCCAGCACCGCGGGTTGTCGCGGTCGTTGGCTCCAAAGGTGATGCTCAAGGGGAGCGCTTCGCCTGGACGGCTGCGGGCGAGAGATAGGGCTTCCTCCTCCGACACCACGGTTGCCTCCTTGACGCTCTCACGGTCGGACATGATGGCTTTGGGAAGAGGAAGAGAGGGAAATGAGGAGAAAGAATTAATAAGAAAGGGAAAGGGTAAAAGCGTAAATGGGGGTTTCGTCATCTCCCCACAGTGGCAACCACAGACAAGCTTTTCCCCAGAAGCTTGTCTCCAATTATTCATCCCCATTACACATCTCTCTGTCTATAGTCTATTCCATTCGTCTAGTCATCCATTCTAATCTATTATCTACAGAAACATAGACTGCCCAACCTTCCACACCGTGGCCACGCCCACCCCCAACCACGCCGCCACCTGCAGAATCGTCATCGCCGAAGCCACCCACAGCACGGCCTCGGACTGCAGCACCTGTCCAATCTTAATCGTGGCAATCACGAACCCGGTGTTGGGGAAAACCATGCTCCAGTACGTCAGCGACATCGGACACCCGCCCTCGCCCCCAAACGCCCGGCACGGCGCCAACATGCTGCAGAGCGCAATGCACAGGCAGAAGAACGCAAGCAGCCAGAGGAATATTGCAACCAATGACGCGAGCGCGAGTGCAATCTGCCCGGTCGCGACGGCTACGTCCGAGGAAGAGGCGGAGGAAGAAATGAGGTAGCCTGCTGGGAACTTCTCCACCGCGGCACTGGCCATCCCGATCAGCGCCAGGCCCGTGAAGCTCCAGGGCCCCACGGCGATGAACATCTTCGGTCGGTCGTCGAGGTCCGGCAGGCCGTCTTTGTTGAGGCTGTAGAAGTACTCCGAGTAGACGAACGTGGACATGGTGAAGCCGAAGCCTTGTAACGTCAAGCCGCCGACGATGATGGGGATCGCGTGCTCGGCGGGCTGGTTCGATGCGATCACCGAGGCGATCGTGCCGCCCAGCATCGCGGGGAAGGAGGGCAGGACGCGCAGGATGGACATGGGCTGGTGGCTGGCCATGTGGCGGTGGTACAGGTACCAGTTGTGGAAGATGGCTTGGAGCAGCGAGACGGCGACGTAGATCCAGAAGACCACGCGCAGGGCGACGATGAGCCACCGTCCGCACGCTTCAGTGCCGTAGCTCGACGCCCCGAGGATGATCGTGGCCACGGTGAGCGGGCATGTCGCGATGAAGTGTGTCTCGTCGGGGTCGCGGAAGGATTCTTTCAGCGCGGAGGGCTGCGAGAGGAAGCGCACGGTCATGCAGAAGGTGATGAAGGACGTCAGGGCGAGGTTGAAGATGTAGACGATCTTGCCAATCGTCTCGAGGCCCGTGAACTGGTGCGGCGTGTTGTACAGCAGCACCGCGATGCCCCCGGTCGCCATCGAGATCGAGTACCATCCCCAGCTGGCTTTGCGGAGGTGGTCGCGGATGGACAGCTGCTTTTCCATTGTCGTGTCTGTAAACAAAGTATCAACAATCAAGTGGAAGACTGCGCAGGGCTGAGGTTTTGGTTGCTGGTGGGCCCACTATGACTCCATCATGATTTCATAGAACAGGAACAGGGAAGCTGGAATTGCTACACTGATTGATAAAGCATCAATCTAGATAGATCTGAACCAGAGTGCGAACAAAGTATTTGATTTCTTTGCATCTTCGATCAGCGAACTACTCCAACACTCCAACTGCCGAGCGACGCCAGGGCCACACAGCCCAGTCCAAATCTCGAAGGAATGCACTACGGAGCCGATCGGTAGATCAGGGCAGCAGCCAATGACTCGTGGAATCAGTCTGGCAGTGTTTGTCATGTCAGATCAGACTCAGATGGGGGATGGGTGTTTGTCACTCGGATGGTATTTGGAATCAGGGCCCGCTGATCGCCAGGGCTAGCATGCAGGGGGATCACCTTCAGCCTTTATCTCTGCTGCATTTCCGGCTGCACTTCTCTCGCACGTCTCACTGTCAAGATACTATGATCGATAACATGGCCACACTCCGAACCGCACGCGTGCTGCTGCAGTCCAGAGACTCGGTCAAATGGCGCCCCAAAGACGCATCAGCTTCAGTCTCCGAGCGGAACCTCGACGCCGTCGAGGCCTTCCACCTGGCCAATGGATTCCACAATGTGCGCAAAGGTCGACGGCGGCTGGACATTACGGTCGCTGTCAAGCTGCGAGTTGATCTAGGCCTCAATATCGACGTCAAGCAGGCCCGCGCTGCGTGGATTGCGCTACGACAGAGACACCCGGCTATTGCATCGACGATACGAGGGTCGAAAAGGGTCCATCGGAAGTTGGGACTGGATCATATCAACATTTGGCTGAATCAGACGTTTGTGACGATTGAGAGTCACGCAGAGGTCACGGCGGAGCTGCTGGATAGCCTGCCTGCGTCGGAGACCGCGGCAATGTACTTCTTATCCGACTCGAATACATTCGCACTGCGCGTACCGCATCATCTCATGGACACTTTGGGCACGGTGATGGTTCTAAACGACTTCCTACAAGAACTCAGCGAGATGGTCATGGGGAAATCAAACAGCGACGACTCACTCTGCACCGAAGAACTCGACGACCTAGCATGCAGTCTCAAAGAAGCCGCATCGCTCCCTTCAGCCTCAGTCTCCCAGCTCGGCCGGTTCTGGAACGTCCGGCGGCACTGGGCGCGGAGTTATCCCTCCGTCGGCGTCATGCCAGACCAGGAAAACCCTCAATCGGGCCTTGCGAGCTGGAGGGACCTCGAGTATTCGCCACTTCTGACTAGAGACTTCGTTACGAAAGCTGGCAAGCATAAGATGACGGTCGCGCATGTGGTCCACGCGGGCGTGGCCTTTGCGTCAAAGGAGTACGGGCCTTTTACGCTGACGAGGAACTACAATACCGTTCTTGTGCTTGACATGCGTCGACCGAAGGATCCATCGCCGAAGAATGCAATTTCCCCGCAGCATGCAATATGGCCCGTTACGATCGACGTCACCACCTTTTGGCGGACGGCAGAGCAGTTGAAAAAGGCATACCAAGACGCGGAGAGCGACCCCGACCTGCCGGCGCTGGTCGAGCCAGCCTTTGCAGAGATCTTCCAGGACCCGCCGTCGTGTCCGACGTTCTACAGCGCGCCGATCGTGGGGAGTTTCGGCAAGATCGATGATTATTTGGGCTCGTCGTATGGCGGGTTTACGGTCGAGGACTTTCATCTCTCGTCGGAATGTTCCGGTGAGGAGATTGTTGTTGCGGTGTGGTCGTACCAGGGCAAGTTGAGGATTAGGCTTATGTTTAATGAGGGCTATCACAGTGTGAAGAGTATGGAGCGGTATCTGAGTACGCTGGAGACGGTGCTTCGAGACGGTGTTGGGGTGTGGAGGTGTCGGGAGTATTGTATAGAATGATGTACATGATAATGAGACGGAGATGCAAGCATTTGGATCAAGGTTCACTAGATCGATCTCTCTTCCGATCCACGGTCCAGCCCGATTCTGCTCAGCGCTGTCGATCAATAGTGCGCCGTCTAGTTCAATAGTCCCAAGCCACGGACCATCTGGCCGGTTCTTCACGAGCCTGGCTACGGACGTACTCCGTATTGAGTCTATCACGAGCTGTCCGTTGCACAAATCAAGATAGTCTATACACCATGTTGGGTCCTTTGTACTGTTAACCTGACTCCCCAACCCCAACCCCAACCCCCGACACCTCCCTGCAAATCCCCAACAACTCCTCCTGCTTCTCGACCTTGCCAGCCCCAGGATGGGCAGACTCCTCGCCGCTCGTCGTGAAGAACGCACCGCTCTTCAGACTCGCCAGGGGCCCCTTTCCGACCGCCCACTCGGCCAGTGCTTTGGCCGGCTTGTCTGAGCCGCCGGGCGCCATGCTGCCTCCCATTTTGGTCCGTACCCAGCCGGGGTGCATACTGACGACCTGGATTTCATTCCCCCACCGTCGCGCGAATGCGTTTGCGAGCATCACGTCGTGCAGCTTGCTGTTTCCGTACGAGTGGGACTGTGTGGCGTTTTTCAAGCTCTCGTCGCCGCCGTAGTGGCTGTCCGAGCTCATGTAGAGAAGTCGGGACTTTGGCCGCTCCATCAAGCAGGTCAGGATGTACGGGGCTAAGGTGTTGACAGCAAAGACGGCTGAGATCTTGTCCTTGGTGATCTCCTGGCTGGAGGTTCCGCCGTAGCCGATGCCCGCGTTGTGGATGACCGTGTCGAATGGCGATAGCTTATTTGCCTCCTCTGCTAGTTTCTTCGTTTCCGCAATCGAACTCAAGTCGCCGACTAGGACTGTCTCTGCTTTTGGGACGGCTTTGTGTGCTGATGCGGCGCGGTCTGCATTCCGGGCGTGCAGGACGACCGAGTGGCCTTGCTCGGAGAGGAGTTTGGCGGCAGCTTGCCCAATGCCGTCGCTGGAGCCGGTGATGAAGATACGTGCCATGGTTGATGGTCCAGGATATGTGTTTGTTCTGGAAGTAAGATAAAAGCGTCGTCGTTGATATAACCCTCAGGGCCCTGATGTCATATGACGTCAACAGACAGGGGAGGGTTAGGGCTTCATCTCGGTCTTCTTTGCGATTGATAGGAGATTGTCGTTCAGTCATACGGCGACTCTGATCAACATAATCTTGTGGGGAGATCGGGGAGGAAACAAGTTTGCACCATGGAAAACGCGCTCGAGCGAATATATATCAGCCACTCCTGGAAGACATATAGATGATGGGAGTATCTCTGCCTACAGTAAGCCTTCTGACACAGGCCGGTAGACTTGGAGAGGTTTACCGAGCCTCTCATTCACCCCCGAACATAGAACTCTCCATGCAATCTCTAGATTCATAGCAAATCTGCATGAGTCCCCTCCGGATCGGCCGAATTCCCCCGAATTCCCCGACATTCCAATGGCACAAGTCAGAGTATTTAGGATTTATATTTTAGGAAAATGAGAGGCTCTATCCGATCTCAATCCACTATGCTACATAAATATTAAAATGACCACCTAAATGCTCCCCTACGACCTCAAGTCCACAGTCCTAATTCCCACCTCCCCTAAGCCTACTGCTCTACAAGACCTGCTTCCTCCGCGACGGCAAAGTCGACGCCACACTTGCCTACGATACCTCCAGGATGAACGGCTGGGATGCACAGTGGCTGACCACATATGGTCGCTACCAGCGCTCCATTATCACCCGCAGACCCATAAAGTCATGGTCGTGCTGTCTGGACCGGGACGGATTCGGTGCGGCACGGCGGATCTTTTTGATCATCCGATAAAGCATACATGTGAGATAGCCGGAGTTGATTACGAGAATTCGAGCTTCTATGTTGATGTTGATGCGGGGGATTGCTTTGTGATTCTTTCTGGGTGTGTGCACAACTCGTTTGACTTGACCTCGCCTTCGGAGAAGCCAATGTGTTTTATTGGAGGCGGGGCTCATAAGGTTGAGTCGGAAAGCCCAAGGAAGATGGATGGCGAGTTGCAGGTGTCTGGATTCACCATAATGAGGGCTTATTCTAGAGGGTCTACCTGATGGTATGCGGAGGCGGGAGCTCATGTAGGACGATACGAGGAGGTTTGGGCAGTCAACATTCCCGGCTTGGACCCAGTTCTGGGAGAGAAGGGTGGGATTAGCAGTTACTGGATGGGAAGAGAAGCGTCTCTATAAGTTGATGTATCTCGGGGAGCTGCATATGACTACTTATGAATACGCATTTCCTCTCGCTGCCTGTCCTAGCACCGCTTCAAGAGAAATTCAAATCAAACTCATAACCGATCCATTGTCATTAAGCTATCTACTGCAACCCAACGCCAGCCCACCTAAAGTCCACACACTCCGAAAATATCAGCTCGCCGAGACCCCTTCTAACTCACGCTTTGTGTCGACTGTTGACAGCCTCTGCTCGTGCATGTGCAGCATCGTTGTGATGACCCACTCCGCCTGAATCTCTGAGATTAAGGGGCCGTTCGCGAATGCAGCCAGGCTTTGAGGGCCGTACAGGAAGAAGAAATCGGGAAAGTCGGGCATTTCCCTGGCCAGGAACGTTCGGGTCTGGATGGCCCATTCGTTGTTGGGCGTTCCCGATACCATGGAAATTGAATCGCAACGCACTGCCGGTGACGACGTCAAAGCCCGTTGCGAGAATCAAGGCGTCAAGCCCAATCATTGAGCCGTCCTTCATCCCGATTCCGTGGGGCATGGCACGCGAATGGGGTTCTTGTTCAGTGTCACCAGCTGCACGTTGTCTTGTTTGAAGACCTCGTAGAATCGCTGCTCGAGAGGCAGCCGCTTCGTCCCAAATGGATGCGCCGGCTTCATAGGGGCAAGATTCTCAATCACTTCGGACCATGTCGCGCCAGAAGCAGTAGATTAGGTTGGGTGGTTGGATTCGAGGTCCGTCATGAAACCGGCATAGTTGGCGTGAGCTGGGGCGAACCCTCCTTGCGCCCGTAGTTTCTCATACAGTGCAATATGTTGTTTTTGGTATCGTCGGCTGCTTTGCGGTTTACGCGTGGGTGGTCGGAGCCGATTATGGACGAGTGTATACTGCTGACGAGTTCTGTGTAGGTGAATTTCCAAGGTTATTGACGGGGGTCTTTAGGGCTCGCTGCCGTTTGGGAAGGGCGTAGCTGCAGTACAACGACTTTGCCCGCCTTGGTACTTTGTTTGTGGGTGCTTGATGGGTACCTATTTGCGAGTCTTCACCTGAACCACGTGGATATCCCTGCTAATAAATCCATCTCGGGCCATATTTGGCATTTTGCTCAAGTTTGTCCATAGCTCGCGAGGCTCCAAGCACCTTACTGCCAGCACTTTCATCACTGGGAAACCTGGTTTAGCTGCAACCTTGTGGTCGCTGTCCCGGCCAATCTTCATCCCAGCGGTATGCCCATCTTCAATGACCTCGCGTCTTTTAACGGTGCTTTGTTTGTGACTCTCATTTCATTCCAACTCATGGGTTGCATGTGGCTGTATGGTAATTGGAGACCCGGCGGGCAGCAGCCGAGGATGAAGTGGAGGCTGCAGGTCTTCTGGAGTATATTGGCCGTTTGAACATGTTTGAATTGTTGCTGGGTCAGCTGGAACGTACAATGGAAAAAACCCAAGCTTTGAAACCCGATCCACAACTCTGCCAAGAACAGATACGACTATCCAAGTACCTCGTCATGGAGAAAGAAAACATGGATTAAAGACAGAGATAGTAGAGCCAGCCCTGGACTGAGGGCAGGCAAACACGCTGGGATCTGCTACCAGCCATGCATCTGGTTCCACCAACCCATCGGATGGTTCATCTCGAACCAGGACTCGCGCGGCGATGGGGAGCGCGAGCGCTTACGCTTGGCTGAAGCTAGGGCTCGAGCATCGGCCTCCTCTTTAGCCTTGCGCTGTTTCTCCTCTTCTTCCTTCTCGGTATCGCGGATGCCCACGAATTCAAAGATATCTGGCGCTTCTGGAGCATCTTTATAGTCCTTGACAGGAACAAAGTCGCGACTGGCTCGTACCTTCAAATGGTTGCTGTTGAGGAACTGAATGGCAAGCCCTTTGCGATGATAATAAGTTTGCATTTGCTGATACTCCAGAGTTGCGTGCTTTGGAGGGAAGAAGGCCTCGAAAGTGTGGTCGAATTGAGCGTCACCGAGATAGGCACGACAATTCATGGCGAGGTTTGTCTGATGCCCAGCCGGCGGTGGATGAGGTGGATAGCACTCGCCTGCATCTGACAACTCGAGATATGTCGGCTCATAGGACTCGGAGTCGTAGCAAAACTTGATGTAGTCTGAAGAGTAGAGGCGGAAGTAGTTGGTGGTGGTGGTGTGGAATTTGAGAGTTCCAGATCGCTTCTTTCTACCCCTCTCAAGCCTGGATTTGAATGATTCAAACACACGTTGAACCTGTTGTTCCTTGTCCGCGTCAATAGCAAGCTGCTCGTTCATGGCTTTCCGTTCGCGGAGCTCCCATTTCCGTTCATTGCGTTGATTTTTGAGGTCATAGTAGTGGTCATCATCCTCGTCCTCATCCTTATCCTCATCTTTGGCCTTGTCCTCGTCCTCATTCTCCTCTCCAGTCCCCTTTTCAGGCTCCTCACCCTCGTCACTCTCGTCACCCTCGTCACTCTCGTCACTCTCGTCACTCTCGTCACTCTCCAAGTCAGTGAGGTCTTCATCGAAGTCCTCAGGGCGGACCTCCCTATCTAGTTTAGCAAGGCGGTGGTACGATGCTGGAAATGTATGACTTCTAGAGGCCATGATGTTGAGAGATGCTTTGCTGGAGTTTGGGGAGCTGTGAGTGTTGTGTTGATGATGAATGCAGGGGCTGGCTGTGAAAACCCAGCGGTCACGTGCTCCGGCTTTGGGCACGCGCTGGAGGACCTCTCGACCACGCACTCTCGGCCTCGACCAGAACATATACTCAATGCACCAAGGAATTACTGAGCACATTGGCGTAAGGCCAGCCCGTAATCTCTTTCCCAGCAAGAGATGATTGCATTCAGACGGAGGGTGTCGACAGGACGACAAACTCATGACAGACTAAAGGGTGCACTACTGCCCTCCCACCCCAGTCGAGCAAGAGCCACCCTAACATTGAAATCTACCCTAGTTTGGCCATGGTACTTGACTGAAGACCTAGTGAGGCACATTGATTTGGGCACAGCAAAGCGGTGTGCCGCCATGATATCTGCATGCATTAAGGAAGTCATTGACCGAGGGGTCGCCCTTTGGTGTGATGCAACTGCTTCAATCTCAATCGACGTAGCCGATGCAGCATTGATGGATGAAATACTGCCCGTTCGGACAGAGGCTGGACTGTTGCTCTTGTGGGAGCCGTACTGAAGGTCCCAGACTTTTAACAAGAACTACCGCTAGGACGTGGATTTGGAAATGCATGATAGACGGTGTGAAGGAGGCGTACTATAGTTAATACTGAATCGGCGGCGCTACACAGAAAGGAAGCTTGAAGCTCGAACGCTGTGAGGTGTTCAATACTGTGGTAACGTCTGGTGAAGGCCGGTTTTGACCTATTGATACCTCACAGCAAATGTGTCTTTACAGACATTTCGGCGGTTGTCCCACATTCATTGGACTAGGGTTGATATCTGTGATATAAAGGTATACAGGACGATCGACGGGCTTCATGGCACGTAGCACAAGCTCCAAAGCTGGTGCAGTCAGCAGCAGGGCACCCCAGTAACATTGATGGCTGTCGGTAATCGCCACTGCAGTGTTTTATCTACTCGCTGAAAAATAGCCAGCTATACGCGAAGTTATCAGATATGGCGGTTGTAGATTCAGCGGGTCTGATAAATGACTCTGAGCCCAAAACCTAATGCCTCCGTTCCATCATTACCTCGACACCCTTTCCAGCCCATTCATAACCTAGCCAACCCCGCTCACTTTCCAAAAACCTTCAACTCAACATACCGCGCCGGGGCATAAATAACCGCCGTAACCACAAACGTCAACTCATTCGCGACATCGCCGCCCGCAGCCCCAAAGACCTTGGCCAGGGGACCGACAAACCACGTCTCCGACATCCCCATGCACCACGCCACCACACCAATCAAGAAAGCCGAGGCCGCTGCAATGCCCACCGGTAACCTGGCCGGATCGTTCCACCCCTCCAGGTCGTAGTTGTCGAAGTTGCCCCGCCGGAAGAGGTAGTGCTCTTCGAAGAGGATGACAACGTAGCTGGTGCACCAGTACCCTAGCAGGGAGAGGAAGTCTTGCAGGTACTCGTTGAGCTTGGCGCGGCCGCCGATGGCAAGGGCTAGGATGCAGGCGAAGCAGAAGAGCGTCCAGAGGAAGCGCGGGATGCGGGCGAAGGGGCGGGAGAGTTGTTGGAAGGAGATGGCGGCGCTGTAGATGCTGATGACGTTTTGGTTGATGCCGGAGAGGACGAGAAGGGTGAGCAGGAATTTGGCAAAGCCGCGGGGGTGCAGCATGGCTTGGATGAGGTAGCCAAGGCCTTGGTCTTCGTAGGTTGATTGCCAGTCGGGTCGGTTGGTGTTGAAGGCCGAGGAGACGACGCAGCCGGCGATCATGCCGATCGAGGTGGGGATGCCGATGCCAAAGGTGGTCATGAAGAAGACCTTGACTCGGCTGACGTTGGCTGGGTAGTGAACGTAGTAGTCGCTGGCCATCGTTGCCCAGGAAGCGCTGGAGCCGTAGACAACGGCGATCAGGCTGAGGACTGAGCCCGAGAGGCTGAGACCACTGGCAGTGGGATGGCTCGTATTGTCGGCGTATGGACCGGTTTCGCCGAAGATGATGAGGAAGATGATAAAGAAGACGATCCAGGCGTATCGCTCATAGACAACGATGGCGTTCAGACCGACAAAGGAGATGATCAAGGCCACGACGGCTAGGATGACAATGCCCAGGATAAGAGAGACGTGCCCATCAGACACAGCAGTTAAAGCCAAACCGCCAGTAATGCACGAGACAGCGGCCCAACCCATCTGCTGGATGCTGTTGAGGAGGGCAATCAGCTTGTTGGGCCACCAGCCGAAGCTGTACCGGCTCACACTGATCTGGCGCAGACCCGTCGCAGCACCAAAGGTGGCCGAGTAACCGGTCAAGGCACCACCGAGCAGCGAGGCGAAGATGGTGATGACAATGGACTGGCGCAGAGTGAGGCCAAACTCCCAGCCCAGGAAGCCGGTCGCGAAACAGGAGGTGTTCATGGTGCTACTGGCCCAGAGCAGGGCCATGGTCAGCTCTTCATGCCAAGGGACTGGTTTCTTGTCTTCGGCACGTTTGCGATCGATGGCGGAAGATTCAAGGCCGAGTTTCTCGTCCAGGCGAGCTTCAAAGCGACGCAGCCAGGACAGGATGCCTGTGCCTGAGGCATCGTCGACAGCGTCGGTGGAGCTGGCATCGGCGGGGGCGCTGGCGGCGTAAACGCCCTTTTCTGGGTCAGCGACCATGTTTGAGTTGATTATATGCAGTTAAGACAACGTCAGAGGGTCATGTCGAGGAATGATGCTGGGGAGAGGATGGTTAAGAGGCAACAGAAAAAATCGGTTATCTCCGAAGCTTGACACGCTTGGGAAAAGCTTGAGTGGAGGTGGATTCAGGCAGGGCCAATCAGAGGCTGCAGAGTTATCTGGCAGCGGGGCAGCCTCGTGCTTATCTATTTGCAGATTCAAAATGGTTGTGCAGGATGCAGAGGATCGGAATTGAGACGGCGTAGATAGGGTAGAGGGTTATCAACCTTGCTGTACACCACAGTTTCAGTCCTCACTACAACGGCACACCCTTCGAGCCTCTAAAAGGATTCTGCCTAGGGAAATACTTCCTATCATGACCGTCCTCCGCCTCCGCCTCGTCTCTGCTCTCTTCAACAATACGCACCTCTGTCGCCTTCTGGATCCTCATCCCATCCTGGTCCAGAATATTCTCTTGGCTCGAGCCCCGTTCCTCCGCAGCCACTGTCTCAAACAGCGAGGCGTCTGGCAATCGTCGGAGGCGGATGGGAGGAGGCTTCGGCTCGGATTTTCCGCTGCGGTGGGTGGAGGAGTCGTAGTAGGAGGGGCGTCTGTGGAAGATGGCGACGTAGGCTTGCGGTAGGGTTGGCAGGGTTGCGCAGATGATGATCACGTACATCTGGATCACATTAGAAGGAGACTGTCCTGGGAACCGGAGCAAGCCTACCTCGACTCTGGTGAAGTCAGCAGCTGGACCTGAACGCTGGGGAGGGTATACTTACGAGTACCATGTTGTGATCGGGGCCCAGGACCCTGTTGTCCAGTCAGGAACTATCTCTCTGCACGGTACACTCAGTGAAGCTCACATGTTATATCCGCATGCTCCGGTAAGCTTTTCAGGAGAATGCATTTCACGAGTGTTGCCGCCGCCGCACTGTGGGCTTGAGTCAGTACTTCATATGTCCCTCTCGCTTTTCGATAGGGAGAATCCACAAAATACCGGCGCCTAGGATGGCGATAATACCGATCTTTTTATACCTGGCCAGCTGAACCTTTCGAAAGATCCAAACTGGGAAGATCGCAAGCGAGAGGTCGGCGAAGGCGTTGAATGCTGACCAAGGCCAGTGTCAGCATCAAGACATCTGTACCTAGGATTGGTTTCTGACCTGCTTGTGACGTCCCACCTACAAGCTGCAACTTCAGTGAAAAGCAAGAACCTGGCGTGTCGGGCAGCCAAATCTTCTTCGCTGGCCGACAAAAGCCAATGATGACGATGATGGCGAAGACATTCCATATGATTGAAACCACTGTAAGAATGTACAGGTACCAACACTGCCAGGGAGAAGCCGACCGCCCCATCAGTCGAAGGAGGAAGATTGCGACGGATATCTTCCCTGTCGTCGTACTAACCACAGAGAAGTTGGGAGCAATCACCGTGTACTTGGCGGCCTGGACGCGATGATCGGGGTCGCTGATGTCGCTTGTATGCATCCCCAGCCCGTAGTAAACCGCAACCTGTGCAAGGGCTGAACAGACAATGGCACTTAACTGTGCGGGACACCCATATAAGCTCTGCTGTAATGCATGATGGGGAAAGGACATACCAAGGAAAGAGCGATGAAAAAATCATCCCAACCCAGCTGACGGGTCACAAAGGTGCGAGTGTAAAGTCGGACTCCGACAATCACAATGCAGAGGCTGCCCAGTGTCCAGGAGACAGCCACAATACTCAAAGACTGGTCCTGCACCATGGTGAAGGACTGAGATATAGGATGCCCACACCATACCTGCGCTCATGGCGACATTTCCTGAGGAGGGGCGTCCTTATGTAGAATAAATCGGATGCAGGATGACTGGGGCGGATGCGAAGCCAACGGGCCAGTGGCCAAAAGAACCTGACACCTGCATGTACAGGGCAGTTAGTCTGGCGACGGCGTGACGGCATTCAACACCGTTTCCTGTCAAGTGGGGGGTGCTACCAGCATTGGGTCTCGCCCGTCCCCCAGGCCATCCGAGTCTCGCGATAATAAAGACTCAGTCCACTTCATGAGGCCTCCAAGCAAGTCACCAGCCGCGGGTTTATACGGAGTACCCACATATGTAGTGGATAGATTGACGGCAATCATGCCATATTCAAATGGCGCTCAACGGTCTCAGGCCCATCCTCTCTTTGGAACCTTTCCCGCTGTCAACCCGATGTCGATCTTGATTTCCCCGGGCCGATCCCTGCACTGTCCACCAACTAGAGGCGCCGAGATGCACAGGGCGCTGCGACCTCCACATGGTTCATGCGCTATACACACGGAACGGGTCCCATCTTCCAAGCGGCGTGGATTATATGGCGGCCGGACGACGGAGAGTTGGAGTAGGTATCTTGCTGATATATTGCGGCGCAGCTCTTGGGTGTAATAGGGGGTGATTAGACTACGTGGCTCACAGGAGCTCATCTTGCCCGAGAAATTCCCTGCATTTGCTCATTCATCGCACCTTGTAACCAAGAGTTCTCGTTCAACGATCTTGCAATGTCATTGTCAAACATCATCAACAACACCAATGGTGCGAACGGCGCGGCACACGATCCTCTTGACAGCCTTTTGGAAAGCGTAACGGCATCCGTACACGCCTTCAAGACCGGGAGGCAGGAGCGAGACCGCGTAGCTGCCCTCAAAGCAGCCCAGGAGCTGGTCCGATCTCTGCACCAACCCAAGGACAATGTCTATCATCTGGTTTACTCGGTACTGACTTTCCTCTCCTGCATCAACGTGAATACCGGATTTCTAATCACGAGCGGCACTTTTAGCCAACACAAGCCATGTGCGTCCGCATGGGGATTGACTTGGAGATCTTCACGACGCTTAGCAAGAGCACGGAGCCATTGTCTCTCAAGGACCTTGCGGCTGTCAAGGGCGCCAATCCCCTCATTACTGGTGAGCTCATCTTTTGCTTGTCAATGAACGACCGTAGGTCAAATTCTGATATCGCGCAACAGAACGCATTCTTCGGGTTCTTGCCGGGATTGGTTATGTCGAGGAACATGATGTCCACCTCTACAAGGCGACACGTATGACACAGCAGATGGCTGATCGGGACAGTGTCGCAGTGGTAAAGTTCATGTAAGGCACCTCAGCATCCTATGAATCATACATTCCTCCACTAATATCCTTTCCCACGGGCAGCTACGACTATGGCATGTCAACTGTGGCCAAGATCCCCGAGTTCCTCCGAAGCCATAACTACCAGTTTGTCGACGGGCTTACCTCCGGGCCCTGGAACTATGCGATGGGCCATGAGGAGGTGATATGGAACTGGTTCGGCGCTGACCCGGAACGGCTTGATGTCTCGAGTAGCTTTATGGAGGCGGATCGCGGCAGTCGGCCCAGTTGGGTAGAGTGGTGCTCGCTTCCTGCACAGCTGGTTAAGACCTTTGATGATACTTCGAAGGATGTCTTTATGGTCGATGTGGCGGGAGGAAGGGGTCATGATCTCAGGACGTTCATGGACAAGTTCCCTGATGTCAAGGGGAACTTTATCCTTGAAGACATGGGGCATGTTATCGAGCAGAGTGTCGAGGGACTGCAGGCCGAGAAGATTGCGTTTGATTTATTCAGAGAACAGCCGATTAAGGGTAAGCATACTTGCTGCTGGAAAGCGTACGCTAATGACCGGCCAGGGGCGCATGTTTACTACATGAAATTTATCCTCCACGACTGGTCCGACGACCAATGCCACCAAATCCTCACACGTATCGGGGAGGCCATGCGCCCCGGCTCAAAACTTATTATCGAGGAATTCATCCTCCCAGAGAAGGACTGTCCCATGCTCTCAGCCATGTGGGATTGGGAGATGATGGTCTTCTGCAACAGTTTGGAGCGGTCGGAGACTCATTGGACGAAGGTCCTGAGTGAGGCTGGATTCACAGCAAAGTTCTATTATCCCCCAGGGGATGGACAGGTGAGTTTCGTGCGGAACCGCGGGCTGTTCATTCTTCCATACTCACCTCGTTTGAACAGGGAATTATCGAGGCGGAGTTGAAATAGCCTTTTTCCAGTGGCATATATTTCTCATTAAAATTCATCAATTCAGTAGACTGGAGCGCAACTATTAGAGCTTGGATAACAATGTCCCATGGAATGTAAAAGCAGCAGTCAATCAATAGAGGTAGGGCTTCTTATCAGCGTGGCACTCCACCTCCATTTCTTCTGGGAGCGTCCCATGCAGCATGTACGCCCGCCCAATCTCGTCCGTGCACTGTGATCGGTCCCATCTGGAGGTGTGTCCATAGCCGTGATGCACAATAAGCCTTGCATTGTCGCCCATCTCCTCTGCCAACCTCCTTGCATTCCGCAGTGGCGTGGCCGGATCATACGTTGTGCTGATCAACAACATGGGGTTCTTGAGATTATGATCCAAGTCGCCTCGGTACATTTCTGCAGGCTTGGACCAGTACTTGCTGTAGTGTTGGCATTGGAATACATCGAAAAAGCGAGAATTGCCGGCGATCCAGCTCTGGTCGGTCATTGATTCCCAGAGACGGGACCACCACTCCAGTCCGTCCTCCGGCGGAGGTGCATCGTATGAATCGGAGCAAATGACGGCAAGGCCAAGCTCTACCGTCGAGGGGTGATGTCTGGAGGGCGACGCCGAGGGATCATAGTTCCAGAGCTCATTGAGGCGGATTGCTGCTAGGGTGCTGTTTCCTTGTTCCAGGTCGTAGAGCACTTCTGCCGCAGCTGGCCATTGGTTGGGATCATAGAGGATTGTGTAGATGCCTTCCACCAGCTGTGAGTAAGTGGCAAGCGAGGGGCCGCTTTGTTCGGTATATGCAGGGATTGGTCGGCTCTTGAGTGATTGCAGGAGATCATTTATCCTAGCCTCTAGCTGTGGGAGGGTGACTGATGCGTTGGTTTTGGTGTACCGGGCTAAGGCGCACGCTTCAGGTCCAGCGTTGATACATTCACCGAGAAACCCATCTCGCCAGATGTCGGTGCTGTTGTCTAGCGAGGTCCACGCATACCCGCCCAGCAGCCGGTGATCCTTGACATATTCCACGCCATCGAGGATCATCCTTCCAACGCTGTGCGGGAACATGTTGGCAAAGGTCTGCGCGATGCCAGTCCCGTAGCTCACAAAGTACCCCGTCACCTCGTCCTCGCCCAGGGCTTTGCGGATCTCCTCGAGATCCCGCGCGACAGACGCTGTACTGAGGAAGCGGCCAAAGTCGCCCAGGCGCTGTCGACAGCTGTTGAACTTTGCGTCGTTCATCGCATCCATGATCTGAAGCTGCCGCTCCGGATCTGATACCTGGCGATGCTGATTTGTGACAAGCGCCCACCGATCCCGGTCCGCATTGTTTGGATAGCAGGACACGCTTGGAAGCGAGATGTTTACACCGCGAGGGTCCCATCCCAGCACATCAAACTGCCCGTCACTGAACCGCTTGGTCGTCTCTTCAGCCGCGCTCCACACGTAGCTCGTCCCACTCCCGCCCGGGCCCCCGGGCTCGATGATGATCGTGCGAGCGCTCTTGCGGCCAGCATGAGAAGATGAATTGGCGGAGTCCAGGAGGGAGAGGCCGGAGACCTGGTACTTTGTTACAGCGATCCGGACGATTCTCGTGTCCGAGTGATTACGATAGTCAAGCGGCAGGTCCAGGTAGCCACAGAGGTAAATCCCAAGGGCAGAGAACAGACCTTCGTTCTCCCCGTTGGGCTCACCCCAGTTCCAATGCGCAGGATCCGGATCGAACAATGAAGTCCAGGTGTCTAGAGGGGTCGGGTCTTCCAACGGTGGCGGGAGACTGGTGTTTGTGCATGGGATGAAGTGAAATGGGTCATCCTCCGATGGAAACTGACCGTACTGTGAATCACCGTCCGAGGCAACCAAGGAGGGAGTGAGGAAAGGATAACTACGATCTGAATGAGAATGACAAAGAGTCGTTAAACCTACCAGGCCTACACAGAGTGCCAGGGCAGGGTGGGCGTGAAGAAGGCCGGATGAATGAGGCATCTTGCTTGGGCATGGGGTGATGGCAATGCGAGAATACGAAAGGACGAGCAGGAGGCGAGATTAAGTAGTCCACGTTGTCAGCGAGCTCTCAAAGCAAGCTCTCCAAAGCCCCAATTGCAGCGCAACATTGCGTCGTACCCTTGCTGCCTATACTCTGGTCCATGAATATACAGGCCTGCCTTCTTTCACAGTCACTACATATGTTCAGATCTAGGTAACAGCTTTCTCGTCCCGTCCCTTTTATTGCGGGTTAGCAGGCAACAGTGTGTCAGTTTATGTACAACCAATGAGATCGGTGTCCATGCATGTCTTCATCTATGTACCATGAATAGAAGTTGAGAACCCGTGGCTCGAAGCTTGTATTCGATATATATTCCAGTTTCACAAATGCAATGACCCTCTGCATCCGGATTTCATGTATGATCTCTATCACGTCTAAACCTCGAGTCCCCCCTCCTCAGCAGTGTCCTTCTCCGTAGGCTTCGTCTCCTTGTCCTTCTCTGTCTCGATGCCCGCAGCCTTAACCTGTTCAACCTTTTGCAGCACCCATGCATCTGCCCGTTCTATCGCACTCCCCGGAGACGTGCTGTTCTGAAGTAGAAAGCCTTGTATATCAGCAGGAGAGAGCATATCCTCGGGGATCTTGTCCGCAAACGCATCGGTGGATGCCCTAAGTGGAGCCTCCTTGCCAGATGGTTCGTCCGTGATACCAAAGAAATTCCAAAACATCTTCTTTGTCAGTTCTCGATCCGCCAGCTTGAACTTGATCTGATAGTCCACGCGACCTGGCCGGATGAGCGCTGGGTCGAGGCGCTGCAGATGGTTGGTCGTCATAATCAGCACCCTTCCCTCCTGCGCAGCAACTCCATCAAGCAGATTCAACAGTGATGACAGTGTCATCTCGTTCTTTCCCTCGCGATTCGGTTCCGTCGTTTCTTCCGACCGCCGACCGGCAACTTCGTACGAGTCCACGTCCTCGAGCAACACGAGGCATTTGCGCGGGAGTTTCTGGAACAGCTGCACAAGGCCATCCTCGGTGATCTGGCGCGACCCGAGGCTGAGAATGTACACGTTCAGCCCCAGATATCCTGCCGCTGCGAAGGCGAGACTCGACTTTCCCGTTCCTGGTGGTCCGTAGAACATGTAGCCCCGGCGGTAGGGAATGCCTCGATCACTATACCATCTCCTGGTAGATGGCTGGAGATAGCGCTGCACGTCCGCGAGGAAGGTTTGCTTTGCGTCCTCATCCAAGTACACCGTTGACAAGGGTCTCGCCGGACGAGAGGTCGTTCGCGTCCAGAGGAACTCGTCCCCATAAGGCCCCTTCGTGCCGCGATAGATCACGGTCTTGCCATTTTCCTTCTGCGCGAAGCACACGCGCGCCTCCGCCATGAGCTGTTTTAAGATTGAGGGGTCCCAGCCCAAGCATGAGATGCGCATCACCTCCGTTCGGGTCATCATCTGAGCCTGACGCTCTTCAACTTCCCTTGTCAACGCGAGATAGCGACCAGCATATCTGAAATAATGTGTTCCCGTGCATGGCGACCACAGCAGACGGCGCGTGTTCGCAATTGCGTCGCTCGCCGAGCCTGGATCTGCGCTGTCCTCATCCTCGGCATCCGAAAAGTCCATTTCCCCCTCTTCATCCCTAGACCCAAACCAGTCTGACGCTCCAGCAGTCAGACTCGTGCTCGCGATCAGGCGGTTCTTGTTGCGATCGAACCGCTGCTTCATCAGCCAATACAGGAGGTAGTTGTACGCCTCATCGTGCGAGTAGACCTCGATGCTGGAGTAGAGATAATCCAGTGGGATGCCGCCATATTGATCGACGAGCGCTTTGAATATAAAGGAGCCGACAGCAAAGGAGGAGAAGTAGAGAAGGTTCTTCTGGGAGTTGAAGTCCATTGTTTGACCGATTCGTTGAGTGAGAGAGAAGAGGGAAGGGGGCGCCGCCGGAACCTGGGAAAATCGCCAAGGGACGCTGTGTTGCTGCCTAAGCAGCGGCTGAAAATAAAATGAAACCCACGATTGGGTTAACAAGATGTACGCTGATATCAGCATGCAGCAGCTTGTGCGACGTGACCCTGGAAGACGAGAACCCCAAGCAGGACGATCAAGTCCCGGTGCCGGTATAAGGCCCTTTGAATACCGTGCAAAGGAAAGCTGTTAATTAAATAGATACTAGAAAATTAAATAAGAAACACAATAATATTTAAAAGCTAAAGCTAACTAGGGTTTATATAAATAATTTAAGCTTTTAAAAATAATAAAAATTTTAAATACTTTTATTAATACTTTATAATATTTAAAAAACTATAAATATTATAGTTATACAAGCAAGTAATTTAATAGTAAGTATTATAATATTTTAATTAAAATTACTTAAGGTATTTAAGTGCTATTAAAGCACTATAATATTTTTTTATTAAATTAAATAAACTTTATTATTAGCTAACACGCCCCCTTAATACCTACTTACTTTTAAATTAATTAAAAATAAGGCTAGAAATATTTATTAAACCTAATATTTTAATAAATTTTTAGTATTATTACTTAATAAATACCTTTATAAGGCTATTTATAATTATTTAGTTAATAAGGGTTTATTTAATATAAAAATTTTTATATTAAACTTCCTGCCTAAATTATAAATTATAAATATTAATATAATAAAGCTTTAAGTAAAGTTATATATTAATATTAATAAAAATATTAATTATTTATTTATTATTATATTAAATTAAAAGYTAGTATTAAAAATTAAATTATATAGCTTTAAAAATTTTTTACTACTAGTATATTACTTTAAAGGCCTTAGTAAAAGTAAGTAACTTTACCTTAGTAATAAAAATAATAATTAAGTATTACTTTATAGCCTTTTATTTAATTAAATTTTTATATAGCTTGTAAATATAGCCTACGTTAAAAAATTAATTAAAGTAATTTATAAATATTATATTAAAGTATAACTTATAAATTTTATATTTTTTAATAAAAACCTTATTCCTAAAGCTATTTAAACTAAAGTATTTAAAAGTAAAAAAGCATGTATTATAAAAATAAAAAATAAGTTAATTTATTATATATTAATAATAATTTATAAGATTAATAAGGTATTTTAATAAGTAGCTTATTATATAAAAAATATTTAAATAAGTAAGGGTACTAGTATATTTAATAAATTTAATTTTTAACCTTATTTTTTTAATATTTTTAAAAATAATTATATTAAAGTTTAAATAAAGCTTGCTAGGTAATAAAAGTAGGGTAAAAAGTAATTAAATTATAGTATTTAAGTAAAATTAATTTATAATAACTTTAATATAAAAATTTTAAAAAAGCTAGAGCTTGCGCTAAGGCTTATTTTAAAAAATTTAAATTTTTAAAAATTATTTAGCTTTATTAAAATACTAAAGCTTGTACTTTGCTAAAAGTTTTTTTTTTAAAAATAGCTATTATAAAGCAGCCTTGCTTAATAAAAAGGTTTATAAAAATAAGATTATTTATATATACTAAAAAAATTATTAACTTACTAGTAAAAAGGTATTTTTTTTAGGTATTATAATAAAGCTAAATTTATATAAGGTAGTAGCTAAATTAAATTATTAAAAATAAAAAAACTTTTTAAGGTTATAAATAGCTTTAAAAGCTTTTAAAAGCTTTTTTTTTTACTTATAGCTATTTAAAAATTAAAAATATATAAGTTTATTAAGTTTTATATTAAAAAAGGTATTAATAATATTATACTACCTTATATTTATATTAAAAAAGGTAATAAGTATTATAATAACTTAAAAAAAATAGGTAAAGGCTATAGCTACTTAATTATTTTTATAGTTAATTAATTTAAAATTTTTATATATATAAATTTAAGCTTTAGCCTTAAAAAAGTAGCTATTTATATTAAATTTATATATAAATATTTATAATAAGAAAATTAATTTATTTAAACCTGCTTTTTATTTATTAACTACCTTTTATGCTTTTATTTTTTTAAGTTTATTTAATTTAAGATTAATAGCTCTAAAAAACGCATTTTTAAGTAAATAATTTTTAAGATTTTTTTAGTACTTGGGAGAAGGCGGTAATTTATTTTAATAAAGATGTTTTTTTTTAGGGTTTTAATAAAAAGTAAAAAAGGTAAATTATATATAGTTATAAAAAGTAAAATTAAAAGTAATTATAATAATAGTATAGCTTGCATAGCTTGTTAAAATACTTAAATAAAATTTAAAGTTTTTTTAATTACTTTAAGGTGCTGGCCTTTATTTAGTTAATTATTTAAAAAAAATAACAAGTTTAATTCTTGGTTTTTTGCCTTTTTTTATATTTTTAGTAATAAAATAAATAGGAGTTTAGGAGCGGGCTTGCTTTACTTTATATAATAATTATTAACTAGCTAGGTTTAAAAATAAATTTTTTTAAGTTTAAAAGCATGTAACCTATTATAAAGGCTATAATAACTTATTAAAAAAATTAATTAATATTAATTTTTATATAAAAATTTTATAATAGTAAGGTTTTAAAGTAAGGTTTAAAATAAAAAAAGGTAGTAAGCCTTTTAATAAATTAAAGGCCTTAGTTTTACTAAAATTAGGCCTAGGTATAACCTTATATCTAGATTTTTTTTTATTTTTATTTTTTTTAATACTTTTATTTTTAAATATTTTTACCACCCTTAGCTTGCTTGTTATTGGAATATTCTTGTTTTTTTTTTTTTTTTTAAATTTAGTAAAGTTTAAATTTAAGTTTATATTTTTAATAATACAGCAGTAAGAGGGCGGTTTAAAAATATTAACTAGTGGTTTAAAAAAATTAATTTAAAAATTAATAGTAAAAAATAGTTCTTGTGAATTATAAAGCCGGGATTTATTAAAAATAATATTTTTATAAGCTTTAACACGCTAATTTTAAAAAAACTAGATTTACTAAATATTTAAGGCTTAATAACTTATAAAATATTTAAGTAAGGCCCTTAGCTTTATTTTATAAAAGCCTTTTTTTTAGGATTTTTTTGCCTAGGAAAAATACCTAATAATTTAAATGCTTAAAATATAAGGCTTTTTACTAGTAAGTTTTTTTTATAAAGTTATTTAATTAATAGCTTTAACAAGAATTTAATTATTAATATAAGCTACTATTTTAATAATCCAGGGTTATATATTAAGCAAAATATTTTTATATAAAATTATTATTTTAACTTTTTAAATTAAAATGCCTTTAAAGCGCTTGGCTATATTATTTTAAAATAAAAAGTATAAAGTAGACTAGTTTTAAAAAATGCCTTTAAAGGTAGCAAAGTTAGGAATATTATTATTAAAAATAGGTTTATTATTATTAAATAGGAACTTTAAAATAATACCATAATAGTTTTATATAAATTATATAAATTACTTAATAATATTTTTATAATTACTTTTAAGCTAGTAAGTATAGGCCCAGTGTATTTTAAAAAATTTATTATAAAAATAAATTACTTATTAATCTTTATTTATTACTAGCTTTATAAAAATAAGATTAATATAAATATAAATAAATAGCTTAATAATTAATTTTTTAGGCTATTTAAATATTTATTAAGAAGCCTAACTAACCTAGTAAGTATTATAATACTTAGATAGTTAAAAATTAAAAATATTAACCCCTTATATTATTATAGGAAGATGCTTAAGCACTTTATTATTAATATATTTTAGGCATTAGTAAAAAGCTTTAAAATTTTTTTAAAGCTATACTTTTTAAGTTAAAATTTTAACTTTTTATTAAGTTAGAGCATTAGCCTTTTCTAGCTTTAAAAAGCTTTTTTTAGCTTTATTATTTAAAGGCCTAAGAAATAATTTTTAAGGTAAAAAACTGGTTTATTATTTTTAAGTATAAGGGTGTTAAAATTTTAGGTATATTTAGCTTTTTAAAAAGGCCTTGCTACCATAATATTAAGGTAAAATTTAAAAGTATATATAACTTTATATAATATAAATAGTATAATCCCTTTATTAAATACTTTTAAATAAATAAAAACTAATTTATAGCCTTATATAGCTATAGTTATATTTTTAGCTTAAATATTACTATTTTAAAAGTAATTTAAAAAGGTAAAATAATTAAAATTATTATAAATATAAATAAAGGCACCGGTATTAAAAATAAAGGTATTTTAAAGTTTTAAATTACTTAAAATACTAAATACTAAGGCTGCTTTATAATATTTTTTAGGAACTATAAACTACGCGTTTTCCTAGCTATTTTACTAAGCTTTTTAATTTTTAATATTTTTTTTTTATTTTTAAAAAGCTTGGTATTTTTAACCTTTAACTTTTAAAGCTTTTTACTATATTTATTATTTTTTTAAGTGCTTTGCTAATCTTTTTTTTTAGTTTTTTATTTATTTTATAGGACTTTAAATAGTATAAATATATAAAGTTATAGTAAAACTTTATAACATACTTATATTTATAAAAATAAATTAGTTTATTATTAATTAATGCCTAAAAAGGTTTATTAGTAAAAAAACCTTTAATATTTAAATTACTAGTAAAGGGCTAATTTAACTTTTTAGTAAGTGTAGTAAAGGCTATTCCTTTTATAAAGGTTTTAGTAAAGCCATTAGTAATAAAAAAATATTATTAAAACTTAAAAATAAAGGTAAAATAATTAATTTTATTAGGTTTTTTATAATTTAATTAATCTGCATGGCGCTCCGCATAAGCTATTAAGTATTTACTAATAATTTTTAAAAATACTATATTAGCTATTTTATTATTAGCCTTAGGTTACTTAAGGTGTAAAATTTTTTAATAAGCATGCTTATAATTTTAAAGTTACTAGGTAACTTTTTTTTATTAAATTAGTATAGTAAGGGTAATAATATAGCTATTAAAGGCCTTAAATTTAATTTTAAAATTAATAAAAGTAAGTTACTACTTTAATTTAATAAAAACCTTTATAATAAGCTTATTTTTAATAAGTTACTAAATAAAAAGCATAATTAACTTTTATATAATATTATTAATATTTTAAATTTTTAAAAAAACATGCTTAGCGTGATTTTATTTTTAATTAAATATTTTAAATACCTTTTTATTAGCATTATTTTTAGGGAGTTAAAAAAGCTTAAGAAAAGGAGTTTAGTAAGTTACTTTTAAATTAAAATACTTTTAAACTTTTATAATAATTATAATACATAAAATATAGCTATATTATACTAGCTAGTTTTTTTTAAATTTTAAAAAAACTATTATATTTAAAATATTAGTAGTAAAGCTTATAATAACTTTTAGATTAATAAATTAAGTATAAAAATTAAAATTTAATTAATATTTAATTTCCTAGGTGCAAAAAATAATTAACTATAAAAAGCCTTTATATAATAAAAGGGCTGGTACTTAGGGGATATAAATAGCTTTAAAAAGTTTAAAAAAGGTAAGAAAATTTAATAAACTAGATTATTAAGTAATTCTCCGGGCTTATAAYTATAAGGCCCTTTAAATATTATATAAAAAAAAGCTATTAATTAAATAAATACTAAAAAATTAAATAAAAAATATAATAATATTTAAAAGCTAGAGTTAACTAGGGTTTATATAAATAATTTAAGCTTTTAAAAATAGTAAAAATTTTAAATATTTTTATTAATACTTTATAATATTTAAAAAACTATAAATATTATAGTTATATAGGCAAGTAATTTAGTGGTAGGCGTTGCAGTATTTTAATTAAGACTGCCTAAGGCGCCTGAGCGCTGTTAAAGCGCTGCAGCGCTTCCTTATTGAACTAAGCGAACTCCACCATTGGCTGACAGCCGGTCTCTGCCCCCAAAACTGCAAATCCGCTACGAAGATTGGGCGGGATTACTGAACAAGACTCATGTCTTGAGGCACTCAGTTCGCACATGACGGTTTGCTTTACTCATCTCAAGGTTCTCCTGTATGTATTCTTCTTCGCTTGTAGGTCCTGTTTCTACTTTGTCCGTTCACAAAATCTCGTAACCCAAAACATCCTCTGACGGTGATCTCAATGATCACTTTGCGCAAGAGGAAATCCTATGGGCACGTATCATCCTCGTACTCCGTTGTCGATAGACCTGAAGCTGCTTCACTTCAGTTGGAATAATAGTACTCCTGGCTCGCGGGAGACGTATAAAGCGCCTTTCTCAAGGGGCTCTCAAATAAATCCCGAATTTCATCCAGCTCGTAGTCAGCGTTGATGGCCAGCTGTAGCATGATTCGCGCCTGGTCGCCGCCGATATAGCTCGCGTAGATACTGTACAGCCATCAGCAAATGTTTCCTGAAGATGCGAGGAGTGCCGGCCGTACACCGCGTTTGGATAAAGATCCGGTACCCCAGTGCCGGTGACTGGTCGCGCGACTGCCACCGTTGGGATACCCTTCGCATAGAGGCCTTCTGCGGCTTCGCGGGCAGAAGGGCTTAGCGCTGCAGCCCCGGGGCCAAATATGACGAGCCCTCTGAACAATGGGTTAGTATAAACCATGGGCTGAATGTCGGAGAAACGTACTTTGCGCCATTTGCGACAGCGGCGTACATCAGGGATGCGTCAAAGCCCTCTGTATTAATAGAATTGTATCAGCCTCCGGTCGACGTTGGAAGGGCTTATCGGACTCACGATGGCCGTGGAGAATAATCACAGACGGCAGCTCAACTGTGTCAGAGACGTTGAAATGGGGTCGTCCTGTGGGAAACGACGGGCCGAAATAATAGTAGGGTTGACCTCCAAGGAATGCACCGAGGGTCCCTTGCTCGATGGCCTTGAAGGTGTCTGGAGTGTTGGCGTTGACTTTTGTGGAGTAGTAGATCGAGGTGATCCTGGTCAAGACATGTTAGTAATTTACCATACGGGACAGGCTTGTGAACGGTCTACTTGTCATTGAACGCAATGAGCCCTCCACGGTTTCGGGAAGAGGGAGCAGAAGCGGCGGCAACGGCTTGGAAGAAGTTCGAACGGCCATCAGGGGAGATATAGCTGTCTGGCCGCATGGCTCCCGTGGCAATAAACGGCTTCGAGCAGTTAAAGGTCAAATCGACTCCAAATGCCTGGTTAATGTTGGTCAACGGCGCCTAAGCCCACTATAATTAACATGACTCACCGTCTCTTCCAGTGTGTTGGTCCCATGGAACATGATCGCTCCAGTAATGTCCGAGTCCACATCACATAGGTACTTGTTCAGGTGCTGGGTGATGTTGAGGTACAGGGACGAGTTGAGCCCTGCACTGCCACCGCTAGCAGGAAACTCAATCACAGCAAGCTGAGCGACATCAAGTACCTCTGGGACTGTATCGATCAGGTCAAGAGCCGAAGGGCCATCCCCAGCTCCGTAGTGGATGTTGTCAAGACGACTGTAGTTGGAGGCTGATAGAATGGTACCACCGGCACTGCATATCAAGACTTTGGGTAGGGTTTCGTTTTTGCTGATCCAGTCGAGCCCTGACGCTGAGCAAGAGCCCAGGCCTATCGCCGTCGAGACTACGGAGCTGAGCTTCATCTTAGGCCCGCAGTTGGAAACTGGCAAAGGTGTGCCTTGGACCTTACCGGCGTAGTTATCGTATCATATATACCAAACATGTTGGAGATGCCCAGCCGGCCAAGCACTGTGCTATCTCCGCGATACCCGGTCAGCATCCTTATCATCTTGCTTTTTCGTTTCGTTATGACTCGATGGTGATTTGTCTTATCTGCTTACCCCAACTACCCCAACTACGCCCCAACCTTTTCTGGGCCATGGCTACGTATTGTTCCAGCCACCCTATATCGTATCAAGCCATAGCCACTTGCAAGACGGCCGTTTCGCGGATGCCGTTTTATCTTAATGCCTGTATCCCTCTTTGTACCGGCCTAGATATGCTGAAAGGCTTTTGATCATCAACATCCCTGAACTGCTTAATTCCCGTCGCCCCATCCGTGCGCGATAGACCCGGGACGCTTGCTTAGCATTCAGATATGCTTCCGGCCCGGGGCAGGGCGGCGTGTGCTGAATTCAGGCTTACTTTCTGTATTTGCCGTGGCACGCTACTTCAGGTTCAACCATTTTATTTACTGTTTCGTCCCAAGCTTCTCCGGGAGGAAGATTTGCAGAACACAAGAGACAAAGTCAAATAGCCAGCAATGTTCAACAATCTAGGAGGCGCTCCTAGAGCCGTCGCCGCTGGGGGCCAGGCTTAGGGGCCTCCTCCCTGGAGCGGTCGCTCGCGGCCAACAATATACCTCCTGAAAAGACCAATTAGAGTCATGGTATTGCTGTAGCCCGAATACAGCATACCGAGTCAGAGCAGTCAAATCCGAACAATGCAATCCCATAAAGTAGTCTACTTTTATAATCCATCCAAAGCACAAGTTGATTGCTACCTAGATTTTTAGTTGCATTAAGATGGTTCCCCTATCCCTAAGGAAACATCCTAACCTGTAGGCCATGTTGATATCGCTCATCTGCAGGCAGCTCATGCGGCATTCGCCTTCTAGCCGCTATGGACTGGACAGAAAATAATCCTTGCGCGAGAACCAAAGGTAAGTGTGTTTGTGAAAGTTGTGGCTAGGGTAAAAACACGTCCCTTTAGAGAGAGTGATAGAAAGTTATGTCCATGGATGCACAATGGGCAAGCTCTTATTTACAAGGACCTCTACCACTCTATACTATTTATTGAATTCATTATCTCTAGCCTGTCCGAAATATGATATCATAAGATCTTGTTTACCCTAGGACCAGTGATACATCCTCCAAGTCCTGCTCCTCCCAAGCCCGCGACTCAACAGACCCAATACCTCGACGATACGCAACGCCCTCCTCCCACTCTACCCACAGCACAGTGTACGTTTCATACACCCGCGGTGGATCAAGGTACATATCCCGTTCTTTATCATAGGCCAACACGTACATTTTCTGTCGATTGATGGCAACAAGCTCAATGCGTCTCCCCAGCTCGTCCCTCCTGCCCAACGTATTGCGTTCTGCATGCATGTGTGTTTCTGAGACTCCTTCAGCTTCTGGTGGAAACGCGGGAATCTCCCGTGTCTCCTTTTTGAGCTGCAGCTGCAACGCCCCAATCCGCTGACCGGATCTGTTAACAATGTACAGGGATCCGTATTTCCTGTCGCGGCGGGCCCAGAGGAAGGAGCGCTTTGTTGTGCAGAAGAGGTAGGGTGTTTGTTCCGGCATCGTAAAGGCAGCTGGAGGGGACGACCTCATATCTGCAACTGGGATTGGATGGAACCAAGAGTCAAGCAGATTGGAATTTTGCCCCGAGCTTTCTTTATATGTCAGCTTTCGATGCTTGTAGTGGTACCTGCCGCATCCCTCGGGGTAGTTGTACTCAACCCCCTTGGTCCGCGTATTGGTAAGCGTGTACGCGTGCCCCTCGTGCCTCGTCCAGCCCAGGGGCAATGGACGAGTGTGATCCTTGATGGCATCTCGGTTCTCAAACCACGTGGAGCGCACACGGCGCATGGGGGAGCCGCTGGGTGTCCGTGAGGTATACCATTCCGTGATGGGGAACGTCTCGGCCAAGGGCCATCCAGCATTGTCGTCGATCCTGCTCGCCTCGCGCGCTGGCCAGCTCACTTCCCCCTGCCACCCGATCCATGACCAGGATGGCAAGGATGACTCCGGCAGCGCGCTGGTCGTGCTGGTGGCATTAGGTAGAGTGCGTGGGGTGCGTCGCCGACTGCCTGCCCCTTTCCAGGCGGGATGCCAACCCAGCGCGCGATCGAAGAACATTTCGGGCAGGCCGTAGAGAAAGGCGCCGGTGAACGAACGGGTGAATACGGAGAGTAGGCCAGTTAGAGCAGGGAGCGCATCCTGGTCATACGCCAAGTTTCGGGTGTTGTATGATGAGATGACCCTTTCTAGCGAACCGAGCTCGGGGAACCCGGCTAGGATTACCTGCAAGCGTGGGGCGGGATGGGGGAGGAATGATTGTGAGATGTTTGTTCCCGGTGTCTGGTCCTCGTGCCAGATGGCGTGCTCGCATTCCCAGTGTAGCTGTTTCTCGAAGAAGAGTACCTTCCTCGGAGACATCAGGTACTCTTGGTAGGTCCAGCCCCTGCTATGATAGACTGGATAGATAAGAGGGTTTGTGTCCCGCACGGCAATCCGCTCTTTGCTGCCGAATGGCAAGACGGGCTGGTTGATATTGCGAGAAGTGGAGATATTTTCCAGGCCCAGGAGACCTTCCTGCGCATCCTCATCTGCTGCAACAACGGTGAGCACAGCGTTGGCGTAGATTGCGCTCATGAGCTTCAGCTGCGCTGCCGTGGCCGCGACATCGCCGTGAACGATACAGAGCACGTCAGTCCAGAGGTAGCGCTCACCAATGACGGAGGCCAGCGCCATTGCATGTCGGATTGTCGGTGGGATATTGCCCCAGAATTCAGGCTCTGAGATTGCGTGAGGTTGTTGCAGTAATACTAACTTCTCAGAATTCATAATGAAGCCGGGGTACCGGCCTAACGTGTAACTCAGCGCGACAAACCTCTTCCCCGCAGAGCCGGATACAAGGCATTTGTTGTCGAGGTCAATCAGCCAGGCCGGCCCCGTTGGCAAAGGGACTTGTTGTATTGCATGCCCGCACTTGGGTCCGTGCAATGTGCGGCATCGGCCTCGCCACTGGTTTATGAGGCCAATGTCCACCCAGTCGGCATTGAGGATACAGCCTGTTCCGATGTGGTCGGGGTCGGATTCCTTGTTCACGAGTACAAGCTCCCACGTCAGATCAGGGAGCGGAATACCTTGGGGGCATAGAGACACTGCCCCGGGTTTGATCTTGGCGGATAGTCGGATGGGAAGGTCATCATAGGATAAAGGGAGCATGGCATTCCGGTAAGCATTCAGCAGAGGCGAATGTCCGAGACAAGTGGTGTCGGCCAGAGCAGCAAGAGGTCCCAGGTCAAGCTCGAGACGGTCATTGTCCTTGGTGAGGAATACCTGCATGATCTTGTGGCAGAGGTCGCAAGCGGTGCCATCCATTGACCGCGTTGGTAACCATTCCTCCATCCGGATAGCTCGAGGATATCAAGTCCCCGAGGGGATGTTGGATCCGTGGATGCAATGTTTGAGACTCAAGGTTGATGCGAATATGTACAAGGAGCGGGGTAACACGGCGGGGCTTAGCAGGCATTCTCGATGCAGCTAGAGGGTTAAGGTGACCTGGGCTATTCCAAAGGCTTATATAAGCCTTTATTATATAATTTTTAAGTTTTAGCGGTCACATAACCCATAAATATTAAAAAAATTTTACCATGTATTTAACCTTTTTTATTTTTTTTATAATATTTTAGTATTATTAAAATATTATTAATATTATAAATTATAAGTTAACTTAATAAAATTATAAATATTAATTACTTTTTAAGCCCTTAAAAACTAGTTAAGTTATTTTTTAATATATTTTAATTACTTATTTATTACTTTAAAAATAATACTAATAGTACCTTAAATATAGTTTTAAAAAAAATATATAGTACCTGCCTTATAAAATTATAAGTTTTTTTTTAAGTTTTTTTTAAATACTTATAAAGGGCTTGGTATTTACCCCTTTTTTTATTTTATTAAAAAATTAATTTTTTAAGTTTACTTTTACCTTTTACTTATTTTATTATAAAGTACTTAATAAGCGCTTTTAAATTACTTACTAATTACTTAATTTTTTATTTATTAAAAAATTAATTTCCTAAGTTTACTTTTATTTTTTACTTATTTTATTATAAAGTACTTAACAAGCACTTTTAAACTACTTATTTATTATTTAATTTTTTATTTATTAAAAAATTAATTTTTTAAATTTATTTTTATTTTTTACTTACTTTATTATAAAGTACTTAACAAGCACTTTTAAACTACTTGCTAACTACTTAAATTTATAACTATAAATTTTATAATTTTTTATATTTTCTATATTTTTTATATTTTTTTATTTAATTATTTATTAATTACTTATTAATTACTTAGTTAATTATAGGAAAAAATAGCTATATTATTATTTATCTTTAAAAAAAGTTTTACTATATTAAAAACTATATATTTATTATTATAAGTACTTAATAATTACTTATTAATTACTTATTTTTATAATTTTTTACAAAAGGCTATAACCTTAAAGCGCATGTTTATAATTATAGTTTAAATATTAAAAAGTTAAAAGGCGGTAATATAGCCACCAAGAATATTATTAAAATAATTAATAAGTATTTATTAATTACTTATAAATTACTTAGTTATTACTAATCCCCTTAATATTTTTTAAGTTTTTTTTAATAATATTTCCCCTTTTTTTATTATTAACAGCGCTGCAAGTAGTTTATAAGTAATTATTTAATAATTAGCTTTTTTTATTACTAGCAAGAGATTTTTTAAGCCCCCCTTTTTTTATAATATAAAGAAAACTATAAGTATTTATTAATTACTTATTAATTACTTGCTACTTACTTAAAAACTTATATTATAAATATAAAAAAAAAGTTAAAAAAAATAGGCTATAAAATACTATATACTACTTATAATAATTTTAAAATATATTATTAAAATTTAAAGGGACCCTGTAAAAATTTTACCTTTTTTAATTATAAAAATTTAACTTTTTATATAAGTGCTTTTTAACTACTTATTAATTACTTACTTTTTAACTTTAAGTATTAGCCCACCATAACGCCCTTGCTAAAAAAAAGGTAAGTACCCTTTTAACTACTTATTAATTACTTATTAACTATTTATAAAAAACCTTTTCCCCCTATTTTTCCCCTTATATAAAAACACGCATGTAAATAATTAATAATAAAAAAAAAAGTAAGTACTAGCTATCTACTTTTTGAGCGCTTGCTAATTACTAATTATTTATAGGTTATTATTAAAACTAGCTTTAAAAAAAGTTAAATAAAAAGTAAAAAAAATAAACCTAAAGATAAGTGCTTGCTAACTACTTATTAATTACTTATTAATTATAATAAAACGCGCATAATAATAATACTAGTAAAAAATTTTTTAATATAGCTAGTAGTAATTAAGTTTTAATTATGTTATTACTATTATGGTGTTATAACTGCGTAGTGTTATAATAATATAATCTAGCGGCCTAAGGCCGCCAGGCGGAGGAACTTTAATACTAAACTAGCCGTGTGTTAAGGTAGTGGCTAGTTATATAATATATAAAATACTAAGTTTAACTTAAAACTTTAACTTAAAAAATTAATAATTAATTTTTATTATATATATATAATACCTTTTTTATTATAGTAATTTATATTTTTTAAGCTTACTATAGTATATAAACATAACTTATAATTTTAATTACTTTTTTTAAAAAAAAAACCTATTTTATATAATAACTAGGTAATAAACTTAATCCCAGGAACTAATAAATAATATTTTAAAAAAATAATTATAAATCCTAACTTAATAATTAATTAATATGCCTAAAAAAAATTTATAAACTTTTAATTAAAAAATCCTAAGGGCGCCCCTGTTATTAAATCCTAAATTATATAAAAAAATATTAAAATATAAAATGCCTGCCCAGGGGTAAAAAAACAAAAGTAATAAAAAATTATTAAAAAATTATAGGTAATATTAAATATAATTTTAGTAAAAAAAAAGGAATTATAGAAATAAGAATGTTATAAAAAAATGCTAATAAATCCATGCCTAAATTAAAAAGGCACACTAATAAATTATAATAGCTAAAGCTAATTAATAAATATATAATATACCTATTTAATTTATTAAGTAATTAATAGCCCCGTGCTAAATAAACTTTAATAACCTTGTAATTTTAAAAAAAAACTATTAAAGGGGTTATAATAATAATAATAATATTTAAAAAAAAACTTTTTAAAAAAATTACTATCCGTAAAACCATACTAGGCAAATAATATTAAAAAATTTAATAATTAAAAATTAAATATAAAAACATACTTTAAAACCTTTTTAACCTACTACCTAAATAATAGCTATAAAATATTTGAATTTATTAAATTTTTAGTAAAGAACTATAAACAGGAATGGTTTAATATTTATAAAATAAAAATTATATTTACTTAAAAAGAATTTTTTAATATGCTAGTTAAGATAATTAATAACAAGATAATATTAGTTAATAATTTATTAATTAAATAGGGTAATATAAAGTAGTAACCATGGTAAATTATTAGGTAATTTATATAATTACTAAATTAAATTAAAAAATACCTAACCCAGAGGTGGTGCGGGTTTATAGTGTAATTGTATTGGCGGCCGATTGTTAATTAGTTAGATTTTAAAAATTTTGATTGCAAACCTTCAAAATTAGAGACTATAAATTAATTAGGTGGATATAAATAAATTTGCTTTAAATTTAAAAGGTAAATAAAGTTAATAATTAAATTTAGTTTGCGAAAGTTTTAAAGCAATTATAATATAAATTAAGGTGTAAAATAATTATAAAGTTATTAGGTTAGGTATAAGATTAAAATTTAATAAAGCAAAATTATTAATAATAGCAGGGAGTTATATAAATACTTATAATAATAAGTATTTTAAACTAAATAAATTATAAACTGCTTGTTATAAGGGTGGATACGCATAAATTTTTTTTAAATTTAAATAGTAAATAAAGTTAATAATTAAATTTAATTTAGGAAAGTTTTAAAGTAATTACCATATAAATTAAAAAGTAAAATAGTTATAAAGTTATTAGGTTAGGCATAAAATTAAAATTTAATAAGGTAAAATTACTAATAATAGCGGGGAGTTATATAAATACTAACTATATTGTGTAGCTAGACCCCCCCCCTCCAGCGCCAAAATTTAAAACCCTAGGGGGGGGGTCCAAAAGATTTTTGGACCCCCCCCTAACTTTTTTATTATTAGGCCAAATCTAGTAATTCTTTTTTTATTATATAGGGAATTTAGTTAAATTTAATATTTTTTAAAAAAAATTAGAAAATATTAATATTTAGCTTAGCTAATATTATTTAAAGTTTTAGTAAGAATTTTTGTTGGGGTAAGCCTTGGCGCGCTAAAAGCGGGAAAACTATACCYTTTTAGGCTATTACTAAAAACCCTAGGTTACTTAGGTAATTATAGATACCTAAGGCACCTAAGGCACTAAATTTTATTTAAAATATTTTTATTATTTAAAAAGTTAAGAGTTAGGAAAATTTAGGGTTAATTTAAATTAATTTTTATTATTTAGATAATAAATAAAATTTACTTATATTAGGCTTATTAAATAGGGAATTTTATTTTTTATCTAGTTTTTTTTAAAATAAAAAAGTTATCTTAAAAACTTAGAGTTTTATTAAGCTTTAAAGTTYTAATAAACTTTTTTTTATATTTTTTTAGTAAACAAGCTTATAATAGGCTATTTAAATTAAGTTTATATTATTAAACCTAATTTTTTTAAAAATATAATTTACTAAAAATAAATAAATTTAAAAAAATAAACTTCTTATATCTTTTTATTTTAACTTTTAAAAACTATATATATAATAATTAGTATTAAATTATAAATTATAAATTATAATTTTCTATTTTTATTGAAAATATATAACTAGTGTTATATATATAAATATTTTTATAAGTATATATTTAAATTTTTATTATATATATATATACATCCTTAGTATATTTAAGGGTTTTTGTATTAGGGTTTGTGTTTATATATTTATTAGTAATTTTTTATTAGTTTTTATTTAGCTAATTTTATAATTACTTTATTTATTTAAGCTTAAGTTTTTTTTATATAAGTTTTATTATTTCTAGAACAAATGCTTTAATACTAAAAGTAATATATATAATAAAATAAAGTTTATTTAACCTAAGTTATTAAAAATATTATTATTAATAGCTTATTAAATATTTAACACTTTTATTAATAGCTTATTTTAAATACTAATACTTTTGTTTACAGCTATAATAATAGTAAATATAATAAAGGTCTTTAAAAAATTATATAAATA